TAGTATATTATTATATTCTTTAATTATAGATAGATACTAATAATACTTAGCTATAGCCCTAAGAGATATTAAGAAGTATTAAAAGTCTACTAAGCTCCTTATTTATAAGTTACTATTTTCTTACTTTATTTATAAGATTACTAAAGCCTTACTAAAAAGTATAGGTATATACTATTAGAAAACTGCGCTTAAAGCCCTCTAAGAGGTAACTAAGTTATTCCTTATTAGTTATTTTAAAAGTATAGTTAATTTCTCTCTACTACTACTAGCACTATACTTACTATAAAAGACTATAATATTAATACTATTTACGCTAAATAGGTTACTATTTAGCAGAAAGACTTAGTACTAGTAAAACGTTACTATAGTAGGTTTAGTATAATAAAATTCTAGATAAATAAATAAGTTTATATAATTAGCTTTTTCTATATAAGAATACTTAGATTTATAGTTTAAATAAAACCTTCTATAAGCTGTAATAAATAACTGTAATAATTACTATTCCTAATCTAATACTTACTAAAATACTTACCTATATAATATAAAATTCTAATTACTAGAAATATTTTAGAGTAGATATAATGTAACCTAACTTCTACCTAGGGTCTATATAACTCTAACCTAACTCTAACCTAATACTAGCGTTAAAATATTAAGTTAGAGTTAGGTTAAAGTAGACTATACGTTAGGTTAAAGTTAGGTAGGAGTTAGGTTATACTTATATAAGACCTAACTCCTACTTAACTCTAACCTATTTACTAGCGTAAGGACAACGCTCCCTCCTATAAGGTATAGATATAAGTAGACTGTTTTAAGAGGCTTAGGATTAGGATTCTAAAGTTTCTAGTAAATTCTCTAGATCTTAACGCTATTAAGGACCTCTAGCACCTGCTCTAGGTAGCTGTTACTAGCTACTATTACTGTCTAATAAACACAGCAGAGACAAAGTATATATATATATAAGAATATAGCAAGTTTTTATAGGATAAACTAGACTCTTATATTAATAAACTCCCTAAAAAGATATAGCAGGTATTAGAGAAATAGGGCAGTAATAACTTTTATAGATAAGCTCTATCTATAACCTTAAAAATTATTAATATATTATATTTTTTAGCTTTAAAACTGCTCTTAAAGTGCTCTAACTGCTTACTACAGCGCTTACCTACAGTTAATAATGTTATTTACTACCTATTTGCTACCTAAACTTATATACGTTACTATGCAGACTCGCTACACACGTAAGCTAGAACAACTGCTTCTGGGCATCTATTTTTAGGTACTCAAAACAAAGAAAAAAAGATCGGAGTATATGCTTTCCAATCAAACTCTCCCCCTAACATACCATGTTTGTCGCAACAGGGTATGTCATCTTTAGAAAGGGTAAGGCACAGGCGGTCGTGAAAAGACTACACATCATCTGACCATCTTCAGTGAATGTAGATCGCTATGTGTAGAGCCGTCTTGGGCTGAGATGTCTAGTTGTCGAAGAATACAATCTGCAATTTATGGTAGCTTGAACTGCTTCTGGATTTTGGAAGCAGCCTACGTGTTAGATTCAACATGAACAGCTATATAGATGACAAGGGATCATGGCAAACAACAAGGAAATAACTGGTCATTCTGAGCAACGGCAACACTGGAGTATGGTGGGGATATCATAGTCGAGTCACAACCGGCAACCGGATTTATCAGCAGCCGGTTTGATGTACTTAGCCAAAGACAGACAACATCCTAAGTTATTCTTGTGGGATGAACTGTTCTGTATAGTGTCAGATGACGCTCAATTCTCGGCGAAAGAACGCTACGTTGACCAATAAGACACTTGTCAAGCCAGTCATATGAACCATTGCAAGAGAAAATGCAGGAGATCGTGAGATCTTCCATGATCGGCCAAAATTACGAACAGGAAGCATCAATCTGCATTACCAATGGACCAAGGGTTGCGGGGCTGGAGCCTTTTTCGTGTTGTGCTGCATTTTTGAGTAGTTTTTGGTACCACGTTAAACGTCGTTCAGATGTAGGGTCAACGTGGCGTTTTCTTGAACATAAAAGAGCTTTCGTTCTTGGACCAAACTTTGTCTATTCGACTTGAAAGCAGACCGGTCGTCAAGGCATGGATCTGCTGAAGTGCTGACACTATGGGCATCGCTCGGTCGGAAGTGGCCGGATAGCTATGCGACAAACTCTTCAATATGTCCGAGTCAACAACACATAACCCGCGAGGAAATATCCGGATGCATGTACCAAACTCGGGCGCTAAGGAGGCTTGGTAAAAGTGATCGTGAGATATGGGGCATGTGACGTCTGTCAAAAGAAAATTCGCCAATGAACAGTTCGCGGAATCGGAACGTCGGATGAGACTTGTGAAAACGCTCTGAGAAAGGTCGGTCATAAGGGGGTTCGTTCTCGATCTAGATCGCGGCGCTATGGCACGCATCCATCACGATAGAGTGGAAAACGTGTGAGTCAAAAGATCGAGGGTATCAGATCGCCGAGACGGGCGAAGGAACTCACCGAAACCGATGCAAGTATTGTCGACGTTACACAAACGTGGCGTGAGACTCTACCCAAGCGCTGTACCTCCAGTATAATCCTGAGGATGATCAAAACTCGGAAATAAGGTTGTTTAGGCGCGTTTCCTGTCAAGAGGAGCGCATGAGGCGTTGCAAACATGTGGTGTTGATCGGTGAACTCGGCAACTCGGAGAACGGGTGGCTAATTCACTAGTAGTTGATCTGAATGGCAGCGCTAATCTGTAAAACGCGTCACGTATCTGAATAGTTGCATGTGCGATCGAAGCACGCGTCGCTGACAAAAACTTCCCCATGGCGGTCTGCAACTCTTCACGTTCCGAAACATCCGGAAGAGATATAATCAAGAGCCACATTCCAACAATGATGGTTTTACTCGCATTTACTAATTCGGCCTCCTCTCATCTTCTTGGATCGTCTCAGCATACCTGCGCGAAAGGAGATAGAAGAAACGAACCTCTACATACCCGACCTGACCTTACATCATTACGTTGTAGATGGCCCGACGCGGTGCTCCAGCCATAGTTACCGCAGCACTGCTGCTCCAGCTGCTGCCTTTGGCATTTGCGCATGGTGACGAGCATCATGGCGCATCCATGGACATGAACGCGCACGACTCGCCAAATCCTCAAATTCAAAATGACGAGCGACCTCAAAGTTATTGGAGCCTTTCTGAGCACGCGACGCTGATGTACTGGCATATTGGGCTTGAGATTCTAGCATGGACTGTCATCTTGCCGGTTGGTGAGTTTACTGAGATATGATGTGATTTTAAAACTTTCGACTGACTGTTCATAGCTGTGATGCTAAGTATCGCTCGTTCGCGATTTACTCTACCCTCTCAGTTTGTGTTCCTTGCTGTCAATGCACTGGCGCTCATCATTGGTAATGTGTACAACAACAAGACGCCGGAGTTGTACGCCAACAACATGCATGGCAAGACAGGATGGGCCATCACATGGATTGGGTCTGCGTGGGTGCTCATGGCGCTCGTTCAGATGTACACAGGACGAGATAAGGCTCAATCTATGGAGGGCGAGGTGGCACAGCCAGTAACTGCAGTCAATATGGCCCAGTACCAGCGCGTACGAGAATTCAACCTTCCAGATCCATCCCGGTGGTCAAACGACTCCGGTCAGGGCACCGAGCGCAATTCTGCATCACTATATAGTCATTCCCGATCACCTAGCGTGGAATCAGAAAACCAGCAGTTGGCTTTGTCCAGTCCTACATACGCCGACTTCGACGACAATACGTTCGACAGCGGTGCTGAGAAGCGTGGCTTCCTGCGCAATACCTCAGTGGATAGATTCTTTTCCCGAAATGTAGCACGATGGGTGGCTGGCCGAACTCTGAAGGCTATCCGGTTCTTGTACATCGCGTTCGAACGCACTATGTTAATCCAGGGGTTTGTGGCCATCACTACCGGTACAGTGGTCTATGGCGGCATCGCAGTAAGTAACCTATCGTTATTGAGTGAGGAGTTGAGGCTGATCATTGTACGTAGCGCGGCCCTGCAATCATGAACGTGCTTGCACACTATGTCAAAGGTGGAATGTTCTTTCTCTACGGCCTGGTTACGCTCGGTCGATGGGTGGGAGCATTTGCAGACCTTGGCTGGGCTTGGAACATGAAGCCACCAAAGGAGAGTTTTGGTCGCCGGCGGATGAACATACCCTCCGCCGAGTTCGCAGAATCTTTCCTCTTCTGGCTGTACGGCTGCACCAACGTGTTCCTCGAACATTTGGCCGCCTGGGGCGGTGCTTGGACTGCGCAAGACTTGGAGCACGTCTCAATATCTGTGTTATTCTTTGGTGGTGGTTTAGTGAGTACTTGTCATCTCAGTCTCGACGCAACAGGTACTAATTTTGCCTGCTAGCTTGGAATGATTGTCGAATCGACCAAGATGCGAGATCTACTCAACCACGCCGTTATTTCGTCACAAGCATCGGCAGACCTCCAAAATGAAGCATGGCAGCCACCACGCCACTACCGCTTCTCTGTAAACCCCATTCCAGCTCTCGTCATCATGCTCCTGGGCAAAATGATGAGCTCCCACCACCAAACCTCTATGGTCTCGACGATGATCCACAGCCAATGGGGAAACATGTTCATGGGCGCTGCGCTTGCGCGTGGGTTCACATACGTTATTATGTACATGTCGCCACCCACGTCCTTCCTCCCGTCTCGCCCACCGACTGAGCTCATCACGGCGTTTTGCTTCGTTTCCGGCGGCATGACCTTTATGCTTAGCAACAAAGACACAGTTGCAGCGCTAGAGTCGTACAACCTCGATGCTATGTTCATCTTCACCGTCGTGATGGGTTTCACGGCGCTGCTGTTGGCATGGTCCACGGTCGTTATTGCTATCAAGGGCTGGGCCCAAGGCAAAGAGAACAGGAGCTTGTATGCGAAGAGCCGCACTGGTGTGCTGGCGTAGGCATGAACACAGTTCTCCGAGAAACCATCATTGTCAGCCGCTCTTGGACCGACGGTGATGGACAGTACCCCTACGAAACGTTTCTCGTATACGTCTCTCTTACGACACTTATGTTCCAGACCTTATACGATACCCTTCCAGCACGATACCCCTTCTTCTTCATCTTCTTTTTTCGTTTCACAGCTTGTGTGGTTGCATTCATATAGTTTCTAAATAAAGCGGTACGAGAACATAGTAATTGGTCATAGCAGAAAGTTGGGTCACGAGTTTAGGATGTTATACATATGTTGGAGAGAGGTTGGAAGACTGAGTCCTCATTTGTACACTAGTCAAACTCTCGTAGTCAACAACGCGACTTATTCACTTCTAATATGATCAGAAACAATATACATAACCGACTATCTTCTCATATGCTATATTGAACATATACTCCACTCACCCAATCGTCCTGAACGATCGGTCGTCGTGCTGATCCGTAGGCGGAAGATTACATGCACGTTTCGCAGTAGTTTTGTCTACGACTGACTCTACGGCGAAGGGAATTGTGTCGCTGTTGGTGTCTTTGTGTTCGTCCTTTTGTTTGTCCCGTAATGTGCCAGCAATATTCATCGTTCGGATTTCCTGTACATCTATGAGGTATTACTCCTGTTGCACAATCTGCGAGTTCCGTACTGCAGACTTGATGTTCAGAACATAGCATCGGGTCAAAATGAGGCAATCACACAGGGGACTGGCGTGATGTTGTAAACGCATGTCGAAGAGTTGGATTTGGCCCATCTATTCGAGCAATCCTGTCCGATCACTGAGCATCCAGGGAGAGTTGCATGGTAGAGTATTGAGGGCTCAAGCATCGTATGCAAATGGTGCGTATGCTAGCGAGTAGTGTGAAAAAACATAACTTTTGCCTCAACGAGGCGACAAATTGTAATCAAATATGCATAGAAGTTGTTTGAGAGGCACACTGAAGAGTTGAATTTATCGTCGTGTTGTCTGTCTGTACTCGAAAAGAGATGAGCAGGCCTCAGAGCCAGGGAAGACATCACGAATACAGGATACGAGCTACGAGCCGCCATGTTCAACGTCTGATTGAGAATGAACAGCGTCGTGTGTGTCTACACGATGTCTGATTCCAAAGAGTAATGGGGTCGTGGCAAGGATGCCAACGCCGCCAAGGCTCGCTAATTGCAACCCCTCCGCACGGCGTTCAATATCCTCGCAGGCTTCGAACTTTTCCCTCACCAACCTCAACGCCAATTTTTACGGATCAGAAAAGATTGACAACCTCCCGCACTAGCCATGCGTGAGTATCATCCTTCTGGTCGGCTGCGACAGCCAGGCTAACGACGCTTCAGCTCCCAAGTTCGATCCCTCCGAGGTTAAGGTCATCCACCTCCGTGCGACCGGTGGTGAAGTCGGTGCCTCGTCCGCACTCGCCCCCAAGATCGGTCCTCTCGGTCTGTCGCCGAAGAGTACGTACACCAAGCTCCGAACCAGCGCATCCGGCACATTGCGCGTTGAAGGGCACGAGTTCTGACAGCGCACACAGAGGTCGGTGAAGATATCGCCAAGGCCACCGGAGACTGGAAGGGTCTGCGCGTCACGGTCAAGTTGACCATCCAGAACCGTCAGGCCGCCGTTTCCGTCGTTCCCTCCGCTTCGTCGCTGGTCATCAAGGCCCTCAAGGAGCCTCCCCGTGACCGCAAGAAGGAGAAGAACATCAAGCACACCAAGAGCGTTCCTCTCGATGAGATCATCAACATTGCCCGCACCATGAGGTTCAAGTCCATGGCCAAGGACCTGAAGGGTACCGTCAAGGAGATTCTCGGAACCGCTTTCAGCACTGGCTGCCAGGTCGACGGCCGCAGCCCCAAGGACATCTCTGACGACATTGAGTCTGGCGAGATTGAGAGTACGTTCTCTTTGGAAATCTGGTCATGTTCAGTGCTAACGGTGTGCAGTTCCTGAGGAGTAAACGTTTGCGCGTAAAAGTGCTTGACGAACAATGACGGGACGATATATGCCATAGAGGGTGCTACATAGCTGAATGAAGACATGTCTTCACAAGGTGCTCCAGCTTGAGAGCTGGTGGGATATGCACAGTTGCGGCGTTTGGGTGTCTGATACCACTTCCAAAAGTGACCCTGGTCATATGGCAATGAAATACCACGTCTTGTCTTCTCCAACATCATGTTCTTTGCACATTGCTTGACGTTCCTTGATTTGTTTAGATCTTTGGTGTCTTACATATGTATAAATGCGCAACCTTTCGACAGCATTTGTCCTCACGTATCAAAACGATGATCTGGTCCACACGTGACGGCCACTGAACACATCGGTAACTCCGCGCGTCCTCCGAACAAAACAATCGCCATCACATCATCGCCGTCCAAAATGCACACACCACCGGCGACGACAACATGCGCCAGAGACAATCTGACGACCTGCCACGGTTCGTGAATGATGCAGAAGCGTCCTCGTTCCGCATACGCCGCCGATACCTCTATTACCTCGCCGGCTTCGTCTTTGTTTGCTGGCTGCTGTACCCGTCTCGCAGCAAAGGTGACGACGCGTTGAACGTCAACTGGGCAAACTACGCATACAGCCTGTACGCGACCGATAGCGCGACACTTTGCCATGCTGTCATCCTCTTCGACACGCTCAAGAAACTTGGTAGCAAGGCAGACCGCGTTCTCTTCTATCCACAATACTGGGACACAAAAGTGGAGAGTTCGCGGGACCGAGATAGCCAGTTGCTAGTCATGGCACGCGACAAGTACAAGGTCAAGTTACACCCGATCAAGCTACTGTCGGTTGAGGGTCGCACAAAAGGTACGGGTTACACGGGCAGGATGCGATGCGCTCCGTCAATTCAGATCAAGACGGCAGCTAACGGGCCTTGCAGATGCTTGGACAGGTACCTGGTCCCAGTCGGTCACGAAGTTCATGTCCTTCTCCCTTGCGTACTACGATCGCGTCATTGCTCTGGATTCCGACGTCACTTTACTGAAGTCGATCGACGAACTCTTCCTGCTTCCGCCCACGCCGATGGCAATGCCCCGCGCATACTGGACCACGAACAAGCCGTGGCCCCTTACATCGATGCTGATGGTCATCAAACCAGATTTGGATGAATTTGAGAAGTTCAAGCAAACAATCAGAATTGGGGGGACTGGCCGGCTGATCGACGAGCATAGATTCGACATGGAGCTGGTCAACGAGCGATTCCAAGACAGTGCGCTGGTGCTTCCTCACCGACCATATGCGCTTTTGACTGGCGAGTTTCGAAGCCATGATCACGCAGCATACTTGGGCAGTGATGATGAGATATGGGATGCAGAAGCGGTGTTCAAACAAGCAAAGGTAGTGCATTTCAGCGATTGGCCGCTTCCCAAGCCGTGGATCATGTGGCCCACCAAGGGCTTAGAGGAGATGCAGCCCGATTGCGGGGGAAGCCATGAAAGCTGCGCAGAGAGAAGGATCTGGAAAGGCTTGTACGATGATTTCCGCCAGAAGAGAAGAGATGTGTGTAAACTGTTGAGTGTGCCTGCGCCCGACTGGTATAGCATTCAGGACACGAGGCAGGGGAGGAATGCGACAGACGGGACTGCGCATGTTGCGGCTGAGATTCCTGGTGACGTGCTTTGAGAGGAGCAGGGCGGTGTATGATCCACAGCTGGACAGTCGACTGCTGCGCAAGCGTGTACTTGCATTTTGACAAATTCACTTCAATGATAATCTACGCCGCTTTTTCTCCGTCTAATACTGGAAGTTCGATTTCACTATGCATGAGCATTACGAATCTCAAACACCTGAATGAGCATGATTGTCTTGATCGATAACTGTTACTTCCAAGGAATTGAGCAGAGAGGATGAAGCATGTGGTCGCTATAAAACTATTAACAGACATGATGCATTGTACAGTCAGATGTTGCTTTGTGTATTGCGGCTGTCTGCCAATTGTTACCCATAAATTATAAGTCAACGGAGCGTGTAATCAGGCGTAAATTCATGATACAATTTTACCGTCCATCACTTTGCCAAGATCCGAAAACAGAAGTGGCAGCATAATTCCAGCGGCACCTTCCTTTAGAGTAATCGGGCATGTACCGGGACTAGTCACCTACCGGGCACTACTCTGTACACACCTCTAACTTTATATCTAAAAGCTGCATCTAAAGTCTAAATAACTTAAGTTATAAAGTTCTGTATTTAAAATCTTTTATAAATATAAAGTTAAGTAATAGCTACTATAGTAAAGTAAATAAAAATTAAAATATAGAATACTTCTTAAATCTTAATAACTCTTAATACCTAGACTAATAAAGTAAAACTTTAGTACTTTAATATACTAAAGTTCTTTTTAAATATATATAAAGAATATCTTAAGAATAACTTTTACTTTTAATAGTATTATAATAATAAATATATATTATTAAAAACTAATATAATATATTACTTTTAAGTAATTATATTTAGATTTTTAAGGTATATATTATACTACTTATACTAATTAAAGTTTTTTATACTTAAGTTTTTACTTTTATTAACTTATTTACTTTGTAAAAGTAAAATTTTAAGTAAAATCTTATATAGTACTTTAGTTATCTTAATAAAAAGCTATAGATAGTAGCTAATACTATATAACTCTTAAAATAAGAAAGTTTAAGCTAGAAAGCAAATATATACTTAAAAAAATTTATAATACTATTATATATAGATATAGTTATCTTAAATACTAATTTAGTATTTAAAATTTTATTATTAAGATTCTAGCTTTCTATCTTGTTAAAATTTTCTAGAAACTTAAACAAATAGTATTATAACTATAATTTATAACTTAGCTTAATTAGAATTTTAATATCTATTCTAGTTGTGTAGTTATGAGTAGTGCCCGGTAGGTGACTAGTCCCGGTACATGCCCGATTACTCTAATCCTAACCCCACATTTTATGCAGTTCCATCCTCATCGCCGCACATCACTCGTGTAATGTAGCCCTGTCGCGCCGCTCGTCAAGTCCAGCTCACCACTACATGCAATGTCCAACACATAGCTGTCACCGGGCGTTCTGCATGCACGTCTGCACCGAAACAATGGTGAATGTCTTGCGCGCAAGCGAGCGAATGCTACGTTGCACGAAACATGCACATCTTAGGGTGACAGCCGACAGGCGTTTGTCTTGGGAGATCAGCAGCCGGGTGGTGGGGAAGAGGGCTGAGCACCGACCATGGAAGCCAGCATGCCCACGATAGGGCTACGGGAGCCAAAAGAGATGGATTGTGGATGCAGAGAGCGGGACTCTGCATACGTGAGCGGGGAAAGTTGCAATACAGCGCCACAAACATGGATGACTGGCTCCCGTTTTAGTGTTTGCGCACAATCCTGTGCATAATTGCAACGGAGTGAGAGAGGCTGAGATGGCTGGCTGGCAAGGCTGAGCTACGGCTGGCCTATCTCATGCGGGTACTAGTGAATGAAACCGACCTTGTCACTAGGGAGTCCCTGTTGAATATTCTCCTGTCACTCAATTGCCCAGCTCGGTAGGGGTATAGGCTTAAATATAACTTTGTTTCCCTCGACGGTTAGCCTGTTGCTATGGTTTTTCGTTTTTCGTCATTCACCGGGACCTCGAATTGTTTATAGTCGTTATCACCGTCGGCTTCTCCTCACCTCCACTTATTTGTGCGACAACAACTACAACAACTACAACGACTGCGATCAACCACAATGCGCGACTTCATCCTGGCCTCCGTGGCTACCACTTCACTTCTCTTCGCCAGACCGGCTCAAGCTGTTGCTGCGAATCCTCTTCCTAAACCTGCGAACATCACATGGGGTGACTCGGGCTGCTTTTCTTTCGGCGCTGTATCGCTGGAGGCGCCAGATCACCTAGTTCTGAACGAGGCTTTCGACCGTGTCACCAGCACTATCACCGATCTGAACTGGATTCCTGCCGCCACCGAAGCACCAGTTCGAGCGTTTGAGCCTTTTCCTACTGCGACTGGCTCGGGTGCGGAGAGGAGGTCGAGGAAGCGCACTACCGATGACTATGCTACTAACTGTACTGGCACCATCACAACGGTCAAGATTGATATCGCCAACCTGCATGCTACACTCCAGCATGGCGTGGACGAGTCGTACAGTCTGGATATTGCTTCCGGATCTGAAGCTGTTGAGATCTCTGCTCAGACAGTGTACGGTGCTCTTCATGCGCTCACCACAATGCAGCAAATTGTCATTAACAATGGCAACGGAAAACTGATCGTCGAGCAGCCAGTTACAATTCAGGACGAGCCCCTCTACCCGGTCCGTGGCATCATGATCGACACAGGCCGTAACTTTATCTCGAAAAAGAAGATCCTCGAGCAGATCGACGGTATGGCACTTTCTAAACTCAACGTGCTTCACTGGCATCTGGTTGATTCTCAATCATGGCCTCTTGAGATTTCCGCCTATCCCCAGATGACCGAGGACGCATACTCATCCAACGAGGTCTACTCTCATAGCACGCTCAAGCAAGTCATCAGCTACGCGGCTGCTCGTGGTGTTCGCATCATTCCAGAGATCGACATGCCTGGTCACGCCAGTTCTGGTTGGAAACAAATCGACGAAGACATACTAACCTGCACCGACAGCTGGTGGTCCAACGACAACTGGGCGCAGCACACTGGTGTTGAACCTACCCCTGGTCAACTCGACATCCTCAACAACAAGACTTACGAAGTCACTGGAAAGGTGTACAAGGAAATGGCTGATATCTTCCCCGACAACTGGTTCCACATCGGCGGCGACGAACTTTTCCTCAACTGCAACAACTTTAGCTCTCTCGCACGCGACTTCTTCGCCGCCGGAAACTCCATGGGCGACCTGTACCAATACTGGGTTGACCGCGCGATCCCCAACTTCCGTGCCCAAGCCAACAAAACTTTCGTCATGTGGGAAGATGTCAAGCTCTCTGCCGCCGTAGCTGCCACAGGCGTTGTGCCCACAGACATTGTCATGCAAGCTTGGAACAACGGCATCGCGCACATCTCCAACCTGACAGCCCTCGGCTACCGCGTCATCGTCTCATCATCCGATTTCGTCTACCTCGACTGCGGCTACGGCGGCTGGGTCTCCAATGACCCGCGTTACAACGTCATGATCAACCCCAACGCGACCGACGGCAGCGCAAACTTCAACTGGGGCGGTAACGGCGGTTCCTGGTGCAGTCCCTACAAGACATGGCAGCGCGTCTACGACTACGACTTCACCTTCAACCTTACCGACACGCAGAAGTCGCTCGTACAGGGCGTCATCGCGCCGCTGTGGTCCGAGCAAGTCGACGATGTGGTAATCAGCCAGAAGATGTGGCCAAGAGCCGCTGCACTGGCGGAATTGGTATGGTCGGGCAATCGCGATGCAGAGGGCAACAAGAGGACGACCGAGATGACGCAGAGGATCCTTAATTTCAGAGAGTATCTTCTGGCCAATGGCGTTATGGCTAGTCCGCTCATGCCCAAGTACTGCCTTCAACATCCGCATGAGTGTGATTTGTATCTGAATCAGACGGCGCTGCATGGACCTACTGTGTAAGGGGTGCGTAGTGTGAAGGTTTGCTTGACCTTGGGGATTCGGATGGAGTCAGGCGTTTCAATAGCGTATTCCTTTCTTTCTTCCTTTCTCCTCATCATAGGGTATGGACATGCATGAGCGCCGGCTTGAGAGTCGAATAGTGGAGGGGATAAGTTATGATTTAATCTCTCATCTTCGTATGCTCGAGGCATATACCCACCATAGCTTTTTGAAACAATAGCATGAACATGATTCATATTTGTGTTTTTTTTTCCTCGCAACATGTCTCTCGATTAATCGAAACACCACGAATCAAAGCACAGCTAATTAAGGAACAGCTGGACAATTACAACTGTACTTGGTATATAAAATCTAAGCCTAAGCAATCAACTGTATGCACCTTGCGTACACATCTTTGAAGTTTACTGGTGTAGTCTTGCAGCTTGTAGGAGCCACAAAGAAAGCAGCTTCCCGCTTTTACAGTTGACCGAGAGCATATGTGACTATTCAAAACATGCTTATCACGGCTTCTGAAAGGCTCACGCCATATAGCTTATCATCTAGCCATGCCTCATTCCAGGAACAGGCCACCAAAGCTCACGCAGTCTACAACACATTGATATTTGCAACACTCCTTATTCGCACGCCTAACTCTCGACTATACAGATAAGAACAAGAAGATGCGAACTTGAAGAGTGCATGCATGCCATCTCATGTTCTACACCACCCAATGAGGAGCCCAGCCAATGTGGCTATCGAGATCTCGCCAGAGGACTGCACCCTCGACCTCGAACTCCCTAAGATACGCACGGGTCTTGAAAGGGGGCCATCTTCCTGCGGCTTGCACAACGCTCACGCTGTTCCACCACTCAACAATGTCGTTTAGACCACCCCAAGACGCATTTGCATAATGGCATTGCGAGGTTTGCTCTTTAAGGACAGCGAACCAACGACTAACTTGGTTAAAAGCTTGGATGAAATGCCCACTGTGCGGGGTCCGTGCTACGACAGCCTTCTCGTCAGCGTCGTTTCTCTTGAGCAGGTCTTCGTCCCAGCGAGCTGTTTTACCGGCGGCGGTATAGTATGGTTGGCTGTTGATTTTTCCTTTCATCCTGGTTGCCTGGAAAAAATGGACGGGGAGCTCCAGTTTGCACAAAGAACATCGATGTCCTTGGCGACAGACTTCGCTGAATCGCTGCTTCTGAAACTTTTTGTTAGGAAAAAAACTCACATTAGATAAGTCGGTAAAGAGACTTACGTTTCGCGTTACGAGATCCTCCTCTCGGACAGGAAGAAGAACACTAGGGGGAATGCAACGCGGCGAGTGTGTACACGAAGCGGCTGTTGTGGCTCGAGCTACCTCGTGGTCTCCCCCATCCATGAGTGCGCGAAGGATGTTTTGGCATATGATCCTTGAAGCGTTTGTTCGATGGGACTCGCGTAAAAAGTGGAAAGGTGAGTCACAATATTGATTCCCACATAAGTGAGAGTACCAATCTAGCGTTGTCAACTCCTGGAGAACGAATGCATTATCTCGGGTTGTGCCGATTGCTAGCACCGATCCATGTCGAAGTGATATGTGCTCAAATGCGTTGCAGATTTGACATCAGATAGGTATGTCCAAGTAGTCAGGGTGAGTCTTTTTGCCTGCTGATGAAAAGCGCGGTTGAGTGAGCATGCAGCCTATAGCTTCCATCTGCTCCCCGACAGAGGCCGGTATGTCGCTCAACTTATTCCATGGTTGTACGTTAGGCATCTCAAAACACAGCCGTTTCCAAGCCATGATCTCAATACGTTCTCGAAAATCGGCATCGTATACCAAGGCTGCACGAGCTGAGTCACATGCAGCAGCGCACTCAACACCAGTGCTCCTCTTTCTTATTACAGACGACGAGAAAATCAAAGGTGTTTTTTTCATAAGCTGGAATAGCTCTGGTCGTACAATGCGGCGTTGTGTTTCTTTTGGTACCAAAGGGTACTTAGTAGCAGTTGAGCTTGCAGCGGTCGAGCTTGCAGCGGTGGAAGTTGCAGCGGCGGTGGCGTGCATATGTGCGCGTTTTGTGTCGTCATCTCCGCGCTCGTGAGGGTCCTGTGTACCTGTACTCGAGTACAGAGCTGTTTGGAAGTTGTCTGTATTCACATACGGAGCAGCCTTTGGATAAGCTTCGTTGTAGTTGTCGACAATATGATTGGCAACGGCTTCTTCTAACAGTCGATTGAAACTGTTGTCGATATTTCCACTACAATATATGTGTTAGAAGACGTGAAGTGAGAGGGTTGAAGTTGCAAAAAGGTACCTTGCGAGCTTGTTGAGAAAGACAGGGTAACCTTTGTCAAGAATCGCGGCAGTTACAAACCGCCTTCGTTGTCTGTTGCCATGTGATTCTTTTGAGCCAGATTTGACAACTCTCTGACTGGATTGTTGATGCTTCTTGCACTGCGCAGCGGTCTTGGACGCTGAGCGGGTGGTCTTGTTTCTGGGCGCCATTCTGCAGCAGTAAACAGGTGACGGAGTCTGGTGGAGGTTGGAACGAGAGGACTTACGTTGGTTGTTTGCATACGAGTTCGTCGAATGGCAACAGCCCCACACTTCACAAACTAAACGGCAAGAGAGATCGGCTGATAGGCGAGAGGCATACGCCGAGAATTCCTGCTCATGTCCCTTGTCTGTCTGCAGGTCAGCAAGTGTGACGCCAGTGACGAAGTTGGACAGGAAGGTACCATGAACGTATTGTCGAGTTTGAGGTCGGAGTTGATTTGGTGGAAAGCCCCAGCACCACGACAAGGTACAACTCCATTGTTGGGAAGGCAAATGACAACGAAGCCATGTATGAGGCAGGTTGACGAGGTTCTGCATACGACGCGGTTAGGCGGATGCTGCCTTCTAGCCAACCCTTCTCGTTCGGTCCAAGCTGACGAGGTTCTGCGTACGACGCAGTTAGGCGGATGCTACCTGCAAAGCCAGATGGAGGCAGTTCAACAAGGTTCCGCATACAACGCGGTTAGGCAGATGCTGCCTGCAAGCCAAATACCGTAACTGTGCCTGAAAAGCTCAGTGATTCGCATAGAACGCAATGAAGCGGGTGCGGCGACCACGAGACTGACGATGAAGAAAAGAAGACGAACTCTAGGCGAACCTGGCGTATAATGTGCCCGCGACGCTCTGACGCTAGCTAGCTCCTGCATAGCTTTGGGTGCGTTGGGTTGCTCCTGCTCGTTTGCTCCTTTGCTCCTGCTCTTGCGCTCCGGTGCTCCTTACTAGCTCAACAAGTGCCGCCTCTCTTACTACCAGAACATTAGCAAATTATAAGAATCAAGACAAAACTCTTTCTTACCCCTTGCCTACTTCTCGTCCGTCTCTCACCCCTTGTCTACTTCTCGTCCGTTCCTCTCACTCCTCGTCTACTACTCAGCCGCCTACCTGCCCCATCTACCTCACCACACCCCATTGGCAACTCCGACAAGACTCTCTCGTTCACTTGTCAGGTCGTCTCTCACTCATCGACGTCATCCCGCCGGCAACTTCGACGACAAACCCGAGACTCCTTCCCCTATCTACTCCACTCCGCCGGCAACCTCCAATACGATGCCTTCAAAGCGAAAAGCCCGCGGTAGCAACCAGACTGACTCGTCTCCACGCAAACACGAGCGCCTAACCGAGAACGCTGCCGAATACTACAAATCCTCAAGGCCACGAGTACCGTCAAAGCTGGTCGATGAGAAGCCAGACTATCTGAATGCAGATCAACAAGACCGAATCACGGCCAACAAGACCTCCAACCCCAGCCGTGTTGCCAACAAGTACCGGCTCCCCGGCACCAGAGGTAAATACCAGAGTGCAGGCGAGCGAGCATACGTCCCAGGACCAGCTTCGCAAATCGTGCCGAGATCACGGCGGCAACTGAGGATGGAGGCGGCAGCCAATATCGCCCTGGGTGCTCCCAACGCCTTCGACGTTTATATTACGCAACTAGTATACGACGAGATGATTGCTCAACTCCCCGCTCCCATCAACATCAACACAACCAGAAAAACTCTTGTGAACCAGGTCGATGTAGACCGAGCGTTTGGTACTCTCAAGCAAGAGGAAAAGATGCACAAGCAGTTGACTTTCAACTGTGTCGCAAGGTAAGAAACACTCCCTGCTCTTGGTCACTCCCTGCTCTTGGACACTCCCTGCTCTTGGACGCTCCAGCTGACCCAATCCAAAGTGGCATCATGCGAAACGACCAGTATGAGTCTGTCCGACGCAGCTGAATACAGTACCGAATAGCCAACGGCTGGATATTGGCGAAAGAGGACGGTAGGAGCCTGAAACGGCCAAGCCAGGGACTGTTCGATCGTTTGATGGCGGAACATAGTCCAGAGACCCACGACCACGACAGCTAGAATGCGCGCCTGAATTTCCACTACAACAAGCGCCTTGATTCGAGAGTCGATGGACGCGAATCAAGCAGTATGCGGATCTCGATGTCGAACATGCCACTCAAGAAGACCACCACCAATCGCACTGGGCGCCCCCAACGCGTCCACACAATGATATTTGCAACACTCTTTATTCGCAAGAACACTTTCCTATCATTTACTTGAAAACAGCAAGGCACAAAATGTACCAATCCCTACTGTCCCGGCCGCTCATCAATAACAGCCCTTTCCCACGTACATCCCACACACTCACACCCCGCCGCCCCACAGCCACGAAGTCCGGCGTCTAAGCCCAGACCTCCGACGAACTCCCTACGCTCCTTGATCTGTTCGTTAATACAATCATCCTTCCCGGTACGGGTTTCATCAGCATCGTCGGTTTCGGCTTCACTCACGTCGCTCAGCTCGTACAATTGTCGTGCCTCGCGCCTGCAGGTTGGACATTCTCGGCTCAGAGTTATAGGTTTATCGGTAGCGTTCTCGCAGGTGGTGGTATGGCAGGGAGTTGGGTGGTTGGGTTTGATGTGGCCGCAGTGGTAGGTGGTGAGGGATGGGGTGCACATGTTGAATTTGGTGGGTAGATGTCGAGGTATGGTAAGTAGTCCGTGGTTGATTCGTTCTCGATATGGGAGTATTTTATACGGCATCATGAGGCTCCATCTGTGTATTTGAATGGAGTGAGACCTATTGAGTGACGGGGTGGTGAAGAAGTGAGAGACATGTATACTGTCACTTCCTGGTGAGACAAGAGCCAGTATGAGTGTCAATGTGTTGCTTCACTGATTCGGAGATTGAAGGCGAGGTGACTAAGTGTATACACTTTGTGTTTGCAAGCGCGTAGATGTGAAGAGTGTTGTAATGCGTGTATATATGTTCCCACGGATACTCACTTCCACTTCCACTTCCACTACTCAACACAGCCGACCGGAACTCGAAAACGACACCATGTGCACTAACCTCAGCATCACGTACGGTTGCGACCACTCCTACGATACGCGCGTTCCCTGCAAGAAGAGAGTCTGCTGGAGTACGGACACAGTCCGACAAAGAAGCGACCACGACTGCAGCAATTGTCTGGAAGAAGAAAAAGAGAGACTTCGAGGTAGCCGCGCCCGTGCTGTTGGTCGGGCGGCTGGCCTAGCCGTTCGACTATTCCTTGCACGAAAAGCTGGTCGAGAGGAATATATAAACAATGTACGTATTGGGCTCCAGACGATCTACTCCTGTGGCCATGGGGACAGGGATTACTGGAGTACCCTTGATCCAGGAGAAGATCCTCTCTACACGAAAGAGCTGGTCATTCGTAAGACTTTTGTTTGCGAAGCGTGCCGAAATCAAGAGAGGATTAGCAGCGATGGATTCGCGGCAGTGCAGACCATGGATTCTCCGGAGCAGAATTTAGAACTACAGGAGCTGAAGAATCGGATTCAACAGCTGGAAGAAGAGAGAGATGAACTGCTGCGAAACCCCGCGGCTGTGGATAGTGAGGCCATAAACCAGTTGCTTGACGCTCGCACGGCGGCTCAACACCAGAGCGAAGACCTGCAGGCTCGGCTTGAAATCGCCCTGGTAGAGCGAAATTCACTCCAAACAAAACTCGACGAGCAGGCTACAGCAAATGACATCGCAATCATCGGCCTCGAAGAAAGCCTCCACATCGCAAACCGAGAACGTCATGATTTTGAGCAACAATGTGCGGACATGGCTGAACAATTCGAACTGGATGCGGCCATCACTGCATCGCTAGCCAGACCCGAGCCAGCAGAAACAGGAGACCACGTGGATCAATCTGTACCTAAAGATGAGGCGGCAGCAACAAGAAGGCTGGAAGAGATTAAATCACAGACGGTGACCTTGCTCGTCAAAGGAAGGATGCTGATGGACGAAAGAAAGAAGCTACAAGACTTTGTGGACGCATGCAAACTAGACACGTCTGCGACGGAGGCGCAAGTAATCCCAGAGTCGCTTGCTGCCGATGAAAAGAGTGATTCAGGCGAGATTGACGATGACAGGTCTTCTTGGGAAGATAGCGACGAGGCTGAAACATTATCTGTTGGATCTGACGATGCTGGTAGGGTAATAACGCCGTAGAGACGCCATGTAGGGGTCGGAATATGTTTCCAAACGACATGGAACGTGCGTCTACCGTTGAGCCTGAAGATCGACACGATTCAGAGCTTAGACCAGGAGCTTGGGCAGTCTTGCTAGCAACCCAAGCTATCGTCGGATTAGGAAGCGAGTGTTGACGATCCTCTCAAAGAGCTAGTGGGACTACAGGGACTCGAAAACTGGATGGTGGAATTGCAAACCGAGATTAGAGATCGGTAACGGGCAAAGTCTCTTCGAGTCGTGATTGAATAACACTAATTCTCCTTTTATTTGGTGTCGGTTACAGCAACGAAAGCGGATTGTACGCTGAGAGAGAAACAACATAGCGTGCGCCTCAAGTCTGGGTGGGGTTAGTGTATCATAGTTAGTGTCATCGGCCCGCCAGGAACGGCCAGCTTCGCAGTAAAACGAGATGGCATTGAAACAATGTAATTGATTTTTTTTGGCCATCAACGTCAAACACTGAGAGGTGAGTATAAACTATGAAGAATACATCATTGCAATACAGACGGTGGAAGGACAACCGTTCCCGCATCTCACGACAGAGCAAGGCGGGCGTAGCATAAGGTTATATTGTGGGGTTTGGGGTCATGAGAAACGTTTAACGTTTTCTTTATCAGTGCTTATGCCTGCAGCATCGCGGCGTGGCACCGGGTACCTAGCTCTAACTTGGTTTGGATTTCGGCCGCATCTCCCCCGGAAGGTAACCGAAGCGCTGTAGCTGTGCAACCAAGTCTTGTCGATTCCCGCGGACATCACTTCAAGCTATACTGACAATTCGAATTTAGTATAAGGTTGGTGCTGTGGTGTTCAAAGCAGTGCTCTGTCGAACGCTACCAGGGAGGTGGCTATACCAAGGGGCGGTTACACAATCCATCCAATCAATGAATATCGCATGTTGCTGCACACGGAATTGCTTGGCGGCCAATCTGAATCAGGCAAAATTGCGGAGGAGGCTTATTGAAGGATTGAAGATAGGATAACTGCCGGCCTACTGCAAGAGCTGTTAACAACTGCCGTATTTTCTGACGAACAAATGACACAGCATGTGCTTGAGCTTGGTAGTATTGGTAGCGAGCTGTAGTTGAGCATGGCTATCCCTTAAGAAGGTGACAGTGCTCTTCCCCACGTTTTCCACCCCAGGTTTTCGGAACGACGCGCGCGGGGCCACGCCACTCCTATTGAAGAATTTTCACGACTTCAACTGCTCTACACCACACCGATCTGTTCAGATCTTGCCTCAAGATGGCAACATCTGTCATCGCCTCGGAGCCTAACCTCTCCTCGGTCGAAAAAGGAAACATCATTTGTATGTTGCGTGCTGGATCTCTTGTACGAATGCTCATAAAGCGAAATAGACGAGACTCATGGCAGCGATCGATCTACCGAGGAGTTCACATGGACACAGGAAGAGGAGACTGCTGTTCGACGCAAGCTGGATAAACTCATCGTACCAGTAGCAACATTCCTCTACTGTCTATGCTTTCTTGACCGGTACGTGTACTACGTTATAGATGAAGCCACAATGTATTAACGTCTCATGTAGGGCCAACATAGGCAACGCTCGGATTCAGGGTATGGCAACGGATCTCAACTTAGTTGGTGTCCGCTTCAACTGGGTCGTTTCCATCTTCTACATCATCTACATGTTGGTCGAGGTACCCAGCAACACGATTCTAAAGAAGATTGGTCCAAAGTACTATCTCCCCATGCTGGTTGTTGGGTTCGGACTTGTGTCCCTTTGCACATCATTCGTCCAAAGTTTCGCAGGGCTGTTGGTTGCACGAGGATTCCTTGGTATCTTTGAGGGAGGTGTCATGCCGTAAGTACCTCTTCATGGCTGGTTGAGCTCTGCCTGACTATCACTTGACAGCGGACTTGCGTTCTTCATCTCTTGCTTCTACAAGCGAAACGAGCTCTTGCTACGGATTGGCATTTTCATTTCCGCCGCCTCCATAGCGGGAGCTTTCGGTGAGTGAAGCATGCCATAACCCTACTGTGACCTTTGCTGACATCATATCCTTATCTCAGGCGGTCTTCTAGCTACAGGGTAAGTGCTTATCTATGTAAAGAAAAACGATCAACAACTTACTTTATATATAGGCTTGCTCGCATTCCTCCATGGGGTATAGCCTCGATGAAAATTCATACCTGGCGTAATATCTTCTTCTTCGAGGGGCTTTTTACCGTCTTGGTGGGTTTGGCTGCGCCCTTCGTGATGCCAACAAGTCCGCAAGGTTGCTGGACCTTGAACGAGCGAGAACGGAGGATTGCCTCAGAACGACTCATCTCGAAGACTGGAACACATGAGAACGAGAAAGTACGACCTGAACATTTGAAGCGGACAGTATTCAACATTACCAACTGGTTCTGTGCTTTCGGCTTCCTTTTCATCAACATCACTGTGCAGGGAGTCTCTCTCTTCATGGTAAGTCGTCGATCCCTTGGTAGTCGAGATAAACGTTAATGTTTTGCACTCAGCCCACTATACTGAAGGACCTTGGTTGGACGGCCACAAAAGCGCAGTTGTACTCGGTACCTCCATACGTTGTCGCATGCCTCGTTGCAATTGCTATCGCTTTCGTCTCAGACAAGACGAACCGCCGCGGTATCTACTTGGCAATGTTTAGTCTCCCAGCTATTGCAGGCTTCTCTATCATGAGATGGGCGACTGACCCCAACGTAAAATATGCTGGTATCTTCCTGATCACCCTAGGAGCCTTCCCTGGAGGACCAGGCTTTTTGGCTTGGGCAGTCAACAATGCGGGCAACCCATCTGTCCGCGCTCTGTCTACAGCTTATGTTGTCACCTTGGGAACCGCGGGAGGCATCATCTCCACATGGTAAGCCTTGCATTCTCGAAGCACTTTGTGAGTGTTTGCAGATGCTAAGATATTTGTAGGACATACCGCACGGCAGATGCACCGAAGTATCACACGGGCCATAGCATTAACCTGGCAGGCCAAATCTGCGTTCTGTTGCTATCGTCTGGCGGCATTGCCTATTGCAAGTGGGAGAACAGGCAGCGCAGCCTAGGCAAGCGGGACCACCGTCTGAATGGACTGAACGAAGACCAGGTCAAGGAATTAGGCTACAGACACCCTGAGTTCCGATTAATTCACTAAGCCTAAGCCTGGTACTGTGTAGATCCTTATCTCCCGGCAGCACAATACTGGAAGTCGCGCCTCTGTGCCACGATAGCTCGTGATCCTCTGATGGGCCCTACCATGCTTGCTGACCTACGCAACATCCCTTGCAGATTACTGGCAACAACAACCCAGGTTGGTATGGGAGCCTTGTGGCTAGACTCCTATCGGTATTTGCCGAGCATGCATTTGCGTCAAATCACAGGTCTAGCATTGCAGCTTGTAGGAGCCACAGCTTACTTTCCGCGTTCACAATTGGGTGAGATGCCGAGTCACACAACCCCCATAGTACCATGCTTTGAATTGAACATTACATCAGTAATTGACTTTTCCAAAACCCTTCAGACGGTCTACCGTGGTTGAATTCCTTCGTGACCGTAGTTGGAAGCCAGGTCTGAGTTCGTTTTATTATAAAAGGAAAAGTCCTGCTTTATTCTCCATTTTTGATATCCGTTCATTCACTCACTCACGCATCTTCCTTCTTCATACAAAGTTTCAATTATCTAATTCGCATTTCAACAAGTATGGCGGATATGGCATGCTCCTTTTCCAGTGACTGGTCCAACACTCCTTCCGACGGTTCTTCAAGAAGCAACCGCAACTCCTCTTCAAGTGGATCTTCTTTCCCTTCGCCAGATGGCGTCCAGACCGTTGCCAATGGCCAGGTTCAGGTCACCAACCCCGCCCGAACCAATTTCCTCAAATACTTCGAGACCGCTCCGCCAAATTTTGTCGGCAACGCTGCGGTCGACTTGGACAAACTTGGAATCGTCTTCCAATATGCAAATCTCTTCTATGTCGTCTATGAAAAGACTCCCGACCCAGAAGCGGGCACCACAAGCCCAACGCTAGAGCGAGGATGGCTGCATTCGCCCACAATCGGCACCTATCTCCGCCAGGAGTGGAATTCGCTTCCCAAGGAGCAGGTGGGCAAATGCGGTCATGGATACTGCCCGACCGACAACAACCGGAATGGATGGTGGCGTGTGCACAGCAAGATGATGCAGCAAGTCCGGACTGGCTGCTTTATCCGAGCTGTGCAGCTGGACGATGAAGCGATGGGCCGACAGCGACATGGAATCGAGTATGCACGTTACCTGGGTTCTGAACTGGCAAGGGTAGTGGATGCTCTGTATGGTGTCAAGGCCGTCCAACAGGCTGCTTTGAACCGGGAGGCAGATGCATTGATGAGTCAGTTTATTGTTCCTGAAATGCTATAGCGTACCATATCGAGACGGAACTCCCGACCCAACGCTTTGCCCCTCGATCAATAAACTGCACAATTAAATGGGAAGTTGTATTCATGGAAGATCGTTATCCTTTTGTTCCACAATACCCAACGTATATCTGTTATCTATATGCTGATAACGGTGTAGTCAAATGTATATTTACTTCCTCAAACGCCTTTCTTTACATGTGAATTGCTGATATGACAGTTCGCATTATTACAAAGCCCATCTACGAGAAGTCCACCACCGTACAGGCAACATTGATAGAACAACGTCTGATATATGTACATTGAGCATCGAACAATCACGAACTAATGAGGCGAAGCACATCATGAAAAGTCATAAGATGCCGACATCTGATAGATTGACTAGCTATGTTACGTGAACTACATAATTCATGTCTTCATGATGCATGATGCATATTGGCGCCAAAAATGACTTCCATGCACGTGGTCAGACCCAGCTGACAATGCGTACATATGGTGAGAGATGGAATGGTAGGCTTCATACCTTCAAGGTATCTTGCAACGCCGAACATTCTGCTCATCGGCCTTCAGTACAGTTACTGAATCACGCCCCACCAGCGCTCGGCATTGAATGACGACGCCCAATCAGACTTCCAGGTGGAGTCGAAGGCGTTGTGGAGGAACATGTCGTGGTCGAAGTGGCCTCGAATGGATTCAAGGGCGATACGCTGGTTCTCAGGCGAAGGCACAGCAGCACCGTTGGCGTCACCTTGATGCGGCCATCCAGACTCGGTGACGACTACACGGTTGGTGTTACAGCTCGTTTTGACGAGCTCAATTTGGGACTGGACGAAAGCACCTGCGTCTGCGGCTTTCGTGTTGGGGTCGAAAAAGGCATGGCAGTTGACCATGACTACGTCGGAAGCCTGGCAGATCGCCGGATTGTCGATTGTAGCCGGCACAGTCTCGACAGCACCAACAGGGCCGTTGTATCCGAGCCCTCGCAGTTGCCCGCGGGCACTGTGGATAGCGCCGACAACGTCCGAAGCAGTCATGTCGTGCTCGTTTACTCGTTCATTCTCGACCGCAAATAACCGAACGATGTCCCAGCTACCGCCAGCATACTGATCAATGGCGTCTTTGAATGTCTGGATGACCTGACCAAGAGCCTCACCGTTACCCCGGTTGCTCAAGTACACGCCTGCCATGAGCGTCTGACCGTTCCGCAGAGCATTCTGAACAGCAAGAGGGATGATGTTGCAGCCCATACCGTAGATCCTAACGATCTTATAGTCCTTCATCCTATTGAATTCACTAGTAATCTCCTGCTCGGTCTTGCAGCGGGAGTTGTCTCCAGTGCCAGTGAAGGGGTCGTACGTTACGCCTATAGGTAGACGGCCGGCCGAGTCGTCCTGCTTGATGGCTGATGGTTCTGGTTCAGGTGCAGGTGCGAGCGAAGGTAAGGGGACGTAGGCCGACTCCACAGCAACGGAAGTGATGATGGGCGGCTCGTAAAACTGAGAGTTGGAAGCTTCCGGTACATCGATGTCGGCCCGTGTGGGTTCAGGTTCCTCTGAGACGAAAACGAACGAAGGTAGGGCAGACGGAGCAGATGTTGCCGAAGAAGACGGTACTTCAGGCGCGGAAGGCATCTCGGGAGTCATCAGGGAGATTGAAGACGTCGTCGAGGTCGCGACTACTGCTGTAGCAACGCTGGTGATCTTGTTGATAGTAGTGGTAGAGTACGGCACACCCTTCTCGTCGACGTAGACCACAGCATCGCCGATTGTCTCAGTGACATAGACGACTTCGGTGACCACTGCGCGCTCTGCAAATAGTTAGCCACGACTACCGCATCTTGGGGAGCCTGAAGCACTCCAGTGCTTGAACAGTCTTCACAAGATGCACTGGAGTACTCCAAGCTGAAAGAAATGAGGGAGGCCGTGGGGTCAACGTACTGAACGGGTGACCACCCACGGTGCCGATGAGAAAGCCTGCAGCGAGTGCGCTAGCCAGAGCTACGTTCTTCATGGCGATGAATGAAGCGAATGTTGTTATGGAGATGTTGTTACGTGGAATACCAAACAGAGAAGGTGAGGTGTGTGTTGATGAGTTGAATTGAAACACACGAAAAAGCACAGGAGACTTGAAGTAATGAGTGACTGACTGCTCTGCAGCTGGATGTTGGAAGGAAAGGTCGGGCTGGGCCGATTTGGAAGCTTTGAATCAAATGAGGCGGTAGAGACTGGTTGAATGTGAGTGCGTGATGGAGGTGAAGGCAAGCAGCGACGAGCCTTGAACAAATCTTATATTGTGCTACCGCGTGCCTGCCTTGTGAACCATCTAGCGCGTCTTGGCGGTGTGCAGTCAGGGCAACAGTGACGTGCCGGAACGGACGTGAAAAGGAAGTGGGGTAACTCAAACACTCAGATAAGCGTTCAATCTTCACACCTTACCAATAGAGTACGAGAGGGAAATTGCGACCTCGAACGGACAATTACGAGCTTTTGGAACAACCTCTCGAATGATGCTGTTTGTATAACAATTCAGATTGCATTGACGTGACAGAGACGATTTGTAAGAACACAGAAAGACACCTAGCACTCTGTTTGGATACTTTAACACTCTTTACTGGAAAATAGCTTTTTTAGTGACAGACCACAGGGTCACTAATTTTCACTGTAGACGTTCACCTACATGCATCACTTCCGACACCCAGTGCTCACCGATAGCTTCATCTTTAGAAACAAGTCTTAACAAATGTGACTCTTACATTGAAGTTTTATGTATGATCCTCGATAAAAGCTAGACATTTGGCTTGTTAAAAGGTGGCTTGCCATCTCAGTGCGACGGTTCTTGAGATGCTATTTACGAGTCACGCACGCAAATTGCGGCTCTGAGAACGCACACCACGGGAGGTGTACCGCAGCTCTGTAACGGATGTTATCGAGAAGGTCAAGCTATAACGTATATCTGTAGCTTCGCTATCAGGCTTGAAGAATGCACATGAATACATTTCGTAACGACACAAGCGCAAGAGCTATCGCTGGTGAACATCTCCGGCCTTATTCTTCGCTCAATCTGTCCAAAATGCCCTCCGTGATTCATCCTTTACAGTAACGTTTTCCTCTTTTATCCCAGAAAGGTGTTAGGTCACCTAGCGCAAGATTATCGAATAGACGGCCTTCTTCCAGCTAGCCTCCTACGCAGATGTGCCGTTGAAATCCAAGGTCTTGTCGCAGATATAGGCTATTGTGTCTAGTTCTCACAGCAGCTCTGTTGTACAGAAATGTTGATTTGGTGTTTCGCTTCGCCAGTGATCCTCGATCAAAGCTTGACAGATCCGTTCCTGACCTCTATGAGTACTATGTGTTGGCCGTACTGATTGTACTCCACTTTGTATCACAATTCCCGTGTCTTAACTGGAAACTGGTTCGCATCCAGGATCCTTCTCTTTACTTCCCTGTTCAATAGGCCAATGTTCACCACGCATGTTAGTGGGCTTCTCGATCGACTTGTTGATAACTTGGTCGGACTGGGAGGTCTTTTTGTGTTCTTTGTGCAGATGCTAGCTGTGTAAAATGGCGTACCTTGCGACTAGGAGGACACCTTGCGACTCCCTGTAGAGTTCCAATGAGGTTCCGTGGACCACGATGTGAGGGGCAACGAGCTTGACATGGCTTCGATGAAAGCAATCGCGCAATGTGATCTGAGCCCTCCAGGTTACAAGTCCCGTTTTCCGCATCGTCTATAGTCACTGTTGTTGTCGTCATCTCTGCTGGGACGCGGTCCTCGATGATCTGAAGCGCCGCCACGTTGCCCATCACCGACCCGTCTCTTCTATCGAACGTCCAAAAGGTGACTCATCGACTCGTCAAAATCTAGACTGTGTGAAGCATATAAATACACTTCAAAATCTTCGACTCAAAGACATTCACTCTGTTTTTTCTTCCTGTCTTTGAGAGCTCAACAAGCTAGCAGGGGTTAAAGCGGAGCGATGGGTAGCGGAGGCAGTGGCGCAAAGCGGCTGTGCAAATTCCACCACTCGTAGAGCGCCTCGCTTCGCTCGACACCCCTGCTGGCTATAACGAGATTGCCTAAAATTTTATTGTAGCTTTGAGGCTCGGCCCTTGGCTTGACCGCTGCGCCGACAAACGCAACGGGCGCTGATCCCTGCATATCTCCTATACCGGAACATTGTCGCACCTCCTCCATCTGCATCTCTGCACAATCAACATGAGCCTGCGCTACAGAGCTGAATATGGTCGGGGGGGATCACCTTACGGTCTTCAATCTGTACGGCACCTCTCCAAAGGCAGTTGGCGCGCACTTTGGACACTGTTTGCTAGCACCTCGTTGCTCAGCTCACGGCATGCACTCGTAGAGAAGAACATCCACTATCCTTTGCAACTCAACTTCAACCATCTTGTTGCCACAGGGCTCATTTCATGGCTGTTTTTGCAACCAGACAATACTCTGGATATACACCCTAAACCAAAAAAGCCAATGACCCGGAAAACTGCCTTAGTCGCGTTCGCAATGTCTCTTATGTCAATATCTGCGATTTGCACCCAACAAGCTATTCTGCACTTCCAGAACCTGCCGACACTAGTCATGATCACCGTAAGTTGTTCTGTTTGCAGTGTTTCATGACCGCAATCTTGACATAGACTAGACCATAGCTTTTGTCGCCGAGAGCCTTGTACTTTCTATCAGTGGTATAGCTTCTCAAACGCAAGTCGAATTTATTCGAGTAGGCCTACTCGTTTCAGCTTGCGCTGGTCTACTCTTCGTAGAGTATCGACTTAATGTACCAGGCTTGGTGGCGTCCATCCCGGCGATGCTTCTTGCCGGAGCTGCACGAGCTCTGTGGAGAATCGCCAGTAGATATTGCCCGGAAGAAGTCGCGGACTGCCGGACTCAAACCAGAAGACTTGTTCTCATGGGAGCTCTGGTCAATATAATTTGGGTAATAGTCTTCTGGAGCGGTGATCCAATCTTCGCATTCGACTTGACAAGTGTCCCGTTGCTCACCTTTAATGCCATAACATCCGCTCTGGCTTTGATTCTTGGAAAGTCGATGCTATTTCCTATCGACGACGAGGATAATTACACAGCTTCTGAGGCTGGTAATGTTCCAGTGTTTCAGAACGTGGACATATGGACCCTTCTTGCTCTAACCGGCATTACAGGTTGTTACGCAACACTCTCCCAACGTCGTTCATACACAAATGTATATCAATTCGGTTGCTTTTTCTTTGCAATGCTGTGCATAAGCGGGAAAGCTAGCACAGGTCTGCTTCCGGGTCAACCGCAGTATACTTCGGCCACTAGGAGCACTCATCAACTGACAGACCTCTCTGTGGAGCGGTTGTCAGACGACAGCGGGATCAGTCCTTTGTTTGAGGAGATTGATGAGACTGACAAGTATACGTCCCTACCAAGTTGGTGGAATCTCAAGCTTCGCAGATTCTTACTCAGCGTTGGCGTTATACTGGTCTGGACCGTATATGGAGTCTCTAATTTCACCGAGCGATCGAACCCTTCCGACTTGACCCTTCTCGATGAGAAATATGTCCCGACAATGGACATAGAAATCGTATTGAGCATGTACAAAGAGCCACTCGATGAGGTCAACGAGCTTATACACAACCTTAAGAGTATGCCAGATCTGTCAGATGCACACGTCACAATCTACATCAAAGATACCGAGGCAGACAGTGCACTTATCAAACAGCACACAAAAGCTGATGACATCATACTCCTGCCGAATGTTGGTCGAGAGGGTGAAACGTACCTGAATCACATTCTCAACCGTTGGGATACTCTTGCCAGGCAAACCATCTTTATGCAGGCAGACGTGCATAACCCACGAGAATTCTACACCCACGTCAGAAACTACTACAGTCGCGATCAGACTGGGTTTCTCAACCTTGGCTGGTCAGGTGCAGTCTGCGATTGCGAACACTGCGGCGATAGGTTTGCCTGGGAAGAGAAAACCGGTCTCTTCCCTACAGTCCAAAGCCAAATCAACAACTCGACTAGCTGCGAAAACGTCCTGTTAAGTTACAAAGGACAGTTCGTTGTTTCGGCTGCGCGTGTCCGTGGCATCAACAAGGATATCTATCGTAAGCTTCATCAAGCTATCAGTGACGAGAACAGCTGGGCGCACCAGCCAGAATATCTCGAAGGCAGGCCGGACTCAATGAGTGCGCCACGGTTTGGCTATACGCTGGAAAGGATCTGGAACCTTTTGTTCCAGTGCTCAAACATGGAACTCGCCTGGAAGTGTCCGTCGCTGATCAGCGGGTGGAGGATAGGCGGTGACATCAGTGACTGTCAATGTTTCGACACATGAGCCTTGTCTTTTGAGCGATGCGGTGGAATACCTGGAGAGCATCCCTGAGCAGGCGAAGTTGTTGGACATCGACATACATGTAACAAAAGGAGTCTCTCCGCACAGTAGACGCGACTGACAGCTGGTTATCTTGTCCAAACTAGGAAAATATCCTAGTTTGATGCCTTCCATTATAAACTAGTATATATAAACGTAATAATGCAAGCGGGGATGTTTCAGTGCGATAGTATCTCTTGAATACAGCCGCGTTTGACACGCATTTTACACGGCCCAGAAGGAGGCTGGAATATCGATGGTTCAACGAAGCAAAGGAAGCCTAGCATGAAGAATGCGAGAGTGATAATGTAGTCTGTGAGGATTCCAGATGAACAAGGTAAACAAGGTGGCGCATGAAATGAGACCAGCATATAAAGACTGTCGAGGATATAATCCCCTACGGTGTAAGTAGGCTGCTAGCACCACTCGTCTAGAACACCTGATTCTAGAAACTTTTCATAAGGGTTGCGAGAAAATTAATGAAGCGGGTCAAGATTTCAGGAGAAAGGCGTTTGGACCAAACTAGCCAAAGTTTTGACGGTACATTGGAATATAGTATGCATGTATTGATTTTTACTTGCTAGTAGCTTTAAGCAAACTCACAGCAGAATGGTTGCACCAGAATCGTCCATCTAGCCAGCATATGCCTCGCTCTTGCTTCAGCTTGTTGGCTCAAGAATGATGCGTCTGTAGGTCGTCATATTGTGGGGATCCGTGACGGACAATATAACGTGCATTTCCTGGTTGATGTTAGCGTCACTGATATTTCGGTGGAGGCTGGCTTTGTACTCACATTATCATCAAACGTACTCACTCTGACCATGCTTCCAGTGGGATTCAGCTTGTCGATGGTCATGTACGAGTCCACTGTGGAAATGTTGGCCTCCAATCTGTATGTTACGTCCTTGTAGAAGAGCCAATCGAACTGCAGTTCGTCGCTGTCTGGGTCCCAGGTCGACGATGCATCCAGCACAACAGTGGTGTTAAATTGGTACGAGACCTTGAGGGCAGCAGGCCCGCAAGTACCGTTCACAACAACAACTGGGGCGTGGTTGCTTTTCGAGTAGTCGCTTTGTGTAGACCACTGCATCCGGTTGGCAAAGTCATACTGATAGGCCTGTCGCCAGCGCCAGATGCCAGCAAATGAACTCATAAAGAATTGTCCGTTAAGTCCTTGAACCCACTCTGCGGTGTCACTGAAGACGTTGGATCGACGAGCGGCGTCCACTGGCTTGAATCTACCACCCCAGCTGCCCCATTCTGGATGTTCAGGATCGCCGAGTCCGTTTTGAATGAGTGGGAAAAACGACGGAGTGTCTCCTTCCATGATGTAGGCGTACCTGGGATAGTGCTGTCCTAAAGAGCCGATGCGAATGTGCTCCTGAAGCCAATCGTTCGTCACGAGGGAGGAATCAGGACCCCCTTGGTCAAAGTATCGAATTTCCTCGCCAGAAATACCATTCCATGAAGCTGCTGTATATTCGCTGAACCCATGTAGGGAGACAATGTAGAATAATGACGGATACGTATCGCGGATCCAGGAACCAGCGTCGTCTTGATCGGAGATCGAGTACACTCGGAGTTTCCGAACGAAGTCTGCAACAGCCGCTGCATCTCTGGACTTGGAGACGTAGCTAAGAGCCTCGGCCAGTACTGCAGCGCCTCCCCACATCAAAGTCCATTGAGGCTTATTTATCGAAGCCCCATCCACACTTTTGACAAGAGCTTTTGCAGCATCGCTCGGCTCTAGGTCGAGCGCGGCGAGTCCGTAGACAGCATGGCCTGGGTACACTTTGGCAAGCAAATCACTCGCTGGTGGATAGCTTGCGGAACTGGGAACATTCGCATTGAGGTTGCCGGTGATGTTGCCATAGGCGGAGATGACGGTGTGGATTGTTGATATATCGATAGAGTCGTTCTTCCAGACGGAGGTGACGCCAGCAATCCCTTGAATGTCGAACTCGTTTGCGTAAGTCAAGAAACGAACCAGGCTCATTTGGTCATCTGGCTCATTGCTCATGTCGGTGCAGATGAAGACTCGCGGCTGTGCTTCGTAACGCGTGCTTTCGCATTGATTGGCCACTCGTGTACCTATGCTTCTGGTCAAGACGGGCGTACAGTGAAGGGCCACGAGGCCGAAGAGGGAGAGGAGACGTGAGACCGTCATATTGAGACCTGGCTTAGACAAGATGCCAACGCAAAGAAAGCTGGCTGCTCTGACCTGGAATTGGACAAACAAGCTCTCTCTTAAATACCCACCATAAGCACGCGACTGCACGATTCCCCGCACACTTACAAGTGCATCCACTCTCGGCAGATCGAAAGGTCGGGAGGTAGAAGAATCGGGAACCAACCCAATAAGACATGACGACAACCACTATAGAGCAGAAAGTTCTGTAAGAAAACATATGTATGGCTTTTGAGGTCCCGTACTTGAAAGTCAATTGTCTCTGTGCTTCCTGTTGGGCGGTGTTGAGTGCAGTGAGGAGACAAGTTCCGAGATTTCGGTTCGCCGAGTCAAGTCAACTTCTCCGAAATTTGTCTAGACAGCTAGAGATATACTACATAACAAAAGTCGGCTCATAGTTGTTTAACTTTTGTCATTGCTATCACTGCTCAACATTGGTTCAGAAAAGAAGACTTTTTGAAGTCCATTGTTGCTTGGGGTGGTTTGTCCTCCGGTTTCGCAGTTGGGTGATCCCCCGCATCCCTCCGACTGACAGGGTGTCAAGCAAGGACGTGAGATTGTGGGGTACATTGTAAATCCTGCCTGCTGTCGTTTTCAGGATGCGGGGAATTTGCCGACCTTTCATCCCGCCCGGATGGGAGGCTCTAAACTTGAGTTAGTTAGCTTCATCGTGAAGAGCCGAATGACGCTCATCCTGCTCGGCAGTCTCACCAAAATAGCACTGGGACAACACGATTTTGCTGATAGATGTAAGAGTCTGTCTATGCATAGTAGCTATATATTCGAACACTTCCTTTGGGGTTTAGTTGGTGCGGCCACCCAACACGGGCGGACAGAAGGTAGATTCTTCAAAGACAGGACCATGACAGCTAACGAATCGGTCCACTTAGTTGATCGCCGGCGAGGTGAGACCCGAAAAAACGGTGTGAGACTCGAGGTTGTCTTCGAACCTCAGCTGCTTAGATGGTGGCCTACAATGTGTCTTTCTGCGAATAGGCTTTGCATCGAAATGATTTGAAATAGTACAGGTATTTGGTCAGTTGCGTTTCAGCAATGATTTTCTGAATCTGAAGGGAATTGTACAGAGCGTCTCACGTTGATCCTGTACACAAGTGTGTGGGTTGGTGGTATTCGCTCGTTCGCCCGCTCACTAGTCCGTCTGTCAGCAACAACTCCGTCCGTACCAGTTATGTCTGCCTGAAAGTTCTCGCCTAAGTATGTTCTGTGCAACCACGAGTGCTTATGCTTTGTGATGGCTACGCACGAAGAGTGTTATCTCCATAGGACTCGAGATTGTCAAATAGGCAATCATCTTCCGCATATTTCGAACCAACTCAACCTCAACCTCATAACAACACTATTTGCGATCTCTTCTGCAGTAGTCTTAATTAAATTTATCCTCACACAAACCCCACAATGAAGGTTATCATCACTGGCGCAACTGGCGCAATTGGTGGCGTGATCCTGCAGCACGTCCTGCGCCGTAACGACATCACCAAAGTCATCGCATTGACGCGAAGAGCACTCCCCGACACCAACACCCCTAATGCGAAACTGGAAAACATCATCATCGAAGACTTCGGCGCCTTGGAAAACGTGCAGGACGAAACATGGGAAAAGATCCAGGACGCCGACGCAATGATCTGGGCAATGGGCACTTATGATCTGAACGAGGACGTCAATGTGAAATACCCCCTAGCTTTCCAAGAACATTTCGCGAAGAGATTACTTGCATCGTCGTCGCAGGAAGGGAAGAAAGACAAGTTCAAATTCATTCTTCTCTCAGGCGCATTCGTGGAACCCGATCAGTCACGCAGACTATTCTTTCTGTGGGACCAACGCAGGATGAAAGGCGTGCTTCAGACAAAGACAATTGAGTTTGCGGAAGGGCATCGTGAGGTTTGGGAGGCCTTTGTTATCAGGCCTGGGGGAGTACTCTATGGTGGTAACACGCTTCTGAACAAGACGGCAGAATGTGTGTTCGGAAGTCTTGCCATACGAGGCGAAGAGTTGGGCGCGTTTGTGGCGGACTTGGTGGTGCATGGGTCGCAACAATGTCTCATCGAGAACCCCGAGATGGTGGAAAGAGGAAGGAAGCTACTTGTCGAGGCTTTGTGAAGGAAATTGTGTTATGAGGAAAAGACACTCACGTAGAGTTTCGAAATAGCGCTTTGGTTTGTTATATGGATATACCATACACCAACATAATATTCGGCACAGATATACCTCCTAATACCAATCCCACCTCTCAATGCAGTACCGTCTACTTCTTGCTCTCTAGTTTCCCTGGTGTCGGCGCAGTTGCCTTTGCTTTTGCCTTTGCCGAATCATTCGACTTCGCCTGCGTCTTGCCGTGCCCGCTTATAAGATCCAAGAGGTGGTCGGTCTTCTTACCCTACATACATCATTAGCATAATATGAATACACCATCTCTCTCGATTGTGAACGTAACCCACCTTTCCATCTTCAGCGTCCCACCCGGTACCGAACTTCGCTCTGAAAGCTGCCAGCTTCCCTGCCTCGTCCTCCTCCACGTTCAAGAGCTTCCGCGAACTTGGATGCCATAGCGGGTTGTTTCGTATATCCTTTGTGCTCTTATATACGGGCGCGGGGCTGGTGGTGCGCAATGTGAAGGACGATCCGTCGGAGAGGGTTATTAGTTGTGTGAATGTGTAGGGGCGCTTTGGCCGGCGAAGGAGCGTCGCATGTCGCACTTGCTGCCTCTGGCGTATTTGAGGCTGGATAGCTTGACGGAGGATGCGCAGAGCGCTCGGCGAAGGGATTGGAGAGGCCATTGGACGTTTGGCGGGCTGTCGTGGTGTGTGAGGTGAGGATAGAAGTCACGATGCGATGTCCGCGGAGGTCTTGGCATGCTCGACTTTTTGGCGAGGCATTCGACTCCGCATCATCATCGGTCCACATGTCATCCATGTCCACGACGTTTGCTCACACTCCTTTCGCGTACGTTCAGTTTTTCAAGTCGCTGTCGCGTATGGAACAACTATAAGCTGGCAGCACTAGATCGGCGATGGTGCTCTCCAGGCCCCCGGCTGCACGCTTCTATGCCGCCTTCTACAGATGGAGTTGTTATACGCGTGAGACCAAAGTCCCGCCTTCGATTGAGCGGTGATTGATCTTCCACAGAACGGCCGTTGCCATGTTCTCTTTCCCCACAATACAACCGGGGCAAACCGAGCTATGCGTCCAATCTTCGCAGCTACCGCGCGACTTCCCTCCTCCGACAACAGGACGAGCCTGAATCGCAATCACAGACTGGAGGAGTGAATTTGGTCGTTGAAGACCGGCCTGCTATCCCTTCGCAGGAACCACCAACTGAGCAGGACATTCCACAGTCGGGGGATGAGGGCACGCCGACGATTCTCGACTCACACCTCGAGACACAACAGTTGCAAACTCAGGTCCGCACCCTGATGCGCAAAGTGCCCGGCTCGGTTGCCATCATTACCGTTGCGAGTCTCGACCCAACTACGGGGAAGCATGTTCCTATGGGGGTCGCCGTCTCTTCCTTGAGCACTGTCACACTGGACCCTCCCACCATATCTTTCAACCTGAAGCATCCGTCCCAGACCCTTGACGCCATTCGAGCTTCAAAAGGCCTCTTTCGCGTTCATTTCCTTGCAGCGGAGAGGGGCGGTGCCAATATGGTAGACCTCTTCTGTCGTGGAAACCATCCTGATGCATACACGCAACGGCTAAAAAACTCGAGAATATTGGTCCCGAGGCCCGGTCTCAACGCCTTGTCTTCGCAATCGTATGCGCCACAGCTATATGGCGATGCTATACGTGCGGCGATGGAGTGTACATTGACCCACGAGCTTTCCGTCGCAGACCATGTAATCCTTGTTGCAAAAATCACTAGCTTGGACTCCAAGATTTCAAAAGACCCTACACTTGTCTACGTTGATGGCGGGTTCATGCGCGCAGATGGAACCAAGATATCAGGTTATGGAAGAGCCAAAGCGTCGTCACTGACACGTACCTGGTCGGCTTGGGATTATCCGTTGTTTCCAGGGGACTCGGAACGAATTGACTATGTAAATCGAATCAAGTCAATGATCGAAGAGCGTCCTGAAGATTTCAACATGCCAGAGAGAGAAATTCGTCAAAAACTGGAGAGCACTCTGCCCGTATCTCCAAAAATGTTTGGCATCAACCTGGCCCTACTCATTTCCCAGTGCAAAAAGAAAGCGGGTCAGAAGAACGAAGACAAATTGAGTACTACACAACAAGATTTACCTGTCCTTGCCGAGTTCTATGGCCGACTCACTCCTTCCCAAACAGGAAGGATTATTGATCGTGCGAGAGCTTTGCTGAAAGAAGACTTGCAATTTCTGGACATTGAATATGTCCAACTTCTGCAGCATTTGGGTGTTAGTCCTGCCAACACCAGTATTCTACCTAGCGATATTTTGAACGCCTTGAGAGCAGACGGACTCATTGATCCTTTTGTCCCCAGGCGGCCCACAACACAAGCACCAAAACATGATCACGATATTATGTATTATGAACAAGCCGAACACAATCTTCGCGAGCACCTTCGTACCTTGGACTACAAAGATTCGATCCGAAAGCCATTTCATGACCTATTGGCGGCTGTTGGAGAGACACAGACTGTGGCACAGGTCTTACAGCGCAGTCGATGGCGTTTTCATGTTGAAGCCACGCCGGAGTTGTTCCATGCCTCGAAGATTGAGATTATGGGTGAAGTATCGCAGGAAGACACACGGGTTGTGTTAAGCCGACTCGTCAGGTTTGCCCAAGTGGACAACATTAAAGCGTTCAGGATGTGGTTGTCGCTTCCTTGGATAGAATCCTTGCGCAAAGTTAGTGTCAGTCCCTTGATAACGGGCATTGACATTGAGTTCTTCCTCGGCAAGATATCTCATCTGTATACCACTACTCCACAATTCTTCGAGCTGGCAGGAAAGGTCAATCAGATGTTGGAGCCCTGGTTTGACAAAATCGTCGTCTGGGAAGACCTACAAGAGCGTGTAAAGCAGTTTGTGCAGAAAACACCGTTACGCGCCATGTCGTGGTCAGACAGAGACAAGCTTGCTGCTATGGGACTCCACTGGGAAGCCACATTCACAGTCCCCCCTTCAGATGACGCACAACCACTCAGCCGAGGTCATATTCTCGATACGCTGGTAGCGAAAGAGCTCAAAAACCACTATGGCAATGGCAGCGATGCGGAGAACCGAGCCATCGCCACATGGTTGAAAGAGAGGTACAATTACACGGTACATCGGCGGCCAGTTGAAACTCGGCCTGAGGAGGCTTCGAAGTCGTCGAGCGATGCCATGCGGGACGCTATGTTGGCTAGTTTGAATGTGGATGTGGTGGGCGACAAACCGAGTGAAGCCCAGTCTGAAGGGGAGCAGGAAGAGCAGGTCGTTTTCCGCAAACATGGCGTCGCTGCTCCGCGCATCCGTTTCCGCAATACTGAGCCTTCGATGAACAGCAGGCGCCCGCGACAGAAAGTTCTGTCATGGTCTGGCTATTCACTTGATGGGGAGAAGAAGGGGGATCAGTAGTGTCTTGTGTGTACTCAAGATTGTTCTGGAATCGTACTTCTATATGCTCTTTAGTCTGGCAGTTAGCATTCGATTGACTACTTGCAAATCATCATTCCGAAATTTCATCTTGGAAGCACGTGAACACGCGCATGCTCCAGCCACTCTCCCAAGTTTGAAGAATATATGTACAGAACTAGGCAGGATTCTGTGCACGTGGTGTATATTATTGAAACGAATGGATGTGTATTCAGCCTGATATCGTGTATTCACATGTGTGTAGCCAATGACGTCTGACATCCGCGCGTCTCCCACCATCCATCACCAGGATGACTTGAACCACCACATCCCAAGGCCTTCGCCTTTCGATATCACTACAGCTCGAACTTCACATCTCGGCTTTGACAAAACCGTATCCCGATCAAAACACAGCCGTCCAACATGGTGCGAGTCCTCCGCGTCGCCGCACTCGTCCCCTTCGCCAGCGCGCTGAGCAGCACCCATGAAGCACCCGCAAAGCGCGTCGCAATCATAGGTTCGCACACACCCTCTCTCAACACTCACTCCCAATACTAACTCCCTCGTAGGTGCCGGCGCCGGCGGCGCATCAACAGCGTACCACCTCGCCCAATACGCCGCCAACTCCTCCATCCCCGTCAACATCACCGTCTTCGAGCGCGCATCCTACATCGGCGGGCGCACCACGACCGTCAACGCATGGGACGACGCCGCCTCCCCCATCGAGCTCGGCGGCAGCATCTTCGTCGAAGTAAACCGCATCATGGTCTCAGCGACGAAAGCGTTCAACCTCTCGACCGCCGACTACGACAGCACAGCACAACTCGAACTCCCTGATCTGGGCATCTGGGACGGGCAGAGTTTTGTGCTGGTCACACGGCAGGAGGATGGGTGGTGGGAGAAGACGAAGCTGGTGTGGCGGTATGGGACGGCGCCGTTCTGGACGAATCGGCTTATGAAAGCGGCGGTGGGCAAGTTTCTGACCATGTACGAGGAGCCTGTTTTTCCGTGGACGAGTCTGAGCGATGTTGTGGAGAAGGTGGGGTTGTTGGGTGTGACGGGGGTGACGGGGGAGCAGTTCCTCGAGGCGAATGGCGTGTTGGGGAGGTTTGCGAGGGAGGTGGTGCAGGCTAGGTATGTTCATCGACATCTTACATCCCCGTCCATGCCATATATCATGAATGAAGGTTACTAACACCCCCCCCTAGCACACGAGTAAACTACGCCTCCAACCTCGCGCACATCCACGGCCTCGAAACAATGGTCTGCATGGCCACCACAGGCGCAATGTCCATCCACGGCGGCAACTGGCTTATCTTCTCGCACATGCTCTCCTCCTCCCCACGCATAACAACCCACCTAAACACCCCCGTAACCTCCCTCTCAAAACAACAAAACGGAACATACCACCTCACCACCCCCAACACCACAGTCCCCTTGCAATACGACGCCGTAATCCTCGCCTCCCCCCTCCAATTCGCAAACCTCACACTCTCCCCCCCTCCCGCCCACACTCCAGACACAATCCCCTACACAGCCCTGCACACCACGCTCTTCGCTTCGCCGCACGCGCTCAATCCCCAAGCGTTCAATCTGCCATCTACGGCGAAGGTCCCGCAGATCGTCCTCACCACGCTGCCCGACGGCGAGGACGCAAGAGAAGACCCCGGTTCACCCGCGTTTTACAGCATCTCGCTGCACGACTACCGCTTGAACCCGCGCGCCACGCCGCCGCGCATGGAGTACGTGTATAAAATCTTCTCGGGGGTGCGCGTGGACGCCGGGTTCCTAAGCGGGATCCTGGGGCGCAACGTCAGTCTCCCCGACGAAGCCGCAGACGAAGGCGTAGCCGGGGAGGTTAAACACGACGGCACAACACAGCCTAAGCTAAACCCCAATGCGCATGTTAGCTGGATACATCGTAAACTGTGGCTCTCGTATCCGCGCGAGTATCCGCGTGTGACGTTTGAAGAGGTAGTGCTGGATGAGGGGCTGTGGTATACGAGTGGGATTGAGGGGTTTGTGAGTACGATGGAGACTAGTGCTTTGAGTGGGATGAATGTTGCGCGGTTGGTTAGGGATGGATGGGTTGCTGGGAAGGGGGGGAAGGAGGAGGAAAAGGAGGAGGAGGGGCAGAGTGAGCTGTGAGGTATCTACTGGTTGCTTAGTGGTTTGATGGGATATGATTTACATCTCAATCCTCAACCCCGTTCTCGTGCTCTGCGTCCCACTTCTACTCGATGTATCCCTCTCACTCCCACTATCTCCATCCTCGCTATCTTCATCCTCACCCCCCCTCCCCCCACCAACGCGAAACACGCCAGCACACCACTCCGCAAAAACACCCGGCTCCCACACGCCATCCTCCCTGCCCTTCCCCTTCCCCATCCCCCTGCCCACCCCTCCGTCCCCAAACCCCGCAAACCACTCCTCATAAACAAGCACCACGCTCTCCATAACAGCCGCACGCAGCATCTCCCTCGTACGCCGCTCCTGGACATACTCCTCCAGCTTAGACCTCAGGAACGGCATCTCCAGCTCGACGTTCTGGCGGATCTTGCTCGTTCGCGCGGGGGCTTCCGCTGTAGGAACCTTCTTCCCCTTCGCAATAGGCACGGTAATCCTCTCGCAGAACGCAGCAGTGAACTGCGTAATCGCCTGTCTAAGCCTAGCATCGACCTCCGCCTTCGCATCGAGCATATTCTCCACGACCTGCGGAATAAGCAGGGCGACGAGATTCCGCGGATTGAACAGCGCCGCGCCGCGGGACTGTAGGGCCCAGAAGGACGTCGAGATCGACGACAGATCGTAGTGGATGTCCGTCTCCGGGGTGACGAATTCGATGTCGAAAGCGAGGATTTGGTGTTTTAGGACGAGGAGGTGGGCGATGAGGAAGAGGGATGCGTCGGTTGGGGAGGATGATTTTGCGAGGAGGGTGCTGGCGTGGGTTAGGGAGAGGGTGGTGCTGTGGACTATGCGGTGGGCGAGGTCGTCGAAGACCGTTGACTTTGTGGGGTGGGGTGGTTAGTTTTTTTTGTTTTGAAGGGGGGGGAGGGGGATGACGTACGTGGACTAGGCGGTAGATTTTACTGAGCAGCCAGATTGCTTTGCGGAGTGTGGGGTACCAGTCTGCGAAGGCGGCTTCGGTGTTGAAGGACCAGCGCGCGTCGGGGTCGTCGTCTTCAACAATCGTGGGTGTTTTGGGCATCAGGGGCGTGGGCGGGGCGTCTGCTTTTGGCTGTTTCTTGCCGGACAAGACGGGCTGGTTGGATTTCCCCGACGCGCCCTGCTTCTTGTTTTTAGCGGGGTAGTCCAGATCTTCTGGCTTTGGCTTGTAGCGTTCGATATCGTCGCGTAGGACGGCGAGGGACAGGAAGACGAGACGGCTCTGGGCGTCTTCGAGCGCGGGGTGGACGAGGACGGAGAAGTCGAGCTTGTTGGCGTCGATGGGCGAGTCTTCCTCATCTTCCTCGTCCATATAGCGGGTCTGGAGCAGGGTGCAGAGTTCGCACAACTTGAGGATCTGCGTCTCGTGGATGGTGCGTGGACGGAGGTGGTCGTAGAGGGGCTCGCACATGGCTTCGAGGAAGTCGTAGAGCCCGCCATCGCCGTCGAACCATTCGCGCCACAGCTCGCACTCGTCAAAGCAGATGCCGCGGATGTAGCTGATGCTGCTTCGTGCGAAGGAGACGAGGTCCTTGGAGGTGCTGGGGGCTTGTGCGATTTCGCCAATCTTCTTGGTGACGATGGGGAGGATGAGACGGCCGCGGGTGGTGGAGTAGCTCTGGTACAGCTCGTTCATCAGGCTCTGGTATTCTGCCTCTGTCCCAGGCGCTGCTCCTGCCGGCAGCACTGCCCGCTTCTGCACTTCAATCCCAATGCTCTTCAGTTCTGGCGCACCCACGCGGAACTTGGCGTACAGCAGCGCAGACATGGTGGTGTCGTTCAGCTGCCGGTCGGCGATCCTCTTGGACACATCAGCGGCGAGGTCACGGAGGGCTTCTGTGAAGTGGACACGGATGAGCGTGAGGGCACGGGTCAGGAGCAGGCGGTATCGCGAACGGTAGGTGTCGGCCTCGCGGTGCTTCGTGTTGGCCTGCATGTACTCCAAACAGCTGTCGAGGTTGGCCAGCATGTCGGTGAACTCCTTCCCACGCACAATCTTCCCGGCACCCGGAGCATTGAGGCGTTTCGTAGTAGGTTCCAGGTAGAGGTAGTAGCGCAGGTTCTGCTCCATGTCGTCGGCCAGCTTGGTGATGCGTGTCTGGTCGTCGATGAGGCCCTCACACTGCGTGCGGAAGGCGGTGGTCTGGGCCTCGACCGTCTTGAACGAGTCGGACAGAGACGAGAGCATGTCGAGGGTGTCGGTGGTGTCGGCGATGATGTTGTCGAGCTGGTTGCGCGTCATGTGCAGCTGGTTCTGGTAGAGGGCGTACTCGGCATGGCTGGCCTCGAGCAGGTCCTCGTTGACGCCGCCATACCAGGCTGCAAAGTCAATCTCCGAGGCGAGGTGTTCCTGCGACTTCTTCCTCTCCAGCGCCTTTTCCTTCTTCAGGTGGGCGCGCACGACCGAGTAGAAGTCGCTGTACGACTTGGCGCGTCGGGCAACAGTCGCAGGCGGAGGGCCGGTGAGGGTGTCGGGGGCGTCCTCTGGCGTCTCGGCGATGCCTGCTGCTCGCGCCACGTCAGCCTGGATCTCCTGCAGCAGCAATGATCAATACAGGTCGAGGTGGACGGTGGACGGTGGGCTTACGTTGGGCTGGGTGAGTAACGACTCGCGACGGGCCTGTCTGGAGCGCTCTTGGGGCTTGGGAGCGCGGGGCACAAAGGCATTGAACCACGAATCTCCTTCATACATGATGGCCGTGGGCAGCTTCAATGGACGACAAAGTCAACAAGTCAAGACGACACGCCAACGCGGAGCTCTCGCGGGGGTGCAAGGGTCCAGGCGCTAGCTCGGAGCGTGCATGAACCGCTGCCTCCGGAATGGTGACGTTCTAGACTGTGGTGTGCTGATGGACTGACACTCGACGACTTGACGACTCCAGCATGTCTCTGCTGTGATTCTTCTCCGTCCGCCATATACCCAACATGCTCACTTCTAGATGCATCGCCCGCGCCACCATACAACGTCCCGGTCCCAGTCCACGCCACGCCCCGCCACTATGTAGGAATATCAGAAGCAGAGCCCCGCGTCCTCAGGTGCGCACTGCAACACATCCCTACGCCCAGCGTCGCCAGCAGCACTTTGTCCGCTCCGTGGCCACCGTCACCGTCCTGTGGGCCACGGCCTCGGCATGGCAGTGGTGCAGCGGGGACGCCATCATACGCGATGCGCACGCCGAGGAGCCCGCAGAGGAGGAGCAGATGCGCTTCGAGGCACCGCGACGGCGCGCGACATCGGCCGAGGAGAATCGCAACATCATCAGCTCGCAGCACCTGCAGGTTCAGAGGAGCTGGGAGAACCCGGGCGTCTATGCCTGGGGCTCCAATGCTGCCCGTGTCGTCGCCCCAGACTCGTCCGACAAGTACATCAAGGCCCCGCGTCGCATCGCCTTCTTCGACGGCAAGATCCTGCGCGACGTCAAGCTAGATCGCAACTTTGGCGCTGCCATTGACGAGAGGGGCGACTTGCTGCAATGGGGCATGGCCTTTTCCACAGACTCGACCGAGCCCACGCATACACTGCGAGGACACAACCTGACGTCGCTGGCCATCTCGCGCGACCGCATCATCGCCCTGTCCTCGAACGGCGCCGTCTACTCGATCCCCGTGTCGCAGGCCGAGCAGAAGAGCGGCCCCAAGCCTGCCTCCACATCATGGATCCCCTTCTGGGGCAGCGTAAACGACGTGTCTTACCGTGTGCGCACACCCGAGAACCTGGCCTGGAGCGAGCGCGTCACCCACATCTCGTCAGGCCTGGAACACGCCCTGATGCTGACATCGGCCGGCCGCGTCTTCTCCTTCGCCTCGGGCACGCAAGACTTCCCCTCGAGAGGCCAGCTAGGCATCCCGGGCCTGACATGGGAAAACCGGCCCCCAGGCGCCTTTGACGTCCCCCACGAAATCACAACACTAAAAGGCTTCCCCATCAAAAAAATAGCCACAGGCGACTTCCACAGGTACCCCCCCTCCCCATCCCCCCAACCCCATCCACCTAACCCCCCAAAAACAGCCTCGTATGCGACTCCTCCGGCCGCGCCTTCACCTTCGGCGACAACACCTCCGGCCAACTAGGCTTCCCCTACAACGCCGAAGCCCCGCACATCTCCGCCCCCTCCCTCCTCCCCACCCACAAAATGTACGCCGGCACCGCCGCCCACGCAAAAGTCACCTCCGTCTTCGCAGGCGGAAACACCTCCTTCCTCACCGTCGACGCCACAGCCCCCACAACCGCCCGCATCACAGCAGATACATGGGCCTTTGGCTTCGGACTCACAGGCCAACTCGGTATCGGCCGCTGGGTCCACACGCAATCCGATCCCGTCAAGTTGCCCGCTTTCTCAGGCCTGTTCGAATGGGACGAAGTGAAACATGCCGCTATTCCTATCCGTCTGGCTACCATCTCAGTCGGAACGTCGCACGCTGCCGCCGTGCTGGATAACGTGTCCAGCGTTTCCGTCAAGGCCCAGACAGCTAAGCACACGCAGAATGACACGAATTGGGGCCGCGATATCTTGTTCTGGGGCAACAATGAGTTCTACCAGATTGGGAGTGGGAAAAGGAGTAATGTCGCTACGCCCGCGTATATTCAGCCGCTTGATCAGGCGGCTGAGGTGGAGCGCGCGGCGCAGGCGGGCGGGTGGGCGAAGGGGCAGAGGGACGGGGGGGTGCATCGGTTTCAGATTACGCCCAAGGGACGGGTTAGTGTGGGGGGCAGGATGAGGGAGTTTGGGCAGAAGGTCGAGTGTGGGAGGGGGGTTACTGCTGTGTATTCTGCTGTTTAGTGTGGATCTGGGGTTTGTGTGGCGCTGGGGAAGGGATGGGTGTGTATGCTGGTGTATCATAGTGTGTCTTGATGGATATCCCTTGTCGAATATATTATTCGATCTTCATCCATGCCTCGTCTTGAGAGCGTCCATATCTTCACAGCACATCATCACCCCTCCACCGCCTTCTTCTCCCCCTCAACCCCATCCTCCCTCTCCTTCCGCCGCTGCGCAACATCCCAGTTATACACGCGCGCAAACGCAACCTCAAGCGTCTAAATCCCCTCAAATCAGCCCTTGTCCTACCAAAACCCCCCCACCATATACCCCCACCACCAAAAACCAAGAAAGAAAGAAAAAGATGAGAAGGGGGAAAACTCACAGTGATCTGCTCCCTCAAAAAGTCCAAATCCTCCTCACACGTCCCCAAACTATACCGCGCCGTAGAAAGTTTACTCTGCAGTAACTCCTCCGCCTCGTCGAGTGGGTAGGCGAGCATGACGTTTGCCTATCACATATATATGTCAGCATATACCCTCCCTTCATCCCACAGTTTAACCCCCTTGTACGTACACCCAACCACAAAAACACCTCCCCCACCCCTTTAACATCGACCTCCGCCCGCGCAAACAGCGTATCATTCAACTCGAACGTCGTTTCCAACCGCTCAACGCTTTCCTTCCCCCGCGCGGCGCTGAGGAAACGCACTGTTTGCAGCGTTTTTGTGATGTCGGGGATTTTCTCGCGGAGGCCGGATGCGCGTCTCGTCGTGTTGGATTGCATGAATTGGTATTTGCTGGGGCTATATTAGTAGATATTTGGGGGGGGAGGAGGGCTGGTGTGGTGGGGGGGTTGATGAAGGGATGTTTTGGGGAAGCAATACGAAATCATCTCCTTGAAACTATTTATCGTCGTTTCTACCTCCGAGCGCGAGGTTACATAGTCTTCTACGCGGTCGACGAAGGGGGCGCGCGGGATGCCGCGGGGGTTGGTGGGCGGGTCGCTGCTGTTGCTTGGGTTAGCTTGTGTCGTGTTGTAGAGGGTAAGGAAGGGAGGGAAGGCAAGTACCTCGCAGCTTGCAGTACGTCTGCCATTGCGGTGGCGCGTTGTGGTGCAGAGTACTATGTATGCTGTGCTGTGTTGTTTGAGGATTTGCGGGAAACGCGTTGCGTTGTGGCGTCACCCCGCGCTTGCCCGTCCCGCGTTTCGTTTTGCTCCGCTCCGAGGCTTGGCTTGGGCTTCACTCACTCACGCTTTACATGGACGTTGCCTTGTGCCTGGTTCAACACACACGCACGCACATGACGAAGCATCACGCCAAACATTCCACTGATCGATCGACGACCCAGGTACTCAGTCAGGTACTCATTTTCTGCGTGGTACAGATTATGTCAATTTACCCTCTCAGGTGGTATGGGACCCGAAAACCCCTGACATCGTCTGTACCGCTCATATCCACATGAACCTCACTCCCCACATCCTCACGTCTAGAACTTCTACCGGCGACCGTCTAGACTTGCTCGTCTTCCTCTTCGCTTGATGGCGAGGCCCGTGTAGATGGACGAGTGAATACGAACATCGCCAGCCTCTCTTTGTACTCCCGTCCCCATCGCACACTAAACCCACTCACTGCACTATTGAATCCGTACATGTACGACCGCATCCATTCCATCCCCTATGGTGTGATATGGTATGCGTGTTCGTGTCGTGTCGTGTCGTGTCGTGTTGTGTGGGGAGGACTACTCTATCGGCATACCCTACCAGCGGCATACCATACCAGCGGCATACCATACCAGCGGCATACCATACCAGCGGCAACATGCCGTTCGGCTTAGTGAGCATTATATGCGTACCGTACCCTGCCCAGCGAGATAATGCACGTAAGCAGACACGAGCGAAACGGTGTGTCTTACCGTAGATCGTTCGCCCCATGCCATCACACGACGCTGCACCATCAGCAACCAGCAGGGAAAGCGTCCGCGGTACGTCTCCGAGGCGGCGTTTACGGCGGTTGGGTGGCGGGGGGCGTGTCGTATCGTAGCTACTGCATGTGCTATTTTGCGGACGGGGCGTTGCGAGGGACGGCGTGTTTTGCTTCTGTGTGGCTGTATTGCGGATACGAGGGTGAGTCCATGGAGCTGGGTTGGGGGAGGCGGTGGGGGTACGGATATAGACGTTTTTGCTGCGGATGTGTTGTTTTGGGGGTGGGGCGTTGATCTGGTCGTTGGTGTTGGTGTGAATCGTTTGTTGGTCTTGCGCGTAGAGCGGTGCTCACGCAGTTGCGATAGACCGGCCATGGTATGCTGAGATGTAAGAAAAAGACTGGTTTGAAATGTATCTTTGTCATTGATTGATCGAACTATGAGCGAAATGCAGATACTAAACGTCGCGAAGGAGACGTTGTGAAAATAGAGCTCAAATTAACATCGAAAGATAGACACAACATGGCCATGTGAACCAAACGCGACCATGTGTGCTAGACTTTGACGTGCAAACAATATGAAAAACAAGGAGAATAGAAAACGCCATCAACCAACGCTGAACATGAAAAATACCCAAACACCACCATTCCAGTTCAACACTTGAACCGATGATATGTACGGAACATATTATATACAATCTAAATCAACACTTAAAGGTTGAGACCCTTCTGGATGAGCTTGCCTAATGTGGCACCCTGTGAGACATGTTAGTTCTTGTATCGTGAAGCAAGTGTGAGTGAAGTGACTTACGTGATCACCCTTCATCATCGTGAAGTGGTTACCGCCCATTACGGCGTACTCGAAGTTCTCCTTGGGAAGGAGTTGTCCCCAACCACAGTCATCAAATACTGTGCGGTTGTTGAGGAGCCACTTCATGGGAGCTGGGTCCTCTCCCTCGCCTGGGGGAGGACGAGGGTCGTTGGGGTTGGGGCACACGCCGTCTGTGCACCAGATGGCAAGGACGGGTGGCGCAATCTTGGGGTCCATGGGGATCGGGTCGTAGTCCTTGAGGTTTTGGATGGCAGAGGCAAAGTGCGGCAACAGCCACGAGGGAGTACCGCCTGGCTTGCCTGTACCGAGGAGACCTATCTGATCGAAGAAGATGTGGAGACGGGCGGGAAGAGGGGCAAGAGCGACGGGGCAGGGAGAGTCGATGAGAACGAGGTTCTCTACCTTATCGCCCGAGTTGACAAGCAAGCGGGCGACCTCATAGGCCATGACTCCACCGGCAGACCATCCACCGACAAGGTAAGGTCCAGTGGGTTGGCGGCGCTTGATCTCTTGAAGGTAAAGCTGCGCGACTCCCTCCACACCACAAGTCCATTTCTCTGGGCACTTCATGAAGGGGCAGTTGAGCCCGTACACAGCCATGTCGCGAGAGATGTTGGGGATGGAGATGTAGGACGTTGCGCTGCCAGAGCCATCAGGAATGAGGTAGAACTTCTTGGTAGCGATCTTGGGGTTACCCTGGAGTAGTACCGAGGTCGACGGAGGCAGGTTGGAAACATCAACGACCTTGGCGAGCTTCTTGTTGACCTCAGCAAGCTGGGGAACCTTCGAGGCAGCCTTGGCTGTGGTCATGATCTTAGCTGCGGGCAGGGGGCGCATACCAAGAGCTGTCTCGATGTCCTTGATGGTGACATTGACGGTGAGGAAGTCTGCTGGAAGGTCCCGTCCAGTCTGCTCACGCATGGATCCGAGGATAGTCAGACTCATGAGCGAGTCCATACCAATGTCGGTAAGGTCGAGCTCGTCCGTGATCTCGGAGACATCAACACCCATCTCCTCAGCAACAAGCTTGCGGGCGAGACTAGCCTCGCCATCGACAACCTGGCAGACAATCTTGCTGTCAACATCGTTGCCAGAATCGCTGGGTGCAGAGCTGGCGGGAGTGCTAGCAGCCATGGGAGAGGAAGGGTCAGATGGCTCATCCTCTGTATCGGAGACATCGTCGGCAATGACAGCGGCACCGCCATCAAGCTGCGCGAAGAACTTCTTCAACTCTCCAACTGTGGCACAGTCGGTGAACAGAGATGAAGGGATCTCCATGTCGAGTTCCTCGCGGAACCTGGCCGAGATGGTGAGGGAAAGTAGCGAATCGACACCCAAGTTCTCGAATGCAGCCTCTTCAACGAGTTCTGAGACGTCAACCTCAGTTTCCTCGGCGAGCATAGTCATGACCTTTGTAACGAGGCCAGGGATGACGACCTTGACAGCCTTGACAGTCTTGGCCGCCTTGGGAGCAGGCTTTGATACTTTGACGGGAGCGGGCTTCACGGCCTTGACGGGGGCCGAAGAAGGAAGAGCCTTCATAGGAACAGCCTTAGCGATAGGCTTAGCGGCGGCACTGGTCTTGGCTCCAGCAGGAGGCATCATGATGTTGAGGGCGCGACGAGGAATGTTCTGGAACTTGAGACCCAAGACCATACCGATAATCTCCTCGCCTTCCAGGATGTAAACATCACCCACGGAGATGTTTCCGGGTGCGGGCTGCATGCGCACGTACGATCGGTACTTCTTCTCTGGCGAAAGCTGCTTAGAGATCTTGATGGATCCCCAGCCGTGCGAGATGTAGACCGAGTTGTCTGAGTCAAGATGATCAGAGGCGTTGACGATGAAGCCGGAGAGATGGGCCAAGCTGTCGATCCAGTATGGGGAGCAGAGGAACTCTCCATCGGCGGCTGTAGTCTGGAACTGAACCTGAGCGGTTGCTTCGGTCTGCTTGCCGTCTAGGATGACCTCCTCCATACCGCGGTAGTTGTCGGCGTATGTGACGAGAGCCTTGAACAGCTTGTAAGCCATGCCACGGAGAATCTTGTGGGCATCGCCAGTTTGAAGCTTCTGCGACAGGATGTTGATCTGGCTTTGAACCATGTACTGCACACGGCCCCACTCTTCCTTCCAGGCGTTGACGTCCTCATACTTCACAAGACCAACTGCGTGTTCGGCAAGCACCTTGGAACCATCAGCTGTCACAGTTCGGTACTTAAGTTGAACTTGGTTGGTCTCGAGATCAGCGGTAGCCTCAATCTGGATGTGCTGACCATCAGCGGGTGCAGGGTACTGCGGAATCAAAGGCTTTGTGACTTCCATAGCGCAGACATTGAGACCAGGTGTGGGCATGTTAGGGCGCAATTGCTGGTAAAGGTAGTCGGCTACAGTCATTGCTTGGTCTGCGTAAAGCGACGAAGGGGTGAGCGGCGTTCCGTTCACTTGATGACCGCAAATGGTAGCCTTAAGCTTCGGGTCAGACAGATCCGACTGAACCACGATGGTACCGGAGTTGGCGTGCAACTCCTCTTGCACGATCTTGTGGCAAGACGTAGTCGAGAGCTTGGACACGAGCTCCACAGGGGCCGCCTCAATTGCCTTGGGCTGAGCGACCTGGACTTCTTCACCCTTGGTGAGGGTCCAGTTGTTGTGGTAGTCGAGCCAGTACTTCTTGTTGTCAAAGCTGTATGTGGGCAATGTGTACAGCTCGTGAGCGTCGTTGAACAGCCTGTGGTATTCGTTGAAGTCGAAGTACACACCGGCAAGGAAGAGCGTGGTGATGCTAGAAGAGAGGGTCTTCCATGGGTCTTCGTTGCGGCGGAGAGAGCCGGCGGTGCAAGGAGATCCGCCAAGAGTAGACTTCACCATACCGCTGCAGACAGGGTGAGCACCGATTTCCAGCCATGTGGTCTTGTCGTCGAAGAGTTTCTCCTCCTTACCAGTAGCAAGCGCGGTCCAGAAGTTGACAGTCTCGCGGGCGTGGCGAGCAAGGTAGTCAGGACCGATTATGCCAGCTTCACGAATGACCTCGCCAGTGAGGGGAGACATAACAGGTATCTCAGGCTTGTTGAAGACGACAGAGGCAATAGCAGCCTTGAACTTCTCCAAGATGGGCTCGACCTGAGACGAGTGGAAGGCAAAGGGCACGTTCAACTTGGTGGCCTTGAAACCCTTGGAGGAGAGGAGCTCGCTAGTGGCTTCGATGATCTGGACAGTGCCGCAGAGGACAGTCTCTTCAGGACCGTTCATGCAAGCAATCTCGGTCATATTGCTACCAAGAGCCGCCTTGATGGACTCGGCACTACCCTTGACAGCAAGCATACCGTGGGAGTTGGCAGTACACTCTTGCTCCAAAATCTCGGCACGACGACCGACCAAAAGAACCATATCGCTGGCTGAGATGACGCCAGCAACCTGCAGAGCAGCGTACTCGCCAAGACTGTGACCGATGACAGCGACAGGTTTGATGCCCCAAGAGGCCCACATGCGCGCAAGAGCGACCTGGATACAAGCCATGCCGAGCTGCACGACAACGGGTGATAGGGTAGCCACATCCGTGCCGGTGAGCAAGGGGAGGATGGATGGCAGAGAGTGCAGACGAGCAACGTTGTCAAGCTGGTCGATATCGGCTTTGAAGGAGCTCAATTCCTCGTAGAACTTCTGTCCAAGTCCGGTGTACTGAGAGCCTTGACCAGTGAATGTGAACGCGGTCTTGGTTGGGACCATAGGAAGCGGGCTGTATGAATCCTTCAGCTGAGTTTGGAGGGTATCATGCACCTTTGCAATATCGGAAACGCAGAAGGCGATTCGGTAGTTGTGCTGAATACGACGAGCTGTCGTAGTGTACGCCAAGCTGGGAAGAGTGGTCTTCGGGTTCTCCGTCAGGTACTGCATGAGGTTGCTGATGTTCCTCTTGAGCGAAGCGATGGACCTAGCGGTGACTGTGACCATATGCATCGTTCGAGGATCCACAGCCTTGGGTGCCTCGCGCAGCGGGCCATCCTCAATAATGATGGCGGTGTTGCCACCGGCAGCAGAAAAGTTGTTCAGGAAGACCCTGCGCTTTTCAGCGCCATTGCGAGGGAAGTCAACCTGCGTGGTCTCGATGTGAACATTGCGCTGAAGCAAATCCTTGGGGAAGGTCTTGTTCATGACACCCTTGATACCGACATTGGCAGGAATGGCGTTCTTCTTGAGCATCATCAACACCTTCACGAGCGAGTTGATGCCAGAAGCAGCCTCGCCGTGTCCGATGTTGGCTTTAATGGCACCAAGATGGAGAGTCTGATCCGGGCGACGCTGACGGTGACGAGGAGCGAAGGCGTTGGTGACAGAGGTCATCTCAATGCCATCACCGGCCTGGGTACCGGTACCGTGCATCTCAACATATCGGATGTCATGGGCGTCAACGCCTGCGTTGGCGAGAACTTTGTTGTAGAGGAACTCCTGAGCGCCAGCATGGGGATGAGTAATTGAGACAGCCTCGGCGCTGTGGTTGGTAGCTGCGCCCAGAATGCAGGCGAGGATGTCGTCCTTGTCCGCGACGGCGTCCTCATAACGCTTGAGGACGACAGTGCCGCAACCGTCACCGCGGCAGTAACCGTCTGCATCGTTGTCGTATGTTTTACAGCTACCAGTCTTGGACAAGAACTGTCCCTTGCTGAGACCAGAGAAAATGTCCGGGTTGGTTAGGACATTGAGTCCACCAGCGCAGGCAGTATCGCAGTCTCCTGCCCAGAGAGAAGTGCAAGCCAACTGAATGGCTGCAAGAGATGACGAGCAGGCAGTATCAATACTGTATGACGGCCCGGAGAACTTGAAGTAGTAGTTGATGCGGCCAGGGGCGAAAGCTCTCACACCACCTGTGATGAAGTACGTGTCAATGTTCTCGGCAGCGTTGATTTCACGCCAGTCATCTGACGTTTGGCCGTAGAAAGTACCAACACGGTTGAGCTTGGTTGAGGGCGTACGGTTGGGCACATATCCGGACATCTCCAAAGCCTCGTAAGCGGTGGTGAGGGCCAAACGACCCATGGGATCAGTCTGAGCAGCCTCACGTGGTGACATGTTGAAGAAGCGGGGATCGAATAGACCGGGCTCGTCGATAAAGCAGCCGAATGGGGTGTGGCTCTTGTTCTTGCCCTTGCCGGTGGGGTCGCAATGAGCCTTTGCATCGAACCGGTCGGCTGGAACTTCGCGGTGGACGTCAAGGCCCTTCTCAAGCAGCTCCCAAAGCGCTTCAGGGTTCGCGGCACCAGGGAAACGTCCTGACATGCCAACAATGGCAATCTTGTCATTCTGAGTGCGGCCACCAGAGGCAGCGGTCTTTGCAACCCATGTGATGTGGTCGCGAACAGAGATGGAGGTCTGGCCGCCAGCCTTCAAAGCCGAAGCAAGACTATTGGCAACATTGGTGACACCGATAGCGGACACAGTGCACTCGGCACTGCTGGTGGCTGTCACCTGCGAGACCACTTCTCCAAGGAGGTTGTCCCATCGCACTGGCTGAAGTAGGATCTCGCTCAACACGTTCCTCATCAACTCGAGCGTGCTGGTCGCAGTATGGCATTTTCCGCTTGTTGCTGAGTGGATGAGGGCGACTGGGCGGAATTGCTCCAGATGCCGTACGGCCTGGCCATCCAAAATGCTCTCAATATCGGCCTGGGCGTAAATGTGGGGAGCATGGTATGGCGCAAACACGGGGATGGGTACGCGGGTGTTTCCTTTGAATGCATCGCTTTCCAGAAATAGGCGTTTCGTCGTGGATGGTGGACCACTGATTGTCAATGCCATAACGCTAACAGCGCTAACGTAGGCCTGAGCCGAAACAGGTATGCGCTGATCTTCGTGAAACGCAGCAAGGGCACTCTTGGCGGCGCTCTCGGATATTCCGGTTACAATGGTCGACCAGCTTTCCTGAGCATTACGGGCCTGCTCAAGAACATCTTTAGCAGCCCCAACACAGGTGCCTACGCGAAATGCGATTCTGACAGCCTCGGTAGCGAGCGGCAGAAGCTCACTAAGTGATCTTGCCGATGCGACAACAGATCCTGCGATTAGGCCAGTGCAAAGGCCGAGGACTCTTGTGTTTGCAGGAGTTGGTAGCTCCGAAGGGTTTTCAGAATAGTGTCTAGATTTTCCCTGTCAGTGAGAGCCGGAAAATACGATTATCATACAACATACCCAATGTAATGTGCCAGTTGTGCAATAGTAACCATGGTGCTTTCAAGCTGTGGGATTTTCACTCCCTTGCTGTAGTATGTCTCGGCGAGATCCCATGTGGTCAAAAAGTCGGGGATTTGGTCTCGCTGTGCCCGTGGTAGTGCCTGGACTTCGTCGCGGATGACAACGCTGATTCTGTCCAGAAAAGTTGTGAGGGCGGAATTGTTCTTCCATGTTGCTGCCTTCCGCAAGAGCGGGTACTGGTCGGCAGTCTGGTCTCCGAAGATGAGAAGATTCATGATGAATGGATATAATATAAATTATAGAAAAGAGTAAAGACTTGGTCAGGGTCTAGACAATTGTGATTTCGAGTGGGAGAGCGGTAGTTGAATGTCAACGAAGGTATTGTAGGAGGTGTATTAGGTAGTGTCCTTTGGCCAACAGTGATCGGCTGTCGTAGGGGCGAGTTGACCCAAAGGTATGATGAGGAAGGTTGAGGTTGAAATTCCAAGGAGGGTTGGCAATCCTTCTATATATCTGCGTATGCACAAAGGCTAGCGGTGGTACCAACTACGGGAAAACCTGAGGGTGACCGAGCTTGAATCGCGCTATGACCAGCATCGTACGTGCCGGATCTGTGGCAGAACGGCTGATGGAGCCTGTGTACTGCTAAACGACGTCTGCAGTAACGTATTGGTATGAGAACTAAAGTGGGCCTTGATCTGTCTCCGTTTCTGATAGGTACCAGCATAACCCCGAGAAGTAATGGCGTGCAGGGACCGGGTACACCTCCGAGTAAGATGACATGACTATACATAGATGGCGTATCTAATCCAGCCGCATGGATGTATAACCAGTGCGTCACGGATGACAACAGACACGAAACGTGGAAACCTGAGCGTCAGGGTTTTGTCTCGACTCGGTCAACTTTGTCGGATCCCCTCCTAGTAAGCCGGGAAAGACAAGGAGCCCGTGTACTGTTGGTCAATTACAACACCAAGAACGTTCATATATGCGAACACCATTGATAATGAATGATACAAGGGAGGTAGTTCTGAAATTCAATGCGAGATGTGCGATGTGTATTCCATCCGAGGTCATTACAACGTCGCCCAACAATGGGCTCCAGAGGATCGATGATGCCTGGTTCAGGAACCCATGTGGCTTCTGCTGAGAGCAGCTGGAACCTGACTTAGCGCCCGTCTGATGTCTATCTTCAAGAAGGCTTTGACACTGCAGGTCTGCACATGAAAGACTTGAAAGAGTCGCGAGTTGGGGCCGCTTACTGCTGGTAATCTTGGCAGGCATTTCTCCACGAGTTGGGCGAAGATCCCGATAAAACGTTGTAGACATGCTACTAAGCCTCCTGGAGGCTGTGCTCAGAAACTGAGACTATCAGAGACTGCCAACTTGTGACAGTCTACGGGATGTCAGACTTGCGCCTCGGGTAGGTGAAAACCATATTTGGTGCAACAAGATGGGTCAAGTTCATATTCGGAGCTTCTTTGGGATAGCGTATGATTGAAGTAGCGGGAGCGTTGCCAATTTTAGGCCACTGGCCAGTAGCTCCTTGTCTGAAGGTTACCGAGACAGGGCGCCACATCGAGATGGCATTGGCACGACAGAAGCTTTGCCGCCCAGAATTCCATAAGGTTTGATGGGCAACGGACATGACAATTCAGATACTTGATCGAGGTATCATAGGAGAATATCGAAAGGCTAAGAGACCACTGTCCTGTCACAATTAGCTTTAGATCGTACTCCGGCTTCCCCAATTGTCCGGCCATAAGCGCCCATCTAAACGTACAAGAGCATTGCCCAGCTTAGACTGACTGGGATTCTTCGAGTACAGGTAGGATTGGCAAGCTTACCCCTTCCCCGTTCACCTGGGGCTTTGGCCAGCAGATCGCAACATCGCGTCTCAAAGCTCAAACAACTGCCCCCAAGCTCGGACGGCTGTGAGTGCCATGGGGGAGATGTGCCTGGTCATAGCAGACCCGCCGCCTGCGACGCTTGTTTGTACGTTATTGCTCTTGCGCAATGGATCACACACGATCAAAAGTGCCGGTTTCTTATCGACGCGATGTCACGATAAAGGTCTTCGTTGAGGTAGTTTTGATGATGATGTGACGTTCGGGGTTGCGGAGCCGGATTTGACGATTTGACACGTGCGCGACGATCGTTTTTGTCTACACATGATGACTAACCGAGGTGCCAAGCTTGATTCCCACGTTGTAATATTCCTTTGATGATAGTGGAAACTTGAGATATAAACACACGAAACGACCGAAAATCTATTATTTGCTCTCGTGGATGTTTGCGATACATGAACGTGAAACAACTTCGTAGTTGGAGACTGTTCCATCTCGAATAACGTTAGCTGGCGTCTTTACGAGTCGTGTCCAGGAGTACAGCGCCAGAAACGAGTCAGCATCCCGCGTATATGCGCAGATCAAGTTTGAATTCATGATGACACCTCCCCGAGGCCGGTATTGTAGATTGTAGAAAACTTGCATTTGAACGCACAAAGAGATCTGCCACAGTATGGGGTTGGATCGAGTGGGCGGGTCGTATGCTCTGCATGAACGCTCTGCGCCATGACCTGCAAGGACAAAATTCCCTATCTCTTCGCTTCTCCCTTCCAGGTATCTGCGTCTGCGTCTGCAGCTGTGTTTGGCGACGTATTCGGTTGTGCAACGACAGTACCCGTCTCTCGTCAAAATCTACCACACCAAATGTCTACCATGTCTGTGACTGTCTGCCTTGCGGACAACACCATTTTCGGGCAAGGCATGAAACGGATCTTCCATGTGAGATCTAGAGATCGACCTAATGCCACGATTTTGATCGCTGTGCGTTGATGTCCGCCCGTCCTCGGACCAGTCAAGGGGATTCACTGCACGCGGCTTCGAGACGCATAACCAGTTTGATATCGAACCACAACCGGGCCGAGTTGTATCTCAGAAGCTAGCCTTACACACAGAATAAGGATGAGGATCTTCATGCCCGCTCGAAAACATCGTTCGGCTCAGCCCTGGAGTGCTTTAGTTGGTTCTTGTATATGCATGTGCATGTGCATGCCGCTCGTTACGCCACTATCGGTGCTATTGATGCGTTGGCTGAGTCCATACTGAGATAAGTGCATTACACATGTCTACGGCACTCGCTTAGACTCTCAAAAGCTGATACGCATGTTGGTAAAGCACGTGTTTGTAACTTCAGGTCTGATGATTCGACGCTCATGGTTGACGTGTTATTCCCGATCATGTCTGCATTCGATACTTGGTATCCTTTGTTGCAGACGCTTTGTCGTGGCTTGCGTTCGAGCGTGGCTTGCGTTCGAGCGCCACAGCCAAGGGACCAAGCTCGTTATCTGACTAAACTTGCTTAAGGTTCCGCTTGCTACATGAGATCAAGCCTCCGCTCTCCGCTGATGTAAGTGGTCAGGCCTTAGCGCACTCGAGCCCCGCCTGCGGAACCGGATTGGCATAACCTGTCGTTCTTTGGGGCAAAACACTCTCCCCACAACGTAGAAATCTAGAGTTTCATTTTATTGATTGCGTCCTCTAGGGCATTCTTGCTACTTGTACATTTTGCCTTTGAACTGATTTTCCGCGGCTCTGCTTGCACGCTCCATCGTGTCCCCGGACCCGCCATCACGAAGCACACTACTGCAAACCAGGAGTATACAGGTAGATGAGCATCGCTTCGATATTGGACTGTTCACATAGTTTCAAAGGGTAACCTGAAATTTCGATTCATGACGCCACAAAAGGCCTGACGACACAATGTCGTGCATATCCTCGTTGAAGTCTGATTCATCGGATTAATCTCCGGTACCGAATCGTATCTGGGGTTGTAACGTCCAGATGGTCTTGTTGGTAAGACCATTGATTTGAGCTTTGTCCATGTGCACTTTCAATGATGCTTTCTTTTCTTTTGAAATGGACTAATTTCGGTTGTAGGCGCTCTCATAGTCTCGTATACTAGAGGCTGCAAGGTACATAGGAGTAGAAAATACCAAGTCCAATATGTTGCTGCCCTGTTGAGGTTATCGCCATGTATACATCCGGGTGGTTGGTTGATGGGTGGGTTTACATGGTTCCAGAGGTTATCGAATCATATCGTTTGCCCAACAACCGGTAGCCCCAGTTCTCATGATCTTAACGACAGCCACCCAACACATTCTCCCCGATGTTACACCATCTGTTCATAGTTGGAATTTTGTACTACAAGAGCCTAGAATACATGAGCAGCTGCATCACTTGTGCCACTTGGGAGTCCCATTGGTACCTCGAACCACGTTAAGTCGAAGCACGGCATGGTGCAATGCGTGATCTAGCTTATTACACGACCTGTGCGCAAGGTTCTGTAGGCGTCAGCTTCAGCCTTTAACAGAGAGCTTTGTTCTCGGTGGTGTTTCTAAAGATGGATCGTACAGGGCAGGATTTGCTCAATGCAGGGACTTCACGATCCTAGGAAACGCTTACATATGTGACGAGAGACGAGTTTCTCGTACGACACATCATTATCGGCACACATGAAACCAAGCTTCGATCTCTTGATACCGAGGTACTTCTTTCGGTATCAGAGTCTGTGGGACCATAGTGATGAGTTGACATCTGGATGATAATATCAAACAAGGGTTCAAGGCGCCACACTGGTGAATGCTCGCATGCTGTGCTAGCTGCTGTACAGTCTGTCGCCTTGCATAATGAACTAGTGAGCTCGATATCTAGCTTCATACCCCTGAAGTTTAGTTTCTGATTGTGCCGCTGGCGCCAAATGTGTGTTTGGTTCCATCAACGTGGTATTGTGTATAAAATTCTCATCGCTGGTACGGTGAGACCTGACATGTCAACGTGGCATGACAAGTTACCGTGCTTTTGTCAATTTTCGAGAGCCATGCAACTGAGTAATTGAGTTGTTGAACACAATAAGCTTGTTAGATAGCAGCCCAAGGAACTGCCATCCAAGTTTTGAAGCTGTTCTAAAATATCTCTTTTCCTTCCTTCTTGATTGTTTCGCATTCATCAGCCTGGGGGCACTGCAAAGTTATTGTATTGGTATAGATTGTTATACGCTTCTGTCAAAATTTAAAACTTGCAAGTATCCTATGATGAAATCGGAAACATGAATCGTGAAGAACAATCAAGCCCACTTAATACGTTGACAAGGTTTCCTTGCTCGCTCAGTCATTGTGACGAAAAGTTCCGCAACAACATGCCTGTGGGCTGACCGGTGACAGCGGAGACTCGAACACGGTTGCGCGACTTCATGGGTTATCTGTCACGGGTATCTAGAACATTGTCTCTGATAATCGACGAAAGCTGGTTTGAAATTGCGCCAACTCCAAGTATACACTCTTAGAAGAAGTTGCTTACGTGCGATTGCTGAAGCTGTGTGAGATTGCTGGGAGAGCGACTGCTATTCATGAACCAGCAGTAAGAAACTTATCACCTCATTTTGCCCCATTCTATGAACAACAATTGCCAAGAGCCTTGTGTGCCAATACCAACTGCGGGAGCTTGTGTAACAATACACTCCAGGCGGAGCGTTGAACGGTTCGTAAGGCTGTTACGCCGACTTTGTCGGCTCGAGGCAAGTTTGTTATGCCATAATACCCGGGAGTGCAGGGTGAGAATTGAAGAAACAAGCTGATGGGGCAGTGCTCGAGCTCGCCGATGAGTGTTGGATTACACGTACAAGTGCATGGTGCCAACAGACCCACTTAGTTCAAGGCACAAAGCACGACAGCTGCACGATAAAGTCCGATGGTACGATGTTTGTTTCCTGTTTACTTGAACATACCGGTAGTTTCATTTGTGAAGGTGACATGGGATCAAGATAACTGCTACAAATTCAACGCGGTAACTGGGATGCTCGCAAAATGAAATCGAATCATTACAGACCTTACCACGTTGTCATGCATGCATGGTGTCTAAACAGACCCTGATTTTGATGTAGCACTCTCAACCTGCCAAGTTTGGCCACCAATGCCACGCTTTCTTAGACGTGACTTCTCAGGGGTGTGTCTGCAAAGTATGTTCGGCTTCGCCATGTCGTGTATGCTAGATTCAGCCTTCTGAGTCGATGACGTCGCATACTCAATTAGACGGCCATGGGCACAAGCAAGCCGCTCCCGCCCTGATATGCCCCGAACGAAACGCCCCACAGATCGGGAACAAAGCGATACACCAGTGGCTGGCTGAAACCTTCTTGGTATACAGGATGTTGTTCCTATCGGGATTGAATACTGGTACAGCTTAGTTAGGTGACATGTGCAATGCCTGATAGGCCACAATCAGGACACTATTCCCTATCCGTCTTGACTGCTGGGCAGCCACCAATACATCTCCACAGTAGACATGCATCATCAGATCACTGTGAAATGCATCTCGAAGACGCTGTCATCTCGCGTGAGCCTCATAGGGCTCTCGCCCTTATCATGCAATCGCGCATCCATCGGTCAAAACGCAGCCTACTCAGAACACGCCCAGGTAAGTCAGCAACAGCATATCCGGAGGGGAACCGAATACCCAGACCTACGAGATATGTCCATTCCTCCTGGCGCTTAGCGAGGAATTGATGCGCCTCTTCGATATGTTGTCGTGCATTTCTCCACAGCGGGATCTCTCGGCACAATTCTCCGCCTCCGCTCCTGCGAACATGGTAGGTGGTTGACCGAGTTATCGAGATCCTTCTGATGAGGACGATTCTAGCCCTAGCATAATCTATCACCATCCCTGACGACAGCTTAGACTATCTTGGATGACAGCTTAGATGAGCCTGCTATGGCTCGAAACCGGCTGGACCCTTGCCCTCCAGCGTCAGCCCGAAGATACAGCCTCCATGCACGCCTCGATTGCCTAGACGAAAGATACGACCAATGCGCAATAGAGAGGATTCCCAACATAACGTTGCATGGCTCGAACTGGCATTTTCTGGCTAACACTTGGTGAAGGCTTTTCTCAGCTACAACTGGCTGGCACCTATTCGGTCGATCAGGCCCACCTCGGGAACAGAATCCATCGACAAGCTAATCTGCCGCCGAGTGTACGACATTTGAGCGAGCCGTTTCCGTATAGCCTGTGGAGAGAGCCGAGTTGGAAGCAAAGACGTGCGACAGGATCGGATGCGCTTTCGCATGCTTCGCTCCTGACCGCGGTTTAGCATTGTTTCCGAGACAGATATAAACAGCAGTTGATCGAATTCAGGTACATGAAACAATGGACGGGTTGTGTGAGGCTATTAGCGCGCTGGTGGGGAAACATCGTAACGGGTGTTTCGACATGTTCATGGGAACCGTCGTTGTTATTTACCTTCTCCTAATCGATACTGTCTATTCTTGCCGATATATCGGTCGTGAAACCAAACGACACTCGCCCCAAAGTCTATCGAGCCTTACCGTATTTTCGCATTGTCGCATCGCAGCGTGTTCGGCTTGGGAAGGCAGTGGCGCATGCGTCGGGACAGAAACAGAAAAGTTTATACGATCCAAACCTATTGAAGCAGATCTTTATCCAATCAATACGAGTCGCTCGAAGATCAGCGTTCAGCGCTCGCTCCCGAGCGTGTGGAGTTGCCAGATCAGGTGTCGTCTTAAGCGGCTCGTACAGCCTCTCAATTCATGCTTCGATATCAAATCTCCGTCTTGCACAGTGTACGAATTACGACCGAGGTGCAGACCTCCCTAGTTGACACAATGCATGGAGTGGCTCTAAGCTTGAGGTCAGTATCGCTGTTTCCTGTCTGTTAGTTGTAACAGATTTCCGATTTAGCTGTATCATGAAATCATGAAAAAAGAGGAGTTTGCCATAAAGATGACATTGATCAAGGATCGTTAGCTGCGTCATTTAGCTTCCTGCGACACTGGTCTGGAAACAAGCTCGGTCAACACGGGCCACCCCTAGTCACCTAGGTTGGTTGACAGGTCCCAGTTCTTCGACATCAACGAAAGTTTGTACCAGTCTGCCATGGTATGGACGGACTGTCAATCACAGCCAATATACCCGCTGATTCGAAGACTGCGTGGGGAACCCACATGGAATTGGCGAGAGTTTGTGACAGCGAGATCCGAGCCTACGATTAGTCTCCTCCATCTACTGCCCCGATACGTATTCTCATGATTCATTGAAAGAGTACTACAGGGAAAACAAATGGAGTGGTAATCAACCAATGATCCGATCATATGCGAATACCGGGGATCCTTTGCTACGAGATGGCCAAAGCAGTCTCGCTAAAAAGCTTGTACTTATCCGACGGTGATAATCTTAGATTCCGCGGCCTAGCGTCAGTGACGCATGTCGATGGAAACACAAAAAATGACTCCTCAAACGGATAAAATGGGTGTTGAGACATTTGCCGACGAAAACTAAGTCGGGAGTAAGCCACCCGACTCGATGGAAGATGCACACATGCCAAGTGTCAGCATAGCTGAACAATCATGGTCTGTTGTACTCCAGAGACTTTGTCTCACAGTCAGGACTTTTGCTGTGGAGCGGAAGACTCGGAGATGCTGACGTCCATAATCTGGCTATGAACTGCCACTCGAGTATTCCCTGTGTATGGTAACGACCAAAGTCAACATGCTGAGTGATATTTCGAGAGGTGCGCTGTGGATCAGCATTGCAGAAGGAAAATGGTGACAACCTCACTTCCCAACCGTCAGCCCGCCCCAGTTGACCTCGTCCAATTGGCCATTGCTGTGAGAGGCTTTGATGTAGTAGTAATGCGTTCGTATTGCAGAATACATTACGGCTCTACACCCCGGCCGTTGACGCGCTAATAGATGCCGTTCGTAGTCTTGGTGGCTGACGGGCGCACGAGCCCTCTCTCCTCCGCACGATCTTTAACTTAGACCACCCTGCAGATCTCCAGGAGTACCCATGTCTCCCCAAGTCTTATCATTGACGCCGTGCAGCACTGCCCTTGTCTCCCAAAGCAGACACTGACCTAACCTACCTGAGCACTGACCCACGCACCAATGCGAGGCCCTCGCTCATGGCTCCCTTCATGCTGGCCCCTCCGCTGATGTATTCATGGCCGCTCAGACGCATAATCAACGCTCTCTGTTGGGAATAGTAACCTGTCAACCTCGTTCTCAATCCTCCACGCTTAGTCGTACTCAACCCACTTTGATAGACCTATTCACCGATCTTTTTTGACGGCGTCATCCCAATTGCTCTTCCCAGGCCTCTTTTTGCTGAGCCCCATACGTGCTCGTGTACAACACCACTTTCTCTTGCTGGGTCATCTCTTATTTTATATTCTTTGCTGGATCGCTGGTACAGTTATACAGCAGCCTGCTCCACAATCGTCCGACCTGGTCTCCGAGCTAGCCTTGGATTGCGACTTCCTAGTTTATAAACATTCGGTCGAAGTCCACGTTTCCGACCACTGGCCAGCTCCGTCTCTGTAAGATTGGTTCGTCAAGGATCTGCAGGTTGTTCGTAAACCATTGCCACAAGCTTCCCGCGTGTGAGCGCCATCGCTATTAGACATACCACGTCTCCACCACGAGTTTGATGGAAGAGACTTCTTGTTGAGCAATCCAAGTAACCACACATCATCTTTGTATCCCTTAGGTTCAATTCGAACTGGTTCGCGCCATTTCATCGACCACAACCAACTTCTGCCTTTGGCCGACGGTACTCGCCGAGCTTTGTTTCCACGATGGTTTTTTGCACCTACTGCGGGCAATCCTTCACAAGGGACGAACACCTTGAGAGGCATATTCTCACTCGTCAGTTCCTCCATCATCTCTTGTTTCGACTTAGCCTTCTGTGTCCGTAACACAACACACACGGTCCTCCTAGACTCTCCCAATCGTTTGTACTGACTTTACGCCGCGAGCAGATACAAATGTCAAGCCCTTCAAATGCTTCACTTGTCATATGAGCTTTGCTCGACGGTACGTTCTCGAGTACCTCCCCCTGTTTGCTTTGTTTGCGTTGGTTCTTGTTCCACAAAATTAGCATGCTGACGAGTGTTCAGAGACCTACTACAAAGACATTACACTGTACACGGACGCAACCAGAACAACGAAGAAGGTCTCCCACCGCAGGGCATAATACCCAAATCCGCTGGCCGAACACCGATTGCCTGCAGCAACTGCGCGAAGACCAAAACAAAGTGTGATAAGAAGTTTCCGTGCAGTAGGTGCGCGCAACGAAATCTGAAATGTACACTACGTCCGACTCGTAGGGCCTCGAAGAATGTGACTAGGGTAAACATACCGGTAGAGCGTGCCGGAAGCGGAAGTTCGAGTGACAGTGGTGGTAATATGGAGGTCCAGAGTGTTTCGCGAAACAACTCTCCATCTCGAGAAGATCAGATCCAGGAGGAAACCGCAGATTCTTCCTCTCCGCAGCATCTCCAGCAACCTCAACCGACTCAACAACTCCAGAATAGTCAGTCGCCATCGCAAAGACACTCACAATCGCCGTCAGTAACACACTCACGAAATCCATCTGGGACACATGCCGTACAACTTCTCCAGAGCTCGGCTTCAGAAGGCAAACCCCTCCACGGGACGCTCTCGAGCGCACCCCCCTTCGTCGACCATTCTCCCACGAATGGTTTACCCCATCCACCTCCCTCACTGTTGTCACCATTACCCACACCTGTCCATGGAAGCAGTGGGTTTATTTCTTCGACGCCCATGTCTGGCTACGATGAGTTTGTGAGAACAGTGCGAGACCACTCCGACTCTAGCCCGCCGTTTCTCATGGATCCTTGGAATGCTATACCAATTAGCGTAGACTTCGATCATATGAGAATTGATCCGTCGCTAATGATGTCGATGAACATGGACATCGGCATGGGGTCTCACGCAGATAGCCTTCTCGGCATGATTCCCGCAATGTCCCCACCACAAGGATATGGACCGATCCAGACGCCCCTCCAGACTCCTCGAATGGACGAATCTTTTTCGGATCTCCAGCTCGGAAGCTCGGCGTCCATGTTCTATCCCTCGAATAGACATTCGTCGATCGTAGACACGGGTATTCCTGACCTTGGTGCTATCATTGCGGCTCAAGATGGCTGGACGGTTTTTCGATGTACACCATCAATCCCGTCGAACTCGTGTCCTCGTACCGCAAGACTGAACCTAGAGCGCTTAGAGCTTAGCCTGAAAAACCACGAGGGCTGGAGCAATTGGTCGCCGTCCTGGGATGAGACCGACTTTCAACAAGGAGGGCAAGTAGCGGTTGCGAAGTTGCAGGAATGCACGCGTGACAAGCTCCTCGCAATCACACAGGCTTTCCTGCACAAAGCCTTGGACATCCATAAAGATGGCCAGAGCACGTCATCCAGTAGCAGTGAATCTCCAGAGTCGTCGGCATCCGGGTCCAATTTTGTCCTTCTTCCCCCAGCACGTGTTTTGGAACACTTTCTCAAATCATACGCCAACTCATTTGAACGCTACTTCCCCACTTCTTCAAGGGGTATCCTAGACGCCAATGAACTGATGCAAAACTACAATGAGAAGGCATCAAGCCTGCTGATTCTCATGATGATTGCACAGGGCGCCATGTCGATACCGTCAATCGAGGCGAGGTTGTTGACTGGGGGATTCACTGAAGCGTGCCGCATCTCGTTGTTTGACCTAATCGAGAAGAATATCATCATGGCCGGAGATCCAATAGTGCTACGAGCTGCTTTACTCTTCACTGTTCAGGCCGCATGGAGTGGCGACAAGTGGCAGATGGATATTTCGATGGGCCAGCGAGGGATGTATTTTTCGATGCTGCGCCACTCCGGTATCCTAGAATCTCGGCCGGTCATATCATCGCATATGGGTGGAAACTCTACGACAGACTTGCTGTGGCGGGATTGGCTGCAGCAGGAAAGTCGAAGTCGGTAAGTGATGAAGTCCTTGCTCAACCTCGGGCCACCCCAATCACGTGAACCCCACTGACCAGTTGCGCTCTAGCCTCATCTACTCCTGGGTTATGGTCGACCAAGATCTGTCTTTGTTCCACGACACAGCGCCTCTATTCTCGGTGACAGAGTTTGGTTCTCCTATGCCGGACTCAGATAGACTCTGGCATGCTCAAACGGCCTCAGATTGGTCTGAGATTTTCGACCAAGTGCATGAGTTCTCCAATGGGTACTCTTCGGTAGGGTCAGGGGCCAGGCCGCCGAGCTTGAGGAGTATATTCCGGCATTTCCTTGACGATGATATTGTCATCCAGGACGTTCAGGACATACATCTTACACCCATGCATTTACGTTTGCTACTTCACCCATTGCAGACTTTGGTGAGCCAATATTGCCAACTGCTCAGCTGCTTCTCGGATAGTGTGGCGTCAAGGTCGCGGAACAGAGCTTTCACTGCGGCGTCGACTCGAGTGCGTCTAGAGGAGGTGCAGGCCCTGCTTGGACGTTGGTTCGATCTGGCGCAACGATACTTGAAGTCCAACCCTGTATGCCCTATGATGCAAGCCACTCTTGTCATGTTCCACCTCATCAGCCTGAACGCCGTGACCGATTTCCCTGAGATCGAGAGGCTTGCACGACAGGAGGGCGTGGATGGTTCGTATCAACAGATGCTCTGGATCCAAAAGAAGTGCATCTCCGACGCACAGGAAGCTGTTATGCACGCCGGCCAAGTACTTCGTCTTACTAGAGAGATGTCTCGGGGAATCCGTCCGCCATGGTGGGCTGGTGCCGTCTACCGGGCTGCACTTGTTCTTTGGACAGAGGCGTTGTCTCATAATGAACCATCGAATGCTAGCCATCCGTCAGCGTATCAGAAACACAATACTGTGTTTGCAGTGGATCGTCTCCCAGCCGATCATCCAACGATTCTCAGATACTTGACACGAAGGGAGGGTAACCCAACGTTGACAAAACTGGACGGAACGTCTGTAAGATTGGACAGCGGGTTCACAGTCCTCTCACATTGTGTCGAGATCCTTGATGAAGGCGTTGCCACCAGGTTCTCAGATGGCATTCGCAGCAAGCTGGAGAAGCTGGCGAGAGGTTGATGAGATGCTTCTTCCTTTCTTTTCGTTTCCTAATTCGCCTCGACATCAATACCCATCATGTCGCACTCTTAGGCGTTGTAGCGTTCAGGACTTTTCTGGACTTCCATCCTTCTTTATCTCTTCTTCGCAGGATCTTATCGGTGTTTGGTATGTGGGTCGCTTGAAAGCAACATGGGTGGGTCTTCGTTACTTCCACGTTTGGCGTTTGGCGGCAAGCATCTTGATGACGGCGTTGGTCAGCGTTTGCATTAAGCAATTGTGTTCGTGCTTTGTCTGGCACTTGTTATGGGCAATCTGTACTGGAGATCAGTGATGTATAATGCCTAGGCACAGTAACTAGGAAGCACTAGGTACGATCAATAATGTTCCAATACACACCTTTTCGGATGAAGATAGGTACTCTTGATTCATGCGTCCTCACGACTATGATGATGTCGTAGTGCCAGGCGGGGTAGGACCCTATCCATAAACTTCTGCTTTGTCAATAGCAGGACAACGCTGACAACTTTCCATCCAAGACATGGAACTTCTATCATCAGTCAGGCCGTTCTCGTCATTGAGTTGATGAACTCAAGCGTCGTACGTCGGTGAGAGGTCTGGTCCGGATGATATGTAACGCAACGCCTTCGGGCCTTTGTCTGCAACACCCCCGTTGTGGACAGCCGTTCTTGATTTGCTTCTTCTATCCGGCGCTTGTGTTTCAGTGACGAATCTGGCGTGAGCCGTGGCGGAGAGATTGGGCGACTGTCTCCGCGGTGAGAAGTTGGTGGCGGGGTTGTGAAGATATCATGCAGAGTAGGTATTGTAAGGGCGACATCGCCCTAGCGGGGAATCCGAACTATGTGATGTATGAGAGGTCAGACCTCATCGGGTAGTATCTCTGCTCATAAAACGTTTAGGTTGCAAGAATTGGGACCAGGGAATGAGGTAGTAGGGGTGATAAGACCTATTTCGTCCACGTACACTTCGCCTCTCCTCTTTCCCCGGATACTACACGTACGACTGGTCACATCGAACCCAAACCCGCATGGTTTTCAAGTTATACTATACCCTATTTGACAACCTGCAGCCTATGATATAACATAGCGTAGAGCCGTTATTTCAGATCCCGGGTAGCATGTCTCGTACTCCTCAACTGGTACGTTAAGCAATGGTCTAACTTTGACCGGTAGAATCCCTCCCAGGGATGTACGTTGAGGTAGCACTTACTTGAATACCAGGCAGTGACAGGCATATGCAACGTGCTTCGGCACGACCATCGAAGGGGAGGGGGGTTGTACCAAAACGTCTTTCAGCATGGTTGTGGCTTCAGTAGCTTACGCGTCGAGCTTCGAATTACAATTCCCAGCATAGTCAATCGTTGCATCGAGATATCGTGGCTGTTTGAAAGATGGAAAACAGTTAGATTGACGTTGTTGTACCGGTGGCACATCATCATGTCCTACAACGCTAATGTTCCTGCACGTCTGAAGATCAACGAAAGATCTCCTTGCATCCCAGTCCTGGATACGGCCCATGGAACCGCTAAGTCTACGGGTGCCCGCATTGTGACCGTAATATGCGTTTGGAAGGACCGTGCGATCGGAGTTTGACATGGGCATCCACTTTTGTAGTAACGGATCATTGCACAGGAAACCGCGAATTTCAGCCATCACCGGTAAGTCGGCGACTGCTTTCACCGATATTCAATGGTGGCTTTGTTAGAGAACGGGATGAATGGCCAGTGTGGTAGTAGAGCTGATGGGCTATTCGGGCTAGGGTCAGTAAAACTTCTGCACATCATTGACTCTGTATGCCGAGAGTTGATCGACCGAACTGAGATTGGTATTGCTAGACCTGACTGCTACCAGCGTCTGATATCCATCACATCCCAGTAGAATGCATTTCATGCCTAAGTTAGAGCCAATTTGAAGCATCTCATTTACAAATAGAGTGTAGTATTGTATACCGTCAAAGCTTAGAACCGTTAGCACCTCGCTCACAATATCTTCAAAGATAACAATACCAAAATCCGAACCGGATTGACCACTACACTGACGCGGAGGTGGATAAAGTTTGGCGCTGCATGGAATCGGTAATATCTATATCAAAACAAACCTGCTCCGGATTCCAGAGAATGCCCTACGTAAGATGCGGCACAGAGCTTGTGCGTAAAGGCTCTCTAAAGAGTCTCTGAAGCATTTGGCTAACACTGCCTACTCCGACGGAGAACGGATTGAGGGGAATAGCACTCTGGCACGTAAGGATTTCGACACAATGGCAGTCTCCGCAACCTTGTCATCATTCCAGGATGGTCGATCAGAGTAATAAGATGTGGGCTCTGCTTACTAGAGCGATGATTCGCTTGACTCTTGTCCGAAGTCACTGACCAGTTGTAGCAGGTTCGTCTCTTTCGCAACCCGACATGGCTTTCCCACAGATACCTATCCATCCAACAATTCACGGATGCTCATTTGCGGGTACACTATCTGATAACCCTTCCGGAACTGCTTCTTGCTGCATGACAAGGTGTGGAAAGCTTACCATTCAGGCCCAGATATTGACGTCCAGAACACATTATTCCGGTCTGTAAATGGCCGTGCTTACTTCTAGGGAGCGGTGGGCCGTATTTCGAAGGTTGCCATGAACTTTCTCAGCGCCACGGTAATGTATCATCGCATGATGACGACTCCAATGCAGTACCTTAAAACCAATAGAGCATCCTGGAGCCAACAACGCTGATGGCACGGGCAGGACTGACTCAGAATGAGAATATATGGAACGACTTGGCCATATCATTGACAGACATTGGCTTTCCTGGAGCATCTTGAGGTGAGTTGAACGACTTTTTAATTCATCTTGGGCAAACTCGAGGGAATTCAACCTGTTTCTAACTTGCACAGCGACGGCCCTATCCAAGTGTATACATTACACAATCCGGAGTGACACGGCACAGTTTCTCTGCCAGCCGAGTCCTTGCAGTCATATTTTGATATGAAGTGAGGTGAGGACGAAGATGTTCCTGCGCACGGGCCTCTACTTTCTCCGGCTCCCCTCTCATTGTCACACCTGTCATCGTTGACGGGGACAACTCTTCTGCCGGATCATGGAATGTACTCCTCCCGGATTCTCTTTCGGACTTTACAGTATTCAGACTGTCAACGCATCGCATACTGAAGGCCAAGAGTTGGACATGGGGAGCCATTGAGCAGATTCAACAGCCTGAAAACCCGGCCACCAGCCACCGAAGCTTGGCAATCTGGACAATCTGCGAAGGTCACCTGACTGCGGACTATGATGGCTCGCAAAGTCGTTCTTGTCGTCATAGCTCATGCATTCCATGATCATCATAGACACTACTTGCGTCTGCAAGTTTGCAGTGTTGAATCGTACTAGTTTGGTCGCATCTCGCTATTGCCCGTGTTAGGATCTACCTGGACACACACCCGGCACCACTGCACCGAGACGTCCGCTATAGTCGTGTTCTGGTTACAGCGTCAATGACTTCAAGCAGTTCTCCGGCTTTCAGCCGTTCTAACAAAAGAAATTCTGCCGCATAGTATCACCACACTTTCCAGTCGCCCGGTCTTTTCCGTATGCGGCATCCCCGCTACTTTGGCAACATCCGTCTTCCATAGCATCACGACTCATTCGCCGTCGATAAAAAAAGATGCGTCTTGGTTGAAACGAGCAGTTGCTTCGCGAGTAGATATTTTTGTTGTTCGTTTCGCGCTATGTTTACTAAGAATCAACCAATCAGATCGGCCCCTGGAACCCCGGCCCCTCTTTCCGACGTCTTCTTTCGGCAAACGTGGAACTGCGTGCGGCTCTCACTCTACGGAACAGACAGCGGCTCAGGTACATTCAGTTTCAGCCTTGAAGTTTCCATCACTCGGACGCTATGCTAGGTGCCGACTCGGGTGGTGATCAGCTAGGGGAATTGAATGGATATTCGGATCAACATCAAACTCGTTGAGCTCCAATTCCGCTGGAGTCCCGAATCATAGAAGTGGTATATATGGTGTTGTCTTCGTCGTTGGAGTGAATCATCAACAGCTTTCAACTCTCATCTTCCATCACTTCACACACAGGACCTTCGAGTTCCCTGCAATCACACTCAACTTCAACCAACAACAACCACATCACACTTCCAAATGTCTGCCGAAATTCCCAGCTGGAGCTTGGAGGGCAAGGTCGCCGTTGTTACTGGCTCAGGTAAGGCGTCGCAACTTTCACGACCTTAGGCTACAATCGACTCACTCGTTCACAGGTCGTGGTATCGGAAAGGCAATGGCCATTGAGCTTGCAAAGCGCGGAGCCAAGGTTGCCGTCAACTACGCCAACGCTGTCGAGGGTGCTGAGGCGGTTGTCAAGGAGATCAAGGCTCTAGGCAATGGTGCCGATGCCCACGCCTTCAAAGCCAACGTTGGCGATGTTGCGCAGACCATAAAGCTCATGGACGATGTTGTCGCGCATTTCGGCAAGCTCGACATCTGCTGCTCCAACTCCGGGGTTGTCTCTTTCGGCCACTTCGCGGACGTTGAGCCAGAGGAGTTCGACCGTGTTTTCAACATCAACACCCGTGGACAGTTTTTCGTCGCTAAGGAGGCCTACAAGAGGATGGGGACTGGCGGCAGGATCATCCTCATGGGCTCCATCACTGGTCAGGCTAAGGGTGTTCCCAAGCACGCCATTTACTCCGGGTCCAAGGGAGCCATCGAGACCTTCGTCAGGTGCATGGCTATCGGTAAGTCGCTGCATACTCTCTCTTTCACAGACTACATACTAACTCACAACCAGACGCTGGTGAGAAGAAGGTCACTGTCAACTGTGTCGCTCCCGGTGGCATCAAGACCGACATGTACCACGCTGTCTGCCGCGAGTACATTCCCGATGGTGATAAGCTCAGCGACGACCAGGTTGACGAGTTCGCCATGACTTGGTCACCACACATGCGTGTTGGTCAGCCAGTTGACATTGCTCGTGTTGTCTGCTTCCTTGCCTCCCAGGACGGCGAGTGGGTAAACGGAAAGGTCATTGGCATTGACGGTGCTGCTTGCATGTAAGCGTCTCAGGGCAGCTAGTGGAATAATTTTTGTTTAGCCTTCTTGGGATATCATGAGCGATGGGATGATTTGAACGGCATTCAGCGGCGTTCGTCTTAATAGAGAATGAGATCTTCAGTTTATTCAGTTTCCATGTGTTCTTTGCCCAAGTGTCGTTGTGATCACATGGCCCATGCGCGATCCGCCGATCTTCCTGTTGTGTAACGATCAACTTTGAGATTCGACTTTGCACGGTCTTGTAGATATGCATTGGATCAGATTTCAGCAGTCATAATAGAGTTGACTAGCAAAGCAGGCCCTGTTCAAGGACCACGGACGCAAAGCAAAGACCTAGAATAATCGAACGCGACCCACGGAACTATAGGAAGTTTGATATCTGCACCAGAAATAATCCATGAACGTAGATGTGGTGGCCGCGATCAGTGAACTGCTTGTACATATGCGGTTAGTCAAGGGGGCAACCGGGACGATCATGGAACGATCATCTGTGCAGGAGCCGGCACCATGAAACATCGCCCCAAACCTCACCGTCTGATCATACCAGCCGCATCCTCGGCCTGGTGACAACCTTTGAAGGAGATTGCAGACATGCAGTCAGTAGTATGCTTTCCACTAGCTACGTTTCTTGTGTCACCTCGTGGGATCTCCTGCCTTCTGGTCAAGCAGTTCTACCTCGGGAAGGAAGCTGCAGTTGGCGAAACCTTATTTATGTATCTCGGAACAGTAATTTATATTGAGTAAAGCGAAAAACCTCGAGACATGACGCTGGCATCGATGTCAAGCTTCACGACTTTTCCAAGCTCGAACTCGTTGCGGCAATCACAACTTCAATCTCAAGGCCTCAAAGCTTCGATTAGTCGTACTGATAGAACAGTTGTCATAGAAGAACCAGACTTTCCAATCGCAAATCGTCTCGTACCCAACTGAAGCTAAACTCTTCGTCGCAAAATCGTCTTCCAAACCATCGAACGGATTTCCAAAACACTACTCACACGGACAAGTTTATTCGCCACCTCCAGATTGCACTTGGCCGATACGCCAGCTGCAAGAAGGCAGGGTTCTGGCATGTTGTAATGTCGAACGAACTAGACTTTGGTTATACTCATGGTAGGTGTGAAGGGGACCAAGGCGCCCGTCTGCATACCGGTATGCTTCCAGAGCTCTACACCATCAGCTCTGCATCGTAACTCTGAAACCATATCGACGGGAACGACAAACCCGACCCGAACTTCATGCTGAGTGTGAGGGCCATGGACTTCTCATAATAAGCCTGGCTGCCACAGTAATTGGGTTGGGTACTCTTCACGCAGCAAGTCTGGCCAGTGGCTCTGTCATTCATTCATCCCTTTGATTCAGTTCTTTATTATATATAATATTTTTTCACGGCCCAGGTGGTTGTTCTTCTACATAATTCAACATGACGTCTGGTACTGTCTCCTCCCTCTTGCTCCTTCTGTTGCGCTTCACTCCAGCACTAGCCCAACAACAAGTACAATTCAACCAGGTACTCAACATAAATGGGGACGTAAGTTGATTCTTTCTATCCAGACAGCCAGTCAGTTTCGAAACTAATCCACGCAGATGGATCTGAACTCCTTTGTATTTCCCGACCGTTCCAAAATCGAAACCTTCTCCCAAAAACAGCAGCAAATAATCGTTAATCAACAAACCCCCGCAATCCCCGCGAACCAAATCACCGGCTCAACAGGCCAGCCCTTCGTAGGTCTCACAACGCAGTCTATGATCGTCAGCACAAACGGCGCAACCGACTTGGTCGGCGGGGAGATTGAAATGGCCATGACAGTGCAGAATCTGCAGGCCAACGCCGTTAACCCCGATAATACATACGTCGCTATGCTCTCACCGGACAGGCAGAGCTGGATGATTCAGGAGACGATGAGGAGCGTCAATACGTAAGCTCAACCTGCACTCTCGCACTTGTTCCAAGGCTGACGTGGGAAAGCACTGATATGACGGTTCGCATGGTCAAGCGAAACCAGCTCGATGGCGAGTATATGGTTGTTGGGCGTCAGACTGTGGAGACTAACACGTTCGTCACCCGGTTCGGCAGCGATGGGGCGACGTCGGTTGCCATCCAGGGTACGGGGCTGCAGGAGAACGAGTTCCAGGATGGGTTCAGGATGTCGACTCGAGCGACGCAGCCCATGATCATGAACGTTAATGTCAAGGACGGTGTCGACGCGAGTATGCTGGCGGCTCTCCAGGGCCAACAGGCTGTTAGTGAGTATCTCCCAGCTGCGTCGCGTCTCCCGGTATGGAACTGACTCTGCCGCGTAGACGACTACCGATACTCAGTCACCACGAATCTCGGTGCCGTCGTGCCAGATCTCAACCAACAAGTCACAGTTGTGCAGATGCCCAGTACGTCCACCATCATAATCCATCCAACCCATCTAACCGCCCCGCAGTAAACGCAATCCGCATCCAAAAACAAATGCAATCCATGAACCTCCCCCCAAACGGCCAAGTAACCCTCTCCATCGCCCAACGCAGCGTCCTCCAAAACCCCGGCGGCGCAACCGCAAACCTCGGCGGCGCCGCACTCGGCACAAAGCGCCGCGCAGACTTCAGACAAGAAATCACCGCGCGCCAAAACACACCCACAGGCACAACGACAACAAACAACAACCCCGTAGCAGCCCAGCTCCTCCTCGCCCCAACCTTCACGCCCGTGGCTGCTACCGCCGTCCTTGATGCGACGAATATGCGCATCGCTATCCCTGTGCGCCAGGTGGATGGCGAGTTCATCCTGACGATGGCGCGTATGGGGGGTGCGAATGCCGCGCAGCCGGCACCTGCCCAAGGTCAACCAGCTCCGGCGCAAGGCCAGACGCAGACGTCTAACACTACTGAGCGCCGCCAGGCCGCGCCGCTGGACCAGTACGGTGATGTAATTCCTCCGCTGGGCGCGGTCGTTATGACGATGCGGCAGATTGATAGTATGGCGCAGATGGTGATGTGGGGCGGGCAGGCGCCGATTAGTCGGATGATGAGCGAGTATGTTAAGGCGCAGGGTGGGGGGGAGGTGAATGGGACGGTGCCGGCTGCTGGGTCTTCGGGTGTGAGTATTGTTGTTTGAGGGTGGGGATGTGTATGGAGGGGTTGATTGGTGGTGGTTCAGCGTATAAGTAGACTGGAAAAGAAAGAGAGGGGGAGAGACGGGGGTAACGGTTAATGAACATGCACTTGCTACGTACCGATATGGGCTTTGTCCCCGCCCTGCGTGTGATGTCGTATCATACTCCCATATCATGTTGATATGCCATTTCCGAAGCGCAATCGCAGTCTTCATAGCACGTCAAATTCCCTCCCTGCGTTACCGAGCCTTTCCATCCCACTAAATTTGCATACTTCCACATACCCCTCGCTCGGCACATGTACGCAGCAACCACGTGTACAAGAGCTACTCACGACGGGACGTAATGTACCGTGACGGGTCTCGATGACGCGTGTGTCGTGCACGGCGAGAGCACGACGACGATCAGATCAGATCAGTGTGCAGTAAGTACACGACATAGTCCAAGAACCTTTGCACAACCATCAAGAAAGCACGCCAACACCACGGGGAGGAGACAAAAGATGCAATTCTCATAACAACAAATGACAAAATCACATACACATACTCGAGAAAACAAAATCAGGGTATATAAAAAACCGACAAACTCGCAACCACATACTAATATTCATACAAGAACCGAACTGAACCGAACCAAATCGAACTGCACCTAGCCAAACCAACACATCTCCTCCAACCCACTCACTCACTGAAACGCGCCGCGAATCTTCGCATAAAGCTCCGTATCCAAAAAATTATAATTCGGATCGCTGAAGCAGAACGGGGCTCTGAGCAGGGTCTCGGCGGTAGGGCGTTCCGTCGGATCGATAGTGAAGCAGTCATACATGAAGCTCAGGCCCTCGACGCCAATAACGCGACTAACATCCTCAGGGATAGGCGGCGCCTGATTAAGGGATCCGAGTTTATAAATCGCGCCGATAGCCTCCTCCTTACTCCATGGCCGTTTCCCAGCGAACATCTCCAGCACGACGCAGCCCAAGCTCCAGATATCGACTTTCGCGCTGTATCCCTGGCCCTGCGAGCGGATGACCTCTGGCGCCATCCAGAAGACGGAGCCTTGCATGGAGTTTGTGACGTCGTTGCCGTAGATGTTATCTGATTTCTTGGAGATGCCAAAGTCGGAGATTTTGCACGTGCCGTCGAGGTCGAGCAGGATGTTGTCTGCCTTGAGGTCGCGATGCAGGATACCCTCGCGGTGGAGGTACGAGAGGCCCATGAGGGTTTGGCGGGTCAGGGAGCTGACGACGCTTTCTTCGAATTTGCCGTGCTTGCGGATGCAGGACCCGACTGAGCCACCGCTGATGTACTCGAGGAAGATGGAGATGCTGTATTCTTTGCGCTCGCAACCTAGGTACTGCACGATGTTGGGGTGGTCGAGGTGCTGCATCGTGTCGATTTCTTGGTCCAGGCTCTTGACTAGCTCTTTTATCTTGTCTTTGTCTGAGCCGGCGGCTTTGGCATTGACTTCGACTTGCTTTACGGCGATGAGCTCACCGGTGGTGATGTTCATACCGAGGTAGACACGGCCGAAGGTGCCCTTGCCGATGAGCTGACCCTTCATCCATTTGAACGTTGGCTGGCGTTGGGGTAGGGGGATGTTGTCTTGTGGTATCGTCTCGAGCTGGATTAGCCTGGACGCTCGTGACGGCTTGACCTGCTCGATCCTGGCGTGGAACATCTTCGTCGACTTCCTCCTCACAATGTCGCCGCCATTGCGGAGTGTGGCGACTCGTGACGGCCCAGCTCCGGTCGCTTGGCCTGGGAGAGGCCTCTTTTCGAAGGGTTGGTATTGCGACTTGACCACTTCACGGATTGACTTGGTACGTCCGAGACCGACACCAGATTTCCTCAAGTTGCGCTGGGCAGTGGATTGCAAACCTCCCTTGCCGCGAGTGACAAACGAGTTGGTGTTGCTAGTATCTTCGAACGAAGACATTGATGAATTGCTTCGACCGTCCTTCGAAAAGTCGCTAGACATATCTGTAGACGAGTCTGTATCCTCTTCTTCAAGTACTGGCTGATCGAGATTGACGTTGGGGAAGAACTCGTCAAGGTGCTCCACAAGCGCCTCGGCTGGGGGACGATTCGCCCAGACATCGCTAGCAAAGGACTCGCGGCGCATAAATCTGTTCGCTTCGTCTGGAGATTCAGTCCAGGTAGCAGACGCTGCCGACTCGGGATGGAAATCGTTGGGTACCGAAGTGCGGTCATCATTCGCGCTCTGCTCTGGCTTTTCTGAAACCTTATCCAGCGAGTTCTTCGACCGAGATGTCTTGAGTCGGAGGCTCGGTCGCTGACTGCGTGTGGTGTTTCGTGTGATTGAGCCAGTTTTGACAGGGGTCGGCGGGCCAGCTCGAGCGAGCGGCGCGGCGAAGAGACCATCGTCAGAGTCGTCATCGGAATCGTCAACTGGATCGAGCATTGGCGACGACTTGGAGTGGAAGGAAACTTGGGCTTCCTCAAAGTCAAGAGTCGGGCCGTACACGGACGCTCTCGACGGCTCTCGAGACAGGGTAGATACAGGAGGTCGCTCTGCGTGAGGGCTAACATTCGGTGATCTCGGTCGGGGCTCCTGTTGTTGGGAGGCTGTTGGCGGAGAACTCGGCATCGTGAGAGTAAGGTTAGGTCTGTCGAAAGACACTTCGTCTGGTATAGCTTCCACGTAGTCAGGTATTCTGAACGGTACATTGCCCTTGCTCATTGTAAACTCGCCGGGGCTGCGAGGGGACCCACCTGGACTATTCCTACCCGAACCGGGCGCGGCTCCAAAGCCATTTTCCTGCAGAATCTTCTGAGACGGACGGACGCTCTCCGGCGACGACTCCCCCCTTGTATCGTCTTTTGGTGGAAGCGGAGGCGGAGGTTTCTTGTTTGCTGCTCCAATCGAGCCACCAACAAAACCGGCACCGATGATACCGGCCATGATACTGGACATACCACTGCTGGGGCCCTGTGGTATCGCTTTGCGTTTAGCCTGCTCTAATTCAGTCGATCGCCGCTTGGCCTGGAGTTCATCTTCGGGCAACGACGTGCGATTCTTGGCCCTTGACAATGAGTTAGCTTTGAGAAGGGTGGTGGTGTCCGCTGGCACCGGCGGCGGCTCCCGTAGAGGTACTAGCTGCTTGCTCTTAGGCTTCTCCTCAAACGGCTTCCTTATGTCTTCATACGGAGAGCTACGTGGCGCGTCAAAGTCAATGATACCTTGACTTCGGAAACCCACACCGTCGCCTGTCGCCGACATTGGATCGGGGCTGTTGCCCTTAAGTCTCATATTGCGGCTTTTGAGGTACTCGTCTTGTTTTCGTTTGTTCTCTTTTCGGTGATCTTCTGCTGCAATCTCAAGATCCCTCCGGCGTTTCTGCTCTGAAGAGTCATCGCCTGCAAGCCATGATTTCTCCATGGGTCTGCTGTTGCTACGTAGTCGCTCTGTCACAGCGTCAGGCGTCACTTCGTTCTTTTCCGCGAGATTGCGCAATGCTGCAGCCTTGTCCGGAACCAACGTAGACTCCGCTGACTTTGCGTCAGGGAACTCGGACTGAGGTTCAGCAACCAGACGAGCGTAAGTACCCTCATCAGCTGGTTTCACGGCGACTGGTGGCATGGAAACGCCAAGTCCAGCAGAGGGTGGCACCGTGCCCTCCTGTGGGACTTTGATAAACATTTTGAGCTCCCCAATCCGGTTACCTAGCTGTGATCGAGCCCGCAACAACTTGGAGTCAGAAAGAGGGTCATCGTGTTCGTATTGGCCAGGCAGCGTTAAATACAATTCGACACCAGGCACTTGGCTCAGGCCTTGGCTGAGTTCCTCGCAACACATTGTTCGCAGGGCTGCCGCAGAGTCTGCGTTGGTGATGTCGACCAGGCGGTAGTTCCAGCCGTCGGGCGTTACAAAGGCATATCTCCGTTCCTCTCGTGGCGAGACTCGCATACGACCAGCCGTTCGGTTGTCCGCCTCTGTCGGGAAAGATCGTCTTGATGGTGGGCACTCGTTGAGCGAAGTTTCGCTAGAGTTCATGCCAGCTCTACTAAACACAGACCCAGCAGTCTGTTGCCGATAACTTGCTGGACTGACGGGGGATTCAAGATTTGTATCGTCAGGAGATGGGTGGCTGTCTTGTTTCTTCCTCTCCCTCCCCATGATCTTGTTGAAGAAACCCTTGTGATGGTCTTTCGCGCTCATGGGGATATCCGCACTGTTGTATTGCGACATGCCCGTTCCAGGCCGGGGACCCTCATATCCATTTTTCCTGCTCTCGCGGGCAAGGTCGGACTGGGGGTCAAATGGTCTTGCTGAAGATGGCCCTGGTCCTGGTCCCGGCACTGGTACCGGTCCTGTAGCTGCAAATGTAGACAGGTTGGACTCGGAACTGTTGCCGCGATTGTGTTGATAGTAACGCTGAGCTGACGAGTTTATGCCTGCACTGTTTGCAAGGCGGGCCGATTGGAGGCCTGGACTTTGTTGAGGGCTGGATTGGCGATGGATCGCAGCGCCGAGTGTTGGTGGCGGGAACTCGCCAGATGTGTTTGGACTGTGGCGTTGAGATCTGGCGTCTAGATCGCGCAAGACTTCTTTGGAGAAGGCGCTGCGTCCCGAGTCGGTATACTCTGGCTGTGAACCAAGAGCAGGGACGGTAAAGTTGCGCTGTGTGGATATACGTTTTGGCGGATTCGTGGCTCCACCAGGCGAGTGCAAGAGCATCTGGCGGCCGGGACTCTCCTCGCCATTGCCAGCAGTGGTTGGAGTCGAGCCAAAATCCATTCGATTGCCCAGGTACGGTGAGTTCTCGACATTGCCCTCGGTTCCAGCGCTTGCCAGTGTGAGGTTGTTCTCGGGTCGTTGTGGTGGACGGACATTGCCTGAGCCTCCTGTCTCGACAATGGAGCGAACAAGTCTGCGCAGCTTGCGGCCCTCGTCTCTCTCCCTGTTCTGGTCCCAGCCAGTGCCGCTTGCAGTACACTGCTTGGCGAGCTGTGGGAAGATGACCTGGTGCATCATAGCCACGTTGCCCTTGCTGCCGTGGCCGCGACCAATATCGAGGAACCTCGAGCCCTCCAAGCCCAGCGTCTTGAACGTCTCTTGCCAGTCTCTGGAGAAGCCATTGCCCGCCAGCCAGTGCTGCACGCGTTCGGCGGGCCATTGGGCGAAAGCGTTGTGGGGCGACACGGGGGTCGTGCCGTTGCTCTCGGGGCGGTGGAAAACGTTGGCGGGGTTTTGCGACATGGGGTTCTGGAGCGTCGCCGTGGGCGGTCCATTCGAGTCGTAGCCCTGGGCGCGGTCGGTCGGTATGCTGAGATGGTTGCGGCTGCTGGGCGTAGGCGGCAGGTTGAAGGCGGTGCTCGAGCCATACTGGACGCTCTGGACGCTCTCGTGGAGGTTGGAGAAGCTCGCGGCGGAGCTGTCTGGGTGCGCCGAGTAGCCATCGTCGCGGTAGTATGTCTGCTCGGGGTAGTGTCGCGGGTGGTGCAGCGGCGGCACGCCTGTGCTGGACGTGTGGAGGCCGGGTATGCCCACGCCAGGGCCGAACGAATCTCCCCCCGGGATGTACGTGGCTGAAGTCAGCGGAGCGGGCTCAGGCTGCGGCTGCTGCTGAGGCGGGGGGCCGGTGGGCGGCCCGGGCAGGTTGGCGTGATAATCGCGGTACAGGCTGGGGTTGTAGCCTGCCTGCTGCTGCTGTTGCTGCTGCTGCTGCTGCTGCTGGTACTGTCTCTGCGGACCCCAGCCATAGTTCGCGTGTGGAGGGGGCCCAATGAGGCTGTTCGAGGGCGTGGGCCTCGGTGGAGGCGGGGGGAGCGCGATGCTATGCGAGGCCGCCGTCGAGGCAAGCTGAGGTGGAGGGGGGGGCAGGTACTGGTGCATAACGGTATGCGCCCTTCTGCGCGGGCTCGAGCTCAGATGGTCGTGCGGGGCGAGCGGCGGCGGCGAGGCGACGACGGGCGTCTCGGGCAGCAGAAAAGTGCTCGAGACGGCGAGGTTGGAGCGCGCGGTCGAGATGGACGGGGGCGGACCTCTGCGTGGTGGGCGATCGGGCGTGTTGGGAATCGTGGAAGCTGACCGCTGGCGCATCCCGAGATAGCGAAGTCTCGCTGCCCAGGCGAGAGGGCGCAATGGAGTGTGCCTGACGTCGCTGCGAGCAGCTACGAGGGCGACGAGGGCTACGAGGGCTGTCGTGCGGGCTGAGATGCAACGAGTGCTGTGGCTGCACCTCGATCCTCGCCCGGCGTCTGTCAGCGCGTCAAGCCGCCTCTGCAACGTCGAGGGACGGCCCAGCGCACCTCGGGGCCAGGCCAGACGCTTGCTTATGCCACCCTCGTAGACGCGCCAACAGCCACATCCGCCGCGACCGCGCCAAAGCCTCTCCCGAGCCCATTTCTGTTCTTTTGGCTCATGTCTGTTCTTTTGGCTCTGCAACGGCCCTGGAAAGAATACGAGGCCGCAACGTCCCTGATGGGCACTGACCCGTCAACCACACCTAGATGAAAATGCAACACGCTGCGCACACCAAGACGTGACTGCTGCCACACTCTCTCCTGATAATAGGCCCTATCTATCTGCCCGTCCCACTTCACCGTCGAGAATTGCACCACTATTTCGAGCTATCAAAACTTTCCTCTCCACCCCATGCGGCTCTGCAGCAGAATCACTCGCTGCAGCATTTGCTGCTCACGCCATCATGTGGGCTGACCCATCGTCCTACAGGACATATTCCCAACAACGGCCTCCATAGGCTCGGCGGAGCCCGGCCATTGCATCGTCATAGTTGCCTGCTGGCAGAGCTGGACCCTAGATAAATAAACGCAGCTGCTCTATTACTTGCCCTCACAAGCCAAGCACCAACAACCACCAACAACATCAAGACAGTCGCCTCTCCAGCTTTCTGTCCTCCCCAATCCAATCATGGCACAAGATCTACGCTCCCAAGATATCGAGAACCCAATGGATATTGCAGAGGTGAGTTTGATTCATGCTCTCCAACCAAACACCAGCTCACTCGCTCATAGTATCTCTTCCGTCGTCTCCAAGAAGTCGGCGTCGAGTCGATACACGGCCTCCCTGGTGACTACAACCTCGTGGCTCTCGACTACATCCCAAAGGTCGGCCTCAAGTGGGTTGGCAACTGCAACGAGCTGAATGCTGGTAAGTCAACTTTGAGCTACCCCACCAGTACTTGAGCTTGAACATGAACTTGCACAACATATTCAAACAACTCGTCACTAACTCTCTCCAGGCTACGCAGCAGACGGCTATGCACGCGTAAAGGGCATCTCTGCACTCGTCACCACATTCGGTGTCGGCGAGCTCTCAGCTGTCAACGCAATTGCAGGCGCCTACTCGGAATACGTGCCAATTGTCCACATCGTCGGCTACCCATCAACCATCTCGCAGCGCAATGGAGCCCTTCTACACCACACGCTCGGTAACGGCGACTTCACCGTCTTCTCGAGAATGTCACAGGAGATCTCCTGCGCCGTGTCCATGCTCAACAACCAGCACGAGGCGGCAGTCCTGATCGACAACGCCATTCGCGAGTGCTACCAGCAGTCGAGGCCCGTGTACATCTCGCTCCCCTCTGATATGGTGCAAAAGAAGGTTGATGGAAATCGCCTCAAGACCAAGTTGGATCTGGAGTACGCCCCCAACGACCCCGAGAAGGAAGACTACGTCGTGGATGTGGTCCTCAGGAGTCTCCAGGCGGCCAAGAACCCCGTCATCCTGGTCGATGCTTGTGCTATCCGCCACCGCGCCCTGAAGGAGACGAACGATTTGATTGTCAAGTCCGGTATCCCGGCATTCGTCGCACCCATGGGCAAAGGTGCCGTCGATGAGACTCTCCCCAACTACGGAGGTGTGTACGCCGGCAACGGCAGCAACGCCGGTGTCAAGGAGCGCGTCGAGTCGTCCGATCTTGTCCTCAGCATTGGAGCCATCCAGTCCGACTTCAACACTGCAGGCTTCACCATCCGCATGTCGCAGCTCAACACAATCGACTTCCACAGCTACTCCGTCAAGGTCAGGTACTCCGAGTACCCTGGCGTGCGCATGAACGGCGTTCTCAGGAAGGTCACCGAAAAGCTCGGTAACCTCAGCATCAAGCAAGGCCCCACGCCAAACAACAAGATCCCCGAGCAAGAGGTCAAGTCATCAGACCCCGTCATCACACACGCCTGGCTCTGGCCCCGCCTCGGCCAATGGCTCCAGAACGACGACATCGTCATCACCGAGACCGGCACATCCAACTTCGGCATCTGGGAGACACGCTTCCCCAAGGGCGTCAACGCCATCTCGCAAGTCCTCTGGGGCAGCATCGGCTACGCCACGGGCTCCACCCAAGGCGCCGCCCTCGCCGCCCAGGAAATGGGCATCAAGCGCACCATCCTCTTCACGGGCGACGGCTCCTTCCAGCTCACCGCCCAGGAAGTAAGCACCATGATCCGCAACAAACTCAACCCCATCCTCTTCGTCATCTGCAACAACGGATACACCATCGAGCGCCTCATCCACGGCATGGAGGACCCCTACAACGACGTCCAGGAGTGGAAGTACAAGGACCTGCCCGCCACTTTTGGCGCAAAGGAAGGCTCCGTCCTGACGTACCGCGTCGAGACTAAGGAGCAGCTTGAGGATCTGTTCAGGGATGAGGAGTTCTCCAGCGGTGATACCCAGAAGATGAGGTTCGTCGAGCTGGTTATGCCCTGGGATGATGCGCCTGCTGCGCTGAAGGATGTTGCGGCCAGTGCGGCGAGGACGAACTCGAAGCTCGAGTAAGTGGTTGGTTTGGGGGTGATGATATGATATGCATGGCATGGTATGGTATGGGTATATATAGATGGATGGGTATGGGATGTGGAGATGAACTCTCCCCTTTTCTGTTTTTTGCTTTCCCCCGTTTTACTCTTCGTTAGATTTTAGAATAGGCTGGAATTCTCATCTCTGATTTTGAGTTATGTTGCGCTTGATGTTGTGCTGTGCCTTCTCTGAGTATTTTTCCATCAATCCATGTATCTACATATCTATATATACCGCCTCGATCATATCAGTCCAGAGTAGGGAGATCACACACCAGGCTTCGAAATAGTATTCTCTCCACACTGGTGGGGAGGATGGCGTTTGAGAACTAATCAACTATGGACTCTGGATTTAAACAAGAGGGCTATGAGGAGGTGAGGCTGGGGTAGGTTGGTACATGAGGTGAATGGAATGTTTGGGTTTGGGTTTGGTTTGGTTTTGGGCAGTAGTGTTGCTATGGATTCAAGGAAGGATGGGTTGAGTTTATTAGGTATACTTAATATGCATGTGCTTTGTTTGAAAGCTGTTGTTGTGCAGTGGTGAGATACATGGCACTGAGGCACGGAGACCCTGGGTTTGTGGGAGGGATGTATATCACAATCGCTTGGAAAGCTCACCCATTGTTGATGTTTAAACGCGAAATCTTCATGGTCTGCGAGGCAGCATAGTACATTCGGATTAACCTACGGTAGGCTTGTAGTAAGTCTTTAGGTTTCTGTATCAGACGTCGCTTTACTGGATGGAGAACGGGTGTACTGGATAGTGCCTGCTAATTATAATGGGAATGTGAAGGGGGGTGAATTCGCCGTGTACTGGGTAATGAGTACTAGGGAGTAGTAGGATGTGTGCGTTATTGTAAGGGCTTGGAAGTGGGGGTACGAGGACTGGGGAGTAGAATGACAACAGGAACAGGAACGGGGACGGGAATGGGACTTGAATTAGAATGAGGATTATACCGGTGAGGTCTGGCTGGACTGGGTACTGTACTTGCAATCGGTCGAAATACCGGGAGATGAACCTGTTTTAAGGATCTTCAATACCTTTCGGCATTGGGGATAGAAGCTGGGAATCTTTCGTTGAGTAGACTTCACTAGCGTTTGGGCATATGTGTATGAATTTTCGCTTTATGGTGTTTGTTGTATCGTTTGGCTGGATTGACGTTTGGAGTTCTTGTTTCCTGGTATGTCGACCGATCGAGAGGCTGTTTACCGGGTACTGGGGAGTAGTGGAGTGGGTGTACGGGCTTTTTCATGATTGTAGCTAGCTTTCTCGCTTGATGTCGGAGCAGATGGAAGCAACACATTGTGAGGGTTTCATGCCAAATCGGATAAATTGGATTGAGAGAACAATCCTGCTCGGATGTTCTGTTTCTAGATCGCGTTTCAGATTCTGCCGCTGCTGTCGGGTCTCGGATCTCAGAATCACGTAACTTCTGCGAACGGCCCATCTGCATGTTGTTGAGAATACGACCATCTCCATATTTCCAAGACGGGCGCAAAATCAAGCATTACAGGATTATGTCGATCAGGAGAGTGAAACAGCGATACCAACGTCGCAATAGACACAAATAGTGGAGAAGCGCGTGCCGAGCAGGCAGGAACCCTGCCAGTGCTATCCCATGGTCCGGTGAGTTCTGCCCTGCTGGACGGCCCGAGATTGGGCTAATGAGAGCATGTCATAGCGCGGCATCTAGAGAACACCAAAATTGAAGCCCTATACTAAAATTTGCGTGTATAGGTTTAGGAATTAATATTATTTAATATAAGTTAATAGAATTAATTAAAGTTAAGATAGTTATATTTTTAAAGTATTTACTACTAAAATCTAGGCTTATTATAAGCGTTGCTACCTAATTAGTACGTTTAAAACTCCTTTAAATTATAGTAGAGAGGCTAGTAGTAATAGTAAATTATTTTTTAGTAGCTAAAATACCTATAAACTATTCTTAGAGACCTTATAATTTAAATTAAATTAAGCTGTAAGGTAGTAATAACGCTAAAAGAGGTTTTTTAAGCTACGTATTAGCTAGTTTAGGTATAAATCTTATATAATTAATAATAATTAGTAGTATAGATCTTAACGCGCTTATAAATTATACTAGGTGTAGTAATAGGTTAGATTAGTAATTTATTTCTAAGAAATACTTACTACTTTAATAAGCCTTTAAGAGTAACTATAAGCTTAAGTAAAAATTACTAGTAGATATTAAAGCTTAGAAGAGAACTACTAGAAGTAGCTCTAAATAGCTTATATAAGTTTATAAGTATAATATTAAGTAAAAGACTTATTAATAGTCTCTAGGTTTTATAGTAGATCTGTTAGAGTAGATAGTAACTTTAGAGTTAATTAAATTAATCTATTACATTTATATACTTATTATAGAAATTAATTAGTACTAAGATTAGTAGTAATTTATAAATTATATCTTTAAACTTAATACGCGTTTAGACTATACTAGTACGTAATTTACTTAGTCTCTTTCTTAATTATACTATAGTTTTATAGAGGGCTCTAAACGTTATAGTAAACAGTATAATATTATTATTATACTAAGCTATTATCTTAACTTTTTTACTTCCTAAGGTATTAAAGTAGATAGTACTTTATTTAAGTTTATTATACTAAGCTCTAATAATAATAAGCTTAGCTAAAAAGCCTTTAGCTAGGTTATTAATAATAATAGGCTTAAGCCTCTAAGTATAATTAATTAATAGTTAGGTATTCTCCTAACTGCTTTAAGTCTCTTATATAGGTAGAGGTAATAGTAATATTATAGGCGTTAGTAACGTGTTTTTTCTAGGCTAACTATATTTTTTTAGTACTAGTAATAATATTAATAGTTAAGCTATTGCTTTATATTTTATTAAGAGCTTTAAGAGCTACTGTAATACCTAAGATACTTATAAAAGAAGGTCTCCTATACTAATTTTATATAAAGTCTTCTCTATTTATATAGTACCTACTACTGTAATTCTAGCGTATTATAACTCCTTAAATAATAGTACTAATAAGAATAAGTTATCTATAAAAATTATATACTTATTAGGCTTAAGTAGCTGTTTATTAACGTTACTAGTAAGGTAGTTAAGTATAAAGTAAAGTATAAGAGCTTTTATTAGGTAGAAGCTAAAGGCTGTATAAGCTAGGTTAATTTTATAAGGCCTATTCTTATTATTTAAACTATAACTGTAAAAGAGCTAGTTTAATTAATATATAGAATCTCTAAGGTACTAAGTTTTATACCCTATAAAGTTAGACTTATAATTAATTATAGTCTTCTTCTTAGCGTACCTATAAAAGTATATTATACTTTTATTTACAGCTAAATATTACCTTAGGTACTAGTAGTATTAGCTAACGTAATAGACGTACTTAGAGAACTCTTATACTTATTTAAATAAATACTTAAATAGGTTATTAATATTATATAAAGGTATAATATAAAAGTAATAATTAATTTACTTAAATTAGATAAGGCTTATAATCTTATATAGATAGACGTAGACTACTTTAAATTATATATTAGTATACTAATAGTCTATAACCTATACTTTAAGGTATATACCTATATAGATTTATATAGCTAGGTAACTAAAGATCTTATAAGGTATTACCTTATACTATAGGCAGATATATTATTAAGTAAGGCTAAGTAGGTATTAGAGATAAGTATTTTTATTAGTATAGTAATATATTTTTAAGATTTCTAAGTTAGTAAAGAACAGCTTAAAGAGCTTAATAGGGGCCTAATTATAAAGCTTACTATTATAGTAAGGTAGTTATAAGCTACCTCTATTATTAAGGTTATTAAGTATAAGTAGTTTCTATTTTAGTAAAGTATTCTTGCTACAGCCTTTAAGGTGTATAGGTAAAGGCTTTTACTGCGTTTTTTATATAAGGAAGCCTTCTTTAGGTATAAGATTATTATTAGCGCGTCTGTAAGGAGCTATTGTATAAAGAAGTAGTATTATTAATTAAGTTATAAGTAAGTAGTTAGTGTTGTAAATAGAAAGTAGATTTAATAGTTTCTAGTTTGAAGTTTGTGTAGTGGGGTAAAACGCTGACTTACTGATGCTAAGCCTTGCTCTCATTGGCCTAATCTCGGGCCGTCCAGCAGGGCAGAACTCACCGGACCATGGGATACATAGGCGAACCGGAGCCGGGAATTTGCCATTGTGGATCGAATACATTGCGGTTTTATGTTGTCTCGCACAAACGAGCGACGACTACAGGAAATATCGTCGCTATGAGGTGCACATCGCGGATTGTTCGCAGTCTTCGTACGCAGACGCGCGTTCGGCATCATCATAGTGTGCACCTAGAGTGAAGGCGGGCTGAACAGACGAACCCCCTTTACCACCGACATGTCAGCGCGTCGAGCTTTGCGGCGCATAGTACCGGTAGGCGGACTGCTAGCGCCAAGTCCGAGGCTGTGTTTACGGTTCTGTCCATCATCTGTACCAAGAAGCTGTGAGCGACGGAGAGTTTCCACACTCAAAACCATCGACTTCGATTCGACACCACGCAGAACGTTGGGAGCCCCAAAAACAAACACCATAATCAAGCTTCAACGTCCGGCACCAGCACAGCATGTCGTGAGACCGGCGTGAGCTAGCCGGAGCGTCGCTGTCGGCGCCTGTGGCAATCGAATCAGCAGCTCGTCCAGACGTGTGTGCGAACCTCCATTGGGCCAAGTCAGGGGAATATGTCTTGTGGATCAAAGAGATCGTTCGTTTCGGAGCGACAAGGGGCTTGACCACACCCCACTGCTGGCAGGGACCGTCCAATCACTATTTCCACGTTTCCGTAAATACGAGCGCCGTGCAGACCGGCGGACCCGCTTGATGACCGAAAAGAGAAGAACGAGATCAACCCAGTCCGAGTCTAGCATGGCCGCAAATAGTACGTTTCGTTATATGACCCTGCGTACCCGCTCTCCTGGACGCCAACATTTCGATTCCTCGCTACTTTTGACGTCGAGGTTTCTTCAAAGGAACTCTATTCCCTCTTCACAGACCAAGGACTTTGCGCCACGGTCGTTCCGCTCATTTGCACGCATCGCTTTTTACATTCTAGCTCGCCTACTTGCATTTTCAGGTTGCCTTTGCTCCGGCTTCTGGCCGTTATTTGTATCGTCTTTGACTTGACCGCACATTAATCTCCAACACCATGGCGAACTTCAGCAAGCCCCAGAACATGATGACCGCGGTCTTCGCGTTCTTGGCTCTCCTCCAGTTCACCACTGCTTTCCAGCATGGCGCCGCACACCACAGCCACCCCAGGAGCGCATCAGTCGACGATGTGATCAAGGCCCAGATGGATGTGGTCTCTGAAGCGCTTGACAAGCGTCAGACCTCGGGATACACCGCCATCACTGGTGTCAAGACAGGAGCAACGGCGCCGCGTCTCGAGATCCGCAAGCTGATGCAGAATGCTGACCAGTGGAACTTGTACCTTTTGGGTATGGAGAGGTTCATGGCCAAGGACAAGTCCGAAAGGCTGTCTTACTACCAGGTTGTCGGTATGTTACGTTGGACATAAGCTCAGGTGGTACAGACCTAATCAATTCATAGGCATTCACGGTCGCCCCTACGTAACGTGGGGTAACTTCCCAACCCCTCTGCTCAACCAGGCTGGTTTCTGCCCTCACGCTCAGAGCTTGTTCGGTTCATGGCACAGGCCCTACCTTGCTCTTTTCGAGCAAGCGTGGTACGCGTCCGTCCTGGAAGTCGTTGCTACTTTCCCTTCATCAACGCGATCGCGTTGGTCAACTGCTGCGGCGACTCTCCGCATGCCATACTGGGATTGGGCCCAAGAGCCAGCCTCTGGCCAGCCTGTCGTTCCTACGTCGATCCGCGACGCGACAGTATCTGTCACGAAGCCATCTGGCAAGGTCACCATCAACAACCCGCTGTACTCATACAGCTGGGGCAGCTCGCTCCCCACCGAGATGGGCGGAGGCCCATGGGACAGCTGGCCTGCGACTCTTCGTCGCCCCGTTGCTAACCCCACCCGTAACAACAACAACGAGATGAACGCTCGCTTCACAAGCATCCGCGTGTCTCTTCGTGATCGTGTCTTCGCTCTGTTCTCCAGCAAGGCGTCTTGGGGTACTGTGAGCACTTCGCAGATTGGTGCCCGTACCGATCTGAGCGGCAACGGTGTTGATAGCTACGAGTCTGTTCACGATGCTGTTCACACCACTGCTGGAGGTGAGTCGGGTGGACACATGTACTACCTTGATCTTTCTTCCTTCGACCCCATCTTCTGGCTTCACCACACCAACATCGATCGTCTGTTGGCCATGCACCAGATCGTTGTTCCCAACACGTGGGTCGCCAATGGCAACATCAACCGCGGCATGGCACAATGGAACCAGGGTGAAGCTAAGAACGCCTACACCCCCTTGAAGCCCTTCACCAAGGACACTGCTGGCAACTACTTCACTAGCAACGACATCAAGGATACTCGCGTCCTCGGTTACTACTACCCCGAGACCAGCGGAAACTCGTACTCTCAGGTCGCCTCAGCGGTCACCAGCCTGTACGGTGCCGGTTCCAGGACACTGAGCAAGCGTGACGAGTCGGACACCGACCCGGCCACCGGCCAGTACCTTGGTCGTCCATTCGAGGAGGGTGACTACCACACCGTCCTTTCCGTTACCGCAGACAAGTTCGCCATGGATGGCTCGTACACCGTCCACTGCTTCATCCGCGATGACGCCACCAACTCGACTTCCACCAACTCGACCGGCTCCAGCAACTCAACTGGTCTTTACCCCTTGACGAACACCACTCTGTCTGTCCCATCGGTCAACTACAACACCACCCTTCAATACGAGGCTGCGAGCGGCGATTCCGAGGCCGATTACAACCCATCCACAGACATGACCCAGGATGCCAACTACGTCGGTGCCTACTCCGTTCTTGGTGGAAGCATGGCTGGCAAGGGCGAACCCGTTATGACCGAGGGTAACCTTCCTCTGACCTCCTGCCTCCAGGGTAAGCAAAAGGACGGCAAGCTTGCCTCGCTCAAGCCCGAGCACGTCGAGCCCTACCTTGCGAAGAACCTGTACTACGTCGTCATTGGCCCCAACGGCGAAATCGATGCTGCCTCCGTCCCCAACCTCCATCTTGCGGTCAAGTGCAACAAGGTTGTTCCCGCATCCAGCAGCGGCGAGCTCCCCGATCTCAGCGCTCCCTTCGTCAAGCTCCCCAACGCCACCAAGAACCTTCCCGCCGGTGAGCCCTTCACGTACACTCCCCAGGCCAACGACATCGCTCCCCCTGCTGGCGACTCTTCCTACGAGGAGCCCGCCCACGACGGCACCAGCACCCCCGTCCAGTCTGGCTCAAGCAGCAAGCCCACCGCCAGCAGCACGCCCAGCAGCGGTTACAACTCTGAGCCCGAGTCCGACGGTGAGGATGAGTCCTACGGTGACGAGTCGCCTTCTTACAGTAGCGACTCGCCTTCTTCCGGCACCACCAAGCCCTCCCACACTGCTGGAAGTGGAAGCGGTTACGGCACGCCCTCCGGTGCCACACCTTCCAGCGGCGCTTCAACCTACTTCGACGAGGAGACACAGTGCACCATCAAGCAGGTCGTGCACTACGTCGACCCGTCCGGCAACTTCCTGTACGCTGAGGCGTAAGTTACTGTATGGTAAACGACGAGCTGTGAAGCGAATGGAGTGGAGAGGGAGGTGGAGTTTTCATATGTCCAATCAATTTCGTTAGATGAGTTAATTACCTTTGTTGGATTGTATATTGAGATGTTGTTGATATGTATGTATCCCGTCGCATTGTCGTCTGGAGGTATGTGTATGTGTGTTTGTGGGGAGAGAGATGTTCCTTTGTATGTACGCCTATTTATACCAATCGATTCGTTTGTTTTTCTGTATAGTTTTTCATACTATGCTTGTGCTACTTTGACTTGTTCATTGGTGTATTGATATGTAATGCCGTGCAGTGGAGTTCATGTACGCGCAGAATTCTTTGAATAGAATTGTACATATCTCATTACTCTAGCATTCATCATCTCCTCACCATCTCCCTCCCAAACATCCCACACACCTGCCCTTCGACATCCAATGCGCATTTCCTCCCCATCCCAAATACCATCAAACGGGCATATATCTCCCACATCACGTGTTCTATCACACATGGCCCGTGCGTAAATCCGCAGATCATCAATATCCATCTTATATTCCCATCCCATCCCATCTCACCACATCCCATTCCGCATTATTCAACACCGACGACAAGACCACGCTGCTAGATAGGCAGGGTAAGCATACCATCTCCCTAGCTACGAAGGTATCCGTGCTTGCTCGCTCACTGTCTGTTGTCGTTTGTGGTGCTCGTCGCAGCAGCGGTGGTTTGTATCGCGGAGTATTTGAGGTTTGGTGGGTGACGTTCGACGGCGAGTTAGAATTCGAACTTGTGGGTTTGGTACTCTTCTTCTTCTTCTCTTTTTGTCTCTTTGCTTCGCTTTCTTTTGCTTTGCTCTACGCGCTTTCCTACTTCCATTCGTTTTGTTTCATTTCTTCTCGTTCGGCTCGCCTCGCCTGGCGAAATTCCAGGAGGGCTGGATGGAGATGGTCACATTCCGGTCCTGACCTGTCGCCTTGGTGACTGAACCATAGTCGGCGCCAGCGTATGTGACATCCAACGGACGAGGCCATGGTACTGTCGTCGTAGGGTTGATGGTCTCGGAAAGGCCTCAAGGCAGTGCCACGAGCTAGCTTTGGATCGCGGTTGTTTTGACAGTTTGTACGCCGGATTGGATGATGTGAGGCAATATGCTGGGCAGAGCGCGTAGAGCGTCTTAAGACCTCAACAATGGATCAACAACATGCCACAATATCTTTGCTCAATTCTGGAAGCGACAGTTTTCTATCACTTTGGATCGCAACGGTTCGTCTGGGAGCGGCAAGGCCATCAATATCGGGTTGATCAGCCATCAGGCCCAGAGCGTCTTCGGACGTTGATGACGATTCAAGAGCACATCCGCCTTACCTCTCCTCGAGATCTGCGATCTGGGTAAGTCCGGCGATAACATCGAACACAAGTTGTTTTGTTACGGCGCCTGGTGACACCTGCTTTTGTCTATCAACTATACATCTCCTCGGTTTGGGATGTACTCGAAGTGTACTTGGGTCGACTTCTGGTCTGCATGTGGTATGACTCCCGCCGTTATGTAAAGTTTCTTACAATACAGGTGACAAGACGTATAAGACCTTGGTCGAATCCGTTTCCTTGGCATCCGGAATATCTAGTATGCCGATGAACAGTCGATTGTAACTTCGAATTCCCTTCTCTCAAAGGTGCTGGCATCGACGACATGGTAGGCGAATCTCGAAGTGTCACTTACCAATCTTTAACATGGTCCATTGTCGCTTTTACAAGGGAGCGGAGAAACACTGCTGGACTATCAACTAACAGGTCAGCTGAGTGCATAAGAAGCCAAGTGCGCGTTTGGGTCACATTGTTCGTTCCATGCGCCACCACATTGGCGATGCTGGTTCTAGCCTTCGCATACACTTGTGTGCCTTCTTGGTTGTCTTCAAATGCCCTAGTCACCTTGCCACAGAGGAATAGATCCAGTGACCGACACCCAACAATGGGAGAGCTCGTAAGGAAGGAATCCGAAAAATACTGTGCAACACGCAGCCGGAACTGTTCGGCATCAAGAGCCTGGAATCTCTTGAACAAGATGCGATCCACGACCTTAAAAACTTGCGTCACCTATCGCGAAGTGGCTTTACAGCGACGATCAAGGACTTTTCTCGAACCTTTCAAAGCTCGATCGTAGCATTCTTTCCACATGCAAGACGGAGAACCCGACACCAAGGTTCCTCTTCCTTGATTCCGTGGGGGTGCTCTAGGTTCGTCGGGTCGCGCACTGCATGTACTATCTACGATGGAGTCAAGCTACATATCGATTCACTCCAAAACGGGATCGCAGCAGTCACCATCCCCAGATCCATGACCGAGTCATCGCTCGACTACATGCCAAAACCGTAATTCTTCGGCGGAAGTCTAGACCTAAGACGTCGATGGCAGTGCTAGATTAATTGTGACAACTACACGTCAGTGACCGTATCGGGCACCAAGGCTTCTATGAGGTATTTTGAAGTCGGTTGATCCAGCTGGGTTTCCACTCTCATCGGAAGACCCGCGTACCACTACAGTTGCCATGTGGAATTACTGCGCGATCGTGTAGACAGGCCTCATATGTTCGATTGCTTACATGGCTCAACAACAACGGCACGCATACGTCTACACCCGTCAACATTCCATCAACACTTCAGCCTCCATGACAGTTCGCGTACCAACCTGCTTTGGGGACACGGCAGTCATTTACGGCAACGACCTGCACACTCAGATGCCTTAAACTCGTATTGGATGGATATCCATGTGCACGTGGTGCCCTGGCGTTGCTCTGGACCTGGTTACACCAAGACCTACCACAAGCGCGATGTTCAACTATCTTGAATGGCCTTAGTTCGGCGGTTGGCAAGTTCGTCTTACCCCGCAAAGTTGCCTTAGCGCCTACCAATCCGGGGTAACTTTCTATCCTGGGGGTTCGCCCACCCCCAGATTGCTCAAGCATACGCATCTTGTTGGGGAGCAAGTATGTACGTATGCTGCGAAGAAATATGTCTTTTGTTGAGTTGGCCTAGCATGTTGTTGCCGTTTGCGCCTCCCAGCTGACGCGCAGCATATTTGCCAGCAAATGTCACTGAGCAACATCGTGACCAAGAACCGCGAAAACAAATTTGTAATTTCACTTAGAGTTTGGTCGCGCTGTGGCTGTGGGTAGGATGGTTCTCCGGTTTGGCCTCAAACGCACAAGATTCGATTGCTACAGTATCACGTTGTGCGGATTCCCTTCCGTCCTTGAGTCTCGACCCAAGTAGGTGCTGCCCCATGTTAGGCTAGCATGTGGGCGCAGAAGCTGGATCTTGCAAAATATCTTGGCATAGATACATGCATGAAGCTATTGGACCGGACACCTTCTTAGACCTTGATCTTGGACTTCGGGACCCAGAAAATGCGACTACCATGCTGCCAAGGCCGTTGCTGCAGTACGCCTCCCAGCCAGGGGCGTTCTTGGGGACAAGAATGCCATCGTAGCATCGGGTGATGTTACTCTTTCTACGCTTCCTTCCGAGAATCTGGGGTAGTCTATCATGACTATCGGATAGGAATCTGGGGAAAAAGCTTAGAATCTAGATGCGGGGGACGGTTTGAGTGAAAAATCAACATGTATATGAGTACTGGCCATCCTGCGTCTCTATCGAATTCTCATCCCATCTCATCTTCAGTTCTCTCCCGAAAGGGTCTCTTCTTCTTCTCATTTTCTCGTCACCTCCATCACCATGGCCACTTTGTCCTACGCAGAGGAGAAGGGCACTGTCGAGAAGATCGACTTTGTCTCTGACGCCTCTGATGTCGAGGATTCACGCATCACAAACTTCACACCAGAGCAGCAAAAGAAGATCATTCGCAAGGTTGACATGAGACTGATCCCAACACTGGGGTTCATGTACATGGTCTCTCTGATGGACAGGACCAATCTGGGTGTCGCCGTGGTAGCTGGTATGGGAGTCGATCTCAAGCTCATCGGCAACCGATACAGTATCATCGTCTTGTTGTTCTTCATCACCTACGTTTTGTGCCAGCCGCCTGCGACCGTCGTTCTGCGCAAGCTTGGTCCCCGCACCTTCCTGCCGGCGATTGTCGTCATCTGGGGTTCAGTCATGATTGGCTTTGGCTTCGTCAAGGAGTGGCACACTCTTATTCCCCTCCGCCTGGTTCTCGGTATTTTCGAGGCTGGTTTCTTCCCTGGTGAGTACATCAATCACTCCTCTACAGGTGTCGTTCTGAGACTAACGAATCAGGCTCTGCATACCTCCTCTCTTGCTGGTACCAACGCTATGAGCTCCAGACGAGGAACTCCTTCTTCTTCATGATCGGCATGTTGTCTTCTGCTTTCTCTGGTATTCTCGGATACGTCTTCTCGCTCCTCGAGGGTCATGGTCACCAGTTCGCCTACTGGATGGGCAGACACTTTGGCCCCACAAAGAAGGCACCAAAGACTCCTGTCAGCTTCGGTCCTGGACTGAGCGGCTGGCGCTGGATCTTCATCCTCCAGGGTGTTCTCACTGTCGTCATTGGCTTGGTCGGCTGGTACTTCATCGTCGACTTCCCTGAACTGGCCGCCAAACAGACCAAGTTCAGCAAGAAGTTCCTCGAGCAGGAAGAGGTTGACTTCATCGTCGCCCGCATCGAGGCAGACAGGAAGGATGTCATCCCAGAGGAGTTCAACACGGCCAAGTACCTTCGAGGTGCTCTCGACCTCAAGGTCTGGGGCTTCGCCTGGATCTTCATGATGACCACCGTTACTACATACGCCATCGCGTACTTCCTCCCAAGTAAGCAACTTACCGTCACAAATGATACATAAATGAGACATTTACTAACATGCGCTCCCAGTTATTCTAAAAGATGGAATGGGCTTCAACACCGCCATGGCTAACATTCTCATCGCGCCTCCCTACCTCTTCGCCGCCATCGTCATGATCACATACGCCAGGATCGGCGACAAGTACCACCTGCGCTCGCCCATGATCCACATGAACGGCCTCTTCACCATGATCGGCCTCGCACTCATGGGCTTCACCAAGATCGTCGGCGTCCGCTACTTCGGCGTCTTCCTCGCCACCGCCGCCGTAAACTGCAACGTGCCCATCATCCTGACATGGCAAGCCAACAACATCCGCGGCCAGTGGAAACGCGCCCTATGCTCCGCTACACTCGTCGGTGCCGGCGGCGTCGGTGGCATCATCGGCGGTACCGTCTTCAGGACCCAGGATGCGCCCAACTACGTCCCCGGTATCTCGGCCTGCATGGGCGCTGGCGCACTCACTATTGTCGTTACGGGGCTGTTGAACCTCAAGTTCTGGCGCGCGAACAAGCGCGCTGATGCGGGTGGCAAGATCATCGAGGGCCTTCCTGGCTTCAGGTACACTCAGTAGATGGTGCTTGGAGCTGGGTGGGACATGGCGGGCTGCAGTGTTTTGTGGAGCTTGTCAATGATGTTTATGTCTTGCTGTAGCTATGAATATATTTCATGATTGTTCAGATGTCTTCGTCTTTATGCATGTGACTCTACTCGGTTCGTGAACTCGCCAGTCTTCTTCTAACTTGTCCCAATGCCTCAATAATACGGCTCAGCTTGCTTTGTCCAGCATACCACGGTATTCACAAACTACCGTTGAATCACATCCCGACGATACGTCTTGACAAACGCCTTAGCACAAGCGAAAAGAAACAACTTCATGGTCATCATCAAACAGACATGGTCTCGGTGCTGTGTTTTGTTCCTCTGTACACATACCATATCCTGACTGACAACTAGACACTGAACAGCCTTAGTTACAATCGCTTACATACGATACGATGATCAGTTTACTTGCATATCACACTGCGACGCATCGAGGTTATATGGCTAGGGAAGGAAACCCAGTTCGAATCTGGAGTGAAAGGGAATGAAAGGTTGGGAGGGAAGTTTGTCGTACGTTACACACAGTCGGTGCTCCTCAAAGACTATGGATGCGCAATAGAGCTCGACTCGACAGTCAAGTCATCCGGAGAAAAGTGCTGAAAACCGTGACTTTATGTATTCAGATCTGAACGTGACATAGCACGTATATGTATAACGCAAAGAAAACATTTATGTAAGATGGTGTAACCAAATAAACCTGGGGTATCAAACACACACGCGTGCACGCTCTCGCCACACCCCCCTCCCCCTCTCTGACCAAACCAACGCATCCCGTCAAACCATGTGCCTGCGTTCTCGTGAGTCCCGTCTTCCACTGACTGCGGCAACGCAGTGTACTCACCACAAGCTGCCACCGCGGAGAAACCTGGAGACGCACTTAGCACAAATTCGGGTAGGAGATCACTGGACAACGCACTTTGCAGTCGCATAGACCTCGCCGTACTGGTCGACGCCGGCCATTTGCTCGTTGTAGCGTTGTTTAGCCTTGACTTCTTCTGGGAACCATTTCTTGAGGAATATGGCGAGTTCGTGGTCGAGATTGTCTGGCGGGAGTGTTAGCTAGCTGCGACACGCAAGCGGGTTAGAAGATTGTGGATGAGTGCTGGTGCGTACCAGAATTTGCGTCAAAGACGGTCTTCTCGCGGCAGAAGGGGCAGTTGTGCTGCTTGTTGTTCTGCATGACGATCAGGCACCGGATGCAGAAGACGTGGCTGCAGCTGAGCCTGACGGGCCGCCACTTGATCTCCATGCACATGGGGCAAGAATAGTCGTCTATCTGGGGCACGTGGGAGAGGATCTGCGTGTCTACTTCTGCGCAGACGGCTTTGGCGAGGTGCTCTGAGAAGGATGGGTATTCGACTTGACGGGGGAACGTGGATTTTACACCCAAGGCTGTGCGTTTGTCGAATTCTGTAGGCGTGTTAGTGTGTGCTGAGAAGGTGGAGGTTTGGGGTGTGGCTGGGACGCACTTTTCAGGATCTTGAGCATCGCGCTGTGGTTGATCTCGCCGAAACGTAACCCTTGCAGGATCTCGCGGTTGATGTGCATGAACATGTTCAAGGCCTGCAGATTGTTCTTCTTCCTAAACGTTTCGACTAAACCTGCCCTGGCGACCTTGTTTGAGAACTCTGCAAGTCTCATTGTCGCCTTGTCCGAGTCGTGTGCTTGGTGGTCTATTTCTGTTGTCCCAAAGAAGATCCCCTCCTCGATGTACATCTGAAAAACCTGGCGCCATGCCGTGAGGGTCTTTCTGTTGGACTTTTTACTTGGATCTGTCACTTTTGCTATTTGTTTCCCCAGCTCCTCAATCTTGACATGCATGCGCTTCTCTTCTCGCAGTTGGAGTTCCTCCAGCCCAGAAACCTCGCTGGTAAGTCTTGTGAAGAACTCGATATCAGATGTGAGAGGGACCTCTACGGTTCGGTAACCCGGCCGAACTTTAAGTCCGTTCACAAAATGTGATTCTTCTGTAGGGCTTGGAAGGTCTCCCAGTTCTGCGGGGTTGGGTGCGGAGTTCGAGTCGTTGGACACTCGCATTTGTGATACTCCAGTCTCCACAGCCAGCATCTGGAGCTTGCGCTTGGTTTCTTCGTCCACACCTGCACCATGCACTTCCCCAGTTACCTCGTCTACGTAAAAGAGCAATTTTGGGTGGAAGAGCTTCCGCGCTTTTGGCAGGTCATCTCCGGACTCGTCGCCATTGAGAATGTACTCAAAGGGACGTTCTTGGTCATCATCTTGATCTGCGGCCGCGTTGTAATCCTCAACGTGCTTCAGGAGCTTCGGCAAGTTTGTGGAGTCGAGACCCACTTCCTGCAGCTCGTTGGCGAGCCTTTTGATGCATTTTTTGAGCTGCTGATACGAGATGGCGGAATCGACCCATGTGGGCGGGAATCCTTCGTTTTTGAGGCTCTGCTTAAAAAGATGCCCGAACTTCATCGTCGCTGCTTGAACCGTGGTAGAGTTGGCCGATCCGGAGCGATGTCTTCGCACGTGGGGTAATGGAGGGGCAGGATTGGTGGCAAGTATGGCAGGTGTACCAAACTTCTTCTTTCCGACTCCTTTCCGATGTCACTCCCGACGTCCTGGGCGATGTGCAGTTGTATGTACATTCAACGTAGTTGAGTGGAAGGAAGTGGTGAGCGTCTTGGTCTTTGAAGCGGAGTTTTGCAGTGAATGAGGTCGTGATATCGGTGCAGTCTGTTGGTCATGCGTATGCCTGCTCGTCTGTGGCCCGTGATGCCTATTTGCTGGTAACCGAAGTCGTGCACCCTGTGCTGTTCAGTGATGCAGGCGTTACGTATCAGCAAGCGACGACACAAGGGGATGCGCAAACTTATGAATAAAATTGAAGCACGACATCTGTCACCCGCGAAAAATGCGCAGCCGTGGCCAGACTTTTTTTGCCAGTTTTGGCCAGCCAATGAGGTTGCGTGAGGGTTAGGCACAGTCATTCGCAGCCTCTCACGGCCACACGCAGTCGGACACATTTTTCTGGACGCGGGACAAATCGCTGCACATCCTGGTCTGGCCGTAAACCATGGGTGCGTCACAGTCGACCGGAGGCGGTGCCACGCCCGGAGGCAGCGTCGAGGTCAAGACAAGCTACTACGAGCTGCTGGGCGTCGAGCGGACTGCGACCCAGGACGAGATCAAGAAGGCGTACCGCAGGAAGGCGCTCGAGCTTCACCCCGACCGAAACTACGGCGATGTCGAACGCACAACCGCCCTCTTCGCCGACATACAGTCTGCCCACGAAGTCCTCTCCGACGAGCAGGAGCGCGCGTGGTACGATGCGCATGAGGGGGACATACTGCGGGGCGGAAATGGGGAAGGCGCGACAGAGGACCACTACCAGGGCAACATGCGTGTGACGACGGCCGACGACCTGGCGCGCATGATGGGCAAGTTCAGAGGCAAAGTCGACTTCTCAGACTCGCCCAGTGGCTTCTTTGGCTACGTGCGAGAGACATTTGAGCAACTTGCGCGCGAGGAGGAGTACGCAGCAGACTACGAGGACATCGACATACCAACCTACCCTTCCTTTGGCCACAAAGACGACCAGTATGAAGGCGTGGTGCGCGACTTCTATTCTGCCTGGAACGGTTTCGCAACAGCAAAAAGTTTCGCGTGGCTGGACGTCTATCGACTGTCAGACGCGCCCGACCGTCGCTTTCGTCGCGCCATGGAGAAAGAGAACCAAAAGTGTCGCGACGATGGCAGGCGCGACTTCAACGAAGCTGTCAGGACGCTGGTCGCCTTTGTGCGCAAGCGAGACCCGCGATACACGCCAAATACACAGTCAGACGAGGACAAGGCAAAGGCACAACGTGATGCAAGAAAGGCACAAGCTGCGCGATCACGAGCTGCACACCTGGCGAAACTAGAGCAGGAACCACAAGCGGTGCCTACTTGGGCCACAGAACGACCCGCTGACGAAGAGGAGGGGGAGGAAGAGGAAGAGGTTGAAGAGGACATATACGAGTGCGTGGCCTGCAGCAAGACATTCAAGAGCGAGCGCCAGTACGAAGCGCATGAAAAAAGCAAGAAGCACCAAAAGGCGATCCAATCGCTCAAGAAGAAGATGAAGAAAGACAACGCCCATCTGAATCTGGACGATGACGCCCTTGGTAGTGGTGTGCTGACGCCAGTGGAAGGTGACGGTGATGTTGATTCTGAAGCAGACGACTTGGAAGATTCGGTGCAAGATCTCACGCAGAAAACCAATGAGCTCGAAGTAGAAGACGTCGAGACAGACAACGATGAAGAAGCGCATTCAAAGGGTCCACCACCAGACCACACCATATCTGGACCGCAAATCAGCCACGACACCGAACCTGTCGAGGACGAAGACGACGACGACGACGATGATGAATACGTCTCACGCTCCGAGATCGAAGCCCGCCTCGCATCCTTGAAAACAGATCCCTCCACGCCTTCCGCCGAACCCATCGAACCCAACACCACAGTCCCCAAGCTCGGCAAAGCAAAGCAGAAGAAGGCGAAAAAGGCAGCCAAACAAGCTGAGGTAGACCAGTCGGGTGCTAAGAACAAATGTATGGGATGCGACGCCGCTTTTGCTTCCAAGACACAACTCTTCCAGCACTTGCAAGACCATCCCAAGCATGCGGCATTGAAGACAACGAACGGTGGAGGGGGCAAGAAGGGCAAGAGGAAATAGGCAGTAGAATATGATTTACGAGGTATGATTGACGATATGCATATGGGGGCTTGGGGTTTGCATGACTATGGCGTTATAGACGGGAGGCCCACTCACGGATTACAATAGATGAGGGTGTTGCATATGGGTTTGTAGATGGAGGTGCTCGCTCTACGAAAGTGTTAGTGCGTGGCGTTGAAGAAATATTATTCTGCCTATCGGGCACCTTTTCTCATCACGTTTCTGAGCACTTCTCAGATGCTCTTTTTTCTCGAAATGTTATATATCATGGCTTGGGAGAAACAAGGACCGTTCATGCTATCATTTCAACTAGCCTGTCCGGACTGATCTGTCGTGACAACAACGTCTGAGCAAACTCAGACATCACTGTCTCAAACACTGAACAATGGCTGGAGACTACACCACATCAGTATAAAGTGTAAGTCCTTCAAGAGTTACCATGGTATTCCGACTCCATAACGTTAGCCATGGCATGCAACGACTCCGACTCCCAAGAGCAAGAATGCTACTTCATCCTCCACGATGCTCAACCCCCACAGGCCCACTCAACAGCCATCATACGATCAGTAACCGACCTGAGATTCCAATGGCATACCGTACCTACACACTCGCCCATGCCCATCGACCTAGAACAACGCGCACACATCAACAAGATCGACATTGGCATCTCAGCAACAAGCTCAGGCGCATACTGGGCGGCGCTCCTGTCCACATTTCCGCACTTGGAAAACGTCAAATTCACGTGGCGACCATGTGCAGACGACGAAGAGGATACGCGGACGCGAAGGCTTGCAGCGCAGAGCTTCTTCGACACTGTTCTACAGACGCTATCCGCGACGTCTGTGAGGCGACTTTGTCTGCATGGCTTCGCGATGGCGTACGAGCTCGTAGAGCGGGTCTTCGCATACTGCGCGTCGACGAATCGAGAGCTTGAACTCGAGCAGATTACTCTCGTTCAGGCTGTTGGATCCACGGATATCGGCGTGGAGAAAGATCTATCTCGGACGGTGGGTTGTGAGATTGTGGAGCGGGGGTGGGTTAGGTTTGTGCAGGACATGAGGGTTAGATACCCTGGGATGGCTGAGCGGAAGGCGCTGCAGCTTGGGAGTTTGCGGGAGTTTTATGCGTCGAGGGCTGGGAGACGGGGGGTGTATTTTGATCTTGATCGGGGTGATGGGCAGACTGTGCGGATGTTGCAGGATTTGTTCGAAGAGGGAGTGTGGGGGAGGGACTTGATGGATTGTTTGTATGGTGGTTGGTGCGATGAGGGGTATGAGAGTTTGTATCATGATCAATGGGGGTACTAGGTGTTGATATCTTGATGGATGAGTATGAAAGCAGAGAGACTTGAGCGATGTGAGAGTCGCCTATTTCAGCACCTATGTTGAGACTTTTGGAGACCTTTGACTTTCAGCACTCATGTCCGAATGATAAGGTTTGGCATTAAGGTTGTTTCTAGATTGTGAAAATCCTGTTCAGCCCTGGATATTGACTTCGTGGTCGTGGATGTAAACGCTGCACGATGATGTCGCATGCGTCTTCCACCAGCACCACGACCAGAAAGCAGGGAAACGCTAGAAGAAGTGCCCGCCACTAAGAAACGGTAAAGCTATCATAGTGGACCCTGCATCTCGCCGTAAGAAGGAGAGCCTCAAATGTATCAAAATCAATTGTGGAGGCTGTTGTCTGCTCGCTGCCGTCCGCAATAATAAAAAGAAAGTTGAAATGAACAAAGCATGGAGATTGATAGCGTCAGGGTGTTCCAGCCCCGCGCCCCAAGACCCAGTTTTTTGCATTTAGCGAGATGATCTGATATTTGATTCATACATGGGTCTGGACAAGGGTGAGATTTGGACGAGATCGAACAGCAGCGCTTCAAGCCGCTGGAGGCCTGCCGCCTCCATGAACACACCCTGCGCAGTCCTATGGCAAAGCTACTGCTGTCGCTCCTCAAACATGCGCGCAGAGTGGTCAGGGAGTCATCTCCACACGCTTATCCGAAGATCTGTCAATCACGAAAGGGAGGTTGGCGTCGTACGCACGCGGTATGACGTCGCATGCCTAGATCTGCCCACTGATCGTTCCAAGCTTGCAGACCAAAGCCCGGGCCCTGATGCCCCATCCGGGGGCTGCGTTGTCTCGAAACATAAAGCATGTTTACCCTGAAGAAACCGTGATATTTTCCCTCGTTTCGTACTTTTAGAGGCCACCATGGACAAATTCAAGGTCAAGACGCGTTCGGCGCGCAATAAATTGGCAGAAGCTACTTCGCAAGGCACTGGATCTGGCTCGCTTTCTGTCCCACTTGCTTCTCTCACACCACACGACAACGCAAGTCGGATTGGTGTGAACGAAGGATACATAGGACCTCTTCCTGGCACAGTTACACACGACTTCGCGGAGCCAGATAATCAGCCAGGGATAAATCCCCCGACATCTCTGCAGTCATCTGTTGACGCTGGCATACCTGTGCCAAAGCCTGTCCAGTATGGCTCTCCTTCACACAGGGGCATGCCAAGGTAAATTTGCAAGCAACATGGAAAGAAAGTGCGATCACTTACTATTACAAAGCATGCCTGCCCAAAATTCACGACGAGGGCAACAACATCATCGGCCCCAAGTAGGTTCAAGACAAGCAAGCATAGGCATCAGACGAAAGCCATCTCCCATGGCCCTGCAACAGATGGCCCAGTATCAAAATGCCTCGACAAACAGGACGAGCGCGCCACTACCAGCAGTGCAGGAGGACAGCCCGCTCGAGCAAGTTCCGTCCAGGTCAGCCGACTCGGCAGTCACAGTGCAAGAGCCGCAATCCAGCCGGTTGAGAAAGACGAAGATGCGATTGCCGTTCTGGAGCAAGAAGAACAATGACACAGATGACGAAGAGAGTCTCTCGCCAAAACCCACACCTGCGAAGTCGTCGGCAGTCCCATATCCGGGTTACTCGTATGCAGACTACTCATCGGGCATGGTTGATGTCTTGGACACCATTGGTATGTACTGTCGACAGGTTGTACTTTGAGCCAGGCTAACCGACATAGACCCCGAGGTTGCAACTCTGACTTCTTTGACTAATGTACAAAATTCCTTGTTCATTCCGAACCTTCCTTGGCTTAATCGTCGACCAACCTACAATCTGCGACGTCCGCCAGGCGAGACCGAGAGTAATGAAGATATGGACCGACTGATAGCACGCGTGCGCGCGGCTCAGGCCGAGCAGCAGGCTGCTCCTAGACTGCAGCGGCAATCAACTGATGCTACAGTGGCTACTATTGCTACTATCGATTCGGAGCTGAGCGAGTCTCGCTATGCAGTGCTCCCCCATGGTACCTCTCTGGACGGCTGGACCAAGGACGACAAGGCGGAAGTCAACGACCATGTGCGACATATGCTGCACTCGAAGAGATCCAAGTTCAAGCGCACGATGAAAGGATTTGGACAATATGTCAGGAGACGTAAGTGTTAGTTGCTTCCGCTACTCTCGCAGCCACTAACATGTATCAGCTTTGGGTTTCCTGGTCACGCTCTATGCCACACTTATCACATTGTTCGGTCTGGCATGGGTGCTCTTCCTGATCGGTTGGGTCAACGTTGGCGGAAGACAAATCTACATCGTCCACATCATTGACAGCGTCTTGGTGGCTCTCTTCGCCGTCGTCGGTGACGGTCTAGCCCCTTTCCGCGCTGTTGACACCTACCACATGATCTACATCGCGCACTACCACCACTTCACATGGTCACGCCGAAAGAAGGAAATGCTCCCAGAACTTGTCAATCCCAACGATCTCCCCGCGAACAACGCGCCCATTTCGGCACCACGAACAACGAACCCCGAAGACCCGGAGAACCAGTGGGAATTCACCGTCCTGACGCCCAAACAGCAAACCAAGCTCGAACACCATCAAGACAAGTTCTGCAAATCCCACTCGTTCTACAAACCTCACGAGACGGAGACTCATCACGCGTTCCCTCTCCGCCTCCTAGTCGCCATCGTCGTCTTGCTCGACTGCCACTCTCTTCTGCAAATCTCCCTCGGCGCTACAACTTGGGGCATCTACTACAAAGTTCGCCCGTTTGCAATCACCACCGTCATTCTCTGCTGCTCCATCGCCTGCAACGCAACCGCCGGTCTCTTGATCTGGCTGGGAGACAAGAAAACCAGGAAGACAGATGTGCTGGAGCGCATGAATCGCCAGGAGCTAACCGAGGAGGCGATCCAGTTGGTCAAGGAGAAAAAGGAGAAGGAAAACGAGAGTGAGATGGAAGACGGGGAGGAGAGAGACGGCAAGAGGAGGATGAGCTTGGATGTGCTCCGCAAGTCGCATACGCGGGGCAGTGAGAAGGCGAACCGTGAGGAGAGTGCGTATCCGTGAATGGGGGTATGAATACAGGACAGTGCAGGTCAGATTTTCTTATGTTTTTTTTAGTTGTTTTCTTGTTGCGATTCAGCGAGCGTATACCAGGGTTTTGAGACGGTTAATTCATGATGTTATGGGCTCTTTTGTTATACATATACGTAATATGGGCATGGGATGGCTAGTATAATACTCGGTACAAGTGAAGGGATATGAGTGTCTTCTTGTCTGTGTATTATGTCGTGTAATTCACCTTGATGTTCTAGAATGTAGGCCCGCATGCCTTCTTCCGTGTTCCAGTTCTTGCACATCTCGAACTGTCCTACACCTCTACACAACACACACGCAGTTCGAGCCGTCCCCCAAGAAATTCTATCGCGGTCCCCCCTGCACAGAACTAACTGGAGAGATGCCATCCGGAATGCTTGCCAAGAGCGAGAAAACAAGAGACATCAGACCAAGAGCACGTCGCTAGATGAGCGAACGGGTCGATTTTGCGGAATGACTAGGTTGAAATACGCGATTGACAGACTGCATTGTTCGTGCTTTTCAGTAGAGTGCTCAAGCGCTCTCTCCTGTTGGGCAGGGACATGAGGTGTTGTGGGAGTTTGTCGTGGATGATGGGGTTCGAGATGTTTGGTTCTGGACGCCGCTTTAGTATCTCAATGGGGGATTTAAAGAATCGTTGGGAGGTGGGAATGATATACGGAGTTTTGGTCGGTTGTTGCATTGAGATGCTGAAGAGACGCACACGTTGTAGCTGGTCTTGCCGGTCAAGAAGCTGAGCAGTCATATATTTGTAGTGGTACGTCCTTATTTGTAGTGGTACATCCTTATTTGCATGGACTCATTCGTGCGCAAACTTTTTTCCGGTTTGACCTCATCCTGTGCATCGAACAAGTTATATCGAATGTCGATTTGGTGTATCCCAAACCCATCTTCTCCGTTCAACTCAGCAAGATCTCACGCCTCTCTTCGGGGAAATGCTTTCGAAGGGACCACGGGATTTTGTGCAATTTGGGGCTCACGATGTATTGCTCTACATCTTCGCTCTTCTCAACTCGGAAGCCGTGGCCATGTAGACCGATGAGACCTATCCTTTCTTTGACATTATCTTTACCCCATACCACTAACCCATAGGGTACAGACTCATGAAGGATAATACAGCTGAATGCTTCTTTGTGCAATGCCAACCAGAGCGGATCCCCTTCGCTGATTTTTGGAGTAAGGCGTAACGGCCAAGCTGCACCACGGGAAGGCCTATCGCCCCGTATGGCGCAGAAGACTGAACCTCGTGGTTCCATAGAAACATGATGGCAGTCGATACTCACATCCTCCTGTAGGTAGACGAATCTAAGCTCCAAGACCTTGGCCGTGATACGCAGAACGGGTGCAGAGCCAAGGCTCTTGACAGCGTCGATGAGTGATTGTTCCGATACCTCTACGCCATCTTTATCACGCACTGCTATATCGGCCCTCCGTCTCCGTCTCGGTGAGAGGATGGTACAGCCCGACCAATCTACTGATGCGTTCCATCCTGACCATGACCAACTCGGAAACCCGTCCCTTCGTTTTGCATGCGAGGGGCCACAGGATCGCCAGAGTAAGCCAAAACAGAAGGCTACCATTGGATTTGTTGGTAGATTATCATGTGGAGACCAATGACCGTTTGGTAAGAAAGCTCTATAAGAAAGCGGAATTCCCCAGTACTGGGCAATCGGGGTGGGCAGTAGAGTGAAAGCTCGAAATACGCCACTCACTGCGTTCAAAGCATCTTCTTGATATGAGAGCTTTCGTTTAGTATACTCTTGAAGGTGGCTCGCGAAACTCTGGTGGTAGGATCTGAATGCCCCGTTGAACAACATCATCGTCTCGGAACAAGGTCGATAACTATTATAATCGCATTGCTGATCTACAGCATCATCGTCTTGGACTATCGGTTCCTGAAAATTAGCTGTGTCGCATTCGAAAAAGACTTGTTGTTCAGTGAAAACCAGCCGTCTCTGAGAGAACAATCCTTCCTGGTAGGTCCACGCCCTGGAAGACCATGTCGAGTGTTGGAATGATTTTCGAGGATCTTGCCGTGAAGGTGTCAAATACCAGGATGTTGAAGATAGTACAAGCCGAGGATCCTGGAAGGCGATACTAATTCCAGGAAGACCATGGGAAGCGTTGTCCCCAGCGGCAACGATTATAGTGACGACAGCCAACTTATAAATTTGGTCCATCGACGATAATTGCTCGTGCAATGTAGATTTGTCGCTTTGATCAATGCAGTACTTGTCAATCCAGAGGTAGCGATACCCAAGTCGTACCACTACCTCGACTGCATCTTGGACGGTTCTGGGAAGACGTAAGGGAAGCGTGTCGTATCGGCTGCAACCTGGTTCTGGACATGAACTGCTTTCGTTTTCTGTCGGAGCCCCCCAAACATAGCTTAGAGCCACGTAAGTACATCTCGTAGAAACTTCGATGATCTCCTTGGTGTAGCAATCGATGACCCTAAAGCCTGGAGGGTGGTCCAGTCGCTCGTAGTCTTTACGTGTACAGTGTTGAAGGTGGTGATTTTGGCAGTCATCGATCCAGGTTTTGAGTATGTCAAAATCAACGTAACTTTGACGCGAAAGGCGAACATCATAATTCTCGACTTGTGGCGCCTGATTGTTGTGGGTTAAGAATACATCAAACACGATGTCAAGAGTTGCTGAACAAATAATGAAAGCTGCATGGAAAGATCTTCCGCATACACGTTTTCGTATCAACGTGACTGGATAGATATTGCAGCCACCTGTTGTAGAACTTGAGCGATTACAATGCTTCTCGAGTGTTGAGACGAAGAAGAAACAGCATGGACAAGGTGTGTTCTTCTGAAGATGTAGTCTTGCGAATGACTTGTCGGAAGATCGGTTTGGGAGAAAGTGTTCTACGTTGAGAGACTGGCATTGCGAGCAAAGTTCGGCTGTTTGTCGTTCTACTTCATCGGATAGTGTTGGAATTGCAAGCCGCAAGCGAGTCGAAGAATCACCAAAGGAAGGCTCAGTATCCATGGATGACGTTAAGTAGTAGAAGGGCGTCTGTCATCGGTTATGAAGGTTTGTTCTTGCTAGATATCGACAACAAACTTTGGCAAGAACCTAGTGGAGAATAGCAGCGGGCAGCAGGCAGCAGGCAGCAGGCAGCAGGCAACAGGCAACAGGCTGGCAGAGTTGGTGTTACTTAGTGAGCTGGTTACTGGAGCCAACATTTGATCGTAGGCTGAGCTGACTGCATGCCTTGCGCCTCGCGCTCGGGGTGTTGACGAAGCAGATGAATGCCATTTAGCCAAAACTGTTGGATCTGTGCTAGTGATAGGACGAGATGGTTGTCGAGATGCCAAAAGCAGGAACGAGTGCATCACGAACCCTGAAATGAAACCTACGGCCAGCACATGACACTTATCCGAGTATATATTCGGCGTCTCACGAAGAGCGAATGTAGCATATCGAAGATCTGCCTAGATGTATGTGTTAAATGTCTAGACGAACGAGTTGCGTCATACATACAAAATGACAGTTCTTGGACGTTCGGTGTTGGTCGCTAGGCAATTTCTCATCTCCCAGCCTCACCCAGCCATCGTGATTGCAAGTAGCTTTGGAAGCAAAAATAGAGAATATCAGGAACTCCGCGCCTCACAATTCCTATCCCCTTCCGCATCATATTCTCTCCACCCATCTTCACCAATTGCTCTCCAGTTTGGAAGTTGCAAGCATCGCATCGCATCGCATCATCTCCACGACACTCCGCATTCGCCCCACCGCGCTCCTGATCCCGCTCCCGCCGCGTACACGTTCGAGTGCTACACACGTCATTCTTTTGTCCTCGACTTCACGTGTAATTGTACGACGACAACGACGGGACTCGAGACAAAAGTCTGCGACGACGAATTGGAAGAGTAGAAGCGACCGGGATACCCTCCCTTGTAATAGGAAGAATAAGAGATTCGAGTGCGCCCATAGCCAAGAAGCTGCCGGCTACCCGACCCATAACAGCGTCAACTCGACCAACTCGCCAACTCCACCACCAGCGACAAGGAGAACAGGAAAGGGACAATCGCGAGTGCGATATCGACCCACGCAGACGACGAGTCTCACTGAACGAATCTACGAACGACGACATAAGAGCAGAACACAATGGCGCGCGCAGGACACTCAGGCACAATAGTAGGCTCGGCGGTAGTAATTCGCGAGAAATACTACTGGCCAGACCTACAACTCAACATCTGGACAATCGTTATGCTCGCGACAGCAGGGACAATACTAGGGGTGAACGCGCAGTTCATGGACCAACAGAACCGGATGGGGTTGGGTACACCATGGTATGTCAACCCTCGAGCGCCTAACACGGCAGCAGCTCGATTCCTGCATTATGGGAATATGTACTGATGACATTTGCAGGATCATGCCATACGGCGTCACCGTCGGCGCCCTCGCCATCATCTTCATCATCATCGAAATCGTCTTCATCGCGCAACGGAAACTGCTACCAGGCCTCATGATGCTACTCTCGTTCATCCTACTCGTCCTTTTCATCGCCGGTATCATCGGCACCGCGATACAGCTCTTCGCGGGGCCGAATATCAATAATCAATGCAACACGTACGTGTTCAACGATAGCACAAACGGGCCATACTTGGACACGCTGGCCTACCTGCAGCAGAGGAATATCTGTGAGTTGGCACCTTTGAGTGGCAGGCATGGACATGGCTAACAATCGTCTAGGTCAATGTTGGCAAGCAGAATTCGCTTTCTGGATCATAGGCAGCGTCTTCCTCGTCTGGATGATGGTCATGGCGAGTCAAGTCAACTCGAACCAGTACGGGGCGTGATACCCATATCGTTTTTGACTCGTTTCTGTTCTGTTTTTTCTTCTTATTTCCACGGCAGCTGTTATGCTGTCGAGTAATGTTTGTTCTTATTTCTCATGGGGTTATGTGTATATGAAAGGCCACGGTATGGTGGATATGGAGGGCAAAATTTATACCACTGTCTCACAGCAGCGGCGTTTGGGTTTGTTTTTACGAGATACCGAAGCATATACAGACCGATATGTCTGTATGGGAGATACCACGGGATTATGGGTAGTGTATTTCCAGCACGGAAAGGAAGCACTGGAATGGTTGCTTCGAAGGCACCTGGAGCGTTTAGCAGTGACATGAAATATGTATGTCTGAACGAAGAGAATGAAGAATCACGAGATCTTACACACGGTCGTTCCATGATGAGAACTTGACTGTGCCGCATTAACAAAGCCACTCAAGAATGACAATACCATACCAACATCCCAACCCGTAAAATACACATCCAACAATCCAACCAAATCCCCGGAACAAACCCCTAGTTCCTAGCCCCAACACCAAGATAGCGCGCCGATGCGTTGCCAGGGAGAGAAGAGCGCAAGGCAGGACGTATGATATCATTGCACACGCCTAGCCAGCCACGCCAATAAGAGGCAGTGGAAGCAAGGAAACTAGCACACGTGAGGGCATTGCGGGGGAGAGAGTGCAGGGGGGGTGGTAGTAAGATCGATTTAGTTGTGGATGTAAGCAAATACCATCGTCATTGTTGACGTTTTTTTTGCAAGTTCATGGTGAGGTGATTGGTGGGGGATGGAGGGCGATTCTGCGCTTCGCTTTATAGCACGGCATTAGGTGGGGAAAAGCAAGGTTGTGGGCGGCGCTGCGAGCTGTCACGGCAATTTAGAGTCGCCGAACAGGGCGTTGGCGGTTGGGGGGTACTGGAGTGTGGTGTGGTGTGGTGTGGTTGGTGTAGCAGCGATTCGCTCTCGATCCAAACCTGCCCTGCCTGTATCTGCACGCAAGCGAAAAAGAAACAAAGAAAGCCTGTTGACATGCAGGAGGAAGAATGCCGTAGGGCCACAAAAAAAAATCATACACGCACGATTTGCAGGCCTGCTTGTTCAAATGATTTCTTTTAAGTTTTGTTCCCCCTTTCTCAGGACCGATCCTTGCTTGTACCCCTACTCGTTCCAGAAAATCTGGGTAGCCAACGTCTTTCACGTGGCTTTCCCTCCACTTAGGTAGTCCGCTTCTACGCAAAATAATGTAGCTGTAAAGCTCGAATAAACAAAGAAAAAAGCAAATATGTAGCACATACTGTAGTTTAACGCCCCAAAGTTCCAACCATTTGCCACTCTGCTCAGGACCCTAATTGTAGTACTGCAACCAATAGAATACACCGCAGGACCCAGCACAGCGAATGAAGGCCTTGCACAGAGTGGCTTGAACTTATGGGGGATGACGCCAAAAAAAACATACCGTTGAAGGCGCGCACAATGAAAAAAGTGCCGGGGAATATGTAGTACAGAGCACTTGCGGGGAAAAACGATAGAAACGTACACAGAAACCGTCATTGTGTAATCCAACAGCTGACAAAAGGTGCGACAATCGAGAAGTGCCTCAAATGAGGTTGGTGTGAAAAAACAGTTGCTCCAAGTAACACCCGTGAACTCCGTGCTCTGGATATCAATTACGATCAAAGAAATTGCTGCCGTGTCGACGAAATAGCCCCAACGATAGGGGGCTGGGCATTTTAGACGCATCTAATGTCATTGCGCCGTCGTTGCCATATGCCTCATTCAAGGTTTGTGTAGAGAGGGTGTGTATCGCCATAATGTCTCTTTACGAAATAAGTTCACCTCCCAACTCCATACCGAGGCAATCATGCTTGCCGATGCGTGAGCTATGTTGTGAGCCATCGCCAGTAGGTGGTGCGAAATTGTCAAAGTTAAGGCGACGTCGTGCCTCGCGGACTGCAGCGGGAGTCCTGCCTGTGATTGGGGTGCGGTTCCATGATCCGGTGATTTGTGCAGGGCTTGGTGACATATTCAGGAACTCGTTGAAGTTGAGATTGTTCGAAGGTGTGCCCAAAGCGAAGCCCGCGAATGGTGCCCCGCCACCTCCAGGTGTGGACATCATCGACGAGGGCAAGGGAGGCGGTGTAGAAGGAGCCGGCATCAGAGTCCTTACCGAGCCTGCTCGGACTGGTGTTGGCGATGCATCCAGATGCACCAGCAAGCCTGCGTCCTCGTCGCCCATCTTTCCTTCCCGGGCTGCACCAGCCGCAGTGAAGCCTCTCTGACGAAGACGAGCCGAGCGAGCGACATTGGGCGGTGGTGTTTGTGGCGCCCGTGGCGGCGATGATCGGACGTGGGAACGGGTCAGCTGGAAGGAGCTGATGGGCAGGTCCTCGTCGTCGTCCTCGGACAAAAGGGGGGAGCGGGGGTCGTCGGGGATGGTGGATGTCTCGGAGACAAAGGACAGACTGGGGACATGTGTGCGCCCGAATCGTGCGTGTCTGCGGTGGTATGCAGGAGAGGACTCGGGCAGCTTGAAGTCATTCTTCCACGAGGTCGAAGCGGTTGTCAGCGACCTCGCTTTTTTGCGGGTGTGGTTGCTGGATGCCGGATATGTGTCTAGGGAGCGGTTGTGTCGGAGCCGCCTGCTCTGGTCGTGGCTGTGGCTGCTTGCCGAGCGGGTGCCCGACCGTCGAACAGCGTCTGAGAAGATGGGGGCGGCAAGTGGTGACGAGTCCAGGACGCTGGGCTGGTAGAAGCGCTCGGAAACGCTGGAGACGTCGGACATGGCCTCGTTGCTGGAGCCAGGGCGCTTACGCTTGAGCTCCACATCAACTCGCGGTTCAATGGCATCCAGACTGAGGCTCTCCCACCCGTTTTTGATCTTGACATTGGCCAGGGCGAGGCGGTTCTGCAGCGTGCGGGTCATCTAGAGCACGGCGGCGTTAGCATGTCCTGTCCTCAGGGCCGACACTGGGCAAAGTACCTTTGACACCTGTGCCCGCCGCAGGACCTTGGTCGCAACGTCGTCTTGTTCAGCCATGGTGAGGGGTTGCAGCGAAAGGGGCTGGCAGCGGGGAGGCGAGGTTGATGTTCTCGGGCAGTCGTCTCACGGAGGTTGCGGGTTGCGAAACCATACGTCTGGCACTGAGTCGAGCGTCGGGAAGGAATGTGAGGAGCGTGTTAATGTGGACTAGCCTGGCGCACTGGCCCCAATTGTGTTAGGGCGGACCTGCGACGAGGTCGGTCAAGAGACGATCAAGCGCATCATTCTTAGTGCCCAAGGCGGCGCTGGTGCCTGGTGCAACAAGCAATTTACGTAGGTGAGGGTTTGGCGAGCGACAGGGGGCATGACTGTCGTCCGGCTGTTCCGAAAGCTGACTAAGTACAGAACTGCGAAACATTTCACCGTGCCCTGCGCCACTCGTTGCATGTACCTAATCACTCACTGCAAGTAATCGCTCACTGTCCAAGATGCGCCAGCCAAGCATTGGTATGCAGATGTGTAGATGTGACCTGTGATCTGGGACAGGCGCAGACTCGAGCAGAAACCCAACGTCGTCGTTGGTTCTTGACTCTGATTGAGCCTAATGTTCTGTCCCGTTCAGTTCGGTCTCAGTTCAGTGCAGTTCCCGTTGAAACACCAGCAAACAGCTGCCAGAAACTAAGTTCAACGGCCGCGCGAGCGACCGCCCGCTTGGCAAACAACGTCATCGTCGCGAGTCGCGATGATCTGCCTGTGCAACGGAGGTGTGTCGCTGTATTGCGCAGTCGCTCCTTCCGTCTGCGGTTGCATGGTCGTACCACATCCACACTCAATGTCAGAGATTGTTGCCCGCTGCAGAGGATGAAGCTGCCACCTTCTCCCTATCTTAGTCCAGCTCCACGCAAGCAAGCAAGGCCTATCGGCGCCATTCACCGACTTCAATCCACCCCCGAAAACCAGCAATCTACAACACAATTCCCAGTTCGCAATCCCCTTTACCACGCTCGCTTTTCACTGTAGCATCTTCTGGCTGTACCTGTTTGCTCCCGCCAGCGTATACACTCTAGCCTATGGCCATTGCCGCATTTCGCAAGCTTGCCGCATAGATACTCAACACGCTGCATTACGCGTCATCTGCGACATCTTGCACCCTGCACAGACTACACGTCTTTCGTCTTTCGCCTACCGTCTCTCGTCGCGTCCATGAGCCCATAGTCCATTCAGCCCAGTTCATCCAGCCAATTCACCCAGCATCACAACCTCGCCCAGCGTTACAAGTCTGCACCCCATACCAGCCATGCCTTCTTTTCTCAAGTTGCGCAAGATGAGCAGCCGGAGCTCCAAAGCAAGTGGGACAATTGCCCAATCGTCGCCTGAGGCTCCGGCAAACGGACAGCATAACAACGGCGTGTTGGGTCGTAAATCCTCGTCAACCCTTAATTCGTCCCGGCAGCTCGACTCGTCGACCCCGTCAACTACCCCAGGAACTTCGACAACCCCAGAAGTCCCAACGCAACCGAACGGCCAAATGAACGGAACCCCACTGCCTTCCCGCCCCCAACGGCCGAGTGTCGACCCCGTCAAGCGTTACAGTATGAATGTGAGTAGTAAAAAAACAAATTTCGGTGTAACCAACTAACACACAACTCCAGGGCGCATCATCGGCGACCCCCAACGGCTCTCACAGCAATATGAACAGATCATCATTGCTTGCGCCACGCGTTATATCCATCTCTGATAATTCATGGGTCGGTAGTGCTGCTCTCGAAAACTATACACATTGCTGATCAAGGACAGGTGCATCAACAAGTACTGCTGATATTTGGTCAAATTGGTGACTCTCCCCACAGGCCGCTGGACGGCTCGGTGACTGTCAACCATCATCAAGGCCAGTTCCCGTCCACTGCCTGGCAGGTAAACGATTCCTACTTCAAAGCCTTGGTGCACCTTGAACCAGGATGGAATCGCATACGTCTTGACTTTACCTCGCCGAAAGTATCCTCGGGTAACATTTCCATGTCAGCGCATACCTCTTTCATCAACATCAACTACCTACCTCTGACGCACTCTCCGCCTCTTCAACTTGCGATCATCCTGGGACGCGATTCTGAAGGCACTTACGATGCACCGCCTGAGCGTATGCAGGCCGAAGGCAATGGATTGGACCTGGCTATCAAGAAATTTCGGATGGCTGCATACCTTTGGCAAGCCTTTACAGGCGAGCAAATGAAACGCTATGGCTTCGGACGTCGTTGCTTTCGTTTGGAGGACGCTTGGGAACCGGGAACCTTGAGCTTTCAGGACTGGGCAACGAAGCCATTTCGAACACAAGCCAGGGTTCACATCATTCGCTCGAACAAGACTGTCGCAGACATCAGAGACCTTGAGCGGGCGCAGCAGTATGGACCAGGAACGAAAAAAGACGAATTGTTTGGCATCGCTGCAGAAGCAATCACGGACTACTTCCAGGCTACACCAGGCCAAAAACTGTATGTTTCAGCCATGTTCTTGGACTCACACTGGGACATCAAAGACAAGACAATTCGAGGGCATGCAGCCTTGGGCGGAGGAGTTGGGAACTTGCAATTGGGTATATTTGGATCGCAGGCACTTCACAGTTACCCATCGAGCATCGAAGAAGTTCACCAAGCTTTCCAGGATTGTCATCGAACAGATACTGCATTTGTAGCAAATGACTGCAACGAGTCTGGAAGCAACTGGGAAGCTGCAAACATTGGTATCGGCGCCCACTTGCACGAGACTGGTCATCTGTTCGGCTGCCCTCACCAGGAGTCCGGTATCATGTTACGCGACTACGTCACGTTTAACCGCACATTTGTCTGCCGTGAGCCTTACTCGACTCGAACAAAATCACCTGGTCAGCGCCTGATTCTACCTGAAGACGAATGCAGGTGGCACAAACTGGATGTGCTACGCTTTCGGTTCCACCCGTGCTTCCGGATACCAATCGACAACGCGAACGTCAATGAAGACGGCAGTGTGCAGGTGTGGACCGTTGACAGCACCCAAGGTGGTGTGGTTGCAACCTCAAAGTCCGGCATTGCTTGGGTCGAACTTTATGCGGAGGGAGACGATGTATGTCGCTCTTGGAATGAGTGGCCAGAAACAGACAACCAGTACCCGCGGCAGGTTGTACTAGATGAAGCTATGCTTCGCAGCTTGTTACCAAAAGAGAAACAGAAGTCTCGGCTCAAGATCGAGATTTTCTCAGCAGGTGGAGGAAAGCATGTCGTCGAGGATTTCAGCCAGCTCGCGAACCAGAAAATCGCTCGTGTGAAGATTCCTGATGGTCGGTGGGGCTACCGCGGTAGCAAGTTGGGCTACTCACAGATGGAGGGTTCGCAGCCATGCGAGATCGTTCTGCAGAGCGCGCATATCTCGACCAAGCTTCTGCTGAGTATCAAAGTTTGGCATGGTCTTGCAGTGGACGGATTGGAGTTCTTCTACGAAGATGCAACAAGCCAGCTATTTGGCAAGCGAGGAGGTGGTGGTACGGACTTCCCTCTGGATACGCGGAAAGGCGAGCTTCTCCTGGGGTTTTCGTTGCGGGCAGGGCTCTGGATCGACGGCCTTCAGATATTGACCAGCTTGGGGAGGAAGAGTCCGTGGTTCGGGAACCCCAACGGTGGTAGCGGGTACGTGCCGAATTCGAGAACACTACTCACCTCAGCAGCTAACTGGGTCCAGGCACACTCTCATTCCGCCTCGCGGCTACACTATTGGCGGAATATCGGGCTCCTCTGCTGCGTGGCTGGACGGCTTCGCATTGATCATCACACGCTGATATCACACGTGATGCGACTCCTGTTTGTCCTTCCAACACTGCCACTCGCGGTTCAGATCTCGGGCGAGAGGTCCCTTACACTACGCTTACAGGCCAGACATCACCAACGTCCGTCTACCCACCCAGCAGCAAATCGCCAGATATTTTGCCCCCACAACCGCTCATCATACATACACATCGCACATGTCGAGAGAGATATGTCGGCTATCCCCCGAAGAAGGAAAAGACTTATACCTCCCGAATAGTTGGCGTTAGATTTACTACAAAGCAAAATTGTTCAACGATGGTATATGTATATTAGCCAAACAACAGAACACAACAGATCAGAGCGGAACAGGTGCATACGGACAGACAGAATGTAAGGTGGTGTGAAGATGGTTTGTGGGTAGGTTACTCGGTAATTGGGGGAGGAGAGGGTGTTTTTTGTTTCTTCAAGGAGAAAATCTTCTCTGTAAAAACATGGACAATTGAATAATAGAACCTAGTGCAGGATCTGTAGTGAGTCGTTTAATATACTGCTTTCTTCTTGCCACGCTGTTGCTGTTGTTGTGAAGTGGTATTGCACGCAATTTTACACGAGGTCTTGGGTGATGTGTATTGAACTCGAGCTGGGGGAAACTATCATGGTCAGGCAGGCACTGGCAGGTGATGTTCAATCTTGACATGAGAGCTTGAGTGTACATGTAGGAGCGGTGGTACCATATACTACATATTCGCTTTGCTCGCTAGTCGTAGCATTCATCATGGCCGTTGTACCAAGTACAGTATGTGATGCGTGCTCCAAACAACTTCTCAATCCATCTTTCAGCGTAGGACTCTTCACACCTCCACATCTCCATCATCGCCTCTCCTTCCAACTTATACAGTCCACATGCTCACGGCTTAGGTACGTGGATAGTCTTGCTCGTCATCAAACACCCATGAATAACAAACATGCCCACAATAGGGTGGAACTCCCACAGGGTTCCCTGACCCCAAACGCCCAGCGGCACGCTGTCCATTATCCAGCCGTTGCGCGCCCAGAAAGCCATCAAGCCGGCGAGACCTATGGATGTGGGGATCGGCGTGCCTTCGAAGTACTTTGATTTGCCTGTGGCGTCTTTGGGCAGCATGGCGACGGTGACATTGAAGCGCGCGAGGCGGGTCAGACCGCAGAGGACGAAGAAGGCGAGGAGGAGGTGGTCAAGGGGTGTGCGGAGGCCGAGAGCGAAGGCAGCGGCTGCGGGGGAGACACCAAAGGACACCTGAGGGGTGGTTAGTGCGTGGTCGTTCTAAATGTGGATGTAGATGTGGACGTACCAGATCAGCAAGCGAATCGAGCTCCTGGCCCATGAGACCGGCCTTGCCTCTCCATCGTGCGACCTTGCCGTCCATCAGATCGAAGAACATGCCTAGGGGGATGAGGCCAAGAGCGAAGTAGAGGTTGGTGTAGTTGTGCGGGTCGTCCTGGATGCAGTAGCGAAGCGAGGAGAAGACGGACATGACGCCGCAGAAGCCTGGAGGTGATTGTTAGCACATGTCATCGCGGGCTTCGGATATCGCGTCGCTGCAGAGCAGAGTGGAAAGGGGGTGGGCGCCATACCGTTCATCTCAGTGATAAGATCCGCAAGGTGCAGAGCACGAATGAGGGAGAAGTGGCCGACATCTGAGGTGAGTAGACGGACTTGGCTATCTTGCGCTGTTTTGCTGTTAGCATAGGTACTCTTATACTTGTTCGCACACTATACTGACATTGGGTTACCGGCGGAGAAGTTGCTTCGTCCTTGGACTCAGCAGGCGCGCCGTTTCTACGTGACATGGTCGTTGTGTATTTTTGGTCTTCTTCGTTGGGTAGTAGAGAGGTTGCGAAATAGGCAGATATCTGTGTATGAATAGAGGGTGCAAGTCGGAGAGAAAAGCGTGGTTATGTTAACCTGGCAGTGACGTGCAGCCAGGTTTCTCGCCAAACGTCATTCTTTGCGCCAGCCACACTTGTTGTACACATGGTTTGCCAAGATTTTGGAACTTGCGCGCTTTTGTGACGACTACGACGGTCCGGTCGCCTTGATAGACTGCAATCGTGCAGCATGGAGTCTTGGATGGATTCCCGGGGTTCTTACTTGTTTCGCTCCTATGACTGTCTGGAGGTCCTCAGCTACTTGTCGGTAGTCATGGAGTCTGTAGTATAGTGCAATCCAAACGGCTTATCGAGACGATGAAAACGTACATTCACGGGCTGCTTATGAGAATGTAATTTAACAACTTGATTGAAAAACAAACGATAGCCTTTGCACCCTTCTCGAACTATGTCCAACTTGGCGCCTTGTATTTGACATTTTACAAAAAATCCCAGGTCAGCTCCCAAACGCCGTCGAATGATCATGGTATCGAGAGACAATCGTAAGGCCCGGGTCGACCAGTTCCATGAAAAGGTGTCGCCCGTCCCAGCCTTGTTGAGATGGAGTGATCTTCGATGATCGATCCAAGGACGATGCGCTGCGCTCAGTAACCACCTCGTCCACGGCCGCCACCACCACCGCGTCCACCTCTTGAGAAACCACCACCGCCGCCACCACGCGAGAATCCACCGGATCCGCCAAATCCTCCTCGCGAGCCACCGCGTCCAGGGGGTCCGCCTCGTCCTCTTGGTGCGCCGCGACCACGGCCTCCGAATCCACGGCCTCGTCCACGGTCTCCTCCACGGCCTGCACCAGCGGGCTTCTTGACGCGAGCCGCACCTGGGGGAGGCTTGGGCTTGGGCAGGAACCTAGACTCGTTAGCGCATGCGCATCCTGAATCTACACAGCGTGCCATACCTGTCAATGGGCAGGAGCTTGTCGCCTCCGATGTAGAACTTGTCGCCAGGCTGGAACGACTTTGCCTGTATGCCCTCTTGCGGCTTGATGGTGAAGTAGACCTGGTTCAATGGGCCGCAAATCTCGTCAACCTTGCCAATTGGCGTCTGCGACTCGGTCAGCTCTGCGCGTTGCTGTCGTGCATCTCAATGCATGCGCACCTTGTTCTCCAGGTAGATTGGCGCGTTGAAGTAGGGGATCTTGACGTTTATCGACTCGCAGAAAAGCTCGCCCTCGACGTCGTGCACGAATTTGCCCATCTCTAGTGGAGCCTGTCAGCGACGACCTCGAAGCATTTGGCGCTCGCGCGTACCGTAGACTTGGTCTGGGGGTCCAAAGGAAGCTCCTCCTCCGAATCCACCGCGTCCTGCAGAGAAGTTAGCTCCATGTACGGCAGAGCTCCAGCATCGAGCTGCGCACCTCCACGGGGAGTAAATCCGCCCCTTCCGCCGAAGCCACCGCCTCGGCTTCCTCCTCGTGGTGTTCCGCGAAATGACATGTTGTATGCGTCGTTGGGTGTGCAAGCGGTTGCGCGGAGTTCGAGCTGGTTGAGCTGTAGTTCGCGAAGAAAGAAAATGAAAATCGCCGGCCCGTCGGCGAATCCTTTTGCCGACAGCGTGCCTTCCACTTGCACCCCGCGCCAAGGCCAAGTGGGCTGCAGTGGGTGCATTGAGTTGCGCCAAAATTATGAGTCGACTGCTGCCCTAACTACTCCAAGGGTGACACAGATTGGCTTCGAGTCACTTCAGCTTCTCTCGCAAACGACACAGCGATTGTACCCATACACCCTTCAAACCATAGCTCTCAGCGTGGAGCGACTAGACATCTACTCAATCGACACAACCGACTCGACCGTAGTCTCCAAATATGGCGGAAGCGGTTAAGGATGCCGTCAGCCAAGTCGCCGAGGGTGTGAAGAATCTTGCCGTTGCTGGGGAGCAAAAGGCAGAGCAGAAAGCCCCTAAACCCAAGAAAGAGAAGAAGCAGAAGGGTGGAGACAGTGATGGCCGGCCTCTAATGCTCGACCCAGTACCGGAATACATCGATCATCGAGTCCAGATCTTGTAAGTCAGCATTGTCCAGTCTGTTGGCTGGATTATCTCGTGTAGTCTTTCGCCAGAACCACGGAGTGTCTCAGAGTCATCCAAACTCGTACATTACAAGTCCATGCTAACGATACCCAGCGAGAAGCTCAAGGCCAAATACGACGAGGAAGTTGCCCAGAAGCCCCGTGGTACGCTCCTCCACCCCGGACCCACACCACATCGCTCTACTGACGCATGTTCCCTCATACAGAGAAGATCACCGTCACACTCGAAGATGGCAAGATGTTAGAAGGAGAATCATGGGTCACTAGCCCCGCTGATATCGCGCGAGGCATTGCCAAAAGCTTGTTCGAGCGCACCGTTATCGCTCGCCTCGACAAAGGTACGGCAGAGGAGACTCTCTGGGATCTTGAGCGACCACTCGAGAAGAGCTGCAAGCTGGAGCTCTTGCCATTCGAGCATCCAGAGGGCAAGAGGGTCTTCTGGCACTCGAGTGCGCATATTCTCGGAGAGGCTTCCGAGCGCAGATTTGGTTGCGACCTCTGCATTGGGCCTCCAATTGAGGATGGCTTTTACTACGAAGTAGGTCATATCCTGAGAACAATTTGGGTAGCTTCGAAGTACTTCACAACTGCTACTTCACAGTTGTGGACAATTCTGAAGCTCTCCATATTACTGCAAAAGCACCCGAAAATACAAAACGAATCTTACTAATGGTTCCTTAGATGGCCCTGCCTGAGAAGGCGGCTGTAGAGCAGTCAGACTACAAGCCACTTGAGACCATTGTCAACAGCATTGTCAAAGAGAAGCAGCCCTTCCAGCGGCTCAGTCTTTCGAAAGACGACTTGTGAGTATTGAAATAATCAAATCAAGACTTGCTGCTGATCAGTATATAGGCTTGAGATGTTCAAATCCAACCCATACAAGCAACACATTATCAAGGACAAGATCGCCGACGGCACCTCCACTACTGTATACCGTAACGGACCTCTCATTGATCTTTGCCGAGGACCTCACGTACCGCACACAGGACGAGTCAAGCAGTTCAAGGTTATGAAGAACTCGGCGTCATACTTCCTTGGAGATGCCAACAACGACAGCTTGCAGCGCATCTATGGTGTATCTTTCCCAGACAAGGACTCGATGCATGAACATCTGAAGTTTCTCGAGGAGGCTGCAAGGCGCGATCATCGAAAAATTGGAAAGGAACAAGAACTATTCTTCTTCCACGAGGCCAGTCCTGGTTCATGCTTTTTCCTCCCTCACGGCCAGATCATCTACAACACATTGCAGGCATTTCTTCGTGAAGAGTACTGGAACCGTGGCTACCAAGAAGTTGGGTCGCCTAACATGTTCAATTCTTCCCTGTGGAAGGTCTCGGGTCACTGGCAGCACTATGCCGAGGACATGTTCACTTTCGACGTTGAGAAGGAAAAGTGGGCGCTGAAGCCTATGAACTGCCCCGGTCATTGTCTGATCTTCAAACATCGGGAGCGAAGCTACCGAGAACTACCGATCCGTATGGCCGATTTTGGCATTCTTCATCGAAACGAAGCAAGTGGTGCTCTTACCGGTCTTACACGAGTTCGTAGGTTCCAACAGGACGACACCCACATTTTCTGCACACAGGATCAGATTACTGAAGAGATTTCGGGCCTTTTCGATTTCCTGAGAGCTGTCTATGGAAAATTCGGCTTTACCTTCAAGTTGAAGCTGAGCACACGTCCGGAGGGTTTCCTAGGCGAGATCGAGACATGGAACAAGGCAGAGGCAAAGTTGACTGAAGCCCTTGATCAGTTCACGGCTGGAGGTGGTGGTGCTTGGGAGCTGAACCCTGGTGATGGCGCCTTCTACGGTCCCAAGATCGACATTACGATTTCTGATGCACTCAAGCGAGAGTTCCAGTGTGCTACAATCCAGCTCGACTTCCAACTTCCCAACCAGTTCGAGCTTGAGTACATGACTTCTGAGGTCGCAACGGCAAAGTCGAAGGATGACAAGACCAAGGAAGAGCAGCCAAAGGCAGAGACCCAGAAGGACGAAAAGAAGGAGGGCGATGCGCTCACAAAGAAGATCCCTCCACCACAGCCAGGCTACGCTCGTCCAGTCATGATTCACCGCGCTATTTATGGTTCATTCGAGCGGTTCATTGCGTAAGTTGTTCCATATATGTATAACACTCGAATTGACTTGCTAACATACAACCAGTATTCTGACAGAACATTTTGCTGGCCGCTGGCCATTCTGGCTCTCCCCTCGCCAAGTCATGGTTATTCCCGTCATGCCTTCTGCAAACGACTACGTCAAGGAAGTGCAGGCCGAACTCCGCAAGCAACGCATTCACGCCGACATCGACATCAGCGGCAACACCATGCAGAAGAAGATCCGTACCGCACAACTATCTCTTTACAACTACATCATGGTTGTAGGAGCAGAGGAGCAGGAGAAGAAGGCAGTCAACTGGAGAAACCGTGACGACCAGGCCTCGCAACAGCGTGGTGAAGTCGTCCCACTCGACGAGGCAATCAAGAAGCTGGTGCAGTTGAGAGACGAGCGACGCATTGAGAACCATATTTGAGAGAGATATACCAGGGGTGTGATGTGAGTAGATTAGTAGGCATACGAGGGAATGAAGATACGATGCAATGAGATAAGTGAATACAATGTTCGCTAGCATTCTTCAAAGGATGGATTTCTCGGTACCATGTACCCTCGAGAGTTGACGTCAAAATATTACAACTGGTTTCAACCGAAAACGGTCGATGAAAATCATGAAGTGATATTGTGCATTGACTGCCTACTCTGTATCAGAATCAACTAAAACTTGATGAAAAAGGTGCACTTGAGTTGTTTTCATTATACACAGCTGTATCATCTTCGTTACCTCTCGGTAACTTCAAACTTTTTATAGAAGCAGATAGACGCAACACAGTAAGACCCCAATATATCACAACGCAGTTTAGATGCCGACCCCATCATTTACAAACAGTACTTATCAACAAGAGTACATAGTAATATCTACGCATAGCTTTGACCTCATCTGACCCAAACAGTCGAATCAAGCCAAATGGAGCAGACATCACATACTCTCCCCATCGATCACATTCAAAATAAACCCACATGCAGGAAAACACAGGACAAGCGTTACTCACTCCACAAGAGAAAAAATACGTACTGAACGCACGGCATCGATACCAGTATCTATCAACTCCAATCCATCCGTTTTGATCATAGACGCAACTTGTCCAATGTAGTCAAATTTATTTTCAATGCAGAGATACCAGACACCAGACCCTCAAGGCCATTAAACGACTTCAGTGACTCACTACGAGCCGTTCTACAAACCTGTCTCAGCTCAACATGCCTCCTAGGATCAAGTAAATACAGCGTCCAACCTTGACACATCGTGAGACTTCAAAGCGAAGTACTCTGTACGCCAACGCTACTGTCAAGCAATATATCAGAAACCGTCCATCATAGTAGATACATGAGAGGTTTCGTCTACGAAACTGAGGGGTTTTAACTTTTAGTGACATGTTTTGTTACGTAGAGTATTAGTGTAAGTCTACGAAATAATGCGTTTTTTTTCAATGGCACTCAAACGATAAGACTACCGGCGTGTTTGTTACGCGATGCGACGCATGCGAATATGTGCTGTGCTATGCTATGCTATGCTATGCCACGTTATATTGGATTATTTCGTGGCTGTTGAAGAGTGGGCATATGTGGGGTGTCGATGTACTTGTATGACACCAATTTCTCAGTCGTTTTATAAAAGTGGGTTTGTTTATTTAAGGTTTGAGTGGAGGCCTGAGGGGGAAGGATAGGAGACGAGGAGTTCATTGTGGGTACGTCTGACATGAACCGGGGAAAGTGGTCTTGGACTGAGGAGTGGTCGTTGTATACGTCTGTACGTTAAGATAGCCAATGTCAAAATCAAATTCATGTGAAGCAATGAGCCTAAAAGAACAGTGAAGGATCAGGTGAAGATCACTTCTCAGTTTTATGATATTGTCAAAGTACAGTAAGAAGTAAACTTTCCCCTTTTGTCATCTATGGTAGAGGGAATTCAAACATAGGAAAGACCGCCACACGTCGTCATGTCACCATGACTGATTAACACGTATCTACAACAAGATCATTGCCATTCCGGCTGCCACAGCGCCGGTGACATACATGCCAAGGCCCAAAAAGCGGAAGTTGAGCTGAGGAACAGAGAGACCTGCAGCAGCACCCGCAGAGCTGGAGCCAGAGCCAGAGCTCGAGGCCTCACCGGTGGAGCTAACAACACCAGTTCCGGCGGCGCCGACAGCCTCAATCAGTTTCGAGCAGCCTGAGGCAGTGGCCGAAGCAGCAGCCTTGGTGGTAGCCTTGCCCTTGAAAGCACAGCCACCGCTGACAGCATCGGCGTATGTGTTGAGGACAAAGGAAAGCTGCTCCTTGCTGGAGCACATGCTGTAAGAACCGTAAGGACCAGAGGTTGCGTTCTTGTTGATGCCAGCGCAGTACTTGCCACTCTTCAGGCCGCAGACATAGCCGAACATGTCACTGTAGTCGTCCTCGGTGGCCTTGTCAGCGACAGTGCAGGAGAGGCTGTCCATCATGCAGCTGCAGAGCTGCGAGTTGGCAACGGGAGGCAGGGAAGACGATTCCGCCTCCCATGTACCTTGCGTGACCTTGGGGCATGCAGCAGCGGCGGTGTTGGTCGGGTTGTAATCGCTCATCTTGACGCCGCTAGGAGTGGCCTTGGCGATCTGGCTGGACAAGTTGTCGAAGTCCTTGTTAGTTGTAACCTTGCCGTTGGAGACAGTGGCAAGACCTTGCAGTTGTTAGCGCGATGTCGTCGTCTCCCAACAATCATTGAACATACCATATTCGTTGGCTTCCTCGAAGTACATGTAGACAATACCGCCAGACCAGATATCAGTCATCTTGCTTCCGTACAAAGCGCCGACCTCAGTGAATTTGCGAGGACGGGGCGTGTTGCAGCCGTACTCAGCAAAGAAGACAGGAACATTGTACTTCTCAAACTCCTTGGTACGGACGTCAAAACCAGATTCAGTGTACGAAGAATCACCGCACCAGGAGTAGATGTTGTAACCCCAGAAGTCGATAGAATCCGTCGAATTTCCACAGTCGAAGTAGTTGGCGAGGTTCTCACGGATACCAGCATCGTCGTTGGTGGCATATCCGACACCAATCTCGCGGTAGTTTTTGCTCTTGATATAGGCCTTTGTGTCACGCACAGCCGCCTTGACGAAAGCGCTGGCCTGTGTGTTGTTTGGCTGGTTGGACACCTCGTTACCTGCGAAGAAACCGAGTGTGTTGTCGTACTTCATCATCTCATCGACGACGTTGGTGTAGCGCTCGTAGAGCTCGGTGGTCCATCCTGGGTCGTCTCGGTTGATCGAAAGTCCTGGCTCGGACAAATCGGCCACGACATAGATGCCCGCATCGGCAAACGCCGTCATGCAGTCACTGTGGTCCTTGGATGGATCAATAGCGTACACGCGGATGGTGTTTGTCTGGAGCTTCTTGAGGTATACGATATCGCGCTTGCATGCTGTGCTGTCTGCAAGAGGGTCCGTAATGTCGAGCTTATCGGTGTCGGTCTGTGAGCTGTTCGTGTTGACCTCCTCTAGTTTCTGTAAGCCTTGATTGCGCGAAAAGAAAGATCAAAAAGCCTACGTTGGTATGCGACACCCTTCATGAAACTTCGAAAGTGTTAGCTTGGTTCAACATCGCCATACTGTAATGTTACTTACAATTGAGTGCCGTTGCCCTTGTAGAAGAACTTGGAGCCCTACTAATGTCAATACCCCAGTCGCACCTGCCGTGGCTTACTAGCATACCTTGATAACGATGGGATCGACTGCCGCTTGCACGCCGGCGAGCAAAGCGGTCGCAGCAAAGATACCCCGCATGTTGATAAGTTATCACAAGATTATCCAAGAAAAAGAAGAAATTGGCAGCGCTTGATGGTGAGGTGCCGAGATTTCGCGGTCAAAGAGTGTGTGTGGAAAGAGGCCTGATAGTCGTGCAGTTCAGTTAAAGAGTGTGAAGTAACGGCAGACGGGGGCCGGACGATGTAGTTGGCGAACAATTAAAAAGAGTGACTGGTAAAAGGAAAGTTTCACTGCAGAAACAGTTCTGAGGCGCACACAGAGTGAAATAGTATGAGGTTGACCAAGCTTCCTCCCCCAAGACAGATCTGCGAGCTTGAGGAATTGCCCCTGGCGCTAGCCTGTTTCAGGCTTTTAGTCATGACTACTCGTGTGTGGAGTACCGGACAACTGGCTGGGCGACATGTGAAGGCTGTCATTGCACTCTTCGAACGCTCACATCGAACTCAAGATGCCCGGTCGACCGTCTTTGATGTCGGAAGCTGACGTCTGTAAGGCATCGCGGGCGAAACTGTCTAGGTCTCTGCTTGCTGCAGGTACGGCACCTGGCAACGCGTACGCGCAATTTCGTGCGACCCACTGGCAGCCGTCTGCCCCACCACATTGCGCTGCAGATCGGTCCTAAGGTCATGGGCTATTTCGAGAAGCGTCCACATCACGTTTCTGAGGTCTCGAGGCTTCTATGCACCGGACTCTGCGTATGACAGCAAGGCGTCGATATTGTCCAGATGCGTCGAAGGGCTTCGCAGGTGTGTGCAGCGTAATGGGGCACGAGGCTGCTGCGGAGTCGCCGGCATACCTACTTGGAGTTGAAACACCTGTGGCGAACTCTGCAAAGTAGCCAATGGTTTGCCTTACTCTCGCGACTTGCAGCGGTGAGCAAGCGAGCAGTTTCGCCTTGAGAGCGCGTAAGAGCGTCTCGATGTGCGATTGGATAGTTTCGTGCATGCATGTAGGCAATATTACAAGGCTGCGCTCTGAGTGGGCATTTGGAGACACAAGAAGTTTGTTGACAAGGAATTGTGAACGATTGGCCACCGTGCGTGTGGAGCAGTTGTGTGCCACCGTTCTTTCGTGCGCGACATTCAACTTGAAGATGCCGGTGGACCAAGGTTAGTGCATAAAAGTTGATCGTGTAAGCGCAGTCATGAAATAATAGGCTCACGGATTCACGCCTGTAGCGTTGACTTGTACGGAGACTAGACCATCTTTTTGAACGTCTGGAAACGGGGCAGCCTAGCATGGAACTTGCGGTCTAGCATGGAATATCGTGGATGAAGCCCACACAGGCCTCATACAACCTATTTGGCACAGCTGCAGTCGATGGTTTCGTCATGCTGCGTATGTATCATTGAAGTCGCCTGTAACAGATGCATGCACGCTCTACAACTAGGGACCTGTCTGCTGTTCCGACTCTCCAACTGATGGATCGAAATAGCAGGGAAGGGCCGGATATGAAGTACCCGTTCTGCATCCAGCGACAGCCTCAACAGTTGTCCTCTGCCCCTTCGCCTCGCGAGAGGCTACAGCACCGTTGGTCGGGATGACGCGGGACATGCGCCACACGCTATTGAGCTTTCTGATAAGGGGATGGCCTATCGCATTCGCGCCGGGGAGCTGGCAGTCGTTTCGGGTTGATCACCACGGGCCATGATGCTGATTTGACTCGTTTTGTCTTCCATTCCTCGACGGGCCTCACAACTGCAGTGTCATGACGTGAATGGGGGATAGTAGAGGGAGATGGACAGTAGATGAGAGCTCGAGCTCCCGACTAACACGTCTCATGGGAATATCGCCCCATGGCGCTTTTGTGCCTCACCGGGAAAGTCGATTATCGATATGCAGCCGATCGGAGTTCGGACAAAAAGATCCCAACAACAAAGGATGCAAATTTGGGAGATGTCGAGCCCCCAGCGATCCGCCAAAGCTCATGTGCGGAGGGCATATGGCGATTGCAGTGCACATGAAGCCGACGACGAGCGGGCAATAGACAAGCAATGAGCCCACAAACAGTGTGTTTCTGGAGTGGCAACAACTTACCCGCTTGGTTCGAGTGCGGTGCAGACGTACGTGAGTCGTTGCGAGGGGCACGCACCAATGCGCAGCACGACGGCGTTAGTTAGCTTGGCATCGTGCTTCTCAATCTCAGGGGAAACTTCTAAAAAGGCTTCGACTGCCGCCCCTCTGTACTTTCCACGGTCTTTCTTTCTCCAATCTGCCTTGTGTTTCCCCTGCCTCTCGTTTCTTTTGCGTCGAGGCTTGCACGGTTGTTCAGCGGACCTCGAACCGACTTCGAGGGGACCCGCCACCGCCACACATCCCAGTTTCCAAGAATACCGCGAAGCAGAAGCGCTAACCCGTCCGCGCGTCTCCGTATCCTCTGGCAACAACGCCCGACGGCAGCTGCACTTGGCACCCTTCACTCGCTGACAGCATAATAACACCGCTCGCCTGCCAAATTGTCTTGCGGACTATTGCGTCAACACGCTACCACAATCACACTCTCTCGACGCACCTCGCAGTGAACACCTACTGCTTCTCCAGCGACTGCCCAAATACGACTAATCTAACCCGTCGCTCCTAATGCCCATTGTTTGAGGTACGCTCTTCGCACCGTCTGCGTTTCGGGCGATACAGCGTGCTAACGGCACCACAGCAGGTTCTACACCGCAATTCTAATTGCTCCTCACCATGTCTGCACATCCGCAGGGAGGCCATTACGACGAAGGCTACGGCCAGAGTCAGGCCAATGCCCATGGTCAGGACGCCTACTACCAGGACGAACAATATGGCGGGCAGTATCACGACGATGCCGCCCGTGGTCAGCAGCAGCCGCCGCATCAGCAGCAGCAAGGCGATGCATACTACGACGAATCGTACGTCTGAGTAGTCTGAGCACTCAGCAATCGTTGGCTAACTTAACCGCAGAGCCTACTATGACGATCGAGGTGGCCAACATGGCCAGCAAAACGGCTACTACGACGATCGTGGTGGTCAACAGGGCTACCAAGACGAGTACTACAATGATCAATACTATGATCAGGGTGGCGCTCAGGAGGGCTATGGCCAGCAAAACGGTCACAAGTGCGTTGTTCACGATCTTCTGTCCTCACGCAATTTGCTAACGTTTGTTTAGCGCCCAACAGCCCCGCCGTCATGATTCCGAGGAAGACTCCGAAACATTTAGCGACTTCACAATGCGCTCCGACATGGCTCGCGCCACTGACATGGACTACTACGGCCGTGGCGATGAACGATACAACAGCTATGGAGGCGATGGCGCGACCCGCGGATACCGGCCCCCGTCGTCTCAGGTGTCCTACGGTGGTAACCGCTCTTCGGGTGCCTCGACGCCTGTCTACGGCATGGACTATGCCAACGCTCTCCCCGCCGGTCAGCGCTCGCGCGAGCCTTACCCAGCCTGGACCACCGAAGCACAGATTCCTTGCACAAAGGAGGAGATTGAGGACATCTTCCTTGACCTCACGGCCAAGTTTGGATTCCAGCGCGACAGCATGAGGAACATGTACGACCATCTCATGACTCTTCTGGACTCTCGAGCGTCTCGTATGTCTCCCAACCAGGCTCTTTTGTCGCTGCACGCAGATTACATCGGTGGAGAAAACGCCAATTTCCGCAGATGGTACTTCGCCGCTCATCTGGATCTCGACGATGCCGTTGGTTTTTCCAACATGAATCTTGGCAAGGCTAACCGCCGGACGCGCAAGGCTCGCAAGGCCGCGCAGAAGAAGGCTGCCGAAAACCCAGGCAACGAGCAAGAGACCCTGGAGGCTCTCGAAGGTGACAACAGTTTGGAGGCGGCTGAATACCGCTGGAAAACTCGTATGAACCGAATGTCGCAGCACGACCGTGTCCGCCAGGTAGCTCTGTACCTTTTGTGCTGGGGTGAGGCCAATCAGGTCCGTTTCATGCCTGAGCTTACGGCCTTCATCTTCAAGTGCGCCGACGACTACCTCAATTCGCCAGCTGGACAAGCTCAGACTGAGCCCGTCGAGGAGTTCACGTACTTGAACACCATCATCACTCCGCTGTACCAGTACTGCCGTGACCAGGGATACGAGATCCAAGACGGCAAATACGTGCGACGAGAGCGTGATCATCAAGCCATCATTGGTTACGACGACATGAACCAGCTCTTTTGGTACCCCGAGGGTCTCGAGCGCATAGTATTCGAGGACAAGTCTCGAATTGTTGACTTCCCTCCCGCCGAGCGCTACGCCAAGCTGAAGGACGTTGTCTGGAAGAAGGTGTTTTTCAAGACCTATTACGAACGTCGATCATGGTTCCACATGCTCGTCAACTTCAACCGTATCTGGGTCATTCATCTTACGGCTTTCTGGTTTTACACTGCATACAACTCCCAACCAGTTTACACCAAAGGCTACGAACAACAACGTGACAACAAACCTGAGAAGGCTGCGATCTTGTCCGCTGTTGGCTTGGGTGGTACTATCGCCTCGTTGATTCAAGTCGTTGCGACTATCTGCGAATGGGTCTACGTCCCCCGTAAATGGGCTGGTGCGCAGCATTTGACCAAGCGTCTTCTTTTCCTCCTCGCTGTGTTGGTAATCAACGCAGCTCCCGCTGTATACATCTTCGGTCTCGACAAACGCACAGGTCTTATCCCCAACATCCTTGGTGGTGTCCAGTTTGGTATCGCTCTGATCACCTTCGTCTTTTTCTCGGTCATGCCCTTGGGCGGTTTGTTTGGAAGCTACTTGACTCGCAACTCTCGCAAGTACGTTGCCAGCCAAACGTTCACGGCCAGCTTCCCCCGGCTCCACGGCAATGACATGTGGATGTCCTACGGCCTCTGGGTCTTGGTTTTCACTGCGAAGCTTGCTGAGTCCTACTTCTTCTTGACCCTGTCAATCAAGGATCCTATTCGTATCCTTTCGCACATGAAGAAGCCCGACTGCCTAGGCGACGCTATCTTCGGTGACATCCTCTGCAAGTACCAGCCACGAATTCTTCTTGGTCTGATGTACTTCATGGACTTGGTGCTCTTCTTCTTGGATACATACCTTTGGTACATTATCGCCAACATGTTGTTCTCCGTGTCACGATCCTTCTACCTAGGTGTCTCGATCTGGACTCCATGGAGGAACATCTTCTCCCGTCTCCCGAAGCGTATCTATTCAAAGATCCTCGCGACAACCGACATGGAGATCAAGTACAAGCCTAAGGTCCTTATCTCGCAGATCTGGAACGCCATCGTCATCTCGATGTACCGCGAGCATCTCCTCGCTATCGACCATGTCCAGAAGCTTTTGTACCACCAAGTACCTTCGGAGCAGGAGGGCAAGCGAACACTTCGCGCCCCCACCTTCTTTGTGTCTCAGGAAGATCATTCATTCAAGACTGAGTTCTTCCCAGCTCAGAGCGAGGCCGAGCGTCGTATCTCCTTCTTCGCGCAGTCGCTCTCTACCCCGATCCCAGAGCCTCTGCCTGTCGACAACATGCCAACGTTCACGGTCATGATTCCTCACTACGGTGAAAAGATCTTGCTTTCGCTTCGTGAGATCATTCGCGAGGACGAGCCTTATTCTCGTGTCACTCTTCTTGAATACCTCAAGCAACTCCATCCTCACGAGTGGGATTGCTTCGTCAAGGATACGAAGATTTTGGCCGACGAGACCTCGCAGTTCAATGGCGACGACGAGAAGACTGAGAAAACCACTGCTAAGAGCAAGATCGACGATCTTCCCTTCTACTGCATTGGATTCAAATCTGCCGCTCCCGAGTACACTCTCCGAACCCGAATTTGGGCATCACTCCGCTCCCAGACTCTTTACCGTACCATCTCTGGCTTCATGAACTACAGCCGTGCTATCAAGCTCCTGTACCGTGTGGAGAACCCCGAAGTTGTTCAGATGTTTGGTGGTAACTCAGATAAGCTTGAACGCGAGCTCGAGCGCATGGCCAGACGTAAATACAAGATTTGCGTTTCTATGCAGCGTTATGCCAAGTTCACCAAGGAGGAGCGCGAGAACACCGAATTTTTGCTCCGTGCTTATCCTGATCTGCAAATCGCTTACCTCGATGAGGAGCCGCCGGCGGCAGAGGGTGAAGAGCCCCGTATCTATTCTGCATTGATCGATGGTCACTCCGAAATCATGGACAACGGCATGCGTCGACCCAAGTTCCGCATTCAGCTTTCGGGTAACCCCATTCTCGGTGACGGCAAGTCTGACAACCAGAACCACTGCATCATCTTCTACCGCGGCGAATACATCCAGCTTATCGATGCTAACCAGGACAACTACTTGGAGGAGTGCCTGAAGATTCGAAGCGTTCTGGCTGAATTCGAGGAAATGACCACCGACAACGTCTCACCCTACACACCCGGCATTCCAAACCCGAACTTCAACCCCGTTGCCATTCTCGGAGCCCGTGAATACATTTTCTCTGAGAACATCGGTATCCTTGGTGACATCGCCGCTGGTAAGGAACAAACATTCGGTACCATGTTCGCGCGTACCTTGGCTCAGATTGGTGGAAAGCTCCATTATGGTCATCCCGATTTCCTCAACGGTATCTTCATGACAACACGTGGAGGTGTCTCTAAGGCCCAGAAAGGACTTCATCTCAACGAGGATATTTACGCCGGTATGACCGCCCTTCTCCGTGGTGGTCGCATCAAGCACTGCGAATACTACCAGTGCGGTAAGGGTCGTGATCTTGGGTTTGGTTCCGTTCTCAACTTCACCACCAAGATTGGTACTGGAATGGGTGAGCAGATGTTGTCCCGCGAGTACTACTACTTGGGTACACAACTGCCTCTCGATCGCTTCCTGTCCTTCTTCTACGCCCATCCCGGTTTCCACATCAACAACATGTTCATTATGCTTTCGGTGCAGTGCTTCATGTTTGTCCTCCTCAACCTTGGAGCCCTTAGGCACGAGACCATTCTTTGCCAATTCGACAAGGACACTCCGATCACCGACCCGCAATGGCCCAACGGCTGTGCCAATCTGACTCCCGTTTTCGACTGGGTCACACGTTGTATCGTCTCCATCTTCATCGTCTTCTTCATCTCCTTTGTTCCCCTTGTGGTTCAGGAGTTGACAGAGCGTGGATTCTGGCGCGCTGCAACGCGTCTTGCGAAGCATTTCGCTTCCGGCTCGCCCTTCTTCGAGGTTTTCGTCACGCAAATCTATGCGAACGCACTCCAAACGAATTTGGCATATGGTGGTGCTCGTTACATCGGAACTGGTCGTGGTTTCGCCACTGCACGTATTCCTTTTGGCATCCTTTACTCTCGATTTGCTGGACCTTCAATCTACATTGGTGCTCGATCATTGATGATGCTTCTGTTCGCAACCATCACTGTCTGGGGCGGATGGCTCACCTACTTCTGGCTGTCTCTATTGGCTCTTTGCCTGTCGCCATTCCTCTTCAACCCGCACCAGTTTTCTTGGGACGACTTCTTCATCGACTACAGGGAATACCTCCGCTGGTTGTCCCGAGGAAACACGCGATCCCACAGTGCCTCCTGGATTGGATACTGCCGATTGTCACGAACGAGAATTACCGGTTTCAAGCGCAAGGTCCTTGGTGATCCGTCATCCAAGCTGTCTGGAGATGTGCCTCGTGCCAAGTTCATGAACATCTTCATGTCTGAGGTCCTTGGGCCGCTTGTCTTGGTTGCCATTACCCTGATCCCATACCTCTTCATCAATGCCCAAACAGGTGTCAAGAACCGTGACACTTCGCTTGATAAGGACGGTGTAACCGGAGACCCCACCGCTGCCGGCGCGTTGGTACGCATTGGAGTTATCGCTCTTGGACCTGTTGCCATCAACGCTGGTGTATTGGGAGGCATGTTTGGCTTGGCTTGTTGCGCGGGTCCTCTTCTTAGCATGTGCTGCAAGAAGTTTGGTGCTGTCCTCGCTGCCATTGCTCACGCAATCGCCGTCATTATGCTCCTTGCCTTCTTTGTCGTCCTCATGTTCTTGGAGGGCTGGAGCTTCCCACGAGCTCTGTCCGGAATGATTGCGGTCGTCGCCATCCAGCGATTCCTCGTCAAGTTCATCATCACTCTTGCCCTCACTCGAGAGTTCAAGGCCGACACTTCCAACATCGCTTGGTGGACCGGTAAATGGTACACGATGGGATGGCACACCATGACTCAGCCCGGCCGAGAATTCCTCTGCAAGATCTGCGAGTTGAGCATGTTTGCCGCTGACTTCATTCTGGGGCACACTCTGCTCTTCTTCATGCTTCCGGTCTTGTTGATCCCCTATGCCGACAAGTTCCACTCTGTCATGTTGTTCTGGCTTCGACCCAGGTACGTAAATTCAAATCATTGGCAACACAACATACTAACATCATCACAGTCGTCAAATCCGACCTCCTATCTACTCGCTGAAGCAGACCAAGTTGCGCAAGCGCAGAGTGGTCCGATACGCGATTCTGTACTTTGTCATCCTTGTTGTCTTCCTCGCCATCATTGTCGGACCTATTGTTGCTGGCAAATTCCTCAACTTTAGCTTTGATCTCCCAATGGAGCTTATGCAACCTACTGGCTACAGCAACAACGACACATTCGCGTCGACGACTGGACGTTGTATCCAGGGCACCTGCCCAGAGTACCAAGGTGGTAATGCGGATTCTGGAGATGATGACTCGGCAACGGCAGTAGCATCGGCGACTGATGACGCGGCTCGTCGCTTCCGCCGTAGGTACATGGCATTTTAAATGGTTGTGAGCAAGGTCTCATGGGTAGCGGTCAATGGAGTTGACATTTTGCATTGTAAAACATTGGCGCGAACATGCGCACGGCGACTGGAGCGTTTCTAATGATTGTAATATTGGGAGTCGAGTCGGATATAGACGGATTCCTTTTCGCCTCCCCCTTTTGAACATGTTCCTTCGCTTTGAGCGTGGACTTTGATTGCACATATACTACGATGGGTCTCTTTTTGGTTCATGGGAGGCGAATAAGATAGACATTGCCTGTATCGTCCAGAAATATATGGAATTCGCTTTTACATTGGTCTTTTGTTATTGCTTATGTGAAGAAGTTGTTTATCCTAAACGGCACAGTATTGAACCTTGATGATCAATCGAGAATGGTACAAATGGCAGGCCGACACGTGAAGTAGAATGAAATTAGACATGTCTGACACTGACGTTCTGCTGCACTCCTCCGCGCTTCGCCGCAACCCCCGAACCCTCACAACAACGCCCAAAAAGTTTATTGTCTACGACGCACGCTTCCTTTTTCGCCACAAGTCTGTATTCACAATGGATCTCCAAGAAGTACAGAATGCGACGGCGCGCTTCTTCAACGACGCCAATGCGCATTTCCAACGCCTACCCGGGTCATCCATCGCGGTGCGCTACATCAAGTCGAGCTACCAGAATGACCCTATGCGAAGCGCAATCGAGCTGTTCCTCTTTCTTTTTGCGGTGAGGTACTTGCTGGCGCCCAAGTACAGCACGAAGAAGAAGGTGCAGCTTACTGATGCGGTATGTCATGCGCCCGTAGGACGGCGAGCAAGGTGCTAACGGGGCACAGGAGATTGACGAGCTGGTCGAAGACTGGACGCCAGAGCCGCTTGTTGCGCCGGTGACGAGAGAGGAGGAATTGGACAACGACAAGAGGCCCATCATCGTCGGGTATGCGCGCCCCCTCTGTTGCTTTGGTGGAGGAGACGTCTCAGCGGTGGAAGCTATGCTACGTATTGCTTTGCTGACTGGTGCTGCTGTAGTCCCACAGGTCCCAAATCGAAGCTCGCAAACGGCCGCACGGTTACGAACCTCGCCTCCCTCAACTTCTATAACTTCGTCGCAAACGAGACGCTCAAGGAAAAGGCTATCCAGACGCTGCGTACCTATGGCGTTGGGCCATGTGGTCCCCCGGGCTTCTACGGCACCCAGGATGTCCATATGAAGACCGAGGCAGACGTTGCCGCCCATCTCGGCGTGGCGGCGTGCATCATCTACGCCCAGTCTTTCAGCACCATCAGCAGCGTTATCCCGTCGTTTTCAAAGCGTGGAGACATCATCGTCGCGGACAAGGGCATCAACTTCGCGGTTCGGAAGGGCATCCAGATCAGCAGAAGCACAGTGCGGTGGTACGAACACAACGACATGGCCGATTTGGAGAACGTGCTGAAGAAGGTTACCAAGGAGCAGGCAGGAAAGCCGCTCACAAGGAGGTTTATCGTCACGGAAGGCTTGTTCGAGAACATTGGGGATGTGGTTGATTTGCCCAAGCTGGTACGTCCTCCCACCATCTATCCACATCAACAGGGGAACCAGAACAAAACAGGACAGGACAAGATATATCCCGTACGTGTTGTGCATATACTAACCCCACCCCCAGGTATCCCTCAAACTGAAATACAAATTCCGCCTCATCCTCGACGAAACCTGGTCCTACGGCGTCCTAGGCCGCACCGGCCGCGGCACAACCGAAGCGCAAAACGTCGACGCCGCAGAAATCGACATGATCATCGGCTCGCTCTCCGGCCCCCTCTGCGCAGCCGGCGGCTTCTGCGCAGGCACAGAGGAAGTCGTCGAGCACCAGCGCATCTCCTCAGCCTCATACACATACTCCGCCGCGCTCCCCGCCCTGCTCGCCACAACAGCCAGCGAGACAATCGCCCTGCTGCAGGAACAGCCCGAGATCCTCACCGCGCTGCGCGATAACATCAAGGCTATGCGCGCGCAGATTGATCCGAGGAGTGACTGGGTTAAGTGCAGTAGTTCGGTTGATAATCCGATTATGCTGCTTACGCTTAGGACGGATGTTATTGCTAGTAAGGGCTTGAGTATCGAGGATCAGAATCAGATTTTGAGGGATGTTGTGGAGGAGGTATGTTCTGCCCCCGTATCTGTTCCTACTCCTCTCTCTGTTTTGCAACATCCATACAAAGCGCCTGCTAACTCCCCCAAAGTGCCTAGCAAACCTCGTCCTCATCACCCGCCTCAAAGCCTTCCCTATAGGCCTGGGCGTCAATCCGCGCGATGCGGGATGGCAGCCCGTTCCCGCTCTCAAGGTCTGCATTACGAGCGGCTTGACGCGCAAGGAGACTGAGAAGGCGGGTACGGTTATAAGGCATGCTGTTACGAAGATTATGGGGCGGAGGAAGTAGGGATTTACCATCTGAGGGGGGGGGGCGTTTTTTGGGTGTGTTTGGTGTGTGGGTTAGTGGGGGAAGGGAAGGGGGCTGAGTAGAGTTCACTTATGTGTATAGATTCTAGATGTCGTTGTAATGCTTAATTCTTCTGTTGTGGAGATATGGGTGTTTTTGTAGTGTCTTTGTTTTTGGGCTTTTATGCTACTTTTTGGTCTTTACACCATGTCTGTCCATCTCCGACGCGACCTGTAGGCGGATGCCTGGTTCCACCATGCCAACTCCTATCCATCCTCGACCTGAGAGCACGGCGATCGGTCAATCCAGACCCCACCGTCCAATCTCCATCTCCATCAAATCAAGCCCAACCTCTTCATAGTACCCACATGCGCCTTATCCTGCGGACTCCCCCCAACGCCCACAAACACACACTTAGCATGACGAATCAAATCGCCACGCCACTGCCAAAACGCACTCTCGATATCCCTCGCCACGGGCTCGCCCTCGACGCGCGCCACTAATCGACACACCCAGATCAAGCGGCGGGCACTGACGAAGCGGTTCTCCGACAGCGGCCGGACGAGCGAGACCTGGACGACGGCTTTTGTGAAGAGCGGGCCGATGGGGAGCGAGTGCCGCTGCAGGTAGTGGTACAGGTAGTACATAGCGCGCCAGGATTCGCGGTGCGAGTGTGTTTTGTCGAGGGAGTAGTGGTGGGCGAGTTGGTGGATGAGCTCGACGCGTTGTGCGGTTGGGATGTCTGCTGTTAGGCTGCGGCAGGCGAGGGGGAGGGCGTGGGCGTCGCGGGCGCGGTCGAGGATGTGTTGGAATTCGCGGCGTGCTTGGAGCGAGAGGAGGGCTTGCTGTGCGGTGTGGGCTTCGGCGGCTAAGCGGGTGAGCACTGCTTGGATCTTCTGGCAGAGGTGGAGTTCAAAGGCGTGGCGTTGGCGCTGTGCGTCTGTGAGGGAGGCGTTGGGATTCTGCGAGGCGGATAGTGTTTTTTTCAGGAGCTTGTCTATGAATCCTCGGTCGTGGAGGGGGAGGCCGCGATCCTCCATCATGTGCAGGAATTCGAGTATTGGGTCTATGCGGGCGTATCGGACGATGAGTGGGAGAGCGAGCTCTAGTAGGCCACCGTATGGTATGGACTCGGCATGCATCCGTAGGATGACGTTCTCGAGAAGTTGATCGATGGGGCTTGAACGGCGTCGTCGTGGTTTTGGCGGAGAGACGCAAGCAGCAACGAAATCAAATACCTGTTCTACTGAGACACCTTTCACAGCGCCCCTTTGCACCAGAGTCGTCAGTAGAGCCTTCATCAGGGCCTCTGGTCCAATTTGTTTGGTGAATGTGAGTTTCGCGAGTGGCACAACAGCCGTATCGACTAACGACACGGCCTGCACACCAGAGGCAGGTCTCGAATCTACACGATGGAGGAGTTTCAACCAAGCATCCATATCATGCACGTGTGTGCTGTTCGAGGAATGAGCTTCAGTTCGGTTTTCTTTGGCAAAGGCAAAGGCCATGGCAGAAATCCGAGCGCGTATCTGTGCTTTGGGAATGCAGGACAGCTCGTCCTCTACGTTCGCAGCACGCGCTGCCATGAGGGCAACTTGATGCTCATCGTTGGCCGGGTCAGCCGACATGGACTGGCTTGTGTCGACAGTTCCTGGCGCATCGTTTACTCTTGTCTCGCAGGCAAGCGCAGTTGCTGGTTCTGGGACGGCGGTTTGTGTGATGTTTTGCGAAAAAGAAAGTGGGGTCGCGGATTGGTGGGGATCATTTGCGCTTGGACTGGCTGGCTGACGGACAGAGGATGGCGGTATTGGAGGATCTAGGGCTGCAATGGTCAGTATAGCCCAATGGTTGGTGGTGGTGTATCGTAAACATACGCAAGTCCAATGGCTCCACGTTCTTAGGCGGGGAAGGTGGTTCATATCTCCAAGATGGCTGGGGACTCGAGCGAAAGCCAAACAGCGCTGCAAGGCTCAAGGGCGGGGGAAAGCCGTCTTGGGGGTAGAAGTTTGCTGAGGCAGTCATGCGACGCTTTGTTGCCCTCCGCCTGGCCTCCAGCGGGCCGGGTACGTTGCTGCCATGGCGTCTCTGGTGTGGACACGAGATGCGGAAAAACCGGTGGACGGCGAGGGACAGGACGTCGTCAGGAACCCAGGCGTGTTGCAGGGCAGGCGACTGGATCGACTGTACTGCTCGGCGGCAGACAATGGGCGGACGTCGCATCAAGCGTGCTTCTGCGCATCGATGGGCTTTTCGAGCTTCACACGCATTGGAGCTCGCCGAATCGGGATTGACGAGCACGTGACGTTGCTGATTAATCACACTGAAACGCCCTAGCCCACTTTGACATGTGTCGAAACGGGGAGATCGTGCTGCACTGTCTACCTACTTAGAGAGGAGGCTGTTGAGTTGTGGACAGTGGAGTGCCAGGTCCTTGGGCCACGACGGGCTGTACGGCAGCAGCGTGCTCCACAGATTCCATCGTGATGCCGACCACAGCGCAGTTCGAGGCCGTTCTCGCCCTGCACACAGGGCGTCTGTCGAACACGATGCGGCAGAGGATTGCGTCGCATGTGGAAGACGGCGAAAAAGAAAGCCGCGAAGCCATTATTGGGGCCGGCCGCGCGGTCCTTGCTGGCTGATTGTGGCTTGTATGAAACGCCGGGATCAGGCCAGGCACACGGCGGCCATTGGCTGCGTCCAAGCGGGTCTGCCCCAAGCGTCCTCAGCCACGCCTTGTGTGCGCACTCCTGACGACGGTGCACGACGGGGTGTCAGCTGGTGCTTCGCGCTCGAGGCTGGCGACGGCGAGAGTGTGATGGACACGGAGCACGGCAGCCGCGAAAGCAGAGCACCCGGAGTCGCATCCGCGTCTTGGGCTTGTGAGGCAGCAGTCGACGGGCTGCGTGTGGTGCGTCGTTGACGGACAGGGGTGCGGCCCTGGGCTAATTACGCCTGTCCGCTTTCAGCGAGGCCGTCCTCACTCCTTTCACACGCCGACCCACCCGGCGGCCTCGGGCTCCTCATTCTCGCACAGTGCCCTCACCCAAGTCCGTCCTTGTCGTTGTCGCTCGCTCAATCGACGCTCATTTCCGTTTGCGTGCCCGTTTGTTCATCAGCCTGTCTTTTCCTCGGTCGATAGCGTGCGTGAAGCAACACACGGCCTCGGGCTCCAGGGGCAGACGACAGCACACGAAACACATTCCAGTCGCTCCTCAACCCGTCTCCCAACGCTCCCTGTTTCGCAGCGGACCTCGAGGGCTTCGCTGAGCGAGTCCACCGCTGCGACGTTATTGCCACGGCCATCGCCCATCGCCATCGCCATCGCCATCACTGCCACCGTCGCCATCACTGCCAGCCCCGTCACCCCGTCGCCCAGCAAACACCCCCCGAACCATCGCCATCGCCATCCGCATCCGCATCCCATCCCCACAGCCAGCCGCTCTCTGCCCTTCACCTCACCGTCCCCACCCAGGACAGAACCACCAAGTGACAGGCTAGGAAGGCCTTTCATGATCAGCCCCTCCCGTGGTTAGGCCAAAGGTGCGACACAACACCCGCACTCAACGCCCCCAGCACCTCACTAACACGCAGCAGTCGACCATCAGACACATCATCGCTTCTCACAACCCACTCCACACCACACCCGCAACCATGGTCTCCTTCAAATACGCATCTGCCGCCGTCGTGGCATCGCTGCTGACAATGGCGTCTGCCGCCGCCACGACCGATCTCTCGTGGACATCGGTCGTCACTCACATCCCCACGCCCACCACAACGCTACCAGCCAGCGCCATGCAAAGCATCGGATGCTTCGAAACAGGGATACCGCTCCAGAACTACGGCGAGGGCCCCTTCCAAAGTCCGGGCCAGTGCCAACTGATCTGCCTCATGCTTGACAAGGACGTCCTGGGTCTGTCAGACGGCACAGACTGTTGGTGCGGTGACCTGATCCCCGCCAAAAAGTGGCAGACTGACAACAGCTCGTGTGACACAACATGCTCTGGGACAGATAACGTTATGTGTATGTCCACCGCGCTAGGTGATTCCGAAGTTTTGCTGACACTGTGTAGGTGGTGGAGCCACCAAGTTATGGGTAGTGCTTACTGGTAACACGCGAAATTCGGTGGATTGGTACGAGCCTCCGGATTCTTCTTCGTCGTCATCATCAGCAGCAGCTTCATCAGCAGCAGCAGCTTCGTCATCAGCGCAAAGAGCCTCCGCCACAACCACCGCTACAGAAAGCGCAAGTGCTACAACTGTGCCCAAGGAGAGTAGCGGCAGCAGTACCAACACAGCTGCAATCGCAGCAGGCGTCGTTGTGGGCGTTGTCGCGGTCGCTGCCATGATTGGCGGTATCCTTTACTTCCTACGACGAAGGCGACAGAAGCAGGCCGAGGATGATTACAGGCGCAATGCCGCCAACGTTGATCAGTTCGTTGCTGGAGGCAAACTGCATACCAGCAACTCATCGATGAACGACCAGCGTCTGGATCCTATTTTCGTGGACAGAAGGCAGAGCAATGGCAGCATCGCAGACAATGAGGACTACTCGAGGCGGATATTGAAGGTACGAAATACAATAGACGCTGACCATGCGCGAGGATACTGACGATGCACCAGGTTACCAACGCATGAGCGCGTCAACGCAACGCCCACAAGAATCGTCTCCGGAGTTTCTTTTCACGAAAACCTCAATACCCCCGATACCCTATACAATCCAATGTCGCTAATCTCCTCCGTACTCCTCTCTTATGTCACGCACGCAAAAGGTGCGCGTTCACGCTTGACGACGAGAGCAAAGAAGCATCCTGCGTTTGAGCCCCTGTGTGCATGGGCGTTGCTATATCCATTTTGCTCGACCGATGGGGCCGTTGAATAAAACACGGCTTCAGGCTCGTTTTTTGTTTTCTTTTCCTTTTCTACTGTGTTATATATTTTCCAGCTTTCCTTCCAAAGTCACATCTGGGGCGTCTTGGGGGTGTTAGATAACGGGACATCACATCAAATCAAATGGAATGGGGCAGTTACTACATCCATCTGGTTTCTTTTTTTTTACAAACATAAAGCGCCATATTACAGATCTTCCTGACTGAGAACAATTCTTCTTGTACTCTTCTGGACTGTGGTTGTTGGCTGCTGTCCTGCCACTCCTTTGATTGTTTTGTCTTTCCTTTTTTACTTGGTGGAGGTGCGTGTGGATGTGTGCTTGAAGATGGGGATGGAGATGGAGATGTTGGTAGCGTAGCGGTTCGGTGTCAAACTCACTCACTCACTCACTCACTCACCCATCCATCTACTCCCTCCCGTTTTGTCTCTGGATCTTTCCCCACATAACAAAAAATACTTTACCCACACACTTTCCTCAGACAAGTGGTGAGTGAGTGAGTGAGTTAGTCGGTTGGATAAGGCTATCTTGTATGTAAATCTTAGAGCAGAGCAGACTAAATAAAAATTGCAAGAAAAAATATAAGTATACAAGTTTTTATTCCTTGTTGTTTTGCGTTCTGTTCTGTTCTGTTCTATTTTGTTCAAGATAGGATTTAGGGGAGGGCAAGTTGGTGTTTTACTTCGCCTGGATACTGCGTCGCCTTCTCTCTATCTCTCACAGAGCCAAACCCGCGTCACACATCCATCACCCATACATCTCGCGGGAACACCTTCTCTCCTTCAGAGTCTGCTTATTTCAGATGTTTATTTGAGATTTTGAGCTTTCTAGTGTTTTTTCCTTCCGCTTATGAAGGTTTTGTACCGCTTCTGTTTGGTAGCCGGTTGGGGAATTGCGTATAGCTAGCTATGAGGCCAACTACCACGTTTATAGGTTTCCAACCACACATCTACCCCCAACGCCCCCATTTCCTTTCCCTAGAAATCCGCTCAATCGCAAAAACCAAAAAAAAACGCCATCTCATATCATCCCCCCAACCCGATATTTCGGCTCAGGCAACGGATCCGAAATCTTATAATTGCCATAAAAATCCACATTACTCTTCCTCCGGCCCAGCATCGCATCCTCCAGATTCCGACTGACGAAGATCTCCATCCCGCCGCTCTGCTCCGCGCCCTGGATTTCGCTCGACAGTTTGTACCCCACAGCGGGGGCCATCTCCGTCCCCGCTGTCTTATTAGCTGTGGTGCGCAGACAAGCAAGCCACCGCTGCTCAGCATGCTGTTTCAGCACGTCCTCGAGATCGAACAAGTCGAGCATAGACAGACTATACAGTTTCCCCGAGCGGTACTTCCAGAAGAACAGCACGGAGAGCTCGATAGTTTGCACGGCGCGCAGGGGCCCGAGGATGTCGTCCATGGAGCGCAGCAGGGCGTGCGTCATGTGTGCTTGGTCTGCTAGACGGGCGGGTTTGGCGTCCTTTTTCACGGCCGTGTAGTTCCACTCTACGTACAACCGGACGTGCGATATATGCGCCAGCATAGGCAGTTTTAGGATGTGCGGCGTGTAGTCAAAGGACGTGGGTGTTCTGCGCGTGTTGCGCAGCTCGGCGTGGAGGGTCAGCTTGCTGCGGCGGAAGTATATCTGCAGCACTTCGTCGCGGATTTGTCTGTTGATGAGGAGGAGGTTGGGGGGCAGGCGGGCGGGTTTGGGGACGGAGGGACTGTAGCCGAAGACGTCGTGGCGCCAGGGGTCTTGCGGGCTCATGTCTGCGCCCCAGAGGCAGGTGAGTAGTTCGGGGCGGTTGGGTGTGGGTGGGGGGAGGGCGTGGTGGAATATCTGGTCCCGGAGTTCTCGGGGGAGGGCGAGTAGATTCGAACTCAGTGTGCTGGGGGTGAGGTCTAGTAGGACCTCGAGCTCGCGAAAGAGTTGGCTTTGTCGGCGTTTGTAGCGGTCGTCCAGGGCGTTGTTGGTCAGACTTGAGACCTTGGTCTTTCTGTCAGCCATGTGAGTGACGAGGAAGTATGGTCAAGCAATGAAAGTCAGTATTTCTCGCACTCGATTAAAAATTAAAAACTACAACCCGTAGTGCAAGATGTAACGCAGCGTTAAGACCACGAAGAAATCCCCCTCCTCAAAAGAAGAGCAAAACCCTCATTCCACCCCCAACTCTGAAACTATTTATAACCGCCCCCCATCCTGCGGTGACAGGAGTAAGTAACATGCCTCGTGCTCCAGCGTGAGACATAGCGAGTCAGACCCAGTGATTCGAAGTCGAAGTTCGAAGTCCGAAGCCGGTTGTGAGGTTGAACCTCGGGAAGGAGGTTGTGGGGAAAAGAGTGTCATGTCAGACGGCGTCGGGGCCCCTGTGGCTCTTGCACCGCGGTTTCAGACTAAGACTGGAACGCCTTCGTGTTCGGCTTGATGCATTGGCGTTTCTGAAGGCTTCGGTTTTCCTTCTGGAATGGAGTTCGGTGGCGCTTTTAATGTTGGTAGTACCCTGTTGTTTGGGTTCGCTGCGGATATGCGCATACATGCTTGTCCTGGTGTTGGTGACGGTTTGACATGTTGATGACAAGCGTCGGAAAAGTTTACATCTATGCATCGCTTGGGAAGGTGATATGGTATTTTGTGAAGTTCAACTCTAAGATTTAACTAGTATAGAAATATGTTAAATAAAAGGACATCTCTCCCACACCCCGTTGTAAGTAGTTTGTATAGCAGCCATCAAGAGAGTTTGCTTACACAGTGTTGTGTGTCACGAGTTCCAGAACTTCATGTTTACAAAGGGAGAGTTTAGTTGTGGAAAGGGAAAAGATTATGGAATATCAGGAGTATATCGAGTGAATTGCTACGCTATGCACTCTCTCCCTACTAAAGACCCACCCAGTGCCATCGACTTGGCCAGTTTAAGAAGCAGCATACCCCGTCCTCTATACCCGCAGTTCAACGCCAAGAATGCAGCGCACACTATTTATTAATCTCCGTCAACATACCGACAATCGGCAGATGTTCAGCAGAACCGTCGCCCTGAGAGAAAAAGAAGATACATGAAATGGAATACAAGTAACAGAAAAGGGGAAAAGGCATACTCATACTTCGAGGCTGCTGATCATGTAGAACAAAAGGTATGCTTCCGCAGCAAGAACCTCCGCCTCACCAACCAGCACCACTTTACTGTCATCAAACAGAAACCAGTCACCGCCTTCGCGCGAGTAACTGACGTAGTGTCCAGAGTCCATCTTGCCCTTGTGTACGATTACAGTAGAGAGTTCGTAAATGAGGCCGTTGTGGTTCAGACCGGGTGCATCGGAACCTTTCGTGGCTTTGGCTTGTTCTTTGTATTGAGTGGTGTATGGGTAGATGTCCAGTTTCATAGGAAAGACGACTTTCGTCTCGATTTTGGAGGATTGAGCCTTTGTGTGCTCGAAGCGCTGGGAGGTGTCAGAGAACAATGGCTAGTGTGGGCTGGGTTAGGAGTTGTTCGTACCTTTAGATGGACTGATAGCACTGGCGGTAGTCGATGAATACTGAGTTGCTTTGCTGCGTTCTGCGGGCTGTCGCAATTCCGACATGTGTATTCAGCTGACCCTAATTTCTCTTTGGCTGTGAATCTCTCGAGGCAGTCTCGAATGTTCAGCGGCGTTTCGTCCGCGTTGCCAGCATTCAGCTTCCGTTTCTTGGATTGGTTCTTCACGTCGAGACTGAGGTCCATGTACAGATCTTGTGCAGTTGTGACGTTACGGCAGTTGTCGCATGTCACGGTGCTTGAGAGCTGCCCACAAAAGGTCTGGTGGACTATACAAGTGCAGTCTTCCGAATCAGAAGAACCCCCATTCGCCAAATGCAGCGCATTGAGTATGAACTGCATGTACTCATGAGCGTCTTGTTGGTTGTATCCCGCAAGGGCCTGCAATTTGAGTTAGTATGAGGCCATCTCACCCTCCGCCATCCCGCAGTACTCACCTCTCCTGCCAGCCAGCTCCCCATAAGCATGCTGACTGCTCCGAAGCCCTCCGTCTTCTCAGCTGAGTGAAACTCAACGAACATCTCGTCCAACGCGCAGCTCACACATGCTTCTCTTTCGCAGTCGGCCGTTTTGTGTCCTTCGGAGAGGTAGAAGTTTCGTATGAATGGGTTGTGTACTAGTGTCTGTAGTATAACGCTCATGAAGCACGTTTGCCCCATGTTGTAGAGCCCGCGCAGGCCAATCGCTCGACAGGGGAGGAAGGTGGAGTTGTTCACTACCAGTTTGTGATCGTCGGCCGTGGTCGTGTCTTCGTGCTTTCGCTTCTTGCCTGCAGTTCCTCGGTCAGCTCTCCCTCCACGGAATGATGCGAGGGTCGGCACTAACCCTTTTGTAGCCTTATAACCTCAAGTGCTGGATCGTATATGAAGTCCTGGCAATTTCCACAGTAGATGTAGGCTTCTCTCGACTCGACCGCTACACGCGCATTAGCCTCTGGCCTTGGCATGTGTATCCTGCTGCAACTCACAGAAGCAGTGCGATTTTGTCTCAAAATGCTGATCTCGGTCGGTCTCGGTCATGATGCTGGGACATTGAAGGCAGAGGTATAGCGGGAGGAGCGAGACGACGGGTTGGCCATCGATCGGGGACATGTATGTTTGCGATATTATGCGAGGCTTCTCGTGTATCGTGTGAAGAATAAGTCGGTAGTGCTGGAGGGTCTGCTTGCGCGCATTCTCCATCATCTCGCCCATGTGCTCTGCGCCTCACCGTTAGCGAAGCATCTCCCGGATCTTCCACACACTCACCACAGCCATACGCGATGTGCGCCATCTGACTACTCGGTACGATATTGCCCTTAGCATTCTTGATTATCTTGGGCGACGCCGCCTTGGGGGCGCCGGCTGTGTCCATGGCGTCTTGCGGAGCTGGACTGAAGGGGCGGCAGGATGTTGAGTAGGCCAAAGACCTGATGTTGCAGTCGCTGCTCCAACCTACATGACGCAGAAAGCGCAAACAACCACGTAACTCTCGTGAGTGAGATTAACCTTCAAGGCGCGCTGAGGCTGGATGGTGTAATGGTTATGCTCTCGGACCTGCATGAAGCTTAAACGATCAAGTTAGCGCAGGCGGTCCGCCCCACACGTCCCGACTGTACGAAAAGATGACCAGGGACTCGTCCGGCCTGCTCGATATGGAAAGAGCTGGATATTTGTGAAACTCTGTGGAGTAAAGTGCTGACATGATTTTCAGCATATCAAGCAGTACATGACGGTCAACCGACGACATGGGAATTGGGGTTTCTCAACGAATGTAGATGCAATCTCAGCCCTGGACTACCCCACATCAGCCAGATCCTTTCTAACACCATGTAACAAGCTGGGAACAGGGTATGGGAATGGTGGTAACGAGTCTCGCTCAATGTTTTGAAGCAATATATATCGACTAATTTCAAAATTGTTTTATGGACGTCTGAGACAACGTGCCAGAGTGGTTAATGGGTATGACTCGAACGAGCTCATCTACTAGATATCATATGGCTTCGGCCGCGCAGGTTCGAATCCTGCCGTTGTCGCGTTCTTTTTTGCATCCGTGAGCCTCTCTCGGATCAAGCAAGTGACCAGGGGTGGATACATTTTTGCTTCAATGTACTATATATACTATACCAGGACAGTCTATCAACTTTTTGGTAAGCCTAGTTGTGTGAATCTGTGTGAGATACAGCGAGAAATAGATCAGTAGTCTCATAAATTTCACATGTACTGGTTCAATATAAAACATAAAGACAGTTCATCGTAACGTAATACATGGATATCTCAGCTCCACCTTCACCAAGCTTTGTCATCTCTTTCTACTAATATACTCCCAGGATACAACCCCATCAACGAAACACCATCTAACACTTGAACACAGTAGGTCCAGGAATCTTGTATGGCTGTCCGTTTCCAACCGGCTGACCTTGGTTATTGTAGATGCTAACCAAGATACCCGGATCAGTCGCCAAGTACGCACCAGGAAAGCTAACAGTCGGAGTCCCCGTCGTCGTGCCCGAGCCCGAGACCTTGATTTGCGCACAGCCCTGGACGTCATATTAGCACTGCGCCTTTCTTACAGGTACACTGTCTTGAAACAGCAGGGAGACTCACCATGTAGAACTGCGCCGCACCCACGCTACTCGCAGAATGCAGCGCGATGATCTCCGCGCGAAGCAGGTACTGGCCTGGGGCTAGGCAGGTAGGCAGTGTCATGTCCTGCCAGCCGCTTGCTGCGATCATCCTGTCTACGCCCCATTTCCCGGCACTGTCGAGTCCGTCTTCAGCGACTTTGAACCATTTGAGGCCGGTTGGTGAGGCGGTTGTTGCATTGTCTACTTTGGCCCTGGAAGCTGGTTAATACGGACAGACGGAGGAAGGTGTGGGAACAAACATGTAGAAGATGGTAGGTCCCTTGTGGCTACTAGCGATGGGATGGTCGAGATCATTCGGGTACTGTGCACCGCCGATGACATGGCCCCATTGCACGCCGACCTTGTCGCCGGCTTTGACGTCGATGACTTTGGTGGAGACGGGCTGCGAGTAGCCCGAGTTGCAGGCGATGTTCTGGTCGGTCACGCTTAGGATTGGGTTGTTGCTTGTGGGGACTCGGATGCCGACTAGTTCGCCGTTGTCCAGGCCGTTGACTCTAACGCGTTGGGCGATGGAGTGAGCCGAGGAGAGAGCGGGCAGGACGGCGATGAGTGTTGTTAGGAGCTTCATTTTGGACGAGTTTGTAGAGCTCCGAAGATACAACGGTGTAATGTGATGTGTAGGCTGAAAGATTATCCCAGTCTGTGTCACGACTGTCTTTATAGATGCTTCTCCCACTCCAGTAACCATCCCAATCCAACGACCTAGACATACTACAATGGCGAATCATGGCTGTTTCCTAGGCCTAGCGTCCGGGTGCAATATCTCTTCTTCATATATCACTGCCACATCAAATATCGACGTGAACCTACCTGCTCTCCAGCATATTAGAGCACCTTCCGGATTTTCTCGATACCAAATAGGGTCCAGCTCTTTGCAGAATCCACCATTGGGAAGGAACTTGGTTAAACTCGATTGGCAGCGGGACAGGATAAATGGCATCAGTCATGGGATATTCTTGAAACATCATAGTCCAAACCAAACCAATCTTTGGTGTTGTACATATCAGGCGCTTGGCAGTTATTTAAGCAATCTGGAGCCGTACCGAAGTTCCGCGATTTTGTGTCGAAGGCTGTTAATTACGATCTGCCTGGGAAGTATGGGTCTACCCCGGTTAATGTCCACATGTGTATAAACCTACATGTATTCCAGATGCCTTGAATTCTAGGTGGTACATGAATTGTTTTTTGTAACATGTTGATAACGTTCACGTGAATGTCGAATGGCATGGTTGGCAGACTAGCGCTGAACTTCTCTGGATCCTGGGACGCCCGGCTGATCATCTCCCCACATTGCTGAACCCACGTGTTCTGCGAGAAGATGCCTTGGCGAAGTGCACTCGGAAGGCCGCCCGGAAGCTTCACTTGGACCCCTCTTCGTGGCGATCTGTCAATGGTGATGGAGAGCGAGCAAGCGCGTTCTGCAGTGCTACAAGGTCGCATGTGATGGGTGCTTGGTAAGTGATGAGTGATGGGAGAAAGGGAGAAGTGACACAAAACGGTACAAGCGGCACCATCCGATCCGTGAGCCGAGTGTGAATTGTGCAAGATGACGACGGCTTGGGTTAGCGCCTAGGACATGACTTTTTGGGGGAGGCATGACATCACCCTACATTGAGACCCTTTTTGAAGCCGCAGAGGCCGGCGAGGCGCTGCGACTTGAATTTCACGTTTCAGTAGGACGCGCTTATACAGAGCCCAAGCAACAAATTGGGAGCTACAAGCACTGATCTACAGCACAGAAAGCACGTCTCTTCGGGCGCCTCTACCTTAGTGCGATCCACCACGTCAGGTTTGGTGCAGCGGGGCTCTCTCCATCTTTTGTACATGTACATATATATATTCCTCAGCCACTTCTTCTGACTGCCAAAACTCGTCAGTAACGGGCGAATCGCACATCTGTCATGGTGACGCAGCAATCAGCAACGCCCTCGGCGTCTTACAAGCCAGTCCCCAGCATAGACAACCCCGCGCATCTGAGCAGAGGCTATGGCAACGATTCCTCCCACTTGGACGTTGGGGTGAACGACTTTGCAAGCCCGGGCGCTGCATATGGACAGCACGAACGCCTGGGAAGGTTCGAGGAGGATTTTGATGCGCGCACACGAGGCCCCTCTATCCTCGACGGTGAGACGCCGAGGCGGTCCACTTCCAGGGCTTCCCGGGCCTCGACGCTCCACCAGCCGGCGCATAGCCAGACCACGGCGCCAATGCGCAGCGGCACGCTCAAGAAGAAATCATCGGTCAAGAGGAGCGGGAGCCTGAAGCGCAGCAGTAGCAGAAAGAGCCTGCGCGCCGGCAGCATTCATGGGGCTGCCTTTGACGGCCAAGAACATGGCCATCATAAGGAGGACAGCGTCTTCTACACGCCAGTGCCGACCAAGGGCACTCCCACTGAGATGCTTGCCGAGCGCTTCCAGAGTACGTCGGCCCGTTGCTTGTTGTCCTGCATAGACTGACATTTGACAGCGTGGCGCAAGTTCCTCAAGGACCTCATTGCCTACTTCCGCGAGGTCTCGTCTTCGTACGAGCACCGCGCCAAATCGCTGCTCAAGGTGTCCAACGTGGTCAACAACACCAACATGCCTTCTGCCTTTGCGACCGAGGGAGGCCTCAACGACGCCAATCGCATCCTCCGCGACTTCCACAAGCAGGCAATCCTCGAGGCCAACAAGGCTAGGGATATCGAGACAGATGTCATCAACCAACTCAATGGCCTCCGAGCAGACCTTGCGCAAAAGATCAAGGAAATCAAGGCCCTTTCTGGCGACTTCAAGAACAATGTCGAGAAGGAGAAGGATACGACAAGGAAGTATGTGGCAGCCCTCGAGGAAGCATTGGCTGTCGCCGATACGGATCCCTCCGCCATCGCAGGCAAGGGTGATCCTTATGTGGTACGCCTGGGAGTTGAGCGCCAGGTCGAGCGGCAGATCGACGAAGAGAACTATCTCCACAGGGTAAGTTATGAAACTGACCATAACAAACCAACAACTAACACTTTCAGGCCTACATTAATCTGGAGAACTCAGGGCGAGAATTGGAGTCCATTGTTGTCGGTGAGGTCCAAAAGGCGTACAACGCTCTTGCAAGCATCATGAAGCGTGACGCGGACGAGATGTACTCAACCATCGAAAAGCTGCGTACTGGCCCAATTGCAATGCCAAGGGATCATGAATGGAACCGTTTCGTGCGAAGCGATTCTCACTTCGTCAATCCCGACATACCCCTGCGCAGACTTGAAGATATTGAGTATCCTGGCAAGCATCATCCAGCCACTACCGAGGTTCGGGCTGGTATGTTAGAGAGGAAGAGCAAGTACCTTAAGAGCTACACACCTGGCTGGTGAGTTATAACAAACCCAGTCACATTGTCTATCTAACGCATTGCAGGTATGTCTTGTCGCCGACTCACATCCACGAGTTCAAGTCGGCCGATCGCATATATACGCAACCTCCTGTCATGTCTCTGTATCTCCCAGACCAGAAGCTTGGCTCGCGTTCCCAACCTGGAAGCTCGTCTCACAAGTTCGTCATCAAAGGCCGCCAAGCTGGATCGATGCACCGTGGCCACACTTGGGTATTCCGGGCCGAGACCTTTGAGACCATGTCAGCCTGGTATGATGACATCAAATTCCTGACAGAGAAGAGCGGCGAAGAACGTAACGCTTTTGTGCGCCGGCATGCTAGTGTTAGGAGCGCCAGTGTTGGCAGCGCTCGCTCCGCAAGCTCTGATGGAGGCCTAGAGGAAGATGAGGCAGACGCCGTGCCATATTCTGCCAATCAATCCATGGTGAGCGAAGCCGTGAAAGAGCAACCAGCCCAGCGACCAAGTCCAGGTGGGAGATTTCCAAGCGATCTGAACGTCAATCGTAACTTACAAGGGCTTCGTTCGCATTCTAGTGCCAGCTCCGAGGTCGGTCAGGATTTAACGACCACATCTGGAGGTGCGCGGGGCGTGCACCCCACGTATCTTGACGATACTACGTCTTACCAAGCTGACGAAACCGTTCATCCCGCCTTTCGTGCCCAACAGTCGCAGGACTACAATCCGTCGTCGTCGTACGCAGACCCGCACCCACATACACAACAGTCCTACGACAACCAGGCTTCCTATGCCGACCCATACGCATCCGCTCCACCAACCTATGAGAACCAGCCTTCTTACACCGGACGGTCTCCTATAGAACGGCAAAACACCGACTACAGTAAATGGATGGGACCAGCCGCCGGTGGAGCGGCAGCAGGGGCGTTGGCTTCCGAAGCCTATCGTAGAAAGCAACAGAACCAGGAACGTGAAGCTCGGCAACAAGAAGAACTGGACCAAGAGCAGTTCCTTGATTCACAACAACAACAGTACCCTACTGGACAAGGCCCAGCAATCGATTACAGAAACAGTGTTGTTCCAAATCAGGAGAGGGTTCCAGAGCAAAACGTCCAGATACCATACGTACATCCAGCAACCATTATCGCTGCTAGCGGGCCGCTCCATCAATCTCAACCCCACGACAACTATGATCTCGCGACACCTTCAACGACCAACACTTCTTTTTTAGGCGGAAGTGACTTTGCTTCTGGAGGCTTTTCTGGAAACACAATCAACGGAGGACCGGTTCCCGTAGAACTGGTCAATGCTTCTGAGCCGTTTCCAGGCATGCGGAGACAAGGTACAGATTTTAGCGTTTCCGATCTGCATGTTCCAGGAGAGTTCCCAAGAATCCCAGGAACGAAGTTGCCAGTGCCTTAGGAGTCGGTATCTGTGTTTTGATGGATGAATGGGCTGTGAACGGTCTTCAACAATGCGACACGATTCGATATGACCGAGGGACTTAACGCGATCTGATATAGTTGGGAGTGTGACGTCTTGTCGCTTTACTTTGGAGCACGATACGTCTGAGTCGTTTATCTGCACCTCCGCGCTGCGCGTTTAGTCACTGTCTCCGTTCACTTTACCTTTCTTTCCTCTCGTTCGAAGCGAACATGGGCCCGCTCCGCTCTTTCTTATCCCCTTTGATACCCGCACCTCCACCAAGATTCGTCTGTATGTAGTGTCTCCTTCCAATTTGAGTTCTAACGTGCCCGACACTTCTCCGTATATGACTACAATGTTGTACGTTAAGCTTATCGGCTGCCGCCGAGGTCCGCCCGTGACTGATACCCCATCTTTGCTCGACGTTACATATCAGACATGCAAGTAGCAATCAACGTTTAGAAATAAATCACCTCTGAAACTATCACCATGGACGACAAAGTCAAATATCTGCTCTCCCTCGGCGCTATCCGCGACCGTGCTAAGATCGTGGGCGAGGCGGCGCGTGCGGGGAAACTGAGCAACTTCGACGTTCATGAAGACCGCATGAACGATGTCGCTGACTTTGTCACTCGCATCATTAAGGTGAGTTGCAGCTGTGTTATCCGTGGAAACTCACATACCGTTCAAATTCTTTGCAACCTGGCCTCAAAATGGTGCTTGAAGCTTACTATCACCACCCAAGCGTGACTACGGCCCGGACAAGTACCACACTATCCCCACCCACGGTCGGTGGCAGCACTTCGACGTCGGCGGCATCCCGCGCGTTGCTGGACTCCTCTCTGAATGGAAAGCCGAGGGCGTCGATGATGTGGAAACCACGCGTCGGCTGATTGATCTGTTCTTTGTGTCTGTGCTGCTCGATGCTGGGGCGGGGGACCACTGGCAGTACCAAGAGCCGAAGTCGGATTTTAAGTATGAGCGTAGTGAGGGGATTGCAGTGGCGAGTTTGTGGATGTTCAAGGCGGGCGCGTTTCAGAAGGGGACGGGTGGAGTGAGGGTTGATGGTGAGTTTGTTGTTTTGTTTCTTGAAGAGATGAATAGAGTGCTGTGCTAATGATCGGGATTTAGGCAAGGGACTTGAAGGGTTAAGTACAGCTGCTTTGGCAGAGGGTCTCCAGGTCGACGAGGGGAACCCCATGGCGGGATTCGAAACACGTGCGGATTTGCTGAGGAAGTTGGGGTCCTCATTCCTCGCAATGTCAGATGTGTTTGGCGAGGACGGCCGGCCAGGGAATCTCGTCGGTACGTTCCCCCCCCCCTCCTCTATATTTACCATCCCGCTCACAAAACTACAGACCACCTAACAGCCTCGTCCCCCTCGTCCCTCGACGTCCTCCCCCTCTGGGACATCCTACAAACCCTGCTAATCCCCATCTGGCCGCAAGACCGCACAAAAGTAAACGGCCACTCCATCGGCGACGCCTGGCCCCTCAGCACGCTCAAATACGGCTCCACCACCACTACAGACACCGCAACAGACGAGTCCACCACCATCCAGCCTTTCCACAAACTCACCCAATGGCTCACATATTCCCTCATGGTCCCCTTCACCCGCATCCTCTCCCTCCCCTGGACAAACACCACCGCCTTGACCGCCCTCCCCGAGTACCGCAACGGCGGCCTGTTCGTCGACCTCGGCGCACTGACCCTGAGGCCACAGGCGCTGGAGCGCGGACTTGCGGGCGCGGGGTCCAAGGACGGGCTTCCCATTTTCCACCCCGGAGACGATGTGATTGTCGAGTGGCGCGCCATGACGCTGGTGTTGATCGAGAGGCTGCATAGTATGGTGCTGGAGAGGCTGGATGGCGTTGAGTTGAGTCTTGCGCAGGTTATTGAGGCTGGGACGTGGATTTCTGGGCGCGAGGTCGCTAAGAGGGAGAGGCCGGCTACGAAGAGTAGTCCGATTTTGATTCAGAGTGATGGGACTGTGTTTTGAGGCGGGGTTGCTGGGGAGGACATAGAGGACATGTACATGACGAGATATGAGATAGGAATGTGAAATGTGATAGCAGCTCTACTTGCACAAGCTGGTGGGGCTGTTGTATTCAAGTGACGGCTGCGTTGCTCGTAGCCTGCCACGTTAAAGCCGATGTATGTCACAATAGAAACAAATATCACAAACATTTGTCATCTGGATTGTCAACAGTTGGTGTAGTTTTTGGAAATAGATTGAGATTCATAAACTGGAGTAGCCATGGTGCGAGGATGATGCATTAATCCATCCACCATGCTGAAGGTATCATGACGCTTCGTTTCAATCGACTATGCATCCGAGCCAAGCTCCTCAGGCCATGTCAATATGTTTTTTTCCATTCCTCTGTCTCTTTCAGCACGTGTCTACAACTGCGTCTTGGTCTTGTTGTTGAGCTCTTCTGCCTTGCCCTCGGCCTGGTTTGCCTTTGCGTTGGCCTCGCCCTTCAGTTCTTGTGCCTTGCCCTTGGCCTCACCAGACAACTCAGATGCCTTGCCTTTGGCTGCGCCGGCCAACTCGTTTGCCTTGCCCTTTGCCTCGCCCTTTGTTTCTGGCATGGCCTCCTTGACGGCATCGACGGCATCCTCTGTTTATCGAATCAGTACCAGCCAAACTCGGATATATAAGCAGCAACAAGATATGACAAGCAAAGTCAAAGTTGCACTCCGATAGTAATAGCTTTGCAGAGTGAGAAACAAGAATGGTGTTACATACCGCTCTTCTCAATGCCCTTCACAGCAGCATTCGAGATTGTTCGGTCAACAGCCTTTGCGGCATCCTTAATGGTCTCGACGGGGCTCTTTCGTACGACGGGGGAGGTGCTGAACAGGCGGACCTGGCGGGCGAGCTGTGATCGGAACATGACGACGGTTTGTGAGTGAGAAAGTTGCGGTTGGGGAGATTAAAGACGTTGTTCGTGGAAAATGGCAATTGTGTTTTGAGTGGAGGAGTTCGGTCAAAGTGCAAGAGCTTTAAACGAAGCGGGTGTTGCTCCGGTTGTTTCCACTCTGACGTCACCGTCCGTCATCGTACAGCTCCCGTCTTAAGTTAGAGCGCATCCAAGCTCCTGTGCAAACCTTCTCGCCAATCCGACTTTGCATCTCGATCTCTGCAGCTCGAACGTCCACACTGCTTCAGGGAGTGCTACATAAGCGAAGATTATCTCTACTGTATTTGGTTGAAGTGCAAGGATGAAGAGCGTAAGAAGTCGACAACCTGTTGGCCGTTGGAAAGCTAGACTTTTTATTTTTGATGTCAACCTCGAAGTCTTCACAAACGCTACTCCTGCATAAGCTGGTGCTCTTACGCGGAGCTTTATACTCGCCAAAATTGGCCAATAACTAGATGCGAGATTATGTGCGCGTGACTACTCAAGTGCATGCAAGTAGAAAACTGACACAGCTAATGACACAATGTTTGAGACTCAGCTAAAAGCTAAGTATTGTTGTTCACTGAATCGTTGAGGTCTACTTTATTCTCTATTCAGTCTCGGCAAACATTCGGAGAATCGTGCCTCATTCTTCATTAGCATTCATGACATGACCCTGTGCGGTCACGTTATCCGGGTTCTTCAGTACAACGCTTTCTGCCACCATGCACACCTCTTGCTAGCATTGCTATCCCGTATCTCCATGATGTTTGTCGAGTTGAGCTCCAAAACGTTCGCATCTGATCCGTACATATTGAATTGCCGGATGCCACCAGCCTCCGGACGGCCATTTTCCGCAAAGCTGGCAATGAACTGCTGGAGTGCAATCGCAACAGTGCGGTTGGCCACTCCCAGTGGAGACAACGCCCCTCCATCGTAATACGTGTATGCAATATCGAAACCGTGGAAAGCGGGCGGAACAGCAAAGAGGTACGAGTAAGTCTCATTCTTGTACGCCGTCGAAAGATAGTTGGTGTTGCAAGTAAACACGCCCTCGGAGATAATCAAGCTGGCGCGGGCATAAGGTGTGGTGTACCAATATGACCCATCATAAACAGCTGGGTAGAGGGTTTGCTGAATATACTGAAGGGTTTCCAGAGGCGAATATGGAAACGCTGTTCGGAGCTGAGCAGTAAGATCGGCTTCTGTCTGGATGTAAGGCGGCGTGAAAAGCGTTCCCTCTTGGGCGTTGTGGCCCACCATGACACGCACGTCCTTGTCGAAACGGCCTTGAGCAAGCAATTGTCCAGGCTGAAGAGGTACGAAATTTCCATCAACCGATGGCCCATAGACATAGGATCCATAGCCGGCGTCAAAGGCAACTTGCTGGGCATTAGCGCGAATGATGTCCGCGGACGGCAAGGCGCGCAATTCAGCCAGCGACGTGGTGTTGGTCAGGTTTAGGAACTTGCGATATATGTTCTCTGTTTGGACGTTCGACTGTATCGGAGACCATCCTGGACTTTGTGGAACGGCTTGTTGGAACGGTGCCTTGCCTTTTAGCCCCCCGTACGCCGTGATTTGATGCATGATACTTCCACCACCAGCTGACTCTCCAAAGACGGTGACCCGATTTTTGTCACCTCCAAAAAGATGAATGTACTTCTGAACCCATTCCAGGGCGAAACGCTGATCGTAGAATGCGAGGTTGCTTACACCACCCTCAGCTTGGAACGACGGTCCAGCCATAAATCCAAGAGCCCCAAGACGGTAGTTCATGGCCACATAGATGACGTCGCCGTTAGACGCATTCCCAGAGGCGGCAAGCAGTCCAGCGGGGTTGTAGTTCTTGTTGCCACCCACATAACCTCTGGAGATAGTTAGAAAACCACTACAGTTCAGAAATACAGAATACTCACCCTCCATAGATCCACACGATTACTGGGGCGCCAAAGCCTCGACCAGCTTCGCTGAGAACGTCCTCTGGCACAAAGACATCGAGAAAGAGACAGTCTTCAGACTCACGGAAATTCCGCGCTGGAATCGGGCTGCTTACGTTTGCGCCTGGTGGTACGTAAAGCGGGATGTTGTTGGTCGGCTGGCCGAGTAGAAGGTTTGTTATGAACGAGCTAGCTACTGTTTGCCAGGCGGGACTGGCCTGCGGACAGATCCTGTTGTCGGTACCGTTCTGGATAGTCGACCTGTTCTCTGCCGGTGCTTCGGGAGGGGCAAATCGAAGGTCGCCAAGGGGAGGGGCTGCGTATCGAATTGAAGTAAAGTTGTAGAACCTTCCTGTGCTCTGCGTTTGTGTCAGTATTACGGTTCATTACATTGATTAATTGATCTTGTGAGACAAACATTGAAGCCAGAAGCTCTGTGAATCTCATATCCAAGGTCCACAGTCGGCAAAGATGAATAATCCTGCGCGTACACTGCTCCCAGAAGAGCAACCGCTCCGAAGATCTTGAGCATCTTGTCGATGAGGAGTCAACAGTAAGCCTGGAACAGGCGTTTCTGGCCTTTGCCTAAGCTTAAGAGTGCTTGTGGCCGGCAGAAGTGCGAATCTGCAAAGAATCAGGAACTGCAATTGTGGGTTAATAAGATGCGATCTGAGGCATATTTCAGACACCCTACTAGTGTTGATTACAGGCGGCTGGTAATTCCGGACGGCAAGAACGCAGGTACTAGGCGTACTTTATAGACTGTCCCGCGTTGTATAGTCTAGGCCGCAGTTCTAACTCGAAGCGTAAGTTCCCCACGTTTTCCCGCCTGCATTCCATGCAGCCCATTGTTCATCTTGGCGTCATCAAGCCAGAGCCTCGGCGATCGCATCGCGAATGTATTGGCTGAGCTGTAGGGTCGACGGGCGAATTTAAAAAGTACACCCTCGCGTTTGGAAGGCGCAGTACTGGTCATGGATAAACATAGACTGCTTGCCCGATGATTGGGGTAGTTACTGCGCAGGGCGTTAACGAAAAGAACGTGCGCTCACGCTATGAACAGATCCTGAGACATCTACAGACGAAGCCCCCGCTTAAGAATCACCTAAATATAAGAATCACCCTAGCACAAGCATTAAAATGCCTGCTACTACTAATTTTTAGTAGCTATAAGCATCTATACAGCTGCAAGAATATGCTTAGCCCTGTACGTAGATAATACTTATAATAAGTAGCTAGCAGAGGGCTAGGGCAGCTAGTATTAGTTAGGATAACGCTCTAAGGAGCTAATTTTAGTAGTTTTACGCAACGTAATTAGGTATATAAATACTTAATTACTTATACTAACTTAGCCTATAGTCTAATTAGTTAATCTTCTGTACTATTCTTTTAAAATTACTTATAAATCCTATACTAAATAGCCTAATCTGCAAATCCTGCTACAGTCTACTAATACAGTATTAGTAATAATAAGTAATAACTTATCTGTAAATATACTAAAGAATACCTAAATTTAAAGCAGTAAGTACTTATAGTATAGGTAAGTAAGCATCTCTGCTATCTTATTAATTAAAGCATTATTTATAAGATACTTACTACTAAGTTTACCTTCCTTAATAATAGTAGTACTACTAATACTACTGCTATTACCTGTAATAGGCGCACAGAATAATACAGCGTAGGGTATTATCTAGTGCTTAAGGAGGCCTTATTTAAATAGTATATACTAATAGAGGTATCTAAAGTTATAGTTAGAGGTTCTATAATAGCTACTATTATATAGCAGTTATAGGCTTATTTACCTAAATACTTAAGCTGTTTATTACTAAAGTTTAGCTATAACTTCCTCTATAGTTATAAGTACTAGTATAATATTTAGTAGTATAAGCAGTATAGTAAGAGAGTATTATTTAAGCTACTACTAGAGGTAGAGGCTAAGGTATCTATAGAGAAGATCTATACTAAAATTAACAGCTATAATAAGCGTAACTGCTATAATATAGATAAGATAGCTTTATACTAAAAGCTTATACCTAATACTACGTTAGCTATATATAAATAGAGTAGAAAGAAGAAGGAGAAGACTTATATTAGTATTACTCTTTATATTAATACTAATAGAAGTAATAAGCTACCTCTTTAAATTATTAGTAAAGCTAATAACCTACTTGCTTTTAGTAGAAGAAAGTGTAACTTACGTAGCCTAAACTATAGTTAGAGATATAATAAAAAAGCCTAGATAACTATAGTAATTATAAAGAAGTAGTTAAAGTTATTTATAGCTTAGATAGGTAGCTAGAGAGTTATTTTACTACTAAATAACTTCTCTATATATAACGTAGTAGCAGAGAATATAAAGAAGAGTAACTAGCTAGGTAATATAATATAAGTATAAGTAATTTATAAGTAGTTTAGTATTATAGATAGCTTATATATAAGCTTAAGATTTACCTAAGTCTATAAACGTATTATATTAGTATTTTAATTATATTCTACTAACGCCTATTATTTACCCTAAATAGGTAAGGCGTTTACTAGATTAGGTAAGGTACTTTTATATAAAATAAGTAAAATAAATTTACAGCCTCTAAGTAGCTAGATTTTTTAGGGTCTAGGAATATTAAAAAATGCCTACTATTTTACTCCTTTAAAAACTACTCCTTTAAGCTAATTAAGCTATTTAAAGTTTATAGATTTTTTAAACTTATTTATAATACTACGCCTATAGCTAATAATTTATAGCAGAATCTACTTTTTTCTACTTAATTTAACCTCTTAGTATTAGCCCTATAATTAGGGTATTATTTAGAACTAGAAGGTTAAGTTTTAAGTATTCTAGCTTAACTTTTTTATTAAAAAAACGCTTAATTACGTAGATCCTATACCCCTTATAAATATCTTTACAGCTCTCTAATAGGCTACTTAGGTATAGTTTAATATAAAAGCTAAGATAATTACTAACTATTAGACTAAGAGTAGTTATCTTAACATATATATTAGCCTATAGTTACCTAGCCTAGCTAATTATAAGGAGGCTAAACTCCTTATTTAATATCTTAATAAGCTTACTATAATTAATTAAGTAAAGGTCTAGCTTAATACCTAGCTTAACCCTTCTAAAGAGCGCGTTAAAGATAGTATAGAGAATATAATAGATTATATTATTAGCCTATTTATAGCTATAGAAGATAATATTAAGAAGGATAATAAGCCTACCTTTATCTAAGCTCTAATCTTATATAGAAAAGCTTATAATATAGTAAAGTTTCTGCAGTTTTACTTAAGTAGCTAGGAAGATGCTTAGCAGAGTTATATAGAAATGCTTTAAATTCTCTGTAATTAATTTACTTAAGCTTATATTACTAAGATATATAAAAGATTATCTTAAACGTTAATTACTAATATATTTAGAGCTTAAGTTCTCTTTTTTTAATAATTTATATAAAGATTTAGCTATTTATAGAACACTAATTCTGCGCTAAGACTGCGCTCTAACACAAGAATTAACCCACGATAAGCATCAAAATGTGGCCATATTACGTGATTCTTATGCAGGGGTGTCGTCTGTACATCTCTCTAAGGACCATACACAAGGTTACTTGATCGATAAGCGATGCTCGCGTAAGCTTCGTTTGCACTCTTCTGGAGCTGTGCATCTCTTCACTAAAGTTGTCCACGCTCGGGCCAGAGTCTCTACAAGAGTGCCTCACTAACTGGTTATATTCGCTCATTGAACATCTTGTCTAACGCGTTCGGTCTGAAGGGTGAAAGTTGTTGAAGAGGAAGGCGGATGGTGGTTGAGCTGGCGACATTGGAGGACAAGCAGGGATCCCCCTTACATTCAACTGACAGCCGAGGCTGAGCATGCATGACTGGCGTTCTGCTGTGACAACAGGCAAGACCACGGCAGCCACGATCCAATGCTATTCGTGACCTGTAAGACCACGTCAGCTGTAGTAAAATGTGGCATGTGTTAGGTGAGATCATGACTATGCCAATTCAGATTGAACAGCTGTGCAGGTTGCCTCAGATTCTATTACTCTCGACACGAAGATGCGCAGTCTTATGTCTTGTTAATACACAGAGAATATTCACCTGATCTCTCACGAACGCGCTGTTCCTTTTGTGGAACCGTCTCTCCTCGGTATATGTAACTAGGACCGTTACGATGTCGCGTTGCGGAAGTCCGAACCCCCGCAGGCTAATGCCGTACGTCCGCCAAACGTTAGATGCTACTCATAGACAGCGATGTGTTTGTACAGTACCCCGTTTCCATTCGCATGGCTGGCCAATACTATATCGTCATGGTCTAGACATCTGGCGACGCAAATCGACACAGAAAAAACGGAGGAAACCCTGAGCTGAGGGAAGAAAGTCCTCGCCATATAGGGGACGGCTATTTACCTAAGTTGGAGAGCAAGTACTACGCGAATTTCTGGTCATGGATTGTCGATGTCCAGGACGAGGGTACAAAGAAGAGTTATAACCCTTTGAAAGCCTTGCAATGCGACATTTTACTAATCCTCACTATCGCAAACTCCTCTTCCTTAACTTGGGTAAATTTTTCTTCTACCAATTATCGTTGTTAGTAAGAGGGGGTAATCACGGATCTTATGTGCCGCTCGGGAAGATCAGTGAGAGAAATCTTTTGGAGGACAAGATGCAGCAAACAACGATGAGAGTGCGACGAGCAGACGATCGCTCATACTGATGAAGAAAAATGGATAACAAAAAGTGAGGTGGATGATTTTATGGTTGGTTTGGAGCGCAGGATTGAAGTGGAAAGGGTGCATGAGGGTTCGAGTTTCAAAGTCTTGAAAGAAGAATAGATGTTTTCGAGCGAGGCTTGAATATGTCCAGAGATCTGCAGGACTGCAAGATGGCGAAGGTTTTGCCATGTTCTGCTCTTGGTGTGGAAGAGCATCCTTGCGGTTTCGAATTGCGGTCTTGCATGAGTTTCCAACTTCTTTCGTAGCTTCTTTGTGTATTTCTCGGTTGTTCTCAAGTGGTGAGGTAAGAGGCTAGAGTTAGGTCAGCTATTTGCTCGCACCTGCTGGCCGCTCCCCGCCCTTCTGATCTGTATCTTTCACCATTATTCAGCAAACACCGTTCCACCGAATTGCTCGCCCGCACGTTGTTAAAACCCACCCGTTGTAACGTCTGCATATATACCCTGTGTCTCTTCTCGCAACAGCATTCTCACACTTGACCCGTCTTTTATTCATCCCCCGTATATTCCTGCCATATCTTGCTACCCTCATCACTCACCATGACACCCGAAGACGTGCGCAACCACCGCGAGCAACTGGCATACGTTAAGGACGCAAAAGGAATGATCATCAGTACCTCATCCCCAACACTTCATATACAAACAAGTCACTGACGCTCTGCCAGGCGACGCCCGTGCTCTCTTCAGCGCCCGCGGCGTCATCTCGCACAAACAAACCTTTGACATCATCACTTCCACTTACGGCGGTGCTTGGCAAGCGAATCTTATCTTGTATCATGACCTCAGTACCGATTCGCGCTGGACGATACTTCACGAGGGACTGCGATGCAAAGACCTCTGTATGGCGGTCAAGATGCTGTGGGATGGGCTGCAGACGGCGCTGGGTGATATGCAAGGTGAGCGTCTGGTATTGTCTTGTTCGAGATAGCATTTGCTGATTAGAGCAATAGCTATGCAGGCGACGCAGCACGCAACCCATATGTATTCCAGCCCGGCGTCTACGGCGATGTCGTATGCGCAGTTGAGCCCTGAGACGCCCACACGGTCGACTCCAGATGAGATCCCGGTGCCTTCTACGGAGACACCTGAATCGGACATGAATAAGGCCTGAGAGATGGAGATGTAGAGATGAGTCGGATCATCGCGCTGGGAAGAGCGAGAAGCGAGAGTGACAGACGAGAGCGCAACAGGCAAGCCTTGCGTACATACAGCGTATGCTGAGGATCAGCTACGCGTGAGTCAAATTTTGAGAACTGTACAGGCGTTTTCATGTTCCAGCATATCAAGCTGTTTGGGGGCCATACGGCAGAGCTGGCGGGTCTCAGTCTTCTCACAAGAGGTCTGTGAGGATTTTCAATACACGCACCTTGTCACTGGTACAAAGAATGCACACTCTAGTATGACCTCCGGACGTACCCAAACAATCACCAACGCGTTTGCAGCGGATATTTTCACCCTCTCAAGCGTAGTGCCTCACTCCACCTAGATCATCCAACCCACATAACATACCCTCAACACAACAACATGAACCGTCTTTCGCCTAAATTCCACATCCCATCCCCAAATCCAGAACAAACTCAACATTTATCTCTTGCCATGCAGTCACATACATGACACGACATATCTCGGCGTATTCTAGGGCATCTGCATACACACACAAAACGACAGGGCGGCGTCTCGCTTTAACGCGGTAAACATGGACGCCGCGGCCTTGCTACGTCCACGGAACACATATGCGGTATAGCGCCAGGAAAACGCAGGAACATGACAACAGGTGTGGGAGAGGATGTGTTGTACTGTGGTACCACCCAGAAGTTTTCACAAATATACTAAGAAGAAGGGACATTTTTCATTGGCTCTTGAGACTACAGCAGACCTCCTGGTTCGCTGGAATTCGTTCGTGCAGGGAGGTGATCTGGGAAGACTACTAGGGGGTACCACAGTACGTGTGCGCGAGGTGCGGAAGAAAAGAATTATGAGGTGGGTACTGAGTTATCCGAGAACTGATGCTCACAGAAAATGAGTAACACGACCCTAGTTTTACTCGTAGCATGTCCTAGAGCACTAAGAAGTTCTGCTAGGCATGTCTAAAGAGTAGACGATTGCAGAGAAGGTCTCTATATAAGAATATGTATGTAGTATCGTTCTAGACATTCGGGACAGGTATCCGTCCGGTATATTCCCTCAGCGACATCGGCGTCGCAAAGTCTGACATGCTACATTAATTACAAGGATGAGCGAGCAAGCTGCAGTCGACGCCTTAAACCTTTAATACCAAATCCCTGTCGAAAGCCATACAACGAGTCAGGCCCGGATAAATCGAGCTCCAGAATTTATGCCCGCCACAGCTGCAAGTCGAACACTTCTGATTGGCTAACTCTCTTGACCGCGATCAGCGGCGAAGTCAACGTTTGTGGCGCGCACAGGTAGATTTGCCAGATGCGTAGATGCCGATTCTCCGGTTCGGCAGCGATCGTGACGATGCTGTTGGGACTGTACACTACTCTGCCATTTCCGGTGGTAATCGGCAAAGCGCGCAGGCTCAGGCCTTGCAGTAGGTAGAGCGCGTGGAGTGTGGAGATGTATCTAGCTGCATCTTGTGAAAATAAGGCAACCACAACTTTAAACCCAAAAAAGAGGAGTATAGAGATCCTAGGATGGGCCAGGCAAGTTTATGTGAGGTGCATGAGGTGTTGTGGAAGGTAAGTCACAGACCCGTCCATGTACATTGTCTGGGTGCGGTGATCCATTTCCCAAGTATGAGCTATGCTCCACTTTTTATGTCTAGAGAGGTTACGGATTTGGTTCGTATTCGTCAAAGCCGCGAACAAGACATGCCTGGCTAGACACTTAGTGGGGATGCTACTAACATTGATAGGTGGTGGATTGCGTGTACTTCAATCAAGTACCATGGTTAGGTCCTCATCAAAGTCGATCGACGTCTGGCGCTGGATAAAGATCGTAGATGAATACGGCGGCAATCGTGTACCCGTACCAGATCTAGTTTCACGTACTAGACAAGAAAGGTAGGACTTACGAAAGTAGTGCTTCTACAATTACTGCTTTATCATGCAGACAATGAGGCAGACGCTATGGTCTGCACGTTACACCAGAGCTGTTCGAAGTTACTACCGGGATGTATAGTCAAACCAGTCTGCTTCTCAAGTCTTTCTTTCTTATCCTGGAAGGCGTAAGCCTGCCTGCCAATCAGTGCCGAATACATCTTGGTGTCTGCATAACACTCATTGCCGCTTACGAACGGGTTCTGAGGACGGCATAGAAGGACGTTAGTATGAGACGACCATCCATATTCCAGCATTAGTGGCATACGGCTCAAACAGATCTCGATGCTGTTGTGAGCGCAATCCGATGAGGCTAGGTGTGTTTGAAGGTGCAGCGAGCGGGAGGATGTCCGTTATGGGAAGGTGATAGGCTGCGATATTGAGTCCATACAGCGGCTGTTGATGAGGCTGTTGATGAGTATGATGATGAGTACGATGATGAGTACGCATGAGAACTTTTGCGATCAGTGAGAATTTAGTAACAAGGGTTCTCCTGCATCTATTGGATGTTGACAGTATCGAATCGGCCTCTGGAAAAACTTCTCGCTTGCTAGTTGTCTGTTTTGGTGTAAATGGATTATTCGATTACGTACCGTTTTGCTCATAGGCGTGCTTTAGGTGGAGACTAGATTTCGCGTTCAACGGCGACTAAGGTAGCCTGCCATGGTAATTAACAAGCGTCGGTGGAGCTGATGCCAAAAGAAGGAGCTTATTGTGCAAGATCCTCAAGCTCAATTGGTCTGGACTTGGGCATCCACGCCTTCGGACTCGTGCTTGTTTTTTCGTTGTTGCCAGATTGCCGACGCGCGGGCGGAAGGAACGAAGTTCCTCGTCTCCCCAGATTCTCCGCATTGTTCCGACATTGCTTGTTGTGAAAACTAGTCAAAGCCCAGAACCTTGACCATTAAAGCCCAGCTTGGAGTCAGAGACCCTGCAGCGGTTGTTGAAGCAGTGGCTGTCCTGTTGACTTGCGTGGCTTGGAGGGCCCACTTGGGCAACCACACTGCTCGTGCACTGCTTCTAGAAGACCGTGCACAGCTTCTGGAAGACCTGGAATGTCATGTGTGGTGGAGCATCGCGGAGCATCGTGGGGCAGACGTGGAGCACTTCGGCCAACTGCTGGTGAGACCGGCGCTTGGGAAGCATCGAGTTAGTCAGCGGAGAGCACCACGTACCAGAGCACGAAAGAGGATACGAGCATTGTTCACGTCGGTTGCAAGGACTAGGCATCCTGTGGTTGGACAGGGAAGACATGCGCTTGCGAATCCATGCAGACGCAAAAATTAGAGTTCGGAGACAGCATGACAGGTCGTGTTTTCAGCCGAAACACGAGGGGAGAATGACGGAGTGTCAGTTGGGTGTCATCTCGTTGGAGGCTGGAGAGTTTCGCAGCATGACGTGCAATCTCAGGGGCAACTGGAGACGGCTCGACAGTAATCGAGCAGATCCGTCCCAATATGGCAGTCGCAACCATGATCGGAAGCACACAACAACACAAGGTGGAAGTTTGACGAATCGAGGTGAGGGTGCGTCATTGGCTACGTGTAAGAAAACGGCCGAATGCAACTGGGCGAGGTTGCAGCAGGTCGAGGAAGCGAGAAGCGAGGAAGCCCCGCCAAGGATCGGAATCGTATCCAGCATTTACTTGTCGCACACGAGCACTCGGCGACGATTGTGTGAGAGTGCTGTCGACACGAGCTCGCCTTTTTGAAACGGTATCAGGCAGAGTTGCGTGGCTGCAATGGTTACAAGATGTAACCCTCGTCGCCCTCTTCCACATGTCAACCGTACAACGGCGTATTGTGTAATGGTCGGTTGGCTGAACCTACGGTCAAGCCCCTGCTAGCTTACCGTGCTAATCGCACCTACATGCAAGTGCTAACGTTCATGTTCGAGGGCTAAATCCCGCTGTTTCCCTCGACGTAGGGTGTCTTGTTTGTCCTCCTCATCATTCCGTCGAGTAGAGTTTGAGTGCAGTGCTAGCGAGTGCAGCAAGCAAGCCGTTCTTTAAGCCCCGTTCAACCCGGTCAGACGTTTGCGGTCACACCCTCCACTCAACCACAACCACCACGCGACCCGCCATACCTCCCGCCTCTGAGACTTGTGATCCGGTTCCTGGCGTCCATATCTGCCTTCACCACTCACAGCGCCCGTCATAATACACTACGACGTTCCTGGTGCACACTTTCCAAGCGAGCAGGGGCCTCTTCGTCAGCTGAGCCGCCATCGCCGACCCACCACGACGCATACCCGCACATCATGAGGCTGTGAAGATAAGACATAGTAGGAAAATGGATTTTACGGTATGTTCCCGCGCGCTTAACTCTCCAGGACGGCGCAGACAAGCTTTGCGGCGCCGTCAAGACACCCTCTTTCCTCTTCTGTCGCGGGTCACGCGCTCTAGGCTGCTGGAACCATGGCTAACTTGAGCGTGCGCAGATCTCGCTGGCCCACTTCTGCGAGACCCACGGTCCAACGTCTATCATTTGCACCCAAGCCTCGACATCGCCATGCGCGACGTGCAATCCATGCGTTACGCCGCCCACTGAGGAGCCCTTCTCAGCCTTCCCCTACAATGGACTGTACGATCAATCCACATCGCTAGGGCTGGGACGACTACCACACATCTCGCCCCTCGAAAGCCCGCCCACGAGCCCCGCCTCGTCCACAAACAACCCATATTTTCCCAGCTTGTCGTCGTCTGGCAGCAGTTTTGGCGGAAGGAGACCAAGCAACACCTTCGACTCCGAGTCTGACGCGTGCGAGAATTGCCAGATGGTTGTCCCCAAAAAGTACAGCGACAAGATCCCAAATGGCGCTCCTGGCAGCCCCTCCAAAGACGGAAGAGGAAGAAACGGCAGTCCCGTGCTGCGGAGCTCCCAAAACTACCCAGTGCGCCGCTCCATTGCTTGTGACGACGTCAGCAGTACAGATTCGGACGTCTCAGACACAGAGCAGCCCAAGTCGTTCAAGAGTACAGCCTCCAGCTCCTACCGCAACTCGGTTGCTGCCTCATCAATGCTCTCTAGAAACATGCACACACATACCCTGAACTATATCTCCACCAGTCAGCCACAATCACCCGCGACATACTCTACGCTTCGACGCACATGTATTCGCACTCTCTCCACCGAGGTGTTGCCCATGAGCAAGGCTTCTGGACCCATCATGTTTGGTGATTCAGTCGCCGGCTACACAATCGCATACGTCTTCCGAGTCCAAGACCCCAGAGCTCGCGGATCAATTCGGGAGTATGCGCTGATTGCGATGGCCGGTCGCGATTGTCGACGAGCAACTAAGGCCATGGTCAAGATCACCGAGGTTTTCCAGGGGATTGCGAACCGTATAATTGCGCTGGCCGAGAGAGTTACCGAACGTGAAAGCGCTGCCTCGCAAAACCCATCTCGTCCGTCCACTGCTATGTCTGGCGCTTCTCTTGCATCAGCCACATCATCGATGCCGTCCATGTTCATGTCATCTCAGAAGGAGCGACAACTCTCGTCCGGGGCCAGCTTGCCCACTCGTAGCATCACTCCTGTGTCGTCGTTCTTGTCCGCGAAAAAGCTTGATCCCGATGGCTTCCCTCGTGTGTCCCGCGACCTAATGAAGGCGAAGAGCCTGACTGAGATTGTGGGCCAAGAGAACTTCTTTGTAGAGTTGCACACCGTCTTCTGCAGCCTTCTCCATACGCTCATCAAGCAATTTGGGTGAGCGACTCCATACGTTATTCCTTTGAACCTTTCATCTCTGTCAACTTTCTTGTAATCAGTACTTCTTACGTGTTGTCCTTTTATCATGCGTTTTAGCGTATCTTTTCTATTTCCTTGTCATGCGTTTTGAGTACTGGAGTTGGGGCGTCATGTTTTGAGGGCACCTTCTATGATCTGTCTCAACGGCCGTGTGTTTTAATTCTTCACTATTGCGCGATGCTGCCTCATCTCAGCAGGACCCGGCTTTATACTATACCCCGTTCCAATATACCCGAGCGTTCTTCGTTGTTTCAACAGTGGGTGTTAACCATAGACTGGGGGTTTTGTACTTTGGCCTGGTGTTTTACGGGGTCTTCGAGCGGGCGATGGGATGTGCGTTACAATATATGACGCGAAACGGCCGATGTCGCAGAAATCTGCAATGGCATGGTGAATGCGATGGATGTGTAATTCAAAATGATGACTTTATCCAACTTCTAAACTGTTCCTTTATGATGTACATTGCTCATTGAGGTGCTCATGGTGTCATTTGCGGTTGGTGGAGCACCATCACGGTGCTCTACCTCACCAATGCTCTACCTCATCAAAGCTTTCTGTCATTGGCATCATCACGCAGTCTAACACGCCAACCGAGTCACAACACCACTCACAGCCTCGAAAGACTCTAACAAACTCACACCGCAACTGACTCAAGACGCTCGACCCTTCTTCTTCTATCATCGATGATGATAATCAGGTTTCTGGGTCGGCCCTACCGCGCGTCCACCCACGTCAAGCCTTTTCGCCTCCACCGCGATCTTGGCAGGGTTCTGCGATCGAGCAGGGATGCAGAAATGACGTCATATTCCTCCACTCCAGGATCAACCAGGTAAACCGGGGTCTGATGAGCAGCCAAGATGAGCCACGCGGGTAAGTGCGCGGAAGCCAAGGTTACTTTATATCTAGGTGAGTATGCGGCGAGAAATAAAGAGGAGGTTCGTAGTATTTGAGGTAGACATGATAGATAAGCGTCGCAGAATGACCAGGATAGGAAAGTCCCGAATAAAAAGTGGATCATCATGACGATGTGTACCCTAGCTTTATAGAGATAAATATATCGTGCCTGCTACCCCGCCACACACATTTTACCCACTTATACACACTTCACACATACAAACAAACTCCAAACCGACGCGAAAATGAACAACTATAACCAGATGAACAACCAGTCCCAGATGAACAACGGGTACCAAAACCAGGCTGGTGGACAGAAGGAGGACTACCTCGACAAGGCGCTCGACTGGGCGGAGAAGAAGTGGGGAGGTTCAAAGGGCCAGAATACGCAGCAGAATCGTGCTACGAATGAGAAGATTGTAAATTCTCTCTTTTCTTTTCTTTTCCTTTCTTTCTCTTCCCTTGTCTTGTTCGAGAAAAATACCCTGATCGCATATTCCTGGCATAAAAAAGGCACTCTGGTTTTCACTTGTACATCAAAACGACGAACGATAAGATACCTTGTTCCAGACTCTGCATGGTTCTGCGCGTTGCTGTTTCGCTCTTGCTCTTGCTCGCCATCACGTCTATCACATCACTTTCCTTCCCTTCCCCTTACCTTACCTTCCCTTCCCTCCCCACACACTCGCACAAACCCGCAAAACGTGATGCAGAGCTAACCTTACGCTAGACGGACGGCGCTCGAAACATGTTCGAGAAGGCGACAGGGAAGAAGATGCCTTCTAAGTTCTCGAACTAGAAAGGTATTGAATGAGGAACATGAGAAAGGGAAGGGATGGAAAGGAAATGAGGAGGAACAGGATACCACAGTCTACGAACGGACGGATAGACGGACAGAAATGAGGAATGACGGTTATCATAACAATGAATTGAAATGAAATGAGTTACGACACAACACAACTTGAGAGGTTTATATATGTTTATGCTTGTGTTTACTATTACGAAGATGAGAGCAAGGAGAAGGAGAAGAAGGAGAAGGAGAAGAAGGAGAAGGAGAACATGCGCGTTTCTAATCGTTGAAAGGTTATCATTCATTCCCCCTGTATACCGGGCGTGGAAATCCATCACACCAGCTGTATACATGGCATACACACAAACAATCCCCCTCCTTCTTCCCAGCTCACCTAACCTCACCTCATCATCGCCTCACCACCACACCACTCCACTCTAAACCCACCCATCTCTTCCCGTCCCGCAGTCAACAAACCCAGCATCTCCATCCCCATCCCCGTCGATATCGTACGGTATGGTCCGACCCAACACCCTCCCCTCGGAACGCGATACGATACGATAGGGTAGGATCGAGATGCGATGAGATCGAGATCTCGAAACCCATGTAGTGTAACACCCCCCAACCCAACCCAACCCAACCTGTCACTCCACTCCACCCCAAAAACCCCCAAAAACCCCCCTGTTCCGCGGATACGGAAGGCCATATCCAGATCTCAGCTATATCACCATACCAGCGCAACGGAACGTGATATATCGAGCAAGGGGCGGAAAGAAGGGATCTGCGACGGGAAGACCAGGGGGGGGGGGGATAAACAAAGTTTGTACATGAAGCAGGGTATATTTTTGTAGAGCAGGGTTATATTATAGTATGGTAAGGATTCGGCTTCGGATTCGGATCGAAGATCGGATATATCTATCTATCTAGCTCTAGCTAAGCATTGCGTTGCCTTGCATGCATATGCACGATCTACCGATAACGTTACACGGAGGAGGGGGGGGGGGGGGGATCACACCACCCTCGGACCACAACACCACAACACATCACATCACGATGATCGCAATGCGTGCGTGAGAGAGTGAGTGAACGAGATGATCCGATCTAGCCGGCCAATTCCACGCGCCTCCTCAGCAGCGCGCGCGCCTCGGTCTCAGTCAAGACCTCGAAGCCCAAATCGTCCAGAACAAGCCTGGCGCTATGATTATCCGCAAAGAGGCGCTTTTCCACCTCCCACAAGCCGAGGTCAGTGTCAACGTCTGTGGTGATTTCTTTTTGCGGTGCGAGCGGCAGGGGCGCCGTGTCGTCGCCCGCATCCCAAGCATCATCCCAGGCGTCTGCGGTGTCGTCCTCGGCAGGCGTGGAGGAGCTTGCAGGCTGCTGGTCTTTGGCGGCGTGGACGGGCAGGCCGACGAGCTGGGCGGCCTCGAGGCATTTGCGCAGTCCGACTTCAGCGACGCCGGGCCCGACTGCTTTGTCGACGACACGGCAGATGGCGGCGAGATCGGTGTGCAGTTGGGCAGCGCCTGCAGTGGAGAAGCGGTAGCGGTTGAGGACGCCGTCCCACAGGATGCTGGAGATGGTGGCGAGAACGGCTCTGGTGATGCGGCGCAGGGGCGCGGGTGCCAGGGCGCGGGACAAGAAGCCGAAGGTACTCGTCGCATGAGTCAGGAGGGAGTCCATTTCCGCCGTGGGGGAGAGGCTGGTGGCTGTCGTGGTGGTGGTGGATCCGCTGAGCGTTGCCCAAGGGTTGCTGCAGTAGAGTCAATATTCGCTTCAACCGTTACGTCCTGTCCGGGATACGTACATTTGGCGGTACGGCCACAGCGCCTCCCGCACATTGTTGTTCAGTGTGTCGATGATGATCTTCTCGCTGCGGTCACGGAGGCGCGCATACCACAGGGCTGTTTCGTCGAAGAGAGCGCCGCCGTCGCCGTCGCCCCCAACAGACTTTGACGTCCGTTCCGCTACATCGGCAACGGTCATGGTTCCGATGCTATTAGCTTGGCGTGCACGATCTTGCAGGCCCTCCCAGATGTCCAAGAAGAACTGCACGATGTTAGCACGTGTCACACACAGATCTACTGAGAAGTGGGTAATATTGGCGTACCACATCATCATTCCAGTCTCGCATTGCCTTTTCGAGAAAGTCCGCGCTGCCGTACGTCTTGCAGATGCGCTCTAGCCCCTCGACACCAAGCAGCTTCTCCTGTTCCTCTTTGGTGACCCCACCCATGGCCCGACCCAGCGACGTGGTCATTGTGAGGTAGGCCTCGACATTGCTCTGCAGCCGCTCATGGAGCTTGTCGAAAATGGCAATCTGAATGTCAATCAAAAAGGTGAGCTTCTGGCTGAACGAGGTCAAGGGTCGATATCGATCTAAATCGGTGATCAGCTTTTAAAGTTTCGGCGTTTCGGGTAACCGAACGCACCCGTTACTGTCTCGAGAAGATCGTTGACGCGGATCGCTCCCTTGGTTGGCTTGGTCGCCTTGGGATCGACACTCTCGTAGTCTAGATCACCAAAATCATCGGCTTCAACAATACTGTGATAGCGGGCCAGGGCAACTGCTGGCATGTCAGCTGCTGAAAAGAAATCGCTTTCGGATAGTGGCATGTCGTACAATCCTTTTCGACCTGCAGCCACTGTCCGAACCAATCAGCCTGGACGAGAAACTCCCATGCAAGCCCCTTCCACCCGTCGATCCCGTAGCCGCCGTCGTAGCCCCAATTCTCCCTGATGGTCGTGTCAAAAGTCAAGATCTCGTGCATGAGGTGGCTGAAGAGCTGCGGCTGTGGCGCCACTTTGGGGAGCAGGACGGCAATCTTGCTCCTGAGCATGGGCAGCAGGGCGGTGATGAAGGCCGACATGGCGTCGATGTAGACGGGATTCAGGGCCAGGTCGGTGCCACGGAAGTGTTTGAGCAGGATAGGCTGCACGTGGTCCGTCACGAAGGCGCTGTAGTCGTTGAGCAGGGTGGTGATGTGCGAGAGGAAGTACTCGGGCCTGTCGATGCGGTTCGTGGGCTTGTCGCCTTCGAAGTGGTAGCGGAAGCGCATCTCCAGCGGCTGCACGAGCACCTCGAGCGGGAACAGCACGGGCGGGAGCTTGACCTTGTCGCCGGGCCCGCTGGCGTAGGCCATGCCCTCGAGCTCGGGCATCTGCAGACGCAGCAGCTTCACGACGGCGGCGTCCCATTCTTCGCGCAGCTGGGGAGGGACGGCGGCCGTGGGGGTGGGCCAGTGGATCTTCTTGAGCAGGGCGTCCAGGTCGGCAGCGAAGGCGTCGAGGATGGTGGTGCGCAGGGCGTGGGTGATACTGGCGACGTGGTGCAGCAGCTGCGGGGCGGCCCCCTCGGCGTCGTGCTGCAGGGCAGCCAGGCGAGTCGAGAGGGCGTGCAGCTGCTGGTAGGAGCCCAGGGCGGCCTCGGGCGACGTCTGCAGCTGGGCCTGGGCCTGGGCGCGGAGGGCGTCGACGCGGGCCAGCAGGTCGACGTACTGGGCGGCCACGTCGAGGCGCTGCAGCGAGCCCAGCACGGCTTCGAAGCGTGGGAGGGCGTCGTCGCTGGCGTCCGAGGCCGTCATGACCAGCAGACGGCGGTCCATGTCGGCCTGCTCGCGACGGAAGGCATCGGCGCGCGTGCGCAGGGCGGTGTGGTGGCCGTGGGCGTGCTCTTTGGCGGCGGCCAGGTCGCGCTGGGCGGCGTGCAGCTGCTGCTGGAGCAGGCCGTGCTGGGCGGACACAGTCGCCAGCAGGCCGTCGAGGGCGTCGAGGTCGGCGGCCGTCTGCAGCTTGTCGTCGAGGAAGTCGTGGACGCGCGCGGGGCCGTCGTCGAGCGTCGCCATGGTGCCGTCGAGTGCCGTCGAGAGGCGTGGTGCGAGGGGCACGGTGACGCGCCGGCACAGAGCAGAGCAGGGCTGGGCTGGCGAGGCATCGGTGGCGTCCGATCGATCTAACGCCACGGACCGGGGTTGCTAGTCGTTTTTTGCCTCTCCAAGCACTAGCCGCCAGGCCGTGAAAACATCCTGCTGCATTGGCTCGGCCGTGTCGCACACGCACACGCTTCATAGAGCCACTCGACAGCGCACCCAGCTGGGCCTCGGACTTCTGCCGCGCCGTATATATATCGCTGCCACTGTCCTGGTCCCGGTTGTTCGATCCGCACCCTGCACTCGCTTAGCCGAGCCGTTTAAACTTTTTATTTCCACCATGCCCAAGGAGCAGAAGAAGCGCGGCCGCCGCGACGAGAAGAAGCGCGAGGAGAAGAAGCGCAAGCGCGAGGCCGACGATGTCGACGACGTCTCCAAGCGCCTCAAGCAGGCCGACGTCGACCCGGCCCACGAGGCACCGCAGTTCCCAGACGAGGCCGTCGATGGCGTCACCCGCCCGGGCGAGATGCCCTACTACGGCCTGCTCGACGACGACGAGCAGGAGTACTTCAAGCGCGCCGACGAGATGCTCGAGTTGAACCGCTTCGCCGACCCGGAGGAACGCAACCTCTTCCTCGAGAGCGTGTGGAAAGAGGCCGACGGCAAGGAGCTCAAGATTGCCAACAGCCAGTCGTGCTCGCGCCTGATGGAGCGCCTCATCCTGCTGTCCACGCCCGAGCAGCTCAAGGGCCTGTTCCAGAAGTTCAACAGCCAGTGCGTCACTGCATCCTCTCTCGTTTACATGCCAAGCTAACTGCTCGCAGCTTCCTGCACCTCGTCCAGCACCGCTTCGCTTCCCACTGCTGCGAGGCCCTCTTCATACAGGCCGCTCCCGTCGTCTCCCAGGAGCTCGCCAACCCGGCCCTCATACAGACGCCGCCCTCGTCGTCTGATCCAGACCAGGTCATCGTGTCCATGGAAAACCTCTTCATCTACACCCTGAACGAGCTGGAGGGCTATCTCGGCTACCTGATGACGGACCGCTTCGCCTCGCACGTGCTGCGCGTGCTGCTGGTCGTCCTATCTGGAGCGCCGCTGGAGAAAAACGCAAAGTCGGTCATGCAGAGCAAGAGGAAGGAAAAGGTTGGCATCTCCGGCTCCGACAAGGGTCAAGAGAGGGTCTTGGAGCAGCGAACCGTCCCAAAGGCGTTCCTGGACGCACTCGAAAAGGCCATCAACGACAGCGTGTCGGGGCTCGACCCGCACTACCTCCGCTCGCTGTCCACACACCAACTCGGCAACCCGACGCTGCAACTGCTCCTCAAGCTAGAGCTGTCGCATTTTGGCAAGTCACGGGCAAAGGACGAAAAGTCAATCATCCACAGACTTCTACCCGACGACCCCATCGCAGAAGGGACACCAAGCGCCTCTTTCATCAACGGGCTTGTCTACGACCCCATTGGCTCCCGACTGCTGGAAACCATCATCGAGAATGCTCCCGGCAAACTGTTCAAGTCCATCTACGGAGAATTCTTCAAAGAGCGAATAGGCAGTCTGGCTCGCAACGAGATCGCCGGCTACGTCGCTGGCAAGATTCTCCAGAGGCTGGGCAAGGATGATCTGGCAGATGCCATGCGCCAGATTGTTGATCAGATTCCCAACCTAGTCGAGAGGAGCCGAACCGCCATCATCAAGACGCTCATCGAGAGGTGCGCCGCTCGAGAAGTTGACATGTCCCCCATCAAGGCCCAACTAGAGACTGCATATGCCGGCTCCAACGGATTCGAAGTCACGCGTATTCTCAAACTCCACGATCTGCCTGAAGACGGGAAAGTGAACGGCAAATCAGACCATTCTCCGGAGAAGGTGCACGGGTCTTTATTGGCGCAGGCTATGATGTCAGTGGGAGGGCCCATGGGTAACCTGATCTTTGACTCCCTGACGAAGCTATCCCAAGAAGTCTCGATCCAGCTGGCGCGTGATCCTACCGCATCGCGCACACTACAGGCGGCGTTAACATCGCCCAACGCCTCGGTCATCTTCCGCCGGAAAATGATCATGCAGTTCTACGGCAAAGTGGGCGAACTTGCGCTTGACCCTGCCGCCTCCCGCGTCATTGATGCCGTGTGGGATGGTACAAACGGTCTAGCCTTTATACGGGAGCGTGTCGCTGAGGAACTTTCGGAGAACGAGAACGCAATGCGCGAATCGTTTGTCGGTCGCGCAGTCTGGCGAAACTGGCATATGGACCTTTACAGGCGGAAACGTACCGATTGGGTCAAGCAGTCACGCCACACAGCTGGCAACGATGGGTTCCAGTCTTTCCCCGAGAGCAATGGCAAGTTAAATGCTCCACAAAAGGGCAAACACATGACTGCGCTCGAGCTCGCTCGTCAAAAACATGCTACATCAAAAGCAGCCGAGGCGAAGAAAAAGGAAGCCCAAGCGAAGAAGGACATAAAGGCGGACAAGGGAAAGGCAGCCGTTGTCGCGTAGAGACTTGCATTGGTTGTGTGTGTAAGAATTTGTTTTGCTACATCAAGGCAACATGACAGCAGGCGTTTTCTGTGCTAACGGGCGTGGGTGGGTCCTTGAGCCAATTTCTGATTCGATCTTTTAGATACCTTTAGTGCATAGCTTTGCCGCATGGGAGGAAAAATGACTTCATTTAATACAACATTACTCTGAGCTCATGCTAAGTAATTTTCTTCTCTCCTCCCGAACTTTTTCTTCGTTTTGTTCCATTTCTAGATCTCAATTCAGAGTTTTTGACAACGTTTTCATCGAAAACTGCAGTCATGTCCAAGCCCAACGGCCCCGCAGCTGAGCTACCCCTCAACCGTGCAGACGAAGTCAAAGACGTAAGTGTTGCTCGTGCTCGGGAACACCTTCCGAGCCTTCCGACAATATCTGCAGTAGCACCACCACCACCAAACGTCCCACACAGCCGATATATTTACATCACATCTGATTTCTTGGCAGTTGCTGGACGCGATCCAGGATCTGATCGTGCCGTTCATTGCCTCCGCGGATCAGGATGCAGCAACGAAGCACACCGGTCATGGCCTGCAAGTCAAAGGTGGAGGGCCCCGTACTACCCTCGTCGAGCACCATCCGCCGAAGAAACTTGAAAACCTGCTGGGGGATGATTTGAGTGTTGGGGAAGAAGGGGGAGGGAAGGAGGGTCTGGTGCAGCTTGTGGAGATGATATTCAAGTACAGTGTCAACACGTGGGATCAGGGATTCATGGACAAGTTGTATGCGAGTACGAACGCGGTGAGTGGCTTGACTCTGTGCATGTCGGTGATGGAATGGATTTTAAAATGGTAACTAATGCGTAGTAGGTTGGACTGGTCAGCGAGCTCGTCCTCGCGACGCTAAACACAAATGTACCACGCTTCTTCCCTGTGCGACTGATATTTCATACTGATATTTCGACAGGTGCATGTGTATCAGGTCTCCCCTGTACTGACTCTCGTCGAAAAACACACCACCAAGTACCTCGCAAACCTCTTCAACTTCCCGCCCACGCACTCGGGCGGTATCTCGCAACCCGGCGGCTCAGCATCAAACAGCACCGCCATAGTCATCGCGCGAAACACGCTCTACCCAGAGACAAAAACCGACGGCAATGGCTCTTACAAATTCACCCTCTTCACATCCGCCCACGGACACTACTCCGTCGAAAAAGCAGCCAACCTCTTCGGCCTCGGGAGCAAAAACGTCATCTCCGTCCCCGTCAACCCCGCCGGCCAAATGATACCCTCGGAGCTCGACAGACTCATAACAGAAAGCAAATCCCGCGGCGAAACCCCCTTCTTCGTAAACGCCACAGCAGGCACCACAGTCCACGGATCCTTCGACCCCTTCGCCGCACTATCCCCCATCTGCAAAGCACACAACCTCTGGCTGCACATCGACGGCTCGTGGGGCGGCCCCGTAGTCTTCAACACCACATACCGCTCCACGCGCCTCGCCGGCGCAGACCTAGCAGACAGCATCGCCATCACGCCCCACAAAATGCTCGACGTACCAATGACTTGCTCCTTCCTACTCGGCCGCGACATGCGCTCTTTCCACAGCGCCCTCACACTCCCCGCTGGCTACCTTTTCCACAACAACAACGACGCCGCCGTCCCCACATCCGTAACCGACATCTACGACCTCGCAGACCTAACACCCCAATGTGGCCGCCGCGCCGACTCGCTAAAACTCTTCCTCAGCCTGAAATACCACGGCGCGCAATACTTCTCCGCCCTCATCGCCGCCGGGTACGAGAGTGCAGCGTACCTCCTCGCGGCGCTTAAGCGCAGTGGGGATTTCGTCACCGTTAGCCCGGAGCCGCTGCCGTGTTGGCAGGTGTGTTTTTACTACGCTAAAGGAGGGGTGTTGGGTGAGGATGTAGAGGCGAATGGGAGGGTGACGGCGGATATTGCGACGAGGCTTGTTAGTAGGGGGTTTATGGTTGATTTTGCGCCGGGGGAGAGGGGTAAGTTTTTTAGGGTTGTGGTTAATGGGGGTACGAGGAGGGGTACGCTGGATGGGTTGGTGAGGGCGCTTGAGGAGACGGCGGGGGAGGTGGTGGGTTAGATTAGTTAGAATGGGTAGATTTGATGGGGTGTCTAGACGGATATATATTGAAGATGACTTGGGAAGTGCGAGCCATGGTGGTGGCGATAGACGCTATATCAGACACATCACCCTCTAGTAGCGCTAGTTCTACCTCCAATCCAGTGTTATATTCTTTCCATCCGGCCAAATATTCCACATACGACCATAGGACGCTGAATATAGAGCTTCCCGTTCGCTCAGCTGTACTCAAGCAGTGTACCGGCGGATTAGTACCTATATGGGTGACCGATAGGGAATTCCCGCTGTTGTATGTTTTTTGCACTTTTTGTTCACGCAAGTTGAGATGAGGAATGGCTCTCGTACTTCGTTCACTGTCTGATATCTACCGACTCGGTCCTAAACAAGTGCACAGATATCACTCTTCTTTCTTTTTTTGCAGCCGCTCTTCTTTCTTCGACCCGTTTTCGTCGCAGCACTGTCTTCACAACGCATTTCTGTCTTTCTTCCCTTGTGTGTTGCAGTACTTGTATCTTCTTTGTTCTTCGACATAATCTTCTCCTTCACCCATTCGTGCCTTTGTCCACACCCCTTGTTTTCCCCAGCACAACGCATCTTCCAGACACTCCCACCAGCAAACCCCCCTCTCATCAAGAACACGCATATAAACCCACCATCTCTCCCACATTTCCTCATCCAACACACCCATCCCATCCCATAACAAAACATCCCAACCCCCATCACTATACAATGGCACCACGCAAACCCGCCCCCCCCTCCTCCCCCTCAGAAACAACCCTCACCGAAATAAACGCCACCGACCTCTCCCTCCTAGGCGCGCAACTCCACCCCCCCGCCCCCACGGCACCCATCCGCGCAACCCCTCACGACCTGCGCGTAGCCACCGCCGTGGAGATCGAAGCCGGGCCGTCGAAAAAACGGCCCCGAACACCCGGGTACTACGAGAGCGACGAGGAAGGCTTTCCGGACGATGCGGCGGGGGGTGAGCGGGCGGAGGATCTGGGGCGGGGGAAGAGGGTTAGGAAACCTGCCGCGACGACGGGTGCGGGGCCCGTGAAGAAGGCTGTTAAAAAGACGACGAAGCGCCGTGCGAAGAAGCGGGGTGGTCCTGAGGGTGAGGATCTCAGCGACGATGAGGATGAGGATAGCGAGGGTGAGAAGCTGGTGAAGAAGCCGGCTAAGAAGTCGGGAAAGAAAACTCCCGCTCAGGAAGTAGGGGATGGGGTATCGCCTGCTACTATGCGGCGGGAGATTGCTGGTCTTGTGGGGCAGAGTCTGCGCGTTGCGGTTACGTTTGCTCAGTTTTTGAGGGATCGGGGGGATGTGGAGGATGGGCAGGAGGAGGAGGCGGAGCAGATGGAGAGGGATGTTACTACTGCTATTCGGAACAGGAAGAGGAAGGCTGAGGTGCGCGAGGAGGAAAAGGTTGTGAAGAAGAGGGCTCCTGCGACGAGGAAGAGATGAGGAATTGGAAGGGGTTAGATATGGGTGGTCGATAATGGAATGCGGGGATCTCGTGGTTTTGTAATGTAGTTTTAGACAGATATTAGAAAGGTTCAGCGAGCGGACGAATTCTGTTATTTTGATGAGTGACAATTGATAAACAGGTTGTACTGCTCTATACCGTATTTCTTTTTCAAAGCTTTCTATCCCACGCTTATCCTTTTCAAATGATAGCCACCCAACCTCTTTTGATGTGACAACCATATCAGGCTTCACAGAAGATTGAAGTGACGAGAGTAAATCAATCACCGCAAAACTATGGTCTCGTAACCATGTGGTCACGTGCCGGTCCCACACCAATCCACTTGACCTTGACACCCACGAAGCTCTCAATGTAATCAATGTACTTTCTCGCGTTTACCGGAAGATCGTAGTAGGTCTTTGCGCCTGTTGTGGGTTTCTTCCATCCCGGGAGTGTCTCGTACTGCACCTCGACTTGCGCCAACACATCAGGATTAGACGGGAAGCCTTCAAGTACCTCACCGTTGACAGAGTAGGATGTCGCGACCTTGAGCTCTTCGAAGTCATCCAAAACGTCAAGTTTCGTGAGGTTGATGGCAGTGTAATCGTTGCAAGCGTGCGAGTGCTTGACTACGACAAGATCTAGCCAACCGCAGCGGCGCTTGCGGCCTGTTGTGACGCCGACTTCGTGGCCGACTGATTGGAGTTTATCACCAAGCTCATTGAGTTGTTCGGTAGGGAAAGGACCGCTGAAGTATGTTAGACATTTGGCCTTGTAATCCGTACGGTTTTGAAGCACTTACGATCCGACACGAGTGGTGTACGCTTTCACGACACCAATGACTTCCCTGAGAGATCGCCAGCCTAGGGTGAGTCCTGTGAGGACGCCACCAAGGCCAGTGTTTGACGACGTAACGAAGGGGTATGTCCCGTAGTCGATGTCGAGCATAAGAGCATTCGCACCCTCTACTAGGATCTTTGCGTTCTTCTCTTTTGCAGATGCGAGAAGTGGGACTTGGTCGACAACGTAAGGTGCGAGCTTTGCGCGCAAGTCCTGATAGAACGTGTGAGCTATTTCACTCCATGACTTTGCGTATCAGTGACCTACCTTGAACTTTGCGATCTCCTCCTCAGGGTCGTACTTCAACAGGTCGCCGAATCGCTTCTGATATCCTGACGCCATTCTCCTGAACTTCTGCTCGAAGATCTTTTCGTCAAAGAGGTCGCACATTCGGAGGCCGCTGCGCGTCATCTTGCTGCTGTATGTTGGGCCTGTATCACATTAGTCTCTAAGCCTGGTGAAATTTTAGAGCCGCATAACTGACCAATGCCCTTCCTCGTGGTGCCTGTCCCGTAGAGTGTCAGCACTTCTCCCGCATCAGTTCCAACTAGGTTCCCCACCTATGAAGCCTCCACCCAGCTCCACCTCCTCCAGGCCATCTGCCAGCTGGTGCACATCGAACACGACATGCGCCCTGTCCGAAATGTATATCCGGCCCTCCGTGTTCAATCCATGCTTGTCCAGCGCCTCCAACTCTTTGAAGAAGCTCGGCACATGGACTACGCAGCCGCTTCCGATGACATTGATGCAGTTTGGGTTGACGAGACCGGACGGTAGGATGTGGAAGTCGTAGGTGACGCCGTTCGCGACGATGGTGTGTCCCGCATTGTTACCGCCCTGGGCACGGCAGCAGATTTGGGACTCGTGGGCCAGGATATCGGCGAGCTTGCCCTTGCCTTCATCGCCCCATTGGGCTCCGAGAACAACGGTGACGGACATATTCCGTAGAGGGTGAGAGACGACGAACAGAGGTAGGCGGGTGCGGTGATTGACGGCTATTTCAATCGGACATGAACTGTACGATACTTGAACCGGAACAGGTCGAGCAACTTTGGGTCCATTAGCTAGTTGTCCAATTAAAAGATTTGCGCGTCGGACAGGTTGCGATGTTTCCGTGGAGGTGTTGGAGGGTGACTCAGACCGCACTTTCTTACTCACCAAGATCAGTAAGCAATACAACCGCTCACATACGGTGTATATGTGACTTCTGAAGCAATTTACTGCTCTGAATGCTGGCAATGGGCATTCAGCTGATCTTTGGTGCCCCGCTATGCCCCGCCATATTTTTCGCAATCCCGTTGGGACGCATGGGCCAATGACGCCATACGGATGCACAGTCATTCGAAGAACATCGTCCGATCATGTATCTATACAAAGTTTCTCTTCTCTTGGAACATTTCTTTTGCGTCTAAAATTCAAATAACTATATTTTTACAGCACAATTCCAATCGCTCGAGAGGCAGTCCGGTTTTCACAGGCTCTCTGTCAAGTGCAAAAGCGGCAAGCAAGTTGCCTTCCCTGTTGTCCTCAAGAGCTGTGAAGCCGCACCAGTAAAATTTACAAAATTGCATGCGGTGGTGTATGGCTAGGACTTTAGTTACAAGAATCCTGCACTGATCTTAGATGCAGCTATCTAGCTGTACCAAAATTTCTCTGCACCTTGGTTCTTGGTGTTTCGACTGACCGAGAGACACATATTACATATTAAAAGTCTGATGCATGTTTTACTCGATTTGGTGGAGAAGTGTAGAAGAACAAGTATGATCCAGATTGAAATAAACCGAAGGTTCAGAAGGAAACTATTGACTGGGCATTCAACGTAGTCATTGAAGCTATGATGCTCAGAGAGAATGTAACAAAGCTTGGATAAGAAAACGCCAACGCTATGTATCCTAGTAAGCTAAACAATTTCTATCGTTTCCTCATCTGCGACGCTCAAAGAGGCTTATTGGGTAGAATCCAGCCGCCCTGAGACTGTAAAGAGTCGACAGATGGCTGTATAATAACAGTTTCCTTGGCCTTCTGTTTGTGCGCTGCAAGCGTCTTATCAGAGTTGAAGTCCTGGTTGATGACTCCGGTCATACCGTTCTGGCAGTGGTTGCCAACGGCCTGGGAACAGTAGTACCACATGGGATTCTTATCCTTCACCATGAAGTTGAACACATGAGGAGCCTCGCCGACCGAAGTGAAAAAGTTGAAACCAGAGAATACGCCCTGACCGCCTTCGAGAGGCTCGCATGGCTTGTCGAAGGAAGATTGTACGAATGTGTGGTTCTTAGGGAGGAAGTGGACTTCGATCATGTCACCGATCTCGGCAACAACGTTCTCGGGCTCAAAGTGGAGGCCACGGTCGGCTGTTGTACTCCCGGCGAAGATGCGATGGGTAACACCGGTGCCGCGAACGGTGCTGGGTGCAGCAGTGGTCAGGCCCAGAAGGGTGGTGGCGGCGATGGCTATGGAAGTGAAGGTAACCATAGTGACTGATTGAGAGATTGTATTGATTGATTTGGATGTTGGGAGGGAATACTTGGAGTGACAAATAATCGACTGTGTCTGATACCCAAGAGGGGCTGTTGATTCGTAACTGCAATCGTTGTGGATGGTGCAATGATGAGTACTTTCGAGCAAGATATACTTGATATATATACCAAACAAGTGGCCTACCTTCGTTGTCAGCAAATGCTGGTTTGTCTACATAGCCTGCTGATCTAGGTCAGCTTGCAATGCCACATCACTATATGAATGAGCTCAGCCTCAAACTCACCAGGAAGACGAGAGGATCAAGATTATAGAAACGACCAGCTAAATAGTAGAATATAACCAGAACAAGTTTCTTCACGCCCAAGAGATGTTCCCAAGGGGACGAGAATTACACTGAGGACACTTCGAAAATTGCTGATACAAACATAGCAGAGCTCGATTATCGCCGTAGCTCAGCCGCATGTGAGGTGTGAGAAAAGGGCCTGCTGACAGACACTATGCCACTATTATTAGTTTTCATGTTGGATCGTTTCTTCATGAGGCACGGATGAGTAACGTCTGCGTGCCTTAGTCCTTCTTGTCCTCGACGATGATGATTGGCGACGTTTTTCGTGCCATTAGAAGCTCTCCCTCAATCGGCGTCAGACTGATTTAGCATGCACCCCGCCGTACGCACAAACAACAACTACGCCGTACAGTAAGCTGGCTTGATCATCAAGACGTATTTTTGTCTTCGTGAACGCATTCTGATATTTATGTAAGTTCTATTTTGGGCACACACGAGTGGCTGTGAGGATGGAGCTACGCTTTATGCTACCTTTCGTTTGTCATCTGTTATCGAGTTGAGAACATGTATTCAGCCTTGATGATACTATAGATCGCGATTGCAGACGAGTTTCGGGTTGAGGGAGAAAGTAAAAGCTGCACCGAGGTTAAGGAGCGCGCCTCAGATTGGTTTGCGGAATACCGGAGCACCCGAAAGAGGAATAGCCCAGATCCAGATTCGTACAATCCATACCCGGCTGCGGAGGAAACATACCGATTAAGAGGCTAAGATTTTAGCGTTCTCCACTCGGTTCGAAATACCGGGAGTTAAGCTAAATCCCTCTTCGCAACTAACGCAACCAAGTTACCGGATTAAAGGCTATAACAATGCAGGCTAGGTGTATACGATAAACGCTTATAGTGTACCACCTCCAAACAAAAGTTCGTGTGTAACTGTCTAGCTGTTGGAAAGATTTGCTTCACCTCAGTTCTTGACTAACTGAGAGTGTACATTATACCCGCAACGAAACGCAACTTACAGTAGCAAATGTTGATGCATAAGCACTTCTTGGTTCTCTTCCTTAAGCTCTCTGTAAACACTTGTTCTCCTCTATGTTGTCTCACAACAGCATCGCTGGGATGACATAGGAGCCTCGAAACGTGACTGGGCATAGACGGTACAGGCGGCACATCCCGATAGTTCAGTGAATTCACTTATGCAGTACGGCATGCTGTGTCAGCCAGTCCTCCAACTTCTTCTGGGCTTCCTTATCCACGGCGCAGAACTTGACAACCCCCATCTCACTCGTCCCTTCCTTGACCATTGGTAACTCGTCCAAGCCGGTAATATCCTTCACTTTCTCTGGCGTGTCAAGCAGGCCACCGAGACGAAACAGTAGCATCAATTCGCCATCTGCCCCAGTCGTGGGGATCGAGGCGCTCTGACTCTTGAAAACCTTGGTGAGTTGAAGGCTGTGTTCGTATGCTTCGCGGTCGTATCCTATGGCTTGCTTATCGTCTTTGATAAGTTCCCAATGCTCGTCAGTGATGCGCTCTCGAGTAACTATTTGGGATTTAGTACGCGAGCCTTCTCGGAACATAGAATGGTGATCTTGACTAGGCTGTCACGTACCATCACCTCGCTGATTCCCAATGAGTTGAACGGCTTCCATGTGAGAATAACCGAAGAGATCTTTCCACCGCTCGATTGTGTCTTTGGTCGGATGGTGTGATGCAAGATGTGCATCCGCGGCGTCAGCAGCCTGCGCCATGCGCTCGAGTTCTTCCCAGCCTGCGTCCATGTCTTTTTCTACAGTACAGGGTGTGATGCGCAAAGCTCGAAGCCTTTGTAGTATCTGTATTATTGCATGTCTGTCATACTTTAGGCGTTTGGTGAGTCATTTGTGAGGATCTTGTGAGTGCCTAATTATGAATACTACGCAATTCGAAATGGCTAATACTAGTTCGTTCTAGCGTAGCTATCTGTTATTCCCAGTAAGGCGAAGCGAGGCGTGATTGAAGTTTGGGGACGGAAACAATGCAACAGTACATAATTATGAGATCAGACTTGGATAGTACCATCATGTCTGTGGAATCTAGGAAAGGGAGGTTCAGTGTTGGATCCTACATTCTTATTAGCATTTGACTTGGGGTGTACGCACCCGTTCAGTGCAGCGCTATTCCCAATGGACCAAATTCGAGTGACTGCATAGCTGTTGGTCAACAGCCTGCCATGTGCCAGCACACCTATCATGTTGAATATGTGACATGCTGGAACTACGCCGCTGTCCACACGCTCGCATTCCTTACTACATGTTGTCAAGGGCATGAAATGGCAACACCACCAGAAACCATGTGCTTACGCCTCTTGAAAGCTGGAGCTGACTATGGTCAACGGCTGCTAACCAATCTGTGGGGCTGAAGGCTTTTAAATAGACGGTGGGGAGACCTCCGAGGCCATAGTGTGGGCTAGGCGTATTTCTGTACTAGGCCGCTTTTCCTTTGAATGGTCGAGAGCGTACTAGAGGCGTTTTTAGCAGCCATCGTAGGGTGGTACTGCTCTGTAACCACCTCTGTCTCAGCTCCACGATGTGCTCCGATAACACATTGTCAGAAAGCACCCTGGTCGCACAAGCATTATCATACTAGTGCTGATTAGAGCACGGCTCAGTAATTGTGCCTGTTGGCGCTAGTCTGTGGGGCATATATGGGGACTCGAAACGGCATTTGTACCTCTGTCCCTCCTACAGAGAAAAGAGAATTCTCGACAAGATGCACTCCTCCCTTCTTCTGGCTCTTTGGGCTTTTGTCTCGTTTGTCATCTACAAAGCTGTTTCCTCAATCGTTGCTTCGAGACGCCACGCCAACGCAGCTCGTCAACTTGGCTGCGAACCTCCGCATCGCCTCAAATGTGTTGATCCCGTTGGCTTCCAGAATGTAGCGAAGATTCTCAAGGCAGACAAAGAATGTCGCATGCCAGCCTATTTCAAATCCTGCATTGATGAAATCAGTGCAGAGAAAGGAAGACTTACGACAACCATCGAACAGAAGATCATGGGCTCAACATGTTTTTTCACAATTGAACCAAAGAACATCCAGGCAGTACTTGCTACGCAATTCAAGGACTTCGGAATGGGACATGTCAGGAACAGCAATTTTGGCGCACTATTGGGAAGAGGAATTGTAAGTTTAATTCTGCGTGACAGGACGTCAATGAAACTCGATGACCAGATATGACACATACTAACTACAACGATAGTTTTCCTCCGATGGGAAAGAATGGGAGCACTCGCGTGCACTCCTCCGCCCCCAGTTTGCACGCGATCAAGTCAGTGATTTAGAGTTGGAAGAGCTACACATGCAGAGTCTTATGCAGGTCTTGCCCGTCAACAAAGAGGGCTGGACAAATATCGTTGATATCCAGCCTTTGTTTTTTCGTTTGACGCTCGATTCCGCGACCGAATTTCTGTTTGGCGATAGTGTCGACTCCCAACTTTCGAGCCAACCAGGCTACATCTCAAGCAAAGCTCCAATGGCTGTTAGCGAGAAAGAGTTCGCTGTGTCGTTCGACCGCGCTCAAGCAGCGATTGCTAAAGGTGCTCGTATGGACAGCATGTATTGGCTTGCGCATAACAAGGAGTTCAAAGAGCATTGCAATCGCTGCCACACCTTCATTGATCACTACGTCCAACTCGCGCTCTCCAAAGAGAAACTGGCTATGCAGAAAACATCCTCTGGGAAGGACAAGTACGTTTTCCTCGACGCGGTCGTGGAATCGAGCCGCGACCCCATCATGCTACGCGACCAAATGCTCAGTATACTCCTCGCCGGACGCGATACCACCGCCTCGCTGCTCTCTTTCGCGTTCATGGTCTTCACACAACGCCCTGATGTGTACGCCAAGCTACGTGCCGTCGTTCTTGAGGAATTTGGCACCTACACTCATCCTAAAGATATCAGTTTCTCGAGACTTAAGAGCTGCAACCATCTTCAGTGGGTTATCAACGAAACTCTTCGTCTCTATCCGGTAGTACCATACGACGGACGCCGAGCCCTTCGCGACACCACAATCCCTACCGGTGGCGGACCCAGCGGTACGTCTCCCATATACGTCCGCAAAGGCCAGCAAGTCGACTACAGCGTGTATGCTATGCACAGACGTAAAGACCTTTGGGGCCCTGATGCAGATGAGTTCAAGCCTGAGCGATGGGATGGAAGGAAGTCCGGGTGGGAATATCTTCCATTCAACGGCGGTCCCCGAATCTGCATTGGACAGCAATTCGCGTTGACCGAAGCTGGATATGTGATTGTTCGACTGTGCCAGAGATTTGAGGCGATAGAAGGTGTGGGCAATAGTTGGGAGAAGGAAGAACAGGGTGGGCAGGGGCGCGTGAGGATGTGGGTTACACTGACTGGTTGCCCGGCAGATGGAGTGAAGGTGAGAATGAAGGAGGCAAAGGAATAGGGTTTCGTGCCACATAACCAAGTTACGACCATTCAATGTGAAAGTACCCTGCTCGACCAACTTCCATTTTGTGTGATGTCGAGGGCGAGAAATCAATTGGTTGGATCAAGACTGGCTTGTAAGTCTGGAGCGGTCGAGATGGTTCAGCTATAACATGTGGCTGGCTGCAGGTGGCTAATTTGAGTATCAAGTTCCAGCTGAGAGTTGCCAGAGCATCTTGTTGACGATTCTTGTCATACCCTTTTGAACTAACTGTCCTCTCTGATCATGTTTTTCTGTCATTCCAGTCAGTCATAGGTTGTCACCACATAGATGACGAGCGTTGAGATTATGACTGGCATTACAGCAGTTATTCTTAAAACACCTTGAGTGAGTTTGCGAAAGTAACTGGTTCCGCGGGACAAGATTCGTGATTTATAGGAAAAGACTTGGTTGAAATGGCTGGTCTCTCATAGGCTAGTCATCTGGTAAGCAGATAGAAGAACTGCAAAGTGGTGTCAGAAAGAAAACGCTAATCCTCAATAGGTGCTTCAATTGGTCCATACAGGTCTAGAAGACGTGGTGAGACCAGATTCGTCCAATCGGCAGTTCATAGAACAGCATTGAACGCCCTGCTTCAGCTGATGGAAGCGATGTAACGAGGTGTACGGCAAAACTGACAGTTCGACTTAATGACCTAATACTGAAAACTTGTACAATTTCAACTGAAATCTTGGTCTTGAAGCCTCTGGCTATCAAGCAACATTACAGACATTATGGTTGAACTGATTCGTTTGAGACCCATGTTGTTATTGCTATGGTTATAAATAAGACATATTCACACTTCTACGGAACGAAGGGATATGTCCAACTTGTACCAAAATGCGGCCCGGAGTTCATAACAAGTAGGACTGACTCAACGGGCGCCAGCCTGTAGCGAATGTCGCCTAAGTTTACAGCTCAGCTTAGCTCATAAATCTCGCTACTTGGTCCTTGAGTTTTCCCCGTCAATCTGTCAATTGAGACACATGTTATTCTCTGGTCCTGAGGTCGATAGCGAAGTGGAACCGTCGTATATGGACTTGATTCGCTGTCCACTCCCGGGCTATGTGCCCCCAGAGCCGCGTTCTGGGTGACCAGATTCAAGTGAGACATATGACTTTCAGAATTAGAACTTTCCTCCGTGTTTGATGTACTCGTACTCAAGGGCATAGAACTGTCTATTTCCGAATCCTCATGGATCTCACGATCGATACTTGCTGTAAGAGGAACATTTGGCTGACTGTAAATTCTGGACAATTCGACCGCTTCACTGGAGGTCTTCGATCGGAAACCTAGGTCGGAACGTCCAAAAATGACGGCACCTTCATCGACAATATCTCCAGGCGGTTCAATGCTGCCGAACGTTGACTTAGGAAAGAGTTGTTGCAAGCGGACGCATCTGCATTGACTCAAGTTCTGGCATGCATCGAATAACATCGAGTCGCCTTGGTGCCATTGAAGTTTGCTTTTCAACGTGAGAAATTTGCGATCCAGACGACTCCCAGCCTCGTCGAACAGTTGTTGCAACATCCTGGTGCTCGTGGCTAGATAGTCTTGAGCCTGCGGTACTCTTTGCCATCCCCGACAAAGACTCAAACCACTTTCTTTTGCGGGTACGATGATATCTTCAAAGCCATCTGCAAACAGTACCAATGCATCTATATCCTGCACAAGCTGTGGCCAACCTCCATTGGTCTTGTTGATCCGTGTCTTCTTCAACCTGTAAGGCGAACGTTCAAGAACCACTGCCTTAAACTCAAACCCATGTAAGGTTTCCCGTATCGTGCCTTTGATGGAGGCGCCTGCTGCGCTTTGCCGTCTGGTTATGTTCTGATCAAGAAGGGCTTCCAGAATTGACCAAATGTTGAGGATTTCGTCCTTGAATGTATATTCGTCATCTAAAAGATGCTGTGGCCTGTTCTTCAGTAGGACATCTCCAGCAGAAGCACCTGCTGGAACGTTCGTATCAAGCGTAACACGCATCCCGTTCACTTTGAAAGGATTCAACCGATGGCGATGTTGAACCATGTGTAGCATGACATTGGAAGCTGGCACAAGCCATGACCGCATCTCTCCAGTGTCATATAATACTACAGGTGTGTTTTCTGCGACCTGGATGATCTTTTGACAGGGGCCGTTTCGCTGGAAATGGAATTTCCCATCCTTTAGACCAAATCGGAAGTCCAATGCTGCCACTCCAAACTGCTGGAATCCCAAAGAACCTCCAGTACATGTTGGGTCTGAATCGGTTTCTTCAGCCTTGGAGTAATCAATATTCTCGTAGTTGGCTGAGTCTGACCCTAATCGTGTTTCAGCGACAGAGCACCATCCAACAATAGCTCGCATGGAGGCAAGGTCATGTAGGCTGACTTCTTCCGATGTGGCACGGGAGGTACATTGTGAGAGGCCGTCACGATAGGACAACCTTTTTCCAGAGTCCTGGCTGGAGATAGCATGCCATTGCACTCGGTCGGCAGTCTTTCGAACCGGAACAAACATGTGAGAGAAGCCTTTCATAACAACTCCACCCTCGTACTCCACCGCATGACGAACACCTGCGAGTCCGGCTAGAAGGTCCAATGGTAACTCCAAGCCTATCTCATCTCCGCGCTCGGGTATCGGGAAGCCAGTCGCAATGGCAGCTCCGCAGAACAGAGGCAGCCAGCAAGCTGTTTCTGTGGCATGGATACGTACATGCTTGAACATAATCTCAAAAGAATGCAGCCCTTTTCGAAGGAACAGAGGCTTGAAGTAAGCCAACTGCTCGCTGAAAGGCGATGTTCTCAATGCGGAACCTAGCCAAGCAAGTTGCTGCGCCAATTCCACCAGTGAGTTTTCCTCTGTTGCGAGGCCGGCAACCGAAATTTTGGATTCGTACAAATCAGCTCTGATGGATGAGCCGTGGTCATCTGAAGCTGCGACAGATCCTTTCTGAGACCCTGATGTTGTGAACACCTCAGGCGAGATAGTGTTCAGAAGCCTGAGAAATAATGGTCCAGACTTAGGCCATATCGTCGTAATATATTCAGCACATGTCGTAGCTTGCGCATATAAAGCAGATCCAGTGATGACAACAACAGAGCCAATTCGTGGGATGTTTTCACCATACTGAGATCGCATGAACTCTCCAACTGACCAACGTACAGTGAAGTCGGCTTCATATACCCCGGACTGCAGTCGGTATAATGTGTCTTCACTCAGGATTGTTTCAATGCTCTTCATTTCGAGCTGGTCGTCCTGGTATAGTTTGTGCCGCACATCTGACGCCAAAAGGTGGAACGCATCGCTTGACACTAGCTGATCCCGGATCTGCTTAAGGTCGGAGGACATGTCGTCTGTGTCACCATCTTCCATGAATTCTTCATCCATTTGCTCGTTGTAACCGATCTCGGTGGGATCCCTGTCCAGCGATGCAGTCCTGGCCGAAAGATCGAGACGTTCGGAGAGAGAGAGGGGTTCGCTGCATGTTCGTAGATGAACTTCTAACGAATTTGCACTGGCAGATACAAAAGACATGCTGCTACAGAAACATCGAGCGATTTGGATTCTGTGACGACGTACAAATCGAGTCGCACCAGCAAGTATTCTTTGGGTCTGTACTGTAGCTTGGAATCCTCCAAATTCAGATGGATTGTCAAGTTCCCCAAAACTTGATACTACAAGTACCATTTTGACTGTGTACTCTTTCAAGATCGTATTCAATCGTTTCTCGATTTCCTCCAAACCATGATGAGCCAGAGCAAATTCTGCCCAATGTCGAGCACCAGACCGCTCAATAAGGGTGTTCCCAAAGAAGGCAATAGATTCTTGCGTTATGTCGTGTGAGAGGCCGAGAGAGCTTCTACTTGAGTTCGAATAGCATATCGACTCCGTATCGGTTCCGGGACCACTGCGGTAGCCCGAGTCCGAGTGCACTGTATCGTAGTGAGGGAGTTTCTTGAGCAACGATTGTATCATCTCCACCGTGATGTTAGCTTTGTTACTCCATTCCCCCTCGTTCCCTTCTTCGAGCCAATATGGGTCATTTTCATCGTCTTCATCTCTGTCTTCCAGTGCTTCTTGACGTGTCGATTCCATATCATCAAAACCTTTCCCATCATCCAAGGTCGACTGGCGAGTCTTTTCAGGTTGTAGTCCAATTGGATGAAGTCTACGGTTACGCTCACAACTAAGCTCATAGATCTCTGAATCCAGACCTCTTATCATTTCCATCGACTTGTTGATAGAAGCTCGAAACTTGTGTCCTTCCATTTGCCATCGGTCTATTCTGTCGACTTCGGCGGCTCGACGTCGCATCTTTGTAGCAATCTTTTCACACAGTTTGCAATTTCTACCAGTAGGCAAGATCTGCATGATCAGTTTCATGCCACACGTTTCCCCAGGACCGGATCTTTTTCTGCATTGTTGCTGGAAATGTCCCCACTTCCAGTCGCCACACGCGAACCGGTATTGGTCGTAAAAGCACATTTTTGGAGATGCAAGCAAGCTAATCTTTCTTGACCCTCGTGGTTCTCCAATTTATTCGACTGCGGGGATGGAAGGGTCGCCCTCGTAGGGTTGAGTGTGTCGTATCGTGAAAGAAGCCAAAAGTGAAGTTTTGAGGGTATAAGAGAGTTTGCTGGCGTCTAACTCTAGGAGGCTGAGCTTTATCTAAGCCCAACTGGAAGCGGGGGTCATCATACTGTTCGCTGGTTGTCCTGTATGATTGGAGGCGGACGGCTGTATAGCTGCGCCTCCACTTGGAGAAAGCTGCCTGGGAATTCAGCCTACCGAAATATTATCGAGTACGTTACATCCAAACGAACTCTTTCATTCCTGACTGTCAGCCCAGCCTTACAAGGCTCCACTTTTGTTGGATTATCTCGTCAGGAAACACCATTCAAGGTGTTGTTTTGATGCAAATCGCGTCAACCTCCTATTTATACAGCGCCCACTCGCAGGAAAGCAACACTCGTGCTTCATGTCTTTGATTTGAATAGCAACTACCTGAAGTGTCATCATTATGTTTGGGTTGTAACCTGAGAACAAGCGGACGAGTAGGGGGCCACGACTTAGAGATGCACACTAGCGCAGTTCGATCGACGTCATTTCCCCCAGATTCCCGTCGCTTCACAGCTACAAGACTGCACTCCAGACCTTCTATACACACTACAACCTCACCTCTAACTCAACTACGAAGACTCAACTATGGAGAGCGTATTAGGCTGGTTTTTCGGCCAATCTAAACCTATCGAATCGGAACCTTTCACAACCCCTACCTACCAGGACGTTCGCACTGTCCGAGCGCTACTCAAGACCCTGCAACTACCTACAGAGCTCGTGTTGAGTATTCTCGACCTCGCCCAATATTGGCCGACTCACGAATTCAAGACTACCCCGAATGCACGTATTACTGCGGCTGCCCGGGGCGGTCAGTCGGCCAGCGCAACGCTCTGTCTCAACGCGAGCATCTTCAACAATCCAACTGTGGACGACCTTCAGAGCAGAGACGAGAAACCTAAGATTAAATCTATCGAGTTCGACTTGGTAAGCCGGGACCAGGGATGGACGTCTGAAAACACTACAGGATCCTACTCAACATCGTCTTGGGTTGAGGTCTCTATACTTCGCAACGTCTCAGGCGATGCACGTGGTTTTAGCTTTCCTGATAATCAACGTTCAAGTCCTCAAGACTATCAAAACACCATCTCAGACCAAGGTTGGAGCTTCGTCAAGCGGCCGGAAACTGCTCTGCAGGGCCCACAGGATGATGAAGGTGATTTCGCATGGTACTTACAGGGCAACCGTGTCGCGGCTGGACGAGCGGACTATCGCGTCGTCTGGAGTGTGGATGGAAATCAGGGAGACGAGGGAGCTGGTACGGGCGAGAGGTTCTTGGATGAGCTCAAAGAAGGGGATGCAATCTTGGTGTGGGCTAGGGCGAAGGTACGCAAATCCCCTGTCTTGTTTCCTGTGGTTGTTTTACTGACATTATGCTAGTGGCCAGGATGGCAATGCATTGTGGAGAGCGCCAAGATTACTGTTCGTTACGGGTTCTGAGCCGTCTTCATCAAGCGTGATGGAAGGCAGAAACACACAGAACGGGTACTAGCTATGATGTAGATGGATGAGTCTTGGTATAGAATGGATTTGGACATTGGCAAGAATATCCATGGGTCACGAGAGAACGGTATCAGGAGCGGACGCTTATCTAACAACTAGATCTACTTTTTAAGCGATAGGCGTGCATTGGCTGCAACGTCTGGGGCGATGATGTCAATGGGGCACTAAGTGAATGTTTACGCGTTGCAGTCCAGAAAGTCATTGTGCCCCGCGCATACCGTGCCGTTTGCCCTGCGTAATTAGCCCCTCATCCTTACTCTGTATGATGTAGCTGATCGGGCTGGGCCCTCTTGACAGCGAATCAGATCTGCAGTCTGTGGTGGGAGGGGACATTCCTGGGCACAGACGAGCTCCCCGCCTTCGCTACAAGCTCAAGTTGGGCGCGACAACACTGCTCTCTTGACTGACCTCAGATCGCTATACGAAATTTGGTACTCTTCATTCAACTATACACTCGGTCGCGTTACAGACAGTCGCAAGCAAGGCATCTCCTTACTCGCACCCCGCACCTCACGGCCGCGCCTTCCACGCGATGGCGGAACCCATAAACACCAAGATGGATGACCACACATCGCCGCCTCCACTGCAGTCACTCAGCAACTCCGTGGCATCGGTCGGCCGCTCGAAGCCGCCTAGTCTCAAGATGAGCTCCAGCCCAAGCCCCCACCGCTCCAGCTTTGCCGAGCACATGCGCGGGGCGCCTCCTTCGCCGCGCGCATCGCGCAAGCCGTCTCTCTCGCAGCAAGCACTGCAAGATCTGCTTAACAACCCGCCGACAAAAGCGGGCGATCCGCAGTTTCATGGACGTGACTGGAAAACGATCAGACTGGGCGAGATTGTGGATCCAAGTTTGGTGCGCTTTGCCGAATACGACACCACCGTTGAGGATGCCACGAGTGTAAGCTTCCTTTGATACACCAGACGAACTGGGTTGACATGCATAGTTGTTGGTCAGGCACGGCGCCCCCAACGTCGTACTCCTCCGCGAGAACCCAGACTCCAACCATGTCACGGGAACATTCGACTACAGCGACTTGAACGCATACCTCCTCCTCGTAGTCGGCCTCGCGCACCCTGATCAAGAAGACATAGCCTCCTTTGACGAGCTCGCCAAGAAGGGGAGAGAGGGAAAGCCGATCCCGCTCAGAGACGTGAAAGAAGTTGGCATGAAAAAGGAGCCACTTATCACCCTCCCAGAGACCGCCGACCTGACCAAAGCTATCGAAGTATTTGGCAGTGGTGTTCATAGGGTGCTGGTTACAAAGGAGGACACAACAGACGTCATTGGTGTTCTTACTCAGTTGACGTTGGTTCGGTTCTTCTGGGAGAATCGGCAGAGCTTCCCAGCGGTTGACCAGCTGTACCCGCAGCTGATCAAAGATTTGGACATTGGATCGAAGAGCGTCTTGGCTATCAAGTGAGTGATTAGAACACTTATGGAAAGGAGAAGTCTGACTGAATGTTTAGCGGTGATGCGCCTCTAGCAGCTGCTCTGGAGCTCATGAACAACGAGGGCGTTTCATCCTTGCCAGTTCTCGACGCATCGAACAACGTTATTGGCAACATTTCGCACATCGATGTCCGAGTATGGCTCCTCTGACTCTGTTTCTGAAACCCCAACAACTAACCATTTTGCAGCTCCTCACCAAATCCACATCTCTGCCTCTCCTCCGCTCGTCCTGCATCCACTTCATAACAGTCATCCTCTCTGAACGCGGCGTGGACGATGGTCAAGATTCCTTCCCCGTTTTCCACGTCAACCCCTTCAGCACGCTGGCCCACACGGTAGCAAAACTAGTAGCAACCCGCTCCCACCGCATGTGGGTCGTTGACGAACCATCTCCTTCATCCTCAGGCCCGTCCACTCCCGCCATCACGCCCGCTACCTTTGTCCCACCATCGCCAATCACACCTCTGCCACCACAAGTTTCGGGCGCTCCAATACCAGTCAATTCGATCGCACCCACTCACCTCGCGAGCACGGGAGCCGTGGCACCTGCGATTTCCGCGTCGGCAATTACAGGCGCGAATCTATCTGGCAGACTCAGCGGCGTTATCAGTCTTACCGATGTTCTTAATGTCTTTGCAAGGGTGAGTGGCTTGCATCCTCATGACCCTGACGATGCACGACGCGCACGGCGGAGGAGCAGCTCGAGCAGTATGCGCGCGAGCATGGACAGCTCGCGCAGCGAAAGCGTGTCTGGTATCGCGGGTCGTCGGAGCAGTGTCAGCGAGCGGGAAAAGAACGTCCAGGGGCTGGGCATCTCGAGGGGACGTGGGGTTTGAGGGAGCATTGCGGGAGGTATCGAAGGGGGGGGTTGTTGTCATGGCGTTACACTAGGCCACTTGGTCTGAGAGCATACGTTCAAGGAACCAGTCATTGCATTCATTACTGTCTGTGGAAGTATTCAAATATTTCCAACTTTCTCAAACCGTTCGCTCGGACAATCTCATTGTCAGTGTTGGAAAATGCATTGAGGTCTAACAGGTAGTTCCATGTCCCTTGCCATCAACGCCCCAAGCTCACACAACACACCGCGAATTACTCAAAAGTATTTACACAAAGAAGGACAATCCTGTGCCAGTATTTTTGCCCCATTATTCAGAGACCCCATGGTATCATTCATTCCCCGTCAGCGCTCAAACACATCCAGCTTATTCCTTCCATGCTCTACAAGATACGTCTACATTACGTACAGGAGGTCGGTATCTACTGGAGTCAGCGATACTGGTCCAATGCAAAGAGTGGCGGTGGCGGTGAAAACGTACTCAAAGGGTGACTGCAGCTCAACTGCGGCTTCTGCTGATACTTGCCCTCAAGCTCCTCGCGGATACTGTTGAGCAGCTGGACGTAGCTCTGGTTGGGGTTCTTGCGGAGCGCGTTGATGAAGGCCCACGACATGGCACCCGTGGCTTCACCGCCGATCGACGCATCGGCCCTGGTAAAAAATCAGTATTCTGTTTGGCAGTAGAGAAGGAGGGATGGTGGGAACTCACGAAGTCTGCGTATCCTTACTCCCACTCCACATGATGACGTCCGCGGGACTGGTCTTCGTTCGTATGTTCTTCTTGTAGACGTCGTCGCCCGACATGGCCTTCTTGAACAGACTCGTCGCACCGCCAATCATGCTGCCAATGTCACCGCGCGCATAGCTCGCCACGATACCCAGCAAGCCTTGGCCTGCTTCCTTGGCGAGATTCGGCTCCTTGAGCACACCCTGCGTGGAGTAGAGGTATGGCAGATCGAGAGCGGAGCCCGAGTGGCAGGAGTCGAAGATGGCGGTTAGGCGCACGCCTGGTTGCAGATTAGTGACCATGACGCGGTGCATTTCATCATCGACAATGTGGCCGGCGGTGCGGAAGTCGACGGGATAAATGACTTCATCGTAGCCATCATCCTCATCGCCGTCGAGATCTTTGGTTTGGCCGCCGTGTCCTGCATTGGTCAGTACGTGTGCGTTTCCATCAGTGTGCGTTCAGGAAAAGAAATCGTGTCATACCTGAGTAGTGGAAGAACAGAGAATCGTTTGGCCGTGCATCCTTGACCAGCCAGTGCATTGCCCTCAGGATGTTCGCCTTCGTGGGCTGGCTCATGGGGTTCTGCTGGTCGTCGGTCAAGGTGACCATGTCTTCGCGCTTGTATCCAAAGAACTCGTTTAGGTATGTGCTCATGTTCTTGACGTCGTTGATGCACCCACGGAGCTGTCCCCGCTGGCCAAAGTAGTTGATTCCGATGAGAAGAGCCTTGCGCCTGCCGTTGCAAGCCGAGTACTTGAACGAGTAGCCGTTGGGCGCGCCGTGGCCGAATTGCTGGTCGTTTGTAGGAGGTGGTGGGGGAGCATTGTGGTTGCCTTGTGTCCATTGGTTGTGACTCGCTGTGGGCATCACACCTGGGCGAGTGTCAGCTCGGGCTCCCTTCTAAGCACATGTCGCGCCCTTACCTGGTCGAACCGGTTGCTGCTGCTGCTGCTGCTGCTGTTGTGGTGGGGGCGCCTGGTAGCCATACTGCTGGGGAGGCGGGCCCTTGAGCATTTGTCAGCTTACCAGCTCTGCTGCCCTCCTTCACGCGGTGACACTGACCTGGTTGTAGCCATATTGTTGCGGCGGAGGCGTTGGTTGTCCGTAGTTGCTGTACTGTGGCTGGCCATATCCTTGCTGCGGAGGTCTATTTCGCGTCAGCTTGCCTCAGGCATCAACCGGACGCTCGCGACTCACGGCTGTCCGTAGTTCTGCTGCGGTGGAGGAGCGCCGTAACTCTGCTGCGGCGGCTGACTGTAGCCACTGTTGTGGTACTGCTGGCCCGGGAATCCGCCGTTGTAGGACATGGTGGATAGAGCGGAGTGGAGTGGAGTGGAGGGCGTGTCTGTGTATCCAAGCTAGAGGTCCGTGGAGTGTTCGCACGCGCGTGGCGGAACAAGCCCAACTTCAGCGATCAGCAACAAACGCGCTCGATGGCTTGTGCGATGGCCAAGGGGATTGTCTCGTGCTGTGTCCAGGTGCAGTGCAAATGGCTGGAGTCGGTTTTGCTTGTTAGGGTGCGGCTGATGGAAGAATGACAACGGCGGGGTGTATCGAGGGAACGCTTGTTAGGGCTGAGGATGACGGCAGCGCGGGCAGCACGGCAAGACTCCAACCGAACGGGTCCACCTGGGTTGTCCTTGTTCTCACAATCGAAGATTTGCACGAGAGAGGAGCGATGGGTGAAGATCAGCCGAGGCGATCTCTGCAGCAGTAATGCAATGATACGACTCTGTGGGAGTCCCAGAAATCAGGGGTATGGGAATCCGAGATAGTGCATTACGCGCGTTGGGGCTTGCTCTAGCCAGGGCATCGCTCACGCTGTGCATCTGACGCGTTCTCCGGGCCAGAGCAAAAAGTGCCTCTCATTCGGCATGGGCTGAGGAGCTGAGAGCAAAAAAACGACCCTGGTACTGGAGCGTCCGTTGGCTGGCTGCATCTTCAAATCGTGACCATCGTCGACTCCTTCAACCCACACCTTCACGTATCTGCACCTCCACAATTCCTCCAAGCATGCCACTCGTTGTCCAAACCCATCTACTCGCACCACGCACCCTGAACCCTACATAACGTGGCGCAATTGACCAATGCATTAAACACAAGACATATCTCTTCCCGCCCGTCCTCATCCGTCCACATCTGGCGCCCACCACTCATGCGCCGCATCTCGACCCACTTCTCCAGTCTAATTCGCTCGCCCAAAATGCTCGGTTCAGTAGCAAGCGTTTTCAACTCCAAATAGGGCATCGTCACCTCTCGAACAAGTATCGTCTACTCCTCTTGTGGCTTTCTCCCGCCAGCTCCACGAGTAATGAAGTTAACCCGCAAACGGGCCAACCGCTCCTTTTCTAGAACCACATCATGCGCACCGTCAACATCAGTTTAGGACATGCACCTCTTTTCCAAGAGTAGACGATATAGCATCACGAGACGTAAGCACACAGCCCAGCTTCATGCACTCGCTCAGCTTGTCTGGTCACCAAGAGAGGAGTGTGCACACTGTATATGGACTGGTCATTTGAGGGTTGCTTTACTAGTGGACAAGGCGCTTAAAGGGTCCAGCCTGCTTGACATGAAAAATCTGTGGCTTGCGTAAGGTCCTTGCACACTAACGGGGAAGCCCGAGCCTTCAACACATGGCGTCGCGGGTTCTAAGGGTGGATGCATATTTCGCTGGCGAGCAATAGCCATCTGTCGTGGCACGAAGACGCTCATTAGTGGTGGAACTGGTCAAATGGATTCGTTGGTGTTATAGGGAAAGGTCGCAAAGCAGAGCAAAGTGTCGGGAAAATTCACCAACGCTCGAGGACGTCAAGTGCGAGAAACATGCATAAGAAGAATCAGGGGGTATATCATTGAAAAGCAAGCCGTCCTCCCTCTCAGCTGTGCGCATCTACCAAGCACACTTCTTTTAACAATGCAGGATGCTTGCTACATATGCACCAGCAAGCATGAAAACAAGAAATATGTTAGTTCAACACATACAATGTACGATGATGTAAACACAACTCGTACACAATATGGTCTTCTGAGAGCCGCCTTTACACAACGCCGAATGCCACGCAGACGGAGGTGACTCGAAGTCGAAAGCAAAAAAGGAAAGATATCGTGAACATGTCTAAGACCTCGGCGTAAGGAAAAGCCTCGATATTACAACAAAGGGTACAATGTACAGCGTCAAGCCACCGAATGCGGGCGTTGTCTCGCACTTGGTCGCGACGAATGGAGAAGTCGTAACCGCCGCATCGTGCGTCGCAGAGGCGTGAGACCTATACAAAAAAGGAAAAACAATCGTCAGTACACGCTCGCTAGAACAAGAATATTTGTTTTAAAGATGTCAGGATGTGACGGGCTCGGAAGTTGCTGGAACCTCTGTCGCACCATCAACTTCATTCGGATGCAGGCTCCGGGCCGCATCACCGTTGGCCTCGAGCTCTTTCTCTTTCTCCTCAAGAGCCTCGCGCTCAGCGTAGATTTTTTGCTTCTGTGTTTGTGCCATGGTGAGGGTGTCGATGTACGTTCGAAATTTGACAATCTCTCTGAGAAGATACTGTGACTTGCGTTCCCAATTGGCCATAGCCCGAGCTGCGTTTGGATGGCGTGGAGAAAACTGGGCATCGTGTTAATAAATGACATGATGAATGGGTGTTGCAAAACCTACTGTTATCATCAACGGCGCTCTCAACTCGTTGTGATGAGACAACTCTCCCTCGATGTTCTTGACATAATCGGTCAGGGCCCTCAACTGATCCACTTCCATCAGATTGCTGGCCATCATACTAGAAGTCGGCGGACTCCAATCGGAGAGATTGACTTTATCACCCGGAAGCCTGGGCTTCGGGGCACCCGTGGCATGATCCATCGAACTGCGGAGCGAACTCGCCACACTGGGACGAGGCATGTGGCCCTGGACTGATGGAGCACTGTCTTGCCGTATCAATGCTGGGTTAATGACATTTTCGCCCCAACCATATTCCATGCTGCTCACGCCACCCGTCAGGGGCTCCTTGGATAATCTCGCAGACCAGTAGTTTGCCGTCGACACAAACTCGCGAACAATGTCGGGAGTTCCAACTTGGAATAGGTGGACTGCGCCCGTTGGAAGTGACAAAGCCCAAACGTGTGGCCTCGTCTTAGAGTAACCAGGAGGTGGCAGAGCACTGGCAATGGTCTGGCGCAGGGGAAATGTATCGAGAGCCTCAGCATTGTCCATCCAGTTACCCCCGCCAACGACACCACCGGCAGATGGACGGAACTTGCTCTTGTTCCGGACGGATTTCGAGTTCATGCTGAACGAGAACAGACGCATAGACCCCTTCTCAACAACAGCAAAGCATTCGTTCCAGGCTCGGTCCTTAGCCTTCTTGTCAACAGACTCCAGATGATGCTTGTGCTTCAGAATGCCTTCTTTTGCCCATGGAGCACCTACAAGCTCAAGCGTCTCGTCCTCCATTAGTGGCGCCACACGAGCGAAATCTTCGTCGCTAGCAATCGTCATACCTTCTTCGCGAATGATGGCCTGGCTGAGAGCATTGGCGAAGCCGATAGCCTGTTGGTAATCTCCTGGAGCAAAGTGTGTGCCGAGTGAGTCCATTGACATCATGGTTCCTGCCTTGCCATAAGAATAACGGCTCCAGGTACTTGACCCAGCCGGACTCCAGACGGAGCTGTCATCCAGACTCGTGCGGCTTGATGCTACAGTTGATGATGGATATAGTCTCTGTCTCGACTTGTTCTTGCCAGCCCAGCGGTTGCCCATACTGCGGAATTCGCCCTGTGTCCGCGCAAGATAGCTCATGCTATCGGAGGGTGCCTTGCTGAGTACACTTGGAGTGCGCCGCAGCATGCCACCGACTGATAGGCTGTTCGATGATGTCTGCTCGTTAACAGCAAGGTTAGATGCTCCGTGTAAAGGTAGGCGTTGTTTGCGGATTGATTCGTAGAACTCTTTCAATACGCACTCGACCTGGAACTCCCAACCTTTCATGTTACCATTATAGGGAGAGTTGATGAGCATATTAGACTCCGAGCTAGAGTCAAAAGACAAGAGGCCTTCGGAGCCACCCCTGTTCGGCGGCCTGACTGAGAGACGACTACGGGCCCTCCTATTTTCCAAAGGTTCTTCAGGCGTATCTGCTGGAAAGACAGTAATATCGCCGCTTGGAGAGTTCGGTTCGGACTTTTCAATCCACGGTATCGAGCCTCTCCTAAACTGTGTGGATTGCGGGCGTAGTGTTTCATCGCCTGCTGCCTTAACAGAGTCTTGGCATACCCGAGTAACGGTAGGTAGCGTATTCCTGACAAACTGGCTACGCGTCATCCTCGACTCGATATCGGCAATGTGCAGATCAGTATTCAACAGTAAAATGGAATAGCAAATGGTGTGCACGACATCTACCTGAGGTTAGCATAGGATGTTGAGTATCTGGGCGATGTACTCACCAACTGCTTTGAAGCCGTGATTAGGGTTGCATTCGCACCAACGCTCCGAAAGGCTCATAAGGATGCGGTCAACCTGTTGCGTCTCAGCTTTGAGCACGATCTTGCCGCACAGATCACGCATGGCATTGAGGATGCTGAAGCCGCTCCAGTCGAACAGGTCCATGAAGGCCTGCCGCATTCGCATGCTGGCCAACGTGACGTCGCCAAGACTGGCAGCTGCCTGAGCCTTCAGAAGCGGGGAATCGGTTCCGCTAAAGATCTTAGAGGCACGTTCTCTGTCTGCGTCTGTTGGCTCGGGATGCATTGAGCGGTCTTCGATGATGGCAGGCATTGCATCCGATTCTCGGCTTTCGACTTGGACGATTGGTAGGCTGGTGGCGGAGTGAAACACATCATTAGGTGATGTCGGAGAGACGGAGGCCGGAGACATGGGCGAAAGTCTGTCAAGTGACTGCTGGGAGTTGTGAGCACCTTCCAAAGGCAAACTCAAATGCTCCGGCTTGTAGCCGACCCTGTCTTCCGCCGATGTCGTATCTAACCACACGCGTTTTGAGCCCGCGCTCGGGTAGAGCATTGACCGCTCGTTCGTCGACACAGTAACCATCCAACCATCATCTTCGGCCTCAGAGGCGGACTGCGAGATGGATCCGCTGTCAGAAGGCACTTTAGTGTTAGCATCATTGGGTGATAACCGTGTGCTTTGATTACTTTTTTCTTCCGACTGAGTTTGGTCGAATGACGAATATGTGGGGCAGGTGCTGGGCCTACGCGCTTCATCCGTGGTACTGCCCTCACCCGTGGGAGTCGCGCAACCACTACGATCCTCATTACAACTACTACTATCGGCAAGGAATGTGTCTTCATGCGAATTTGCGAGGGCTGATCTTTCGTGCTTCATCTTCAACTTCGACTTGGGGCTGTCCGTACCAGTTGAGTGCGAATTTTTGACCTGCTCGACCCTTGATAGCGAATGCGTTTGATCACTGCCATGCGGGATAGGGTTCACCGAGCGCACCGTCCCATCTCTAAGGGGCTTGTAACTGGGTGAGAAGCTTTTGGGGTGCTCGTCATTCGTTTCGTCCTCACCAGACTGGTTTCCTTGCGTGTCTTGAACCAAATCCCTTGGAGTGCTCACGTCACTCAAATACGGGTTCATAACCTGGCGCAGACTACTGACTCCAGGACTTGATTGCGCAGGCATCACTGGTTTGACTGGTGGTGTGAAATCAAGGGCCATAATCGGTGGTCTAGCACCTTCAGAAATCGACTTCTTGCGTCGCCTGAAGAACGAAGATGGCTTCTTAACTAAGACTGGAGCAGCCGGTGGACGCGAATCCTTCGATGGCATTGTCGCTGCCTGCGATGTCTTTGATGGCGGTTTCAGCTGTGTAGCTATGTGGTTGTTAACGTTGTTCGGAGTCGTTTGCGGTCGTGCTTGCGAATAGATGGAATCAATGTCTGGAGGTCGTTGCGTGGTGGAGGCGGAGGACGAATCGATTGGTGGAGAGCTCAAAACGTTTGAGACGGTTGGAAGCTGCGGTTGAGATTGCGCTTTCGAGGCGCCTCCACCAAAGACCCGTCTGAAGAACCCCGGCCTTTCTTTCGGTGCAGGAATCGGAGCTTGCGCTTGGAAAAGGGCCTTCCGCGCAGCTACGGACGGGGCTGGCGCTGGTGTATTCTGGAACCCTGGCGCAGCTGTGAGATCCCGTAACGTACTGGCGTTGACAAACTCCTGCGCTTGGGCCCTCATGCTTGGCTCGAGTTCGCTCTTGTTCTTTCTCAGGGTCCTGTAGCTGGTGTTCGAGTTGACGCTGCCCCTACGATGAGGCAGAGGTGCTTGCAGTGGTGCGTAGGATGGCTGGGTCGGAAGGGTGGTACTCGACTGTGGCACCACCTCGCGCATTGTTCGGGGGCCGGCTGGAATGGTGGGCTCAGGTGCCGCGTCAAGGTCGTCGTGGTAGTTCTGGTACGCGACCCTGCCTCTGTCCAAGACGGATTCGACCCTGACGGGCGAGTGCCTCGAGCGGTCGCCAAAGATGCCGTGATCGAAGCTCGCCGACCGCTTGCCAAAGCCGAGCCGTTGGTTGCCTAGCACACCCGCCTGTCCAAAATCCATGCTCGAGGAGCCGCTGCCCTTGCTGCTCTTCTTGCCCCCAGCCCCTCGCAGATGGCCCGTCGACTGGTAGTTCCCGTACAAGCCGTTGGCCTGTCTTGCGGGGTACGCATCCCTCGCACTGCCCCTTCCCCCAATGTTGTTGCTGCTGTTGCTCCGCCGACTGCGCGAGCGGCGGGCCGTGTATCGCGAGGCCGAGTCGTCGATGTGTACGTCGTAGTCGGACGAGCGCGACGACGTGTATGTGTGGCCGCGGTGGCGGGCGCCCGGCGGGCGGTAGGAGCTGTCCTTGAGGAAGAAGTCGTCGTCGGCGCCGTGGCCCGCGTTCTGGGTGGCCGAGCTGGCGCTAAACATGTGGTCGGCAGAGAACTGGTCGAGCGAAAGCAGCATGTTGTCCACGACAGAGTGGCGGAGGTGGGCGCCCTCGGAAAAGGAGAGGTCGTGGGAGTCGCGCAACGGGTCCTGGTCTGCGTCGTCGCGCGCCGATCTCTCCACGGGCGTCGCATCGTCGAAGAAGGTCTCGGACCGTGGCTGGGCAGTGTTGAGCGCCTGCATGGACCTACTCGCCTTGTATGTCCTCATCGAACCCGTGGGAGTGGTCGCGTGGGCCCCATCGAGGGCGTGGTCTGGCATCGTCGAGCTTCCTTGGTCGTCGATTGGAACGTCTACGTCAACGGGGAACACGCCAGGCTTCACAGACGGAGCATTCTCCGCAGCAGGCCAGAGCACCAGGCGACGGCAAGCAATGCAATTCTCGTGGGCTGTGTACGTTGCGGTGCAGGTCAATCGCGGGCTACTGCATGTGCGCGCCGTTCGTTCCTCGCTCCCTGCAAGACAGACGACTTGCACTAACGCCTGGGATAGGGCGCGGGCATGACACAGTCCAGAAACAGTGGCTTGATAGACTTTGGCCTGCTTGTTGCGGAGGCTCGGCTCTACGAAGCAGCGGTGGTGTCGCTCAGGGGCCTCGGACACTCCGTCCAGCACTGCTCACTCAAGTCAGACAGGATGCGCGCGGGAAGTGGAGCGCGGCACAGGCGATCCCAAGCAATAGCCTCTGGTCAGTAAGATGGTCGGCTCTGCAACACGACGTGCGAGATGGGACGCGGCATGGGGAGGGCGTGTGAGAGGCTAGGAGCATTTTCAATAGCCCTGGAGCTGTTCGAACGCGCTCGCCGGGCCAGGGTCGCGAGTCACGAGTCAATCGCCCACGAGCAGTCCCCCGTCTCTCCCGTCGTCAGACTACACAGTAGGTGGGAGATACCATGCTGCTCACTTGCATTGTGCCTTCTCCTGAGGCAATTGGTGGCCTGGAGAAGTAAATTGAGATCAGGTCTACCCCTCATGCTCGTGCTTGCTTGGGGACGACCTGTCGTCGCTTCCTTCCATGACAATGGCACCGCTGTGACCCTACTCGCTACACCAACGCATCAGTAGATCAATCCTGCACGCAGCATTCACTGGCGACGACATGTCATGTTACCAAATGAGTGCACTGCCATGGACACCCTGTTGACCAATGCATCAAAAGCAATCGCTTCGCAGAGGAGAATGCATGTAATTTGTGGCAAGAATACGAACTGCCGCGAACAGGCATGGCTTAGGTACTAGGAACGGGAGCTGCAGCGACCCGCATGCTCTGAGACACCGGGCTGCGTTTTCCTCGTGAGTAAGCTATACATAGCGTCATTCATGGTTCCTTTTCTCCTTGAGTGTCAAGATGAACTGCTCCCGTTGAACACAAGTTTGGTTTGCCACAAACGATCAACGGTCTCATCCCGCGTCGTGTACACGAACCATCTTTTCTAAATAAAACCCTTGCGGCAAGAAGCGCGAGAGGTCCTTGAACCCTACCTGCTCTCTGACCAGTGACATCTCTCACTGAGGAACTGCTGCTTCCAGACCAGACACTCAACTAGGTAGCCTCCGTCGGAATTATTTCTCCTGCTCCGAGCATACTAAAGTAGATGTCATGTCATCGAAAGTTACCACTTTTACCATAGATCTGCTCCATAGATTTACCACTAGTAAGGATTAACCCGCAGCGCACTTACTGAGCCACCACAGTGGCTTTGATGGCTTGTTGTGGTATTGATTGGATCTTACCCTAGTTAGTGGTAAACCTATTGAGCGGAGTGTCTGGGTAGGCCGGCAGCTAAAGTCGTCGATAAATTGATCAAATTGACAATTGACAAATCTTCGCAAATATTGTATACTCCATCAATCTCGAAGGGTTACTCGCCTGCTTCTCACCTTTCCATCTTGTTGAGCAAGAATATGCGAGGTACATCATCTTAATGTAGCTGATTGATTGTCCTTGCTGGGTCCGCTCGGTGCAGTTTACCACTTTTAGTTGTCGCCCACAAGAGGATTCAATTTCATAAGTAGTGAACGAAATCATGACGACAGCGTTTGTAGTCATCTGGTATGGTAGGAGAGATCTTGAGTAGTCTGGGACTTGAGATGATCGTAATGCTCATCTTCAGCTTCTTATTAGGTAGGTCGTTTTGACTTGAAGGTCAATCTTCTGTTTTGCTCTCACAATAATGCAACGTGGGGTCATACAGTGCAATGGAAGCCTTGAAGTCATATTCCTAGATTCGTACGAGGTTACGACATTGTTACATGTGCGAGGCGATATTAATGCCTGGCATGGTTGACGACGGGCCTCTGAGGTTATACCAGTTTGCTGATTTTATGTGTACCTCATAGAGCATACTCTCGTTGCAGTTCTGTAAGAAGGGGATATACTTCTGCCCTGACTGACGTGGTTGTCAAGCTTTTAAACTGCCCAATCGTGAGCGCAGATTTTTTTGGTCTTGTGCCGTTGATAGTATTCGATTGAAACTGCTACGGTGGCGCCTCTTGCCTTGGTGAGAGCCTTAACATCTTTTTTTCCAAGCGTCGGATAGCAAGAAATCCTGACATGATCCTCGTCAATGGCCACTCCAGTATCATAATATGAGATCCTCTAGTCTACTCAGAAACTATCTCTGTTGGAGATTGCGCGTTAGAAGCCAAGCATAAGTCTGTATGTATTTCTCGATGCTAACGTCGCCCAACATTCGTCGCATAAGATGTGGACAACTTGGCAAATGATGATCTGTAGCTCCATTGTTTTAATTTTATCATACATATGAGTCCGAGTTTGGATTTTCATAGCTTGAAAGTATGTGTATCGGTAGAATGAATAGTGGCGCACTAATGTCGACAGGGATGGACCGGCTTCAAGCGAGGAGCCATTTGACGTTGAGAACTTTTGGACGGGAACCACGAGACAACCCTCAAGCGTCACCACGAAACAATCATGCGGAGAGCACGTGGACTCCGGGTACGTATAACCTCAGCGTTCAATACCCATGTTACAGTCATCTAATCGGAGCAGGTATCGTCAACCCGCGACATCTGCATCTTGTGCGCCACACGCCAATTGGCAGCCGTGAACCCGCCCTCTTCCTCCTCCTCGTCGACGCAGCGGCGACACTTGAACTCGTCAAGTACTTCGCAATCCGCAGAAGCCATTCTCTACAAAAATGACAATCCGCCCGCAAAACCAATGTCGCAGGCCGAGCGCATGCGCCAGGCATTGGCCGCAAGTGTGCCAAAGCCCCCGCCTGCACAACCTCAGGGTGGACATGCGCCTCCACAGGCTCAAGGGGGGCACATGTCTCAGGCGCAGAGAATGAGATCGTCACTAGGAACCCACGCGCCTCCAAGATCTGCCCCGCAAGTACATCGACAACCCCCACCGGAGCGACGACCCGTGAATAGAGGTGGCGTGTTCGATGGCCCCGGCCGCAGTCAGGATAGAGATAGATTCGCCCCACCCCCCAGAAGATCAGCTGGCAATGAGGGTTTTCACGACAACAGGCCGCCGCCACAGAACCGGTTCAGAGTCAACATGGACTCAAGACCGCCCGTGAACATGCCTGCTTTCGGCTCGGAGCATCTGAGGCGTAGGAACGAATCGGTAGGGCAAGAATCACAGCCACCACAGTTTATGGGAGGTGAAAGGAGTTCTGTAACCCGAAGGATGCCACCCAAGAGGGAGATGCTCGACCGAGATGAGATCTCGAAACTGTTAGGCAACAACTCTACCAAAAGTCCCACACAAACGCCACACCAACCACTCAGTCGAGACTACAACGCGACAAAGAAGTGCTTTCACTGCGGCTCATTAGGACATATAAGCTCTGCATGTCCGACAAAACCGACACTTCGCGAGCCTCCGGCTTCCCAGCGGTCTACTCCAACCTTTGACACAGTATCCCAGCGATCTGCAACAACCCCCGATTCAGGGACTCAACGAAAAGTCACATTCAGTCCTGCAGCTCACCGAACACAGGAACAGAAAGAGTCGGTGGCGGACGCTGCGGAGGCGTGGGTAAAGAATCATAAGACCATTACGGAAGTCGAGCAGCCTTATCAGGAATCATTCGAAAGGGAGAACAAGGCCCGTACTATTGAGCAGGAAAGGAGAAGGAGCCAATTCGCATGGGAAGACGTGGAAATGGAAACTAAGAACCGTTACGATGAGCCTGAACGTCGTCCAGAAAGACATAGAGGCCGACGGCGAATGGTACAGCAAGAAGACGACGACCAAGAAGAGCGCCAAGTGGGCAAAGCAGAGCGAAAACGGCTACGAGCGGAGGCAAAGAAGGCAGCACAGATAGCAAAGGCCGAACCAACACGCATTGTTCTCCCCGAGTTTGTCAGTGTGGCCAATCTTGCTGGTATCTTGAGGATGCGAGTCGAGGATTTTGTGTCAAAGTTGGAAGAGCTAGGATTTGAAGATGTGCAGAACGATCATATCCTGAACGCAGAACATGCTGGCCTCATCGCCCAGGAGTACAATTTCGAGCCCGTTTTCCTGGCAGAAGAAGAGGATGGTGATTTGTACCCAGCCCCTGAAATCTCGCCCGAAGAATACATCAACCTCCCTGCGAGACCACCAGTTGTCACCATCATGGGCCATGTTGACCATGGCAAGACTACAATTCTTGACTACATGCGTTCGACAAGTGTCGCTGCGACCGAATTCGGCGGTATTACACAGCACATTGGTGCTTTCAGCGTGCCCCTAGCCAACGGCAAGAAAATCACATTCCTCGACACTCCGGGTCACTCTGCCTTTGAGACGATGCGCGCTCGTGGCGCTAACGTCACTGATATCGTTGTGCTAGTTGTCGCGGCCGACGATTCAGTTATGCCACAAACCGTTGAAGCCATTAAACACGCTCAGGCCGCCAAGGTACCGATGATTGTCGCCATCAACAAGATGGACAAACAGGGCGCGGACGCAGATGCCGTTAAGCTGGACCTTGGTCGCCATGGTATCGAGATCGAGGATTTTGGTGGTGAAGTCCAAACTGTCTGCATCAGCGGAAAGACAGGGCAGGGTATCCCCGATCTTGAAGAAGCCATTTCAACACTATCTGAGACGCTAGACCACCGCGCCGACCGTGACGCTTCCGTCGAGGGCTGGGTTCTCGAAGGTACAACCAAGAAGTCTGGACGTCTGGCTACTGTACTTGTACGTAGCGGTATTCTCCGTCAAGGTACTATGCTCGTTGCCGGTACGACCTGGACACGAGTACGTACCCTGCGTAATGAAGCTGGTGTCGTAGTCGAAGAAGCCGGACCTGGTATTGCCGTTGAAGTCGACGGTTGGCGCGACCAGCCTATTGCAGGCGACGTGGTGCTGCAAGCAACTGATGAGCAGCACGCAAGTGCCGTTGCCTCTCTCCGCACCCAGAAGGTCGAGAGGGAACAGATGGCACGCGACGTGGATGCTATTAACGAGTCGCGCCGCAATGAAGCTGAGCGTCGCGAGGCGGAAGACAAGGCCGAGAAGGCTGCTGCCAAAGGCGAGGAGGCGGTTGTTGAGGAGGTCAAGGAGAGTGGACCAGCAGTCGTAAGCTTCATCATCAAAGGCGATGTATCTGGGTCGGTGGAAGCAGTCGTCGACTCTCTGACCGCGCTCGGCAACGGCGAAGTTTCCGCCCGCATCCTACGCCATGGCGTGGGCTCACCGTCGGAATTCGACATACAGCACGCTGCCGATGCCCAGGGACATATTGTCAACTTCAACACCATCATCCCCAATCATGTCGCCAAGCTTGCGGAAGAAAAGGGCGTAAAGATTCTCGACAGCAACATCATCTACCGCGTCGTCGAGAACGTCAAGGAACTCCTCTCTGAGAAACTGAAGCCCAATGTCATCCAGAAAGTCACCGGCGAAGCTGAAATCGCAGTCGTCTTCGACATTGGCCTCGGCGGGAGAAAGAAGATGAAGATTGCCGGGTCCAAAGTACGCAATGGCGTTGTGGACAGGGGGACCAAGGCCCGCGTGCTGCGTGGTGAGAATGTCGTGTTTGATGGTATGTTCATTGCCCCCGCCTGTGTGTTTACGAACGTTTGCTAATCTTTGAACCAGGTGTCGTTAACTCTCTCAAGAACGTCAAGAAAGACGTCGAGTCTATGCGTAAGGATACCGAGTGTGGTATTGGGTTTGAAGGGTGGGAGGATTTCAAGGTCGGGGATAAGATTCAATGTTATGACGAGAAGCATGAGAAGAGGAGCTTGTAGGATATTTGTTGATATTTGTTTCATGTTCGGCGACGGATAGCATTGGCGGAGTTGTGATAGAATGGTGTGGTTGCATCTGAGTATGTGGGGTGTGGGAGTGCGAGCATGTAGGATCATATGTATGAATAAGACACTTGAGTATAGGATCCGCTCATAGCTTGTCCAGCACATGTTCTATCAATATCTGTGATTCGAACTGTAGACACGATGGTGCTTGCACTTGGTTTTGGGGAGCTTGCTAAACAAAATTACGATTCGATTTTGACACCAAGATGGTTTCATATTGGAATGATACCGCTATGCGAAGCTGTCATCAGATGGGAGAAAACACCCCGCTAAATGCTATACAAAATGTGCTACAGATACAAACAACTACACTCCTATTGACGCCTATTTCTTTTTGTCTCTTGCTACATAAATTCGTTGAACCCAGTTTCAAACAGCCTTCCGCAATCTCGCACCTGCCCATAGCACCGGCGCGAAATGTCTCGACATGTTGAAGCCGAACAAAGATGCGAACCAGAGTATTGTGCATACGGCAATGGGGACGAGCAGAAGCTCCGTGTGGTGGAGGAACGGCAGGGCGTTGTACCCCAGGAACGTAATGATGAAGTAGTAGTTTAGTGCGAGGAGGTAGAGGGTGTTTGAGAGGAGGAGTGATACCCTAGGGATTGGTCAGTATGAGTGTGTTGAAGAAGATGTCTTACTCACCAATGATCCGTCCCCACGAGTGGCATACACAACCATTGCACCACATACAGAAACAACCACACCGGTACAAACGCGCGTATGGCCACGTCCCAGCAGTATCCGAACTCTAGCTCTTCCTTGCCCTCTGCCCCGAGATCGTATAGGCCCCGTCGCCGCCCGGGGAGTAGTGAGTTTCCAGGCCCCAGGAGCCGGCCGACGAGGAAGTAGAATAGTGTTGCTATGAGCAGGGAGAGTAGGAGGAAGTGTCCGAATATGAAGACGAGGGTGATGTGTAGGGTTTGTGTAAAGCCGTCTGCATACGCGAAGCCCCAGGCGAGGGATGTGACGGTCAGGAAGAGGGAGAGGAGGTATGTGAAGGAGGGGTCGGGGCGATGGTATGTTTTTGTTGTTTGTTTCTGTATTCACAATGTCAGCGCTTTTGTACGGGTTTAGAAATTCTATGTTTTTGGACGCGTACGTGGTAGTATATCTGGCGAAAGACCTTCTTGGGCGCGATTATCAGGCTCATGATCTCCCATATGGCCATCTCAAAGTCCATCTGCGGAAACTTGAATAGGCGCTTGAAGAAGCGTGGCATGCGGGCTTCATTTCGTCGCGAGGGTGCTGTGGAGCCAAAGTTGGAGGGGCCGCCTGTTGGTCGGGGGAGGGATATGTGTGGGTTCATTGCGGATGTGAGTGCTATGGTCGTGTTCGTGGCTGTAGCTGTAGCTGCGGAGCTATGGACGTGTCGTGGCGGGGATGCGGGAGTCTTTGGAGCGCGTCGCAGGAGATGACAGGCTGTTGGGTGTTCGCGATCGTCTTTCTAAAAGAGTCGGGACGGTGAGCTGCTCGATTGCATTGGTGAATATACTCCAAACGTTTCGTGCCTGGACGATGACATCGCCATGAAGCTCGAGCGTGACAGCCACACCGCCAAGATGTGGCTGGGGCAAACGCCGTGTTGGATTCGGCGTCCGACCTTTGCCCATCAATCCACCGCATCACTCGCACGACAACCTCTGGAGTATTGCGCATTGCCTTCTACCTCGTGCGCATTTCCGTAATCACGTACTCGCTCTTCTACACCCTGCGCCCGTGCGAGTGGAGGCGTGGACGCACCTTTTGTTCGCTCGCGCGACTCCGCACGCTCTTTCCTGGGACTGCCTACGCGACAAAGCAATCCGTTGTTTGCGACACGCCATCTCTACACAAACCGTATACAGCATCTCCATCCACCCCGGCCGTGTCCATTCTGACAATACAGCGTAGTCTGTCTTTGATTTGCAGCCATGGCTGACGACGCTGAGCTCGCCTTCCTGCAGGGCCAGACCGAGTATGACCCAACGGCCACCTGGTCAATGACTGACGCGCAGGAGCCCGCCGCCGATGACGACGACGACGACGACGAGTACGATCCGACCAACACATACTCTCCGCACGTCTCCGACCAGTCTGCGTCGATGCCCGAGTCTGCGGTCAACTCACCTCCGCCAGCCGAGAACAACGGCGACCAAGTGTCGATGCCGATGCACGCCGTCGTCTCTACCGAGGCTTCTGCCGCCCCGACGCCGACACTGGCGAAGCAGCCGCGCACCGTGGGTGGGTTTGTTGTCGAGAGCGAGGACGAGGAAGAGGAGCCTGTCGCGCAGCCGAAGACGGCGGGTGCCTCGTTATCGAGTGCTTCGAGCACGGCAGAAGCACCGCAGCGTTCATTTACAATCTCTCCAAACAATACACTTCCCACTCCAGATGTACAGTTACATAGTGCACAAGATCAGGGTCCTGCATCCGTCTTCTCTGCTTCTGTCGCTGCCAATGAGCCTTCTCTCTCTCTTGCTTCCACTGTTCCTAATGGCAGTACGCCTGCCCCAGACGCTGCTGTGCCAGGTGCTCCAGACTTCTTGAACGCCGCCTCTGCGCGCCAGTCCGCAGCTCCAGCCACACCTGCTCCCACTTCTTCTTCGCTCCCGAAGCCGCGTCTTCCTCAGGACCGCATTGGCATCCTCGAAGATCGCGTTGCTGAAGACCCACGTGGTGACGTCGAAGCGTGGCAGAATCTAATTGAGGAGCACCGCAGGCGACACAAGAACGATGAAGCACGAGCTGTTTACGAACGCTTCTTCAAGGTTTTCCCCACAGCGGTGAGCACTACCCGTCATGTTCCACATCCGCTTTTGCTAATGTCTACAGGGCGAGAAGTGGATCGAGTTCATCCACTTCGAGACGGAGCTTGACGAACTGCAAAAGGTAGAGGTCTTGTTCGCTCGGTCTGTACCGCTAGCCCCTTATGTCGCGCTCTATTCGGCTTACATCGACTTCATTCGTCGTCGTTACAATCTGACCACTGACTCAAACGGCACAAACCGCCAAATCATCACCCAAGCATACGAGTTTGTACTTGAGCAGGTCGGCATCGACGTGAGCGCTGGGAAGCTCTGGCTGGATTACATTGAGATGCTCAAGACGGGCCCCGGCGTCCTTGGAGGCAGCAGTTGGCAAGACATGCAGAAGATGGACACGGTTCGAAAAGTTTATCAACGTGCCGTTTCGATTCCCCATGGAGCTACATTGGAGATCTGGCGCGAGTACGACAGGTTCGAGATGAACTTGAACAAGGTTACTGTAAGTTGCCAAGCGTTACAATTTACATTCAGTTGACGCTGACGTATTCGTAGGGTCGCAAGAACCTCCAGGAGAAGTCACCTTCATACATGACCGCACGAAGCGCCATCAATGTTCTCGACAACAACATCACTCGAGATGTCGACCGGACCACGATACCGAAACTGCCGCCCGCGAACGGATTCGACGGCCACGAGGAGTATATGAAACAAGTCCAGGTATGGAAGAACTGGATTCAATGGGAGAAGAGCGACCCAGTTGAATGCGCAGCCGACGACCGAGCTCTTTACAACAAGCGCGTCCTTCATATCTACAAAAATGCGCTCATCCCCCTCCGCTTTTGGCCTGAGCTGTGGTTTGATGCCGCGGAGTGGTCTTTTGACAATGGCTTACCAGACGAAGGTAGCAAGTTCTTGAGCGAGGGAATTGACGCCAATCCTGAGAGCTGCCTCCTGGCTTTCAGGAAGGCACATCAGGTGGAGCTGCGCAATGACTTCGAGGACGGCCAACCGGGCCTTGTTGCCAAAGGCAAGGCTGTTCGAGAGCCGTATATGAGGGTTCTGGACACTCTGTACGACCTTACCGACCAGACCAAGAAGCGTCAAGAGCACTCAGTTGCGCGAGCGAGAGAGGCTTTCGAAGCACAGAAAAAGGCTGACGAAAGCGCTCGGGCTATTGCTGAGAGGAATTCGGACGATGTTGATGAAGAGAATGAAGCTGAAGCTACGAAGCGTTCAAAAGAGAAGGATGACGCATTCAATGCTCAGGTGCAGGCCATCTCTGCAGGCTACAACGCGCAAATGCATATTCTTAAGAAGACTCTCACTTATGCGTGGATTGCTCTGATGCGAGCCATGCGCCGCGTACAAGGCCAAGGTACGCCCGGCGCAGACGTATCTGGTTTCCGAGGCGTTTTTAAAGATGCCCGAAAGAAGGGCAAGCTGCTCAGCGAGGCCTACGTCGTGAGTGCCCTCATTGAACATCATTGTTATCAAGATCCAGCTGCCAGCAAAATTTTCGAGCGTGGTATGAGGCTCTTCCCAGAGGATACACAGTTTGCATTGGAGTACATCAAGCACCTGATCAAACTGAACGATTCGACAAGTGAGTAATTTTTCCACCTGCCTATCTATTCGCATACTAACATCTGCAGATGCGCGCGCGGTGTTCGAGACCATAGTCGGAAAAGTCATCGCTAAGGCAGAGAACATCGCCAAAGCAAAACCGTTGTTCCTGTTCTTCCACGAATACGAATCGCAGTTCGGTGAATTGGCCCAAATCACAAAGATCGAGCAGCGCATGGCTACACTGTTCCCCGAGGATCCTCAATTGCACCGCTTCTCACAGCGATTTGCCGACCCGACATTCGACCCTATGACAGTCCGTCCGGTTATCTCACCGAGGACTCAGATGAGGCCAGTGATGCCGGCAATGCCGGGGATGCCGGGGATGCCAGGGATGCCTAACATTATGAATTCCATTGAGGAGCAGCCTCTGCCCGCTGTACCACCGCAAGTCCAAGCTCAAGAGCAACGCCATGCTTCACCCGGGCTACTCAATTCACCACATCTAAACAACATGCTTCCCGTCGTCAACTCACCAAAACGACCTCTGGAAGATACCGACGACAACGTGCAACCTCGTAAACTCGCTCGCGGTGAGTCTCCACTCAAGGGCGCAGCAGGTCGACGCCTCGACGCAGCGCGCCGCAATTTGGCGGCAAATGGTAGCACGCCTGTAGGACCTCCCCAAGGTCCCGCCCCTATTGCGAAAGAGATCACTTTTTTGCTGAGTATCATTCCCTCGGCACATACGTACAGGGAGACACGTTTCAAGCCGGAGGCTATGGTCAACATGCTGCGCAACATCGCTAGTATTCCTATTCCCACGCTCGCGGGGCATCAGGGTTTGCAGCCCCAGCGCTACGGCACAACACCTACGACAGCACAGCAGTTGCTGAGTATCCAGGAAAAGTATGGAAATGGGGGACATCCTGCGCCGCATAATGCGTGGGGGCCTTGATAAGCTCTTGTTTCACGGAGCTGCATATGGTAGTTGAAATTTAAGACGCGGCTTCAGAAGCACTGTGTGTGCATGGCGACGCAGTGCGAGCTGCAGCATTTGCATGGGTTGGCGTTTATTCTCACCTCACACAACAAAATTCTTGGCCCAGATCTGTAGCGGCAGGTGTAAATCCTGGTCGATCCAGATCTGTGGTATTAGTATCGGATTGGAAATGTTTGACTTCGGTCTCTCAGCGTGGCGTTTGGTTCGTTGCTGTCTCGTCAGACATCGGAGGGTCAGGCTCTTTGTAATATCATCAATGAAAAATGAGATGTACGTCGGATATAGTGCCGACAGGCATGCACGTCTATTGATGCGATGTAATGGTTTTCTATAGCTTTAATCAATCCGCTGCTTTGCTTCTGGTCTCTCTATGTGCCCTTGACGTTTGTTCATCCATTGGTGATCCGTCATGTCATGTCATGTCATGTAAGCGAGGCTAAGATTAACGTCGCGTCTTGCCGTGGGATACACACCGTTCCGACACCATCCCTATGCTTCTCCTATTGTGTGTTTCTTTGTTCTCTTGTGTGATACTTATGTGTCGTGAGTGCTTGGGGATGGTCAAACGACGAGAATCGATGAGCTCGGGATTTCTGAGCAGAAGGTTCGGAGTACGTGCGGAAGTAACGCGTGTAAGACTTTCCAGGTGCGAGTGCTGTAAGGCACAATTGTGCCACGAGAGGATGATGAGGACAGTTCTACTGCTCGATTATGGAGAAAGATTTTAAGGACTTCTGATTACCTGGATGTGTGATTTGTTTGAGGAAGAGATAATTTGGCTCAGATACGAGAGTCGAGCTCCCAACTGGAGTCCGAGAGGTAGGGATTTCTGAATGTTGGAGAGGAAGCACGATAAAAAGCTAACAAGATTTTTGACTGACTGGTGTGGTGGATTGAGCTGGAAAGAAGCCATTCTGGCTCTTTGTGATTGTGTTTGCCCCAAGATGGATGGGCTCTGCGACTTCCTCACTTACCCTGGTATCTAGAAACACGCAGTTTGAGAGCCGTTCTCTATGGGGCCTTTCAGGATCAGGATCTCAATGTACAGGAAGTTTTTCTAGTCTAGCATCCGAATTCCTACTCTGGTCTGCATTAACTGCAGTGGCCATGGTCTACGTTCTGTTTCATCGAGCAATGCTAGAGCTCTGATACATCCTTGCTTGCATTGTCCTATCTGGTACTGCTTATCACCCTCTGTTCCGATCCTACCGGTCTATTCCATCTCTGTGGGTTGCGTCGTTGTCTATATCGTATTCCTCACCAAAACTCTCTCTCACTTGCGTTCATCTCATCTTGACAGCCAACACAAAGTGGGTCACAACACCACGATTCTCACCTAAATGCACGTCATCTATGCCTTCAAACTCACCTCTTTCACCCTTCTCCTACACCGACAGAAGGTCGCTTAGCAGGTAGCGTGAGAGGCAGGTGGCCCCTTCTGTCCATATAAGCTTCGCCCACCACGGTTCCTCCGTCTTTCCTCCACCACAACCAATTGTCTACTCGACTTGACTTCAAGTTGACAAGACTTCTATTCTCACACAAGCTTCCTTGACAAGACCGACAGCTCCTTCTCCTCCTTCTTCTTCTTGTTCCACAATACGAGCAGGCTCGAAAAGCTCAACACTGCAGGCAGTTCACTCAACACCACACTGCAGGCAGCTCGAGGTTCTCGCATCTACAAGTAAGTTATCCGTCCGGTATCTTCTCCATCCCAATCTTCTCCTCTCGTCGGCGTCATCACTGCCGATACACCTTCACCACGGCTTCCCTTCTCACCCGCCCCGCTACCGCTCAAACATTTGCGTCGCCGTTACTACGGCAATCACATGCGCACCTGCCTGTTCAGTTTCGCCACATACCCCACCTTCTCTGTCTTTCGAGCTCGCTCGCCTGCTCCCATAACCTCCCCATCACTTTCTTTTCGACAACACCACCCACTCACATACCATCCTTGCTTACACGCTTCCGTACGTTCTAATGCATCCATTTGTACTGCCTTGCTCATATTTTGTGCATCGCACCTCTCCTGCGAGCTCATAGGTGTGCAGCCTCTGTTTTGGAACAACATCACTGACTCTCAATCACAGGTTTAGGCCCGATCTGTGATCTGGCACGAACGCTTTCTACGCCCAGCACCCTACTGACTCCGATCTGAGATCGAGGTACGTAACACCGCTATTCTCTCGTCACTTTCCGCTCTGGGCGGCTGTTACCGTATTGGCTGCTCTCTGCAACTGCAGGAGTAATCAAACGGTACCATCACTGGATACAATCACGCCTACCAATGACCTATCGCTAACATGAAGCAGAATTTGCAATGGCCGGTCCATCCAAGAAACGCGCTCAGACCGAGAGGACTGCTACGACAGCTTCTTCGACGACGTCTCGCGACCCGACGCAGCGCTCTATCCAGTCCATCCCCAAGAACGATGGCAATCGCGATCCTGGCATCTCCAGAGGTGCCCCAGTGGATTACAGCAAGCCCACCTCACTCAAGAACATCTCCGAGTTTCTCGGTCTTGCTGGTTGGTACACGGCTCGTGGCGTAAGTGCAAACACTCTTCTCTCCCAACCCGCACATGCATGCACGAATGCCCAACAAACACTTGCTTGCACCCCACACCTGCAAACATACTCTATCCCGATTTCGCATCATGCGGCTTCGGTGTAGCTGCGCAATTTTGCATGGTCGAGTACTCAAGTCCCCCCTCTCGTCCAATTTTCTCTATTGCTCAACTTCATACACACACTTGCAAACTCGGCATTCTTACCAAAGTGTCTACTCATTGTTGTGTTGTCTCTGTAGAATCCTTGTCTCTATATTCCTATTCCCCTATTCTCTCTCCTTCATCATGGCGCGGGTTCAACGCCTCCACCAAGATTTCCACTCATATCGACCACGACATGCGAACATCACCGTTGACTATGAGCAGATGAGCATTCCCGATACGTTGCCTCAGCGCCCGAAGAACTTCAACATCTATGGAAAGGAGTGTGCCATTACGTTGAACACCTTCAACGTCGCCAAGGCCCCGTCTACAGTCGTTCATCAATACGATGTGAGTTTTATCAATCTTATCCACAACAACTTGTACTGACTTCGGAAGATTGCCTGGGGTGGTGAGACCGATCCCACCAAGCGCGTCCTTATCAAGAAGATCTGGTACTCCAAGGCTGTCAAGGCCGCCCTCGGTGAGCCCAAGAACCTTTGGGTTTACGATGGCAACAAGCTTGCTTGGTGAGTTCATTTCCTTCTGTCCAGCCTTGAATGACCATGACTGACACTACTCAGGTCCGGAAAGCGTCTTGAGCGTGACGAGACCCGCATCGTCGTTGACCTTGACGAAGAACAGGGTCGCCCCGCTCGTGAGGGGAAGACCAACACCCACACTGTCTACCTTCGATGGACTCGCCAGGTCGACTTCTCCGGCCTCAACGCCTTCCTCAACGGACAAGCGGCATGGTCGCACGAGTGTATCGACACTATCAACTTCCTCGATCATGTCATGCGCGAATGGCCATCCCAGAATTACACTCAAATCAAGAAGTCGTTCTTCCAGCGCGGCGAGCAGCGCTTCGATCTCGGAGGCGGTATTGAGGCTTTCAAGGGTGTCTTCGCCTCCCTTCGACCTGTCCTCGACGACAAGTTCCAGAAGTCCTTGTCCGTCAACGTCGATGTCGCCAACGGCACCTTCTGGCGCGCTCAAGAACTCACTCGCGCTGTTGGACAAGTCTTTAACTGTGGTCCTCCTCAGTTTGCCCAGCGTTTCAAGGAAGCGAAGCGCGACTGGAAGAACTCACATCTTCGAAAGGACCTCCGGCGATTCAGGCGTGTAGGCGTCTCTGCTACTCATGTCAACCCACACACGCAATGGACTATTGATGATATCGCTGACAAGGACGCGATGGAGTGCACGTTCCCCGATCCAGACGACCGCCGCCCCAATCTGAAGGACAATCAGCGCAAGCAGATATCCATTTACCAGTATTTCAAGACCAAGTACAACATCAACTGCACGCCTGGAATTCCTGTCGTCCGCATGACCAAGAAGATTCGCGGGTCGAATGTTCACTTGCCTATGGATGTCCTCAAGATCGATGCTAACCAGCGATACAACACCAAGTTGAGCGACACCCAGACCTCTTCTATGATCAAGTTTGCCGTCACCCTTCCCAAGGAGCGTTGGGCTGCTGTTCAACATGGTGTTCGTCTTCTCAACTGGGCCAACGACCCTTACCTCCGCCATTATGGTCTACAGGTCAACACTACCCCTGCCAAGGTCAAGGCTCGTGTTCTGCCGTCTCCTGTGGTGCACTTTGGTGCCGGTTCCAAGGAAGCTACCATTAAGCCTCAGGATCTTACACAAGGCCGATGGCGACTCGATGGCAGGAAGTTCGCCATGAACAACAAGGATCGTCCATTGAAGGGTTGGGGTGTTTGCTGCATCCAGGGTCGTGGTAGCCCGCCCCAACAGGCGGTCGAACAGTTCTTCCAGAAGTTTGTTCAGATTTACGAGAGCCACGGCGGGTTGGTCATGGCTCACCCTCAGCATGGCAAGAAGCCTTGGATGGGCCCTGGCAACTTGAACGATGCAGGAGAGATGATCCAGAAGGTCTGGCAACAGACTGGCAACCGTTACGCATCTCCTCCGATGTTTCTCTTCTTCATTGTCAACGACCGCAACATTGACGTATACCGCCGTATCAAGAAGGGATGCGATATCCGCTTCGGTGTTGCCTCTCAAGTGCTCCAGTCCAAGCATGTCATGACTGCTTCGCCGCAGTACATCTCCAACGTCTGCATGAAGGTCAACGCGAAGCTCGGTGGGGCTACATGTGTTGCGAAGTCTCAGCTCAGTAAGTTTCCTTGTTTACCTATCTTGTTACTACCGGGACATACTAACTCCTCTCAGTTCCCAAGATCGCCCCGAAGCACGCATCTACCCCAACCATGGTCGTTGGTGCTGATGTCTCCCATCCTGCTCCTGGTGCTGCATCTGGTGAAGCTGCTTCCTTTGCTGCCATCACTGTATCAGCCGACGTTCACTTTGCCAAGTACTGGGCCGAAGTCCAGACCAACGGTAACCGCGTTGAGATGGTCACTACTTCTAACATCGAAGAGCACTTTGGTTTTATGGCCAAGAACTGGATGCAGCGCATCGGTCAGGGCCAAGCTCCGAAGCGCGTTCTTTACATCCGCGATGGTTTGTTCTGTCTACTCCTCGTCTTTGGTTATTTGTTACTAACACCCGCAACAGGCGTTTCAGAGGGACAATATGCTGCCGTTTTGGAAGAAGAGGTGCGCGATATGAAGGAGTGCTTCAGGAAGCTCGGTTGCAAGGTGCTACCTGCGTTCACCGTCGTCATTGCCGGCAAGCGTCACCACATTCGCTTCTTCCCTGATCAAGGTAAGGGTGACCGCAACGGCAACCCTCTTCCTGGTACCCTGGTAGAGTCCGGCTGCACCCATCCCTTCGAGTTCGACTTCTACCTGTGCGCTCATGTAGCCATCAAGGGAACTGCTCGCCCGATCCATTACCAGTGCATTCTGAACGAGGGTAACTGGCTGTCTGCCGAGCTCCAGCAGTTCATTTTCGAGCATTCTTACCAATATGTCCGCTCCACCACTCCGGTCTCTCTCCACCCGGCGGTCTACTACGCTCACTTGGCTGCCGACCGCTCTCGAGCCCACTTGAACGATAGCCCCGTCTCTTCTGGCAAGAAGGAGGCCAAGGCCGATCAGCAGTCTTCCACTGGATCTTCCAGCAAGAAGACCGAGATCTCTCCGCTCCTTGCGATCCAAAACGCTCGTGGATTGAAGGACGTCATGTGGTTCATTTGAGGATTTGTGTAGACCGGAGTTTCGAACTACGGATTGGCAACCATGCCACAGACCTGAACACTGGACAAGGATAACGATAACTACGAAGGAATGAATTAAGTTTGGCGGCTTGGTGACAGCGAGTGCTCAGGGCTCATGGATGGGGATCTGCACGGTAGTGCAAAAGTTTGGCGTTTGGCCAGTTCTTTGCTCTGGTTCGGCAATCTCTCCCACTTTTTTCTTCCTTTTAACACACACACTTTGGTCACTTCTTGCGTCAGGTAGTTAGTCATCTTCCTCGATGACTGAATGAAGTCCGAGTACTTATATACAATGTTCCACTCATCTACGGTCTCAGTGATATTGACGACAGCCCAGAAGTGTTCAACTGCCTCCATCAGTTCTCTAGTAAGAGCCTGACTCAATCTATGCCGTATCTTTCAGCTCAGTATCCGCTTGAGCGGGTAACATGCTACTTTTGATACACATAGACCGAAGATAGCTGGACTCGAGCAAGAACACAAGTCAAGTCTGCCCCTCGACCTTTTACTAGGAAGAACCATCCGAAATCGGTAAGACGAGTGGCAACAGCCACTGGTTCTTCTAAGATCTTGACGGTCCAGGTCTCTGATATTTGGCGATCGAAACCATCTAGCAAGCTGGGGTAGCACATAGACTTCTCTCTAAAGATCGATAGAATACTTAGACTAGCGCCTAGAAGGGCTCTAAACACGACTCACTGAATGTTCCGCGTTTCCCCTCAAGTTTCGGGGAGTTAAACCTCTAGAATGACCATGCGGAGGGTTGTGCGAGAGCCTTGGTAGAACCGGGAAGGGATTTGGATTTATATCCAAGAGACATGTGGTTGAATGTTCAGAACATATGTCAGTAATAACGGGGGATATCTCGGAGAGATATCTCATAGTTTGCGGACGGTTAAAGCCTCCTTTTCCAGCTGAATGGCTTTGAGCAAGCCCTCTGGCGTTATAGCTTCGAAGCACACCATGCATATTCCTCCACCCACCCTGATGAATAAGATCGCTTCGTAAGCTCATCTTTCGCAGACATAACGAAGCTCGAAATAGTCGTATGAAGAAGAAGGTTGGCGTCTTTCTGTGGCAGTGGGATACTACGACAAGGAACATCATATACGAACTCCTTACCAGGAATATCGATCGCAGAACCTACGCCTGGTGGGTCCGTGGCAAAAGCTTCTACGAGACATAATGGATACAAAGGTAATGCTTGCGGGCTAGATGTCACGACTAGGGAAATACACTGAGATTTGATTCTGTCCGAATACTTCGAAGGTATTTGAGCGGGATGGTTACTGCCATAATGAATATGAGTGCAAGACATGCTCGCTGTTGGAGGGAGAGCGAAAATGAAACGCTTTGTGGGCGCTCATGAAATAGTAGACGGACTACAATACATCAATATTGACTCTATGTTATTTGCAAGGTTTCAAATAGCTTTACAGTGATCAGTTTGCAAAAACCAAGATCGTCGAAGCGATATATGCGATCGGGAGAGTGAGAAGGAAAGACAGGAAATTGGATCATGCGCTTGTGCAGGCTTGCGTTTGATGACGAAGGCACGACACAGGAATTGAAGAAGAGAAACAGGCATAAGATGGAACAAGAGCGTAAAGAAGAGATGACAGGAGAGAAACATTGAGACTACTCATAGATACACACCACTAGAAGTGCTAAACTCCTTGCCCATGACTATATTTCAGACTATCTGCTCTTCCACCTCACACCCCCGACCCACCTTACCCATCCTTCAACACTCTCCCTCTTATCCACATCCTGTTCTATCCCGCCCTCTTTGATCAACTCTACCGTATAGTACTCTCTCGCCAGTCCCTCGTTACTTGCAAGCCGATGTACGAAACTGTGACAAGCTCTACATAGCCATGCAACGCTGTTCAGCTTATCCTCTGTATGCCAGCCCCTCTTCAGAACACGGTTGTGTGTGGACTTTGGGATGAGGTGGTGGTAAGTCAGTGGTACCCAGTCGCGTCCGCAAAGCTCACACTCCGTTGTACGTGTCAGAGACCAGATGGGTGGGGGTAAAGTAACAGCGGTTATATAGGTCGTCAGGACGGGGGTGAGGAGGTGGTGTTGATCCGTTGTGTCGGAGCTGGCAGGGAGAAGTCCAGACGATTCGAGGGTCTCGATTGCGGTCGGGGTGATGGTGCTGAGTAGGGAGGTGTACGTTGAGGCAGAGAGAGGGGTTGAGTAGACGTCTTGTAGATGAATCGAGTCCTTGAATTTAGAGTATGATAGAGTTCGGAGGTCGGTGGGGAGCTCTGGGAAGATCAAGCTGCTAGTAAACTTCGTGGAGTCAGTTGATGAGTTTCTCGGTTTAGTGGTTTTGAACCATACGTCAATAAAGTCGCCGAGGTCCTCTGCATCGTTCTGTGCAATTGGTTGAGAAGATACGGTATTCGCCTCTGCCTTCTCTGTGCCCTTCTCAGAGACATGGCCATTCCTGCTCTTCGATCCTTTCTTGGCATGTCTCTTCTTTTTGGGTCCCGATTTCTCAATCGGTGCCGTGAGAGCTCTCAAGACCGGCTCGCTCAGGCACTCTCGGAACGTTTCGTAGTTTGACTGCTCGTCAAAGGGTATCTGTTCAGCCATGCTCTAAGTTGTAGTGTGCGACGACCGTGTATCGCAAGGAAGGAAATTGAGGTAACTCCAGCGTTTTGGGGCGCGTGGTTCTAGACATGGCGATGTTCATGTATTGGCGAAGTGATGACGATGTCGTGAAGCTCGCGTTCGTGAGGCGCGACGCGATTGGTGGGGTGAGGCTTACTCAAGGGCGCTTGAAGGGCTGTAGGGGATCGACATACGAACTTATGTCTGCAATACCTAGAAGTTTCGAGACACAGCTGACGATGATTATAGTGGCTGATCCCAAGCGTATCAATGGCAGGGCGTGTGCAAATAGAACTTGTGAAGCTGAAAATTTGCAAAGGGACTTTGTAGCGGCTGTTGTTCATTTACGAAGCACTTAGGGACATCGAGTATGTTTCTTCAGACATGCGAAAGTAATAGTTGTCCATAAGGTTCATCATAGCTGTCCTGGAATATCTAAGCGTCTGGCAAGCTATAATATACCATCTGCTACCTGGTCTCATCATCAAGTCGTAAGAAGCTAGCATCGGCGATCCAATCCATCCGCAGGCCATGCGAAAGACAAGCATTACTCCACATGTGTGTGAGACTTGGAAGTAATGCGTGACAGCCAGCCCGGTGAATCGGACTCTCGAGATGTCCCTGAAAGCTCTCGTGTAAACCTAGGCCTTCTTCTTTCCGCCCTTGGCCAGACGATTTGCCTTGCCCATAGCTTGCTCCCTCCTCCTGCGTTCACGCTCCATGAGCTCAGCCTTCTCCTTGTCTAGCTCTGCGCGCTCCTCCGCCTCGGCCTTCTTGCGCGACGACTCAGCCTCACGGCGCTCCTTGACCAATGCCAGCCGCTCGAGATCTGAGCGCGCCTGGTCCGTCTTGCCCTCCGCATGTAACTTTTCGTATCGCTCCTTGGCCTGTTGCGCCTGGAAGGCCTCGCGCTCGCGGCGGGACAGTTGGGAGACGTCTTGCTGCTTGCCCTTGGGCTTGGGCTTGGTCTCGGCCTCTGGATCGACGGGAGCCTTCGCGGCCTGCGTGCGGGCTTTGGCAGTGTGGTTCGGGTTCGCGGGCATGTCGTCGTCTTCGGAGTCTTCGGAGTCGGTGGGCAGATCGCCGGGCTCTGCGACCTTTTGTGACTTCTTCGCTATCGCGGCTTGCTTGCGTGCTTTGGCGGCTTCGCGGCGCTGCTCACGGGTCATTTCCTCTGCCTCGGGCTTGTCGTCATCGCTGGACTCTTCCTCGGAAGATTCTTCATCGGACTCTTCGTCGACCTTCTCTGCTTGCTCCTGCACACTCGTGTAAGCTGTAGGACGATGACGATGGCGTGGCAAGTACATACACCCCACATGCCCTGGACTTCGCCCTCCGCATTCAGCGGCTGCAGGTCTCGCGAGAACTTCTTGCCACCTCCACGCTTGACCTTGTTGAACTTGCCTCCGCGGCCACGTCCTGCTGAAGACATGGTGTATGTTGAAGTGTGTTGGAGTTTTTTTTGGGTGTAGGATCGTGTGACTACTTCGTTACTCGCACCTACGTGTGGTTGCAAGTTGAGGTCGATAGAAAGAAATGGATGGATGTCGGTGCTTAAGGGAAATGGAGACGACGGATTTTAAATGTGTAAGAGTCTGTACCGTGGAATGTTAGTTTCTGGTTACCGTGGATTCACTGTATTTGAATCTTGGTACTCACCCCAACGACTTCGGTGTAGGAAAAGAGTCACAGGTATGCGCACGGCAACGAAGACCGCCCCGCCAATGACCCCCCGCTAGCGTTGGCAATGATATGGCATGGCCCTCGACTCCTTGCGCATGAGGGGACTGCTTCACAATATGCACTCAGATCTATTCACAGCATCTCAAAAGTCTATTGCTCGACGCGCTGTGTATGCGCTGCCTGGATGTAGTCGTCTACAATTCAACGCTCAGTTACTGCCCCACCATCCCACGTAAATACGTAGTGTTTAATTCGCTGTGCTTGGGGCCAGAGCGTCGACTCGTTAGCGCTGCTTAGTCAGCGCAAATTTCGATTTTGCATACTCACGTCGCGTTCTCCCGCCCTCTTCTGGTTTCCTTACATATAAACTGAAAACCACATTTATCACTCACGCATCTCCTTTCCAATGAGGTTGCCGGAGGGGAAAATGGAGGTAAGAGCAAATTCGGCGTCCGCTTACCCCCTTCTCTTCTGCGATTTTCGCTTGTGGAGCGAAGGTAAATAAATTGGACGGCATATCATTTGAACTGGTGTGATATCTTTGTGATCAACGATGCGTCTTCAATTGATTGAAATATTTATCCAAATATGAAATGTCATCGTCTTTCGATCTTTACCAATAGATTGCTGCGACGGAGTGCTCACACATTGCCACAGCACATTCGATAAGCGGCCTTTCCACTCGACTTAAGCCTCACAACCGCAACAACTTTGCCAGTTGTGTTGCAAAATACGTTCCGATGCAACCATCTAAGCTCGATGCGTGAACGCGCTCGCGGCTTGCACGCGCATTTGGCTGGCTGCTCTCGTCCTTGAAGTACATAGAATTTCTCCCATGAACCCATTACAAAATCAATGAGCGCTGTGGTACCTCGGACGTTAGAGGAGTATCGCCTGTCATTGCAGTTAAAGTGCATGGTCACATTTCGTGGTCACAAATCTCCACATTTTCGATGTATTCTCCGTATTAGAAAGCTTTTCCGCAACAATGCAATTTCCCGCTAAAGGAATCTTAGCAACGTCACTATCAACGACTCGACCCGGATTAACATACTTCGAATTTGGGAGATATACGGTATCTTTCGACAGTAAGAGCATGCGGACGGTAACTTGATCGGTTCAAGCATGAATACGCTATAAACCCAAAAATAGTTGTCATCTTGCTCTGGTTTGGTACGTCCCAACACACCTTGTGGCGTATATATGGACCCTGTCAACCAGTATATTACTCCATTGCTTCACTCGAGAGTCAAGACTGAATCAGTTGAAGAGAAGAGCAAGCAGGAATTGAGCATGCATGTTGTTTTATTCTGTCGTTGCATCGTCATGATGTTGTCTCGCTCTCATATCGTCGAGTTCGTCCATAAGGTGACTCGATGCCCTCCTTACCCCAACTAGTGGGAAGAATGTCCACCCTGGGCTCCCAACTCGGAAGCTAACTCGCTGCCCTTCTTGAACGTGCCATCGGCGTTTCGCTTGAAAGACGTCAGCCACCATATTCAGTGAATCAAACGCACGAGAAAACTTACACCGCTCTCCTCGGTCTTTGTGGTCTGGTGCTCATGCGCAGCATGTCCACCCTGAGCACCTAGCTCGGACGCCAACTTGCTGCCCGCCTTGAAAGTGCCATCAGGGTTACGCTACAACAGTTTTAGTCAATTCTCTCACGGCTCGATTGAGCCAGCACTTACGCCATCGTCCTCGGCCTGGGTCTGATGCTCATGAGCTGCGTGACCGCCCTTAGCTCCGAGTTCCTTGGCGAGTTCTGAGCCCTTGGTGAAGGTGCCGTCGGGATTGCGGTCGGGGTGGTCTGAAGACTATAGCGGTGTCAGTAGGTGATTCGAGATGGAGATATAGTCATATAGAGAGACTTGCCTGCTCCTCATGAGCACCGCCGTGAGAGGCGTGGCCACCCTTGGCGGCGATCTCGCGGAGCTCGTCCTTGGGCAGGTTGGCGAAGTTTGCGGGGTTAGTGGATGCCATTGTGGTGTTGTTTGGTGTTGTTTGGTATTGTTTGGATCAAGAAACTTGGGGGATGAGAAGGGAAGATAAGTGCGTTGGAAAAAGATTCGCTCAGAAGGTGAATATGACAGTTTATATGTCTCTCTCACCTTCCCTGTGACGTATTTGTCGCCAAGAAAGACAAGCGAACATGGCGAAGAGCGACAAGGCAAACACGTAGAAACGCATGCCGACGCAATTCAGCCAACTACTAGCGTTTGATTTGCCAAAGGTGATTAACATATTCATTGCAGCCTGTTCACACCCTTGCTATAAACCTCATAGTGTGGGGCTGTTATATCGCGTCGCGCGGCACACGCGAAGTCCCGTGAACTTTGGCCAATCACGGAGTACTGGCCGATACGCGCTACGACCGCGACTTGACGTCGTGCGCGTGTCGCCCGGAGCTGAGCGTATCACTTCCCGACAACACTTGCACACCACATCATCCACAACCCATCATAACTAATTACTATTTGTGATCATGAGCCTTAAACGAAAAGCTGCTGGAGCTGCGACAGATGCGGCCAAGAAGCCAAAAGCAAATTCCAGCATAACAGCATTCTTTGGTGCGCCAAAGCCCAGCCCAAACGCGAAGTCAACGGCTGCAGCGAATTTCGACAAGAATGCGTGGGTTGCAAAACTCACAGATGAGCAGAAGGATCTTTTGAAGTTAGAATTAGACACCCTGCACGAGAGCTGGTTGCCGCATCTCAAAGACGTGCTCGTCAGCCCGCAATTCTTGGAATTGAAGAGGTTTCTGAAGAGCGAGTTGAGTAGTGGGAAGACCGTGTTCCCGCCGATGAACGATGTGTATTCATGGTACAACCTTACACAATCCGATCTGGTACCAGGCACTCGCTGATGATCATTCGCAGGTCGCGACACACTCCACTCAACACGGTTAAAGTCGTAATCACAGGTCAAGACCCCTATCATGGACCCAATCAAGCTCACGGCCTTTCCTTTTCCGTCCGCCCACCCACGCCGGCACCGCCGTCTCTCCAGAACATTTACAAGGCACTTAAAAAGGACTACCCTGACTACCAGCCCCCACCAAACAGAGGTGGCCTCCTCACGCCATGGGCGGATCGTGGTGTCCTCCTGCTCAATACATGTCTCACTGTCCGTCGCGGAGAAGCCAATTCGCACTCGGGCAAGGGCTGGGAGCTTCTGACACAGAAGGTCATTGATACGGTTGTGAAGGTGCGAAACAATGGCGTAGTGTTCTTGGCTTGGGGCACACCTGCACAGAATAGGACGAAGGGTATCCCAGTGGACAAGCACTTGATCCTGAAGAGTGTGCACCCAAGCCCGCTGAGTGCAATGAGAGGTTTCGTAAGTACTGCTAAGAGGAATGTAATCGCGAATGCTAATAGGTGTAGTTCGACTGTCATCACTTCACCAAGACAAATGAGTGGCTCGTACAGCGTTATGGAAAGGACGGCGGTATTGACTGGGACCTAAGCGCAACACCCAAAGAGAACGGCGCACAGATCGAGAAGAAGGACGAGTCGAAGACGGAGAAAAAAGACAAACCGAAGGTAGAGAAGAAAGTCGAGCCCAAGACTGACAAGCAGGAAGACACTGAAACTGATCCCAAGGAAGAACAGAAGACCGAGGACCAAGATGAGTCTGATTACGAGTATTGAGCTTTGAAAAAATGCCATCAAAAGTAGGAAAGCGATTCTTTTGGTGTATGGCGTTCAGCTTTCTGTTGACAGCTACGATTGTCCGTTGTCTTAATTATCGCTTTTGCTGACCATCGATGGAACTCGGGCGCACAAGTCTGCGCTTATCTCGGCGTTGCGTTTCAATTTTGTCGTAATCTATTCCGTGTTGTTATTCGGCGTCTGTTGGGAATTTGATGTCTTACAGAACATCTTTTCGGCAACGAAACTATGCCTTTTTCGGTATGTAGGCTATTTAAATTGCACTTTTATCCCAAAACATTTCATGATCTACAACGAAAATAATGTCCTCGAACTCACACACAACGAGAGAGACGAAGATGTGTACAAAGCTGCATTACTCTTTATCCAAACTGTCAAGTACAGCGCAAAATAAGGGTATAATACACAAAACCGGGTCTAAATGACATGTTTCTAAGACAGAGAGCAAACCAGCTCAGAATGAAACATGAACGCCATAAAGATGCAAAAGACACTCGAATCCAACCTCCCAAAGGCAAGCGAACAAAGCTAGTGATGAGAACTGCCGAACGAAATGATATGTAAGGGACACACACAGAAAATGTGTACCAGCAACCAGTAGAAGACATAAACAGTGTTACAACCGCATTCGACTGATCATCTCTCGTGACTCGGCCTCAGAGAGTTCTCTACCGTTGATGTTGATGCAGCCCTCTTCAACTTGTATAAGATCAGGTTTCACTAGACTATCATGAAGGTTTTTCAAGAAAGCGAGGAGGTTTTCTTCAAATGTGACGTATGGGTTATTTTCTCGGGCTCGTTCTATAGCTTGGAGGGTGGACTGAGACGGACTTTGAGGTAAAATCTGTATTTAGTCAGCCACATGGTCAATTCCGATAGACTAGGGTTGGTTACCTCGTCAATGAACCGGCGCTTGATTCGTGTCCAGTCATGATTCTGTTTGTGGGTGTTGTCCTCGTTGCAGAACAACGTCCGCATAGCCGTCATAAGGACTCCTTCCTGGTCGGCGCCTGGGCAGCCAAACGCAAATATCGTGTTGAATGTGTCTTCTCCATGCGCACCATTGCGAAGGTACTCGTCTATCACGGCCTGCAGCATGAATTGTCCCGCCAGAGTATACCAGTCATTGGTCGGTAACCAGTCGTCGTCAAGATCGACTCTCGCAGCCGAAAGTTCCATAAAGAGTGGGAGTAAACAGTGGAGCGAAGGCGTTCCAGATACATCGGAAATATATCTCCTGCGGTCTACAGGCATATCCAAGGTAGAGGCAAGCCTTGTGCGGTTGTTCAACAACGTGGCATCTGATAGTGGAAATTCTTTCGGAGTGTCGAAAGATTGCTGCACAGCTGGAGACTGTTTAGTGTGGTGATACCAATGATCGCCTCGTAGCTTGTTTTGGTCTCGAAGGGCTTGCAGTGCTTCTTCGTTGGTCCAAGTCTTGTCGTGGTTCAGTCGATGAGTAAAGACTAGCACGAATTGCAGCAACTTGGATCGAAATGCTGTTTGCCCATCGAGCCGACGACCATGATGTCTGTGTTTGAGAAGTGTTCTCCAATCTACATATCGAGGTCAGAACACGCCGCGGGTCACAGAGTAGTTGAGAGCTACTCACCGACGGTCATGGTAGTCAGAGCACTCGGTAAGTCGGACTCGAAGGGGTTGGAGCGGCGTCTCCACTCAAACAACGAGTCAAGGGTTTTGTAGACCAGAAAGTCCAAAATTGTCCGATCAACATCAAGTTGGTCATCGTCGTCGATGTCCATACGGCGGGTGAGAGTGAAGAGGCCGTCCAACGGTTCTCCGTTGCTGCCATAGTGGTTCGCCAGCGTATCCATCAGCTCTCTCTCCAAGTCTCGCACTTCAGAGCCGGGCATATCCGGGTCTGGCATGTCGGAGTCTGGCATGTCTGGGTCGTGGTAGCGCTGCGCAGTCAACATGCTAGCTAAATGAACCAGGTGACAAGAGCCCAAGCCAAGAAACGGAAACGACAGTCAAGAAGCAAAGGCACGAGGCGGCTAGAATAGAAGCTGCGCACCAGGCAGCTAGCAAACGACTTATAGGGGAGCAGACCGCTACTTTATATGCAGGTACAAGCAGGCAGAAGAGACGTGCGTCACGCGTGCATTTGATGCGTCTGGCTTTGTTGTGTGCTGGGCTGTCTACAGAGGAGTGCGTAACCGAAGACTAGGAGACTAGGAAACTAGGATTAGACGCGAGATAGCCGCGAAGCAGAAACAGACGGAGCGTGGAACAGGAGGGTGGACATGGCGTGTCGCGTCCACGGCTGTTGGCGGGATCGAGGGCGCGCGCAGGCAGACTGCGTTGGCGGGACGGTGGATGGTGTTCTGGTCGCGTTTGAGGTGAGGGAGGCCGAGAGGGGCGATCTGCACGACATGGTCCCCGCTCCCGCACCCAAGCCACGCCTCTCACCCGACCAAGCCCACCACGCACCCGCACCCGCGCAACAGCCGGCTGGAACATGCTCCCCAGTCCATGGCAGCCTGTGCGCGACGACCATGCTGTCCAAAAAGTCGTCGCTGTTGTTTTCATCCTACACTAACTGGTCGCCGCTCTACTACAGCCACACGTCGTCGTCGCCGCCCCAGAAGTCATGCCGTCATGCATCCTCGCCCGCGCAACAACGCCAGACGCGCAGCTATGCCTCGCACAGGGACGGCCATGGGCCTGACCTGCTGAACTGGCCTGCTCCCGTGCACCCGCACAAGACGCCCACGCCCTACCAGATCCTGCGCTGCAGCAAGGGCGACAGCTACACCAAGAACCACTTCTACGCCCTCGTCAAGCTCTACCACCCGGATCGCTGCCACCCCACGTCGCCTGCCGCCCAGCTGCCGCTCCATGTGCGCCTCGAGCGATACCGCATGCTGGTCGCTGCCCACGACATCCTGTCCGATGTCGAGAAGCGCAAAGCCTACGACGCCTGGGGCCACGGCTGGGTCGGTCACCACAACACGCCCACCCCGCACAACCCCTACGACTGGGACTTTGACCGCCGCCGCTGGGCCACCGACCCGCGCAACAACGCCACCTGGGAAGACTGGGAGAGGTGGCACCAGGAAAACGACGGCACCAGAGACTCCTCTCCCCGCACCATCCAGATGTCCAATGTCGCTTTCATGAGCTTCCTCTTCGCTCTGGTCAGCGTGGGCGGTGTCATGCAGGGCACGCGCTTCAACGCCTTCAACAGCTCGGTGATTGAGCGGAGGGACGCCGTCCACAAGGATGCAGTCATGCAGTTGCGTAGGAGCAAGCATGCTACTATGAACGGGGACCGCGATGAGCGAGTACGCACCTTCCTGGAGCATAGGGAAGCGCAGCTTGCGGGTGACGACTCCTATCATAGATTGCTCCCTCCAGCAGATACTTGCGCGGTTGTAGAAGTGAGGAGGCAGTGAGCAGCCCACAGCATGATGAATATTTCAACTTTCTTTTTAAACATGTCGAGAGCACATTTTGGTGCTAGGGTTGATTTCATGTCATTGCTCGGAATCGTCAAGAGCACATTCTGGTGTACATCACGACTCATGTGACGGGCGTTGAAAGGGAATTTTGGATGCATATTTTCTGAAAACTCTTAAGAGGATACAATTGGTATAAATGGGCGTTTGGGTTAAACAACGTGGATATTCGATACCATCATAACGAGCTTCGATGGAGTTTGCAATGTCATTGCATGACTACCAAATATCCCCTCTCCTTGAATGACTATAACCACAAACTCGAAAAATGAAAGTAAACACGATTGTAGCTTTGTCGGCTCAAGTCTTCAAATGAATTCTACTGTTTAGTTCCATCTGCTTCGCGCCATTCCATGTTCGCTTCCGGTGTCGTTTCACTCTCCTCATCACCCAATAAGCGCACCTTCACCATGGAGGAAGAGGGTCTAGAGGATGAGAAAATTGCTTCTTTGGGAAGTTTCCACAGAGCTGTAGATTACTGGGCTACAGGAGGGGCAAAGATCAGGGGAGGGGCTGGGGACGAGGGGCAACCACCCTCATCCGACCTGGCCTATTCACTACACCCTCATCCTCCGTCCAGCTGTAGAGGAGCAGACTGTCTCAACAAATAGCATACATAGGTGTCAATGGTAAATGCAATCCATGTCATAAATGTTCTCTTTCAAATTCGGAACTGTGTTGGGCTATACATCTCTCATTATATACCAAAATGACGAACAAAAACACCTTGTAACGCCCCTTTTAGCCGTGTTGATCTTTCGGCGAAGACGTCGTCATGAAATGCTAAAGGAAATCGCTACGCAAAAGACAGATACACTCCAAGTTCACAACTCGTCGTGATCCTCCTCAACCACAGCCTCCTTGGCAGCACCGGTGGCTTCTGACGCCGCCGACTTGACCGACTTGGTCGCCTCGTCGACAACCTCACCAGCCTTCTCTGTCGCACTCGAGGCAACGGATCCAGCCTTGTCGGTCGCGCTCGAGACAACCGATCCAGCCTTGTCGGTCGCGGCCTCGGCACCCTCCTTGACCTTCTCACCGCCCTCCTTGGCCTTCTCGGTCGCAGCAGCGGCCTGCTCGGCGAGCTCCTCCTTCACGGCCTCGGCTGTCTCGGCGATGACAACTGCGGCCTTGTGGGTGCCGTTCTCCTCAATGAACTTGGCAAGATCCTCGACGGTCCGTGCGCCAGAGTAGTCAATTGGCGAGTCCTTCTTACCGGCAGCGAAGAGCTTGATGGTAGGGAAGCCCTGAATCTCATCGGGGACATCGTTGAGTGTGGCATCAACCTTGGCAATTGTAACGTGCTTGGAGACTTCGCCGGAAGCGTATAGCTGGCCAAGCTCCTCGTACTTGGGAGCAAGAGCCTTGCAGTGTCCACACCACGGGGCGTAGAACTCGACAAGAACATCCTTGTCGTTCTCGATGACAATGTCCTTGTAGTTCTTGGCGACGATGACGGTGACGGGTCCATCGTTGGACTCGGGGATGGGCTCAGACTTGATGCTGGGCTCGGCCTTGCCGGACAGGAAGTCGTCGACGAAGGCACCAATGTCCTTCTCAGTGATCTTGGCATCCTGGTCGTATGGGTACTTCTCGTTCTTGTCTGTGCGCTGGATAGCGAACGCGGGCCATGTGCCGGGCTTCAGGTTGAGGTTGCCCGCGTGCTGACCGAAGGCGCCAGCGTCGATGGTGGCGAAGTTGATGGCACCCTTGTGCTTGAGGGCAAGGGGCTTCAACTCCTTGGCCAGCTCGGCACGCTCCTCGGGTGTCTCAGCGAAGATGTAGGCGAGGGGAAGGCCAGCGGCCATGTATCCGCTGTATGTCTCGGGGCCGACCTCGCCGACGAGGGGAGTGGCGGCAACTGTGGCGAACTCCTTGATGGCATCGACAGAGAATGTCTCGGTGAAGACGTCCTTGCCGTCGTCAAAGGACTTGTACAGGACTAGGCCTGGCTGCTTGACACCCTCGGCCTTGGCAAGAGCGGCGTCGTTGGAGGCGCCGAAGAGGTAGCTGTCGCGGAGGCCGTCGGCGACGGTGGTGAAGGTCTCGTTGGAGGCCTTGTCGTCGGCGGCGAAGTAGGCAACCAAGACGACCTTGTCGGCCGTCTTGAACTCCTCGAGCGTGGCCTTGGTCACGTCGGAGACGGCGGGGAGGTTCTGCTTGGTCATGTACGAGATCAAGCTGTCGGCCTTGCGCTGGCCACCGTAGGGCGAGATGTTGTCGAGGCCGCGGAAGACCTTGAGCGTGGGGTAGCCCTCGACACCGTACTCTTGGCAGAGATCGGCCTCCTCTGTGCAGTCAATCTTGACGAGCTTGATGTCCTTCTCCTTCAGCGTCGTCGCCGCCGTCTCGTACTCGGGGGCGAGGGCCTTGCAGTGGCCGCACCATGGCGCGAAGACTGTCCATGTTGTCAGCTCGGCAATCGGGCTGCGAAGCTCGGCGCGGCAGGGGGAAGCTTACACTCGGCGAGGACCAGGTCGTTCTCCTCGATAAACGACTTGAAGTCGTCCGTCTTGAGCTGCTTCACGTCCGACGCAGCAGCAACGGCCGCAAAGAAGGCGGCGCAGATGGTCGTGTACTTCATGATTGCGGAGGGTGGAGTGGACAATGGGTGGTGTGCAAGGTCGAGGTGGGTTGGGAATCCTCTACGGCGATGGGGAGAAGGCGTGGCAGGAGCAGAGAGCGACCTTTTTATGTGAGGTGGAGCTCGTGGCGGGAGCTGTTAACACGGTTGCGCTTTCACCTAGCGGCGCCAAGCACGATTGTGGGACAATGCCATGCGCCTGCAGTTTAGGACACGTTGAAAGGCTGGCTTCGATCCCTGCCCGCATTTCAGCCGTCCGCGTTCCCACCTCGTGTCCAACGTTTCGCTCTCACCTGTTCGCTATGCAGGTACTCTACACTGTGCCCGCTCTGGGTTAGCTGCTCAGTCCTGCATGCTGCCCTGGTACATTGTTAATATATGCTCCGTTCCCTTCCTGGCCATCCGCAATCAAAGTCAGAGCAACCCGTCGAGGCCAGGTGTTCTCTAACTCGATGCTTATTGCTGGAAACTTTTCAATTGCGCCTTTCCGTCGACTTGTTAGCAGAACGACCACATCAATTGCAGCTCGACGCGACCGCAGAAATAGCATTCATAGTTTCAACACCGATTGCGTCACATAAATCTAGTACATAGAGAATCGAGAACCTTGAATTAGAATTTGCACATTTCCTACAAAAACAGCTGGTTATAATAAGCAAAAGTCCGTGTTTGTTGATGCACGACTCCGAACTTTCCCCATCGCCTAATGGTGAAGTCACTCGAGGCGTGGTTGATGAAACGTTGACAATTCAAGTAGTCTATGTGGGCTGTGCACCACGGACACGGAAAACTATGATTTCATAGTCAGCTGATACAACCGACCCAAATTCACCTGGGACTACTTACACAAGCTTTGAAACAAGACGAGCAGAGTCTGAACAACATCTTCCATATTTTCATCATCAAGAAAAGTCCAAGGTTCGCTATGAAGAGGTTTAACACTTGCCGAAACATATTATAGAAACATTTTCACATATGATATCGCTTTGTAGCCATCTCTTCATGGTTATCAATATACATGAATTTATACTATATACAGGTCGAGGTATTTGAACATCTCAATTTCATCATGCGATTGTCTTGACCACGATTGACATTACTTGACATAAATATACAATGTTCGTCCAAGTCTTCGTTATATATACATTGTCGTGGTTCTCATCCATCTTCTGATGATAGCAGTCAGTGCTTAGTTACCAGGCCACCAGATTTGGTTGTTGGTCTCCTCGGCTGTATCGAACACCAGTTCACTAGACGAGTTGGCTGGCCTGTCCGGGAAGGTGTTTGCAAGACCAGTCCAGGTCTTCAAGTTGGAAACCTCGACGCTAGAATCGTCGCCGACCCAAAGGCCAAAACCGACACTGTCAAGGCGAGCAGGATAGATGCGAGTAGTGAGCCAGAAGCGGTCCTGGAAGATGTTAGTGGGAGCACAGGCATACGCAATAGTCGCACAAAGTGAGGTTGGGACTTACATTGATGAAAATTTCGACGAGCGAACCATCCACGAACACGTGCATGTTCAAGGCCTCCTGCGTTCCATTGCAGAAAGTGTAGGGATAGTGGTACCCAATCATTGTGTAGTTGGAGAACTCCTCAATGGTGGAGGACATTGAGCGATCGACATTGAGAGTGTAGTTCTCGGGGCTATACCAGATGGTAGTGTATTCCTCACCTCCTGGACTGGCGGCGATGGTGAGACCAGCAGGGCCCGTAAGGTTGCTGAGCGAAACTTCCAACTCCATGTGGTAGCTACCCTGTCCGATCATCACGCTGCTGTTGTAGCTGTCGGCAGTAGTATACTCTTGCTCATGGCTGCCTTCACGAAGGCCTTCAACAACATCTGGAAGAGGGCGAGCACCCAGTGTATAGCCCGTGAATGAGCCGTCGCCGTGTTCAACAACACGGGTGTTACCCTTCGTTGTCAAACCTCCGTCGGCGTTGACAAGATTCGATGTCTTGATGACGTACATCTCTCGCGGGATAGCCATGGCGCCTTGGTAACCTGCCTGGTTGATAGCGAAGTTGTTGTTGTCCTCGTTTGCCCATCCCCATTGGACACGACGGTTGTTCTTGGTGTCATTGAAGCTGGTAACAGCATACAGAAGACCAGAGTCAATGGCTCCGCCAGCCAGAGGAGTGAACTCGGCAGATCCATTTTCACGCCTGGTGACCTGACCCTCATTCCATAGGCCCCATTGCGCACGGGGATGCCACGTCAGGTTACCACCTTCGGTACCCATAAGAACGTAGTAGTGGACATCACCATCCTCGTCGTTCAACGAGAAGAAGTTAGACCTAGATAATCAGCGACGCGCCATAGGTTGCAGAATAAGATCCAACTTACACTTCGAAGTTGAAACCATAGGTACCCGTCTCAAGTAGGGAGCCCAATGTCTCGTTGCGATCTGGCTCCCACAAGGCGCCCAAGAAGGTCCAATCTGTCAGGTTCTTTGCTGGAGCACTGTACAACGGAATGCGACCGCCTCCACCCTCACCCTTGATGCCGGAGCCCAAAACCATATACCAGTGAGGTTCATCTTGACCGAGTACAGCATCCATCTCAGGCCAAGGCTCGAAGAATGGGTCTCTCCAGCCTGTGATGTTCCAACCTTCTGGTGGGTTCGAAAGAACGGGGTTTCCCGCGTACTGCTCCCAGGTATCACCGCCGTCGTGCGAGATGACGAAACTCTGCTTTTCAGTTGACTTGATGTAGGGAAGCTGCCAGTTGGTGGGCAGATATTGAACCGATGTGTAAAATGCGATAAGTGTTCCATCTTGCTCGCCTTGAAGGTTGTATGGCTGAGCACTGCCACTGAAGATGCCGAGACCATAATAAGAAGAGTTTCTCGAATCTGGGTTGGGTCCAGTGCCAACTGATTGGGCTTGCTGGTCCTCCCAGCCTCCTACATCTGTCCAAGTAATCAAATCTTTGGAAGTTGCGTGACTATGTTTGTTAGTGAGGAATTTCAAAGCTGAGATCACACCACTTGCCCCCAAGAGATGTTGCCCCAATTGACGTGGTTAGGGTGCCATTGGTAATGCAAATGGTACACATCCCTCGTTGGATCATAAAGCATGCCACAAGGATCCTATCAAATGTCAGTTTGACCGCCGGCAGATACATGTCCGCTCAACAACTTACATTCATCCATCCAGCTGGCGCAATGAAGTGATAGGTAGGTCGCCATCTTGTGAACAGACTGTTGTTGCCAAGAGTCTGAACGATGTCGGCAGTGAGGACATCAGGTACCGCTGGGCCACTTCCCTGCGCAATGGCAGATGGAAGAGACCCGAGCACAGAGCTCAACAGTGGAAGAGACCAATGCATTCTCCTAGAAGAGAGATCTGGGAGAGGAGGCCACAGTTTTGGATGAATATCTGGGAAAAGATACGGGAGCTGTGAGAGCTTTATATGATCTTGAGCGAGCTCCAAGCGAAATTTGCCAGCTCAAGAAACTAAGTGTATTCCACTATGCCATCATGGCCCGACCCAAAAGATTTGGCACCGAGCAAGTGGATCTGGGAAGCTTAGGACGCAGTCGCTTGTCATCAATCCCCGCACTCGTGTCTCCCCACAGCGGCAGTAAGCGTAGATGCAGATTTTGAACACGAATAACTGGACTAGGACGAAAGCCTCTTGTGTAATCGATCGACGCCATCTGTATTGGTGCAAGTATATACGACTTTGGGGTAACGGAGTTCCCTCCGTACTGCTGGCGTGCAGACGAAGACTCTTCTAGACATTGATCAAGCTGAGAGTCGTTGTAATGGACCTGGTCAAGCAATCACCGAGAAAGGCCCCATGTACGCTGGGGCTCAGTGGAGTCCGAGGATTCCTCCGAGAGCGCCAGCCTCACTGCGAAGCTTGACGGAAAGGGTTAATGTGGTCCGGGGAGGTGTGGGGAATCGGAGCACTGGAGCGCTGATGACAAAAAGCGCGAAATAGCTACGATATCAGGTGATGGTCACGAAAAAGGAAGTCAAATTCCATGCTTGATGCAAATATCTGCCGGCAAATGTGGATAAGAGGTGTGGTTGATGCTAAGCAGTGCCAAGGCTAGTCTTACGTCATGGACCCATGCTGTCACGTGCTTCGCAGCGATGTGTCCCAAACGCGAGCGGCACCGTTGGACAACCAGTGTGCAACTCGATCCACTACCGGTAGGGCTGTTGTGGCTGTCTCAAATGGACGTTGTCATCCTTTCCTGAGCTTCACGTCAGCGGACAAGACTGCGCTATGAGTCGCCTGAAGCTCTACGTAGCGGTAATACCGCCCTAGTACTGCCCGTGGACTGAGGATGCTCACACTCATAGGGCTCGGCCGTCATGGCCAACGTGGTGCTACTGCGCGCCTACTACGAGCGACCAAACTTTTACTCGGCCGCTGTCTACATCTCGCAGAGCACCGGCTCCCTTATGTTCCTGGTCAACCTCATGCTCATCGGGGCAGCGAGCTTCGGCTATGCGCTCCAGCGACTATTCTATGGCGCCCTCCGCCCCATCGAGACGGAGCAGCTGTACGACAAGGCATGGTTCGCCGTTAGTGAGACGCTGCTGGCCATGACCATCTTTAGGGACGACATCGGCATGTGGTTCTTCGCAATGTTTCTCTGTCTGCTTGCCGGGAAAGTGTGGCAGTGGATCGGTGAGGGAAGGGTCGAGTTCTTGGAGCAGCAACCGCCCGCCAACCCGAAGCTTTTTCACGCCCGTCTGATGAGCTCGCTGCTCCTATCCGTTGCCTTTGACGTCTTCATGATGCGGTACTGCGTCGACTCGATCCTGTCAGATGCGCGTCCAGGTGTCATGGTCATGTTCGGGTTCGAATACGTCCTCCTAGCAATCGCATCCGTCTCGACCCTGCTACGATATTCGCTGTCGCTCGTCGAAATCGTCATGACCCAACGCCAGGAGACGGCACGGGATGAGGCTCGAAGACTTGCAAGAGAGCAAGCGCCTGCTGAGACCGCCGACGACGCTGAAGACGACGAAGACGAGGGGGATGTTGCTGGCTGGGAGGAGAAGGGCCGCTGGGTCTTTTATTTGGATCTCATGACCGATTTCATCAAGTCGGTTGTGTACCTTGGTTTCTTCATGATCCTCATGACTTTCTACGGCATACCCATTCACATCATGAGAGATCTTTTCATGACTATTCGCTCGTTCGTAAAGAGAGTCCACGACTTCGTCCAGTATCGAAATGCGACCCGCGACATGAATACTCGCTATCCGGACGCCACAGCAGAAGACCTCGAGCGGGAGAATACGTGCATTGTTTGTCGTGAGGAGATGCGGCCATGGGCACAACCTGGCGCAGAAGGCGCGCAACCCCGTCGACGGATGGACGAACGGCAAAGAGCGAAGAAGCTCCCATGTGGCCACATCCTACACTTTAGCTGTCTCAGGAGTTGGCTCGAACGACAGCAGGTGTGTCCCACTTGTCGACGACCGGTTCTCTCGCAGCCGGCATCGCAGAACGCACAGCAAAACAACCAGGCAAATCCCAGACAGCAGAACCAACCAAATCTTCAAAACCAGGGTGCACTCGAAGCGCTTCTTCGTGGGAATTTGCAACCAGGCGTGGCCGGACACCAGGCCCAACCGGCTCAGCCTGCTCCACAAGGCGCACAGCAAAACAGGCCAGGGGGTAACATGCGCGTCTTCAACCTTGGCCCCTTCAGGATCGCGTTAGGTAACATCCGTCTACCACCAGGCCAACAAGGCAATCCCGATGAAGTGAGAAATGCTATCGACCAGCTTCGACAGCAGGCCACTCCAAACCAAGTTGTGCAGAATGCGATCCAGCAAAACCAAACCCATGCTCGGATCTCGCCCTCCACACAAGGCTCAAGTTTCAATCCTCTCATGGGCCCGATTCCAGGCGCTTTCGCCCAACATCCTGCGGACATACAGTCGGATATACTGCGTACGCAGCAGAATATCGTCGAGTCGCTACGTCAGCTCAACGCGCAGCACGAGCAACTTGATATAGTTCAAAGGCTTCTTGGTGAGCTCAACAGGCTTCAGCAGGTATCTGGTGGTACTGCAGTCATCGGCCAGGGAGCTCTACCTATCTCACCTCCAGGTCCGCAACCTCTTGGCACCTACAATCCGCAAGCATATCTCGCAAGAGGTCCGGTCCTGAGGCATGGAGATACTGAACTACCCCAAGGCCTTACGCTTCCGGAAGGATGGACATTGAGGTCTATGGCACTCACGCCACAACCAGAACAAGAAAGAGTATCGATTTCAATGCCTCCCCAACTTTCACAACCAGTGACAGAAGCACCACAGTCAGACACCAGTATTGTAAACTCGTCGGCAGAACCCGTGAGCGCGCCAGTCGCAGCTGCAGCATCAGCACCAGCTTCTGCAGATTTACCTGCAAACACATCGTCACAATCTGCCGAGTCCAGTTCTCTGGAATCAAGTTGGAGTTTCGGCAACGTTCCGGAGAGAAATGAAACCGTGGGCTCCAGCTCTGCGGTTGAGGGAAATACCCCAGATGAACAGAATGTGACAAAGCGGACAGTCACCGTGGAAGACGCTGAGGACAACGGCCAATGATTCAACGAACGGATGGGTTCACGAGCTCTGCATTGCATAGCGAGGCGTTTGGGTTTGTGCAGTGCTGCCCTGCATCAAGATAAGGCAGACCGTTTCAATTGCATACAGTAGTACAACGATGTTTGATAACAATGAAGTGATTGTATTCCATTTGACGATATTCTTACATCTAGACTCATTCAATCTGCATCGGGAATATATAACCCAAGCCACCACAACCAGTCGTCTGACCATGTCGATTGTTTTGTTGTCCGCCTGCACCTCGGCTTATACATCCTTCCAGTCAAAATGCCGCATGCGCAAGGCTTCGCTCCATTATCAAACCAGTCAACCATGTCAACCACGTCGCCAACCGTGCACGGAGGCAAAGCTTGTCGAGGGACTAGACCCCGCACTAGACAGGGATGGCGGAACGGTATCGTCCACTCAGAGCGCCGTACTACCCAAAGACTCAACCTCGAGGCGGTGAGGTGCGTCTGACGAGCAGCATGAGGTTGAAACGATGAGCTGGACGTGTAAGGTAGGAAGGTAGCACCCAGTGATAGATGCAGGAACACTCGAGGGGTAATGCAGGGGTCGGGGATGGAGCTCTCGGTAAAGGATCAGGGCAGCCGCTGGCGCAGTCCAGAGTTGAGGGTGCGATGACTCTTTACTCTTACTAGTATCGCGCTTGCGGAGACACTTTTTGTCACCTAGGACCTCGAATCCTCTCTCCTGTGTTTGTTAACTATGAGCCATTGAACACCATGGCAGTCACTACGCGATCTCAGCTCTACCAGGCTGAACAAGAAGGCGAAGTCTCAAGCTGTGTGGCCAATCTTATCCAAGCTTTCACAGACGGGCTCAACATCTTCAAACGACTACGCGAGAGGAGGCGCAAACGCAAGGCGCGAAAACAGCATCCTGAAGTGGAGAGAGTAACGGGCGCAGAGCTCCAACTGAGCGACTCGTTGAAGAAGGGGCCTAGTGAGTTGGCGTTGAGATATGCGCAGTGCTACGGTGCGGTTGGACAGCAATTCGCGTGGGGTGATTGTAAGTCAGAAACGGCTTGTGTGGCGACTGAGTAGATGCTGACCAGTGAGTAGCGGTTGCGCATGCGTCTCTTGCGGAGACGCTGATCCGGTTGAACACAGGGCTGGTCGCCATCATTGCGTCTTTCTTGAATCATGATACTCACAAGGGAAAGAGTTCTTTGAATCTGGATTACAAATCCCTCATAAATCTGTCAGATGATTCGAGAAGACATGCGCTTCAGAGCTTGGATCAACTCTACTACAGACTGAATCGATCACAGTTGTATATGCAAAGTATCGCTCCGCCTGCCTACCCGGGGAGTGGAAGCACAAGGCATCACGAGAGCTCAGGACAAACAGAGAAAGAAAAGAGGAGGCATACATCATCGTCATCATCATCAAGACAACGCTCGACTGGACCAACCGTTACACGCATGCCGGTCAAAAGCTCCAACCATCCACAACTCGTCATGGTAAGACCAAAGATTTTGAAGAAAGGAAGTTCAACAAGCAGCTCGAGTTCCGCAAAGTCGCCTTCCAGAGGTTCGTCCACAACTTCTCCAAGCACTTCGCCCATGTCCTCGCCAGTACAGAAGTACATCACCATGGAGCCGTTGGAGATTCAACCAATCGATTGTGTGATAAAGGGTACCTTGGGAGGGAGAGTTGAGAGACCAAGAGTAGATTCTTTCGACACAGTTCGACCGCAGTTCAAGCACAGCCTCCATACAGCATCGGAACATGTACACCACCCAACACCGAAGTTACCCAATTTCACACCTACGCCGAGAAAACCATCGCCGCAGTCTTCCCCACACCGCGCCAAGCCCCTGCCATCTCTTCCAACAGCAATCTCTCCAATCAAACGACGTCTTGACAAAGCCACGCCGTCGTCGTATACCTTCGCATCCGATAGCACGAAACTTGGCGAGATACCACAACGACACTGGTCAACGCCGTGGGATCAAGAAGAGGCAGAGCGTTTGAATAACGAGGCTGCAATGACTGGGCAGCCGATAGAGGTGGTCATGGAAGATAAATCGAAGACAAAGAAGGGGCTGAGGAGGTTTTTGAAGCGGGGGAATAGCAGTGGAGAGGCTGTCTGAGGATGTAGGTGTGCTGTAACAATTTGTCCGAACATTTCCTATTTTGTTATCTTGAATCTGAGCCTTACTAATGGGGAGGGGACGATGGTATTGTTGTTGCTGCTCAGTGGGTTGTAAATTGGACTTGACCACGACGACGGAGAAGATGTGCGCTGATGGTAACGAGTTACGATGTTATGACCAATTTGATAGGAACAGTATACCCATGCTATATAGCAACAGAATATGAATACCATTTATGAAGATCGAATCGCTCGTTGAACCATAGCGAAAGACTTCCCGCACAAGAGATGAGTCGCTGTTGAGCAGGTGTAAGCTGTGAAGTCTATATTCGTGTGTGCCAATCTCTACTGTGTTTATCTAAGTAATTCCAGAATCCCAGAATCCCTGCAACATGTATTCCATGTAGATTTTCAGACACCAATGGAGCCCACTACCCAAAGCCCTTTCTTCTAGCTAATCATCCGCATAGTGACCTCAACTGTTGCGAATGTACCCGCAGAAACCGGCATAGCCCTGAGCAGTGTCGGGCCCACGCCCCTCCAGAAACCACCCATACCCTCCGCTCTCCACACCTTTGCGAAGCAGTCTCGCATACTCGTGTACTTCATATCCTTGCCAAACCCATCACTTTGCATTTTGCTCTTCACAACGTCGAACGGGTAACTGCTAATCCAGAGCATTTCTCCAGCGAGACCGCCGTAGAATGCGACTTTGGGCATGCTGATCTCATCGCGCTTGATATTGTTGCGTGCCGCATCGGAGTTCATCAGGTACTCAAAAGTGGTAAACCATACGCCATACGCCTGAGCTTCTCTCATGAAAGTAACCGCCGTGCCGCGATACACACCGCCAAGTACACCTTGGTGCGCAGAAAGCTTGCGTACGCAGTCAATGGGACCGTTGTACAGGCGGTTGGCGCCGTGGGGCTGTGTTTGGAGTCGAATACGAATATGCTCGATGGGGCTAGAGAGCACCGTGTTGGCTATTCCGGCAAAAGCACCTGAAGCATAGTATTGCGAGTAAGAAAGTTGTGGTGAGCCAGATGCAGCAACGTTTCGGGCCTCAAATGCTCGTCGAGCGTAATGAAAGCCGCCGAATTGAACGGATACCTAGAACTCCAGTAAGTATGTGGTGACTGAAAGTGTGACTTCCATATCTGTCGGATCAGAACTCTCGAAACAACGGAATTCACTCACACAGGCACCGATTCCAATCAAGGGCGTCAGTGTGCCTTTGTAAAAAGCAAGCGCGCCCTCATTCTGGTAGATCTTCGTCGCAGCATCAAGTGCACCTGAGTACTGCTGTGTCGTCTGAAGTCTGACCTTGACGATATCTTGTCAAGACCCATCAGTCGTTGTTATTCGCGGATTCGAGTAATTACATACCGAATGGCTGACCTGCGCATAGTTAGCACCATATTTGGCATACTATATCTCCAAATTTGACCCAGAAATTTGTCTGTTTCCTAATAATAGAATGGCCCGAAGTAAAACAATCAAAACCGCACACGAAGACAAAAAAACGTAGAACGCCAAAACTTGAACATACCCAACAGCACCTGCGCAACACCCCCAACTGCGCCAGCGAAGAGATCTTTCAACGTTCTCTTGAGCCCATGCTCGGGAGATTCGATCTCATGATCTACTTTCGACATACTTTTCTTCCTCTCTTTCTCTTCTACTAAATGTCTTCACGGTGTCTGAGCTTTTATCAACGCTGCGCACGAGCCCTCTGGAGGGGTAGTTGAAGTAGCTGTCAAAAACTGTTGTTGAGCCTTCGCTCCTCTTTCCGTTAGTAGAACAGAGTTCTCGAAATAGCCTTTTGGATTGCAGGGACGATCGTGGAACAACGAATGTTGTACTTTTAGGATGAGATTATCTCAAAAGAGCTACAAAAAGGTTTACCAATGACGTGCTTGCGCACAGACGCGCTAGTGGGTTAGTTCAATGTATTGCTGCAGGACATTCTTCTCAACTTCTCACAATACTACCCATGTTGACGATTGGGCTTCACTAGGAGCTGTGTGCATGAGCATCGTTATGAACGACTAACAACATGCCTGTGTTGTCGATGCTGAGGTAATATACAAAGATTCCACGTCTGATGGATTGCTCTCGATCCGTCTAGCCCCATGACATATTGCCAAAGCGGTATCATACACCCTCCATGACCCAAGCCATGTCCTACTTGAACTTCCAATAAACACAAATCCCAAAGGGTATCCAAAGCCGCAAAAGGAAAAAAAGCGCAGGTCGACTCCACGCTGCTGGAGTACAAACATGCAGGTCATGGTCATACGACCATCTGCGTGACTACAGTTGATGTTACAAAGGAAAATCCGAGTGTCGCTCGATCGCTATAAGAGGCTCGATACACACATCATACGCGTTTTGTTCGATTCCATCTGAAGGTGGTGTCGTGAGTTACCAACATCGGAGCTTGCTCCAAAAACTAGCCCGGGGCGCATTGCCACCTTCCTCATCTGTGCTATGCGGCAAGTTTGTTTTTTCGGTCTGCGGAGGCAGCGCAGCGGTGCGATACGGTTGAGGCGCAGTGCCTTGACCAGCAGCCAGCCGTCGGGCCTCGACTACACGTCTCACGAGCACTAGCGGGCGTCAGCATGTCCATGTCTCGGGTGTGGGACAACTCACATGCAAATGTTTCCTCGATGTTGACCATATCCCTCGCGCTCGTCTCCATGAAACCACACCCCCTCTTTCTTGCCCACTCCAGTCCGGTCTGCGCCTTGATGACGCGAGTGGCTTGTAAATCGCACTTGTTTCCAGCGACGATTTTGACAAGTGGGACCTTCCCGTTGTCGATGCGGCCTTCTTCTTCCATGTCGATCATCTCCATGAAGTGGTCGAGGGCGTCGAGAGAGTTTGCGCTTGTGATGTCATAGACGAGGAGGAAGGCGTCAGAACGGAGATTGGAGGCAGCCCAGAGCCCACGGTATTCTTCTTGGCCAGCCGTATCAGTGAGCATGAGGTAGTAGGGATGGCCGTCCACGGTACGTGTTACCGAGTACGAGTCCTCTTGACGTATGTTAGCTGCGAGCGCGGGAGCGGCGTACGACTCATACCTATTGTGGGGTCGTATCTGAGAAGCAGCCGTTAGTGACTTTGATGTGGCTGGAATAAGAAATATGGCAGCGCGACTTACTCCGACGTCCATTGACTCCTCACCAGCCGCAGAGTGATGGAACTCTTTCCTGCTTCCGCATCAGCCTTTGGTCCGTAATGTATATGGGAGCTATGCGCATACCGCATCCTCCATCGCCGCACACCGTAATGGTGATGCGATCGCTCGCGTCCATGACTACTGCGCCTGCCTCGTGTGCGCCTTTGTTCGGTCGACTGTTTACTTGGTAGCAATCCCGTGTCCACAAGCGTCTCCCAGTCGCGACTTTGTGAATTCCGAGTTATCGCCTAGGATCCAATTGCTCTCGTCGCAACCCTGGTAAAGATGTCCGTGTGGCAGCGGAGTCGTGACGATCCGTGGAGTAGCGATCAATGGGAGCGGGCGCACAAGCAGAAGAAACAAATTCACTCGACGTGGGAATGAGCGTAGATCTGAGACAAAAGGAAATGAGATGGAATGAGTGTGAAAGTGAGTGTCAGTGTTAGTGTCAGTGTCAGTGTGTCAGCTATCGTCCGGCGCGCCGAGTCCAGGTGTTCCTGCCTTAGCATCACCCTTGTGCCGCGCCCAACTTTGCATGACTCGAACGTCCCCGGAACACACCTCCGCTTCCGCCATGCACAAGCTCTGTAGATCACACGTGCTAGACGGCAATAAGGCGTACGAGGCTGAAACACATGGTTCACACTGGAATTCGTCGTACACCATTGGACTACGAAGAGTGCAGCCCTTGAAAAGCGGACATGGGAATGCTGTTGATTGGTCAATTCGTCGATTGGAGATATTTAATTGGCCGAGCGTCTTGTACCGTATTGCTCATTCACAAGGGACCGCACCCTTGGTATTTTTTGGAAAGGAGAAAATTCTAATCAGAATCCCATGTCCCGCCGCAGCCGGCAACGCTGCAGCACCTTAGCCCGTCTGTCACATGTACCATCCATGAAGGAGATCAAACGTTATGCATCTCGAGTCCCCAATCACACAACTTCTGTGACCACGCGCTTATTGCCGTCATACCTTTTGAGTGATATATATCGTGACTTTTCAACACGTAACGTAACGAATTCTCTGGCTAGAGTATGGACATTTGGCTTTATGCAAGAGTACACACACGCCTTTCGTCTAGTGCGTACAGTATAACAGTGACCGCCAGACCAGGCCACATGAATTGATGTCACTTCTGCTCGAGGCAAAAACTTTGCGAACAAACCAAGTTTGAATATTCTATGCACAACGCTCTCATTCATCCCCCAACCACATACATACCAAGCCTCCCAAGACATCACACAATGGAAAACACCTTCGCTGTCTCAACGCTTACTGCGCCTCAACCAGTCCTTCCATTTCGGGCATCAACACCGAAGATCCTGTCCCAGGTTTTGTGATTGCACGATTCATCTATAAGACAAGATACCAGAGAAATGGCGTGACAAAATTGCACTCCGATATGAAAGACCAAACCATCCAAGAAAATCTAGCCATGGCCATGTCAAACAGTCGTCCCGATTGCCCCAAGATCCGCCAAAGTGAATGAAAAGAGAGATGAAGAACATGGATTAGAAATAGGGGTATCGTTGAAAACTACTCAGCAAAGATTCATGCTTACTAGAAGAGGAGAGAAAGAAAACGGTCTGCCCATCACTCGTCAAGCGGTTCGATACCCTCGTCGATCTTCGGCTGAGGGATGAAGCCCTGCGACGCAGCAGCCTCTAGACGAGCAGCTTTTGCCGCGTGTATGTCGCCAATACCCCCTTGTTCAGGAGACCGTTTGCTCGGAGGCGCAAGTGTGGACGGAATGGACGACGTTTGGCCGGTCTCAGATATGACATTGGGCATGAGGGTTTGATGGTTCGGGTAGTGGCGTGGCGAGGCGCTCTTTCTGCTCTTGTCGCTGGCTGCAGAAGAGGTTCGCGGCGACACCCGACCTTGCTGTGGCGCGCATCCAAGTTAGCTAGTGTACTCATGGAATATTTGTATACGGGTAAATGATACGAGGGATTCAAGAACCTACCTGCTTGGCCCATCGCAATCCACATGAATTGCATAAATCCCGCTTCCCAGAAGGACCTCTACGCCATTCAGGCGTGGTTCGTGTATGGCAGTTTGCACAGTCTTTCTGCATCTGTCCAGTACCCTTTCTGCGCTTTCTCTTCTTTTTAGCTGCGAGTAAGGTTTGCACTTCCTCTGCCAGATAACGATTGCGCTTTTCCATTTGCCGTAGTTCATATTGCCAGCTCGTGCTTCGTGTAGTCTTGAGCTCGTCGAACACGTTGTCATCGGAGGCGAGTGTCTGGTCTTGGTGTCCAAGCCGTAAGCCGTTATGACCAGCATACGTAGCTGGGCATTCTTCGGTGGTAACGAAACGAGCATCGGTCGAGGCAGTTACTGGCGTGTTCTGTCCAGACGCAGACCCATGCATTGGGGAGGCACCAGAAAAGACTGTAGACGCTGGATTTTGAGAGCCTCCCGCGTTGCGATCCTTGGTGGTATACATCGACGGCCGACTATTGGTGCTGTTTCTTGAGTACTTCAATAATCGCGTTTGCCCAACGACAAAGGTCGGTTTTTGGCCCTCGGTGGCGTCTCCAGGGTAGATTGTGGTGAAGGCCTGTAGGACCTGTCCTCTTTTGTTGATCATTTCGTGCTTGACTTCGCCTTTTCTTCCACCTCTTGCAAGCTCCAGGATGCGCCCAAAGTTGACCTTGGACTCTTGCCGCATAAGCGCCTGAATACTAGTTCCGACAAGATCTTCAGGTTGTTTATCTAGTAGTTGGCGAACGTTGGACGAGACAAACAAGAACATGCCGGATGTTGACATCTTGGTCCATAACTCGTTGTCTCCAATACCGCCGGACTCACGGACAATGGCCTTGCTGAGTGTGTACACCGGACGTTCGCGACCTACCAAGATGATGCACTTGCGACCTTTGCCTTGCTCGGTGTGCAATGAACCGTGACCTTCGAACCACATGTATCCACTCTTCTTTCGTCGTATGCGGAACACCACATTGACCGATCCACCATTCGACGTCTCCTTGAGTTCTCGCGTGACTGGAACGATGTCGCTAGGATGGCAGACAGACGACAAAGCGGTGCCAATGAGTTCACTGGGCTCGTACTCGAGTATCCTGTTGCTAGATGGCGATAGATACATGAAGAGTCCTTTGAGGGACAGGACATGAACGACGTCATCGGTGTTTTCAAGCAGAACCTTGTCCCAGATGCGTCGCGTGATTTCCGAGTCTCCGGAGCCACCATAGGTAGCAAGCACGTTGGAGACCTCATCCTTGGAGATGGTCTGTCCCTGCTCTGGCATCGGCTTCTGCACATCATTAAAGACGTAACTTGGCATGGACATGCCGCGTTGGTAGTTAACCCTGAACGATCCGTCTGGCTGGTGATCAGTTTTGTGCATGGACATCAGCTTCAAGGGCATGAGATGACTTACCTGCGTTCTTGTTGGTCATAGCTCCCGGCTGTTCCACAAGATCGACCTGAAACCCAACGAAGAACTTGATAGGCCCCCCTGGCTCCCAAGGAATGGGTATCATGGTCAGCAGATTCATGAACGGCTGCCCGCCCCTCCTGTAGTTGATCAGGCTGATCTGCGCTTCTGTCCGAGCGGTGATGGTGTTCTTCAAGTACAGGACCGAGTCGTCGTCGACATACTTGCGTTTGACGCCAGACTCGACTTTCCCGTCGGGCGATTGAAGGAAGCGGCAGTTTCTGCCCAAGATCATGTGCTTGGTGTAGCCCGTAAGACGCTCAAAGTTATCAGAGCAGTACACGATGGGAACGTCGTCCATGCTGGCGTCGCACACTACGAAAGCACACGACAGATCTACCGAGCCAATGTCGATCTGGGGATTCTGTCTTGTAGCTACGCGTATCTGGAATGTGTCAGTCGGACAAGTCACGGCTCCGGGCTAAGGATACATACAAGCACGCCAAGCATGTCAAAGCCCGTCGACGAATATGCGTTCTTAAACTGCGTCTTCATGTGCGGGTTCGAGTTCATGGTGGAAGGAAATCCGCCTTGGGGCGTGGCCCAGGGGAGGTTGTTGTTGACGAGATTTTGGAGCTTGTCGAGCTTGTCGCGCGGGAGGTCGATCTCTGGGTTCTGGGCTACCGGCTGCTGGTTCTTGAGCGAGGTAATGCTCATCTGCGTGGGGAAATCGGCGCCCTTGGAGGACGAGTGCTGCACGCTCTGCGGCCTGGACGTGGAGCATATGCTGCTCTGGTCCTGACTGCTGGAGCGACTCAGATGCGCAGGGGGCCCTGATACCGATCGCGCCTCGGGGGTGGCGCTCTGCGATTCGCTCTTGAAGCGGTCGCGAGGCTGCATGGCAGACATGTTGGCGTCTTGGCGGGGGACGGGCATGGGCCTCACGACGTCGGGGTTGAGCGGCGAGCCCATCATGGGCGAGTTGAACTGGTTGTTCTGGTACATGTTCATGTCGGCGGGCATCATGTTGAGCGAGTCGTCCATGTCGAGCGGCATGTTCATGTTGGTAGGGTAGGGGCTCATGTCCATGTCCAGGGCCACGTCGGGGTGCATGGGCGAGGCGTAGGCGGAGGGCGGGGCGGGCATGGCGCCGTACGGGGACGTGTTGTTTGCGAACTGCGTGTTGATGGCCAGGCCGGCGGGGGTGTTGCGCGGGTTGTGCATGGCGGAGGCGGTGCGCGGGAACGACGTCGAGGTGCGCATCATGCCGTCCATGGCCGTCGAGGGCGACATGTCGAACTGGAAGCCGTCCATGTCGCGGGCATTGGGGTCGCCGAAGCTGAGCATGGACAGGCGGCGCGACTCGGGGCTCTGCAGATGCATGTGCTGGTGCTGGGCGCGGGCGTAGACGGGGATGCTCTGGCGGCGGTTCGCCTTGTTGTTCTGCGAGACGATGTCGTCGAGCGACTGGCTCTCCTGGGCGTCGTACGTGTCCATGGCGTCCGGGCCCATGGCCATGATGCCGGGCCCGTTGGAGTTGGCCGGGAAGGGCCGCGAGGGGTAGGGGTAGCCGTTCATGCTGGCCGGCGACGCGTCTCAGTCTGCCGCGACCCGCATGCAGGCATCGACCGGCGCAGCCCACGGGCGAGAGGGGGTGCAGGCGACGACGACGACGGGACGAGCAGCGGTGCGATGCGAGGAGCGCCGGCGGGGGGTGGTGCGGGTGTGTGGCGTCGGTCGGGCGGCGCGTGGCATCGACGGCAAGGCAACGCGTCCCCTGCTGGCCTCTCGCAGAAGCCAGGTCCCAAACTACAGTTGTCGCGAGTGTGGCAGCGATGGTTTGTGCATGGGGCGGGCCTGCGACGTTTGAGTGGGCGACGGGATCGAGCTGCAGCGATGCGCTAGACGGTGACTCGCCTTGAGCCTCCGTCGCCGATCAGATCAGATCAGAGCCGGGCTGGGGTGCGGTGCGGTCAGGCCAGCGTCGAGGGGAGCAAAATCACAGCCGAGTCACAGTCGAGTCGCCGTCCAGTCACCAGTCCAGTCCAGTGCCAGCCACGTCGCCGTCCCGCCAGCGTCGAGTCGCAGTCGGGGCAGCGTCGAGTGCGTGGCGCGGTGCTCCCTCGGGGCATTTTGCGTCTGGCGCTGCTTTTTGGCACCAGCCCTGCCGCGACGACGTCAGTCCATGGCACCGACGCCGACACGTGCTGGGTGGGCCTCGCAGACGCCAAGCAGCCTTTCGACTTTTGCAGCTGATGCACCGCGACCATGTCGTCCAGCAGCGCCATGATAGTCCGGCACCTGGCTGCGCGCAGTCGCCTGCACCGCCCCTCGCGCCCTGCCCTGCCGTCGCTGCCTGCCCATCACTCGCTGCCACGCTTTCTCTCCACCGACACGCCCGCCGACTCCAGCCTCGAGCCCTCGCCGCGCCCCCAGAATGTCGCCGACCAGTACCACATGTACAAGCAGCAGCGTGAGCCCCGCCCTCTGCACCTCCCCGCCCTCTACATCCTCTCCACCCTCTCCACCCTCTGCACCTCCATCCCCTCTAACCCCGCGCAGAGAGCCACATGGGCAGGCTCGGCGCCGACATCAGCCCGCACTACCAGCCCCACACCCTGCTCAACCACCCGCCCGCGCCCGCCGACGTGACGCTCGAGCTGCTCCTGGCCTCCGAGGCCCACCAAGGCCATGTCACGTCGCTGTGGAACCCCGCAAACGCCCGCTACATCCACGGCATCAGGCAGGGCGTCCACATCATCTCGCTCGAGGTCACGGCCGCCCACCTGCGCCGCTCGGCAAAGGTCGTCCAGGAGGTGTCGAGGCGGGGGGGCATGGTCCTGTTCGTGGGCACCCGCGACGGCCAGGACCGCGCTGTAGCACGTGCCGCTGAGTTGGCCAAGGGCTACCACCTGTTCGAGCGCTGGATCCCGGGGAGCATCACCAACGGCCAGCAGATCCTGGGTCGATGCAAGACCAAGGTGGTCAACGAACTGGACCAAGACGTGCCCGGCTTCGAGGAGCAGCTATACGACCGGCCCGTCCTGCGACCCGACCTGGTCGTGTGCATGAACCCGCTGGAGAACTATGTCTTGCTGCACGAGTGCGCCCTGAACAACATTCCCACAATCGGCGTCATCGACACCAACGCTGATCCAACCTGGGTCACCTACCCCATCCCGGCAAACGACGACAGGTGAGGACCGCCCCTTGACTACCACTTACCGAGTGCTAACCCCTTCGCAGTCTCCGCTGCATCCAGGTCATTGCTGGTGTGCTTGGCCGAGCCGGTGAAGCAGGCCAGAAGCAGCGTCTTGCAGCCGCGGCCACCGGCGAAATCACATACCGACCTGCCAAGAATCTGTACATGGCTGGGGTGGATGATGACACCGCCCCCCCTGTAGAGCGCGCCGGAACGGGGAGAGAGACCAGCGCCAACGAGAGTGTCGGTGACGTCGACGGGCGTTCTTCCAAGCTCGACGAGGTCGACAACCACAAGAACCATCGTGTGAAGGAAGGGAGGGACATCTAGGTCACGGCCCAGACCTGACCTAGCATCGGTTTTGTGTTCACCGTGTTCCATGTCCAATTCTTTGTACATCACTTCTGTAGAGCATCACAAAAGGCGTTGCGTCGTAGGGCTGTTTTCAATGACTATGCACACATGGTAACTGAGCGAAGCCTTACCCTCTGCTCAGAGGAAAGGTCTGTCTCATTGAAAGCCATATATCCTCATGAGGTGCTATCCACAATCATTAAACCTTTGACTGTCCCAACAGGTTCAATGCTAGATGCTGGAAGAATAGGATCAAAGACAATTAATTACTAAGGGCTGGACCAATCGCAACCTCCATAACACGTGCTATGCTTCCCCATCTCCAAAGAGAACACTGAAACACAAACCTTCCCAAGATGCCGTCTCAACGGGCCTGATAATGATGGGTTAATCCAGGTCATCTGCACTCGTGTTCGCCGCTGGCTTCGCATTCTCCTTTCTGGCCTGTGGGTAAAAGTCGACTTTCCCACCATCGCCAATCACCCCCATGCGATCGTACAGTGAGCGCGCGCGCACATATGGATCCGCTTGCCAGTAGTTCTGCCTGAGCTCCTCGGCAACAGCGTCTCTTTCCTGTCTCCGCCCGTCGGCGCCCTGCCCTTCTCTGCCTGTACGTACCCAATCCAGCACCGTTGTCTCATATCTCTCTACAATGCTCTTTCGTTGCGCCAGTAGACTCTGCTTCGTGGCCACGTCTTTCATGCGATCATTCTCGCCTGCTATGGGCTCGGGATACGCGTACTGCCACTTTTCGTCTCCACCACAGTCCGCTGGTATCTGGGATCTAGGAACGTACTTTTGTAGTTCATCAATGTTCTTCGCAAAGTGGACCTTGGAAGCTACAATGGGGTCAAGCCAGCCGCGTACGATGCTCCACACAGCGTTGAAGACCCAAGGTGCTTTGTAGACCAGCACCGTGCCGAGAGACTCTGGGTAGTTTGCTTCGAAGCACTTGATCATGAATTTTACGGGCGTGTAGTCCATATTCGCCATGGAAAAGTCGGTGAGGTCGAAGACGACAGTCTACATGTGTCATTTTAGCACTGATTTTGCCAGGCTTAGTGGATTGCTCGGGAACTTACGGCGGTGTCGATAGGCGGCCTGAGGAGCATGCGAGCAGTCTCGATGGTGAAGACGGTGAACTTCTCTAGACTCTCTTCTGTCTGATCGCCCGCTTTGTGCAGACGGGCGCGAACAAAACACATGGGCCTGCCTTCGTTGTCAAGGCCATGCAGGTAACTTTTGCCCATGCGCAATTGTGTCAGAAAATCTTGAGCATTCTTCTTGACCTTTGCATCGCTGCCTCCTGCCTGCTCGACTGCGCCCAGTTCGCCGTTCAGTACGATATCGTCGTCAACATGCATATCCTTTAGTCTCCAGTGCATTGTTGAGACCATCATGACAAGCGCCTTCTCCACATTCCATTTCCTTGCGCGCAAGAATCGAAGAAGCAGAGCATCGGGATGATCGTGCTTGACCATTGCCCAAAATGCTTGTCGCAATTCCTCCGGTGGAGTGTTTGCTAACGCGGCCTTATATTCCTGGTTTTGTCCAAACTTGTCATCGTCGGCGGGTAAGGAGATTGAGTGAATGTCTGTCGACGTTCTTGCCCCCGATGCAATAGTCTCAGCATCAGCGCCCTTATCGCCCTTGCTTCGCTTGAAAACACTCAGTCGACTCTTTTTCTTCTCCTTCTTCCCATCATTGTCCGATGCTTCACTGACAGGCGCCGATACAGCACTATCAACACCGCTTGCCTCTTCCAAAGTTGTTCCCACACCAAATACTTTCATCGTCACTGCCCATAACTGTCGCAGCTTCTCCTCTTCGTCTGCTGTAAGGGTCCCTGGTCGCCCAGCAGGAGTGTTTGGCGCCATGACAAGATACGAGTCTGTGAGATCTGCAACGTCAAACTTTGACGAAAGAGTGCCGTTTTTGCCTTCCTCAGCTGTGACTGAGGGGTAGTTTACGAGAGGAACAAGTAGTGCGCCGCCGGTCGCAAGCCCGATAACTATCGCCGCAGTCCAGAGGCCTGTTCCACTCTTCTGGTGTAGAATCGCCTCAGGTTTCCGCGTGCAGTGATATGCCGTACGTGTATATGTGGTTGCGCGCGCAAGACCACGGAGACTAACTCGAAGGTGAGAATGCTGCGTAAGATGTACAGATGATGAATGCCTGAGCGCTGAAAATGGTGGTTTTGGCGACAGTCTCTTTACCGTGTGAGCACCGAGGGACATGAAGATGGCGATGTGACGACGCAGCGGGTGACTACTGGCGCAGTGCTTACGGAAGGCGCAGTGGGGTGTTGGTGGAGATTTCCCCGGATTGGTCCGGACGGCACGACGAACCCCGACGAGAGATTGAGGGGACTTGGAGAGATGGCCAAGCCGCACAGTGCTACGTAACAGACTATGCGACAAACTATTCTTGTGTGGACTCGGAGAAAATGTGAAGCCAGGATGGGCGGCAGGGCCATCGTCATGATGCGCCTCGTGCAGGCGCTAACTGCCCCTCCCCCTCGACAGCACCAGCCACAGCCCGCCATCTGCAGGGCAACACGTCGGTCATGCATGCCAGCGGCCAAACAGCCTGACAAACAAAACACCACACAATGGCGTCGACGACCCCCACCCACGAGCCGCCCTCGTACCGCCGCAATCGCTCCAAGTCGCCCGGCCTCCGTCCAACAACACCCTTGCGTCCTTCATCCCGCAGCTCCCTACGCGACAGTGCCCAGCGCGGTCGCGGCGCGTCTTCGTCGCAGAACCCCTTGTCGCATCTGCAAGATGGCTTCGCCGAGCTCAGCGACGCCATGGCAGACTTGGAGCAGAACTTCGTACAGCTGCAGCTGATGCACGAGAGTCTTGCCCGCTTCTCCGAGAGTTTTGCAGGCTTCTTGTATGGCCTGAACATGAATGCTTTCTGTGTTGATTTCCCAGAGGTAGGGCGATTGATCCATTTGCGTCCGATACGACAACTCACCGGCTGATGCTGTATAGGCACCGATTCCCGAATCATTCAAACGCACCCTGTACCAGCACGCCGAGCTCACTGCCGCGAACCTCAACCGCTCCCAAGGCCCGGAGGACATGGAGACTACATTTCTCACTACCGATACGTCCTTCGTCGATAACCCGCCGAGTAGCAAAATGGCTTCAAGATTCCAACCACCTCAGACCCCGACACGTGCTTCGAAAACGTCAGGCGTCGCCAGAGGGAGAGGAGGAATACCACGGGCTGGTGGACGAGGTGGAGGCATTCCTACGCGTGGCGGTACGACACGGGGGACACGGGGAGGTAGTGGAATTGGCAGAGGCGCTGCTGGAAGAGGGAGAGGTGAGCGGTAGTCTAGTGAGCGAGACTATTGTAATCGTCCTCCGAAACACAAGCCACGTCTTTTCTTCCTCTTTTGGAGGTCACACTTTTGCATCTGCTAGATCTACCGATGCGACGTATTTGGCCAGTCTGTAGAAGCCTTCAAAATGCCGAGACTTGACGATGCTTTCGAGCATTGATCAGGCATCGCGATCGAGAGTCCAGCACTGCTCAGCTAACTCTGTCAGTGTGGAGCGGAGGGCAAGTGTATTCGGAACGATGAAGGTACTGAATTATGAGGTCAGGCATCAAGTTATACATCTTGTGGTCTCCGGGTCAAGTGTGAGCTACTCGACGCACCTAGATTACGCCTCGGGACTTCCATTGCCAAGTCTGATCAGTACACAGGTGTTACACGTCATTTAGATGCACGAGACAGACATATGGCGTCCAATTCGACCGTTACTTCATCCTCGCTTTCCAATCACCTTCGCTATCTGACTTTCCAACGTCTCCATATCCCCTTCTCTCAGCCCAATCGATTCGTTATCCCTGCTCTGATACAAAGTGCCACCTTCCGTCCATATTCTCCGTAGCGTAAACACAGTCTTCAGGCCCGCGTCTTCCTTCCACGCGTCTTCCTCCAGCTTCTTCAACTCTTCTAGTGGGGTATATGTTACATCCCATTGAGAGCTTGTCTGCCTTTCGAATTCACTAAGAACATGCGCAGGCGATGTAGTGAATGAGTTCACCTTGAGAATGCGTTCTGCATCCGTGGTTGGCGTCTTCAGTGCTGCAACAACCAAACGACCTACGTCGCGCATCGTGGTGAAACTGACCTTCTCCTGCCCGGTGCCCAGGAGCGTTGCGCGCTTTCCTTGCACGTCAAAGGTTCCCACTCTTGCGTCTGGGGACGTACCAAAGTAAAGATCCGAATACGGGCCCGTGACTAGGTATGTGACCTTCAAATCCTGAATGTTCTCGCGGACGAACCTGCGAACTTCGAGTTTGAGCTGATGAGGCTTCTCGGTTGCAGAGGTGGGGGCATATTCGATGTCTGTTCCGTACTCTGAGGGGAAGAAGGAATGTATGGTTGGGGAGGCTGACGCCAGCCTGAGCAGGGGAATTTGCGCTAGAATTGCATTGCGACCCAGTGCCGATATGATAGTGTCGTAGTCTGTAGATACTCAGCCAAGGTCTTGCGAGTTTGGAAAGGTGGTCGAGAACACATACCGTTATAAGCCATATTGACGTTGTCTTCAGAGTCTACATCTCCGATGATTACATTGACGCCTTTTTCTTTCCAGCTACTGAGCTCTTCTGACTTGTTTTTCGCGGTGGCTGCGGATGTGAACAGGCCAATCTTCTCAAACGATGATCGGGCGTTGTAGAGCTCTCCAAGAATGTACTTTCCAATAACACCGGTTGCGCCAAAGACGAGAACTTTCCTAGGAGTCATAGTGTCATTGGTCATCTTGTCGGCGTAATGAAATAAATAATATATTTAAGAGCTGTAAGGATTTCAATGTTGGTGCTGCGGTTAGTTATATAGCGTAATACTGTACATAAAATATAGCGAATTAGTGTTAAAGATAGAATGCTAATAACGCATTAGACTTAGTAATATCTTTTTTAGGTAAATAGCGTATTTATACTTCTAGTATAACTAAATAGACGTAATATAGTAAATACCTACAATAGTAACTTAGTATAGAAGCTAGAGCTAGTCTTTATTTATATAAAAAATATTAGTTAAAAGATTAAGTTATAATTATTATATTAAAAAGCTATATAGTAGACTAAATCTATAAGAGGCTAACTCTAAGAGTAGTTACTAGTATAAATTAGATAAGTTTACTAAGAATCTATAGTACTAGCTTTTCTTTACTTATAGTTCTTCTAGTAATATATTAGCTATATTTAGTAAGCTAGCTAAGAGTAGGTATTAGTAATTAAGGTTACTTAGCTTTAAGGCTTTACTTACTAAGGTTTTACTAGGCCTAGCCTATTATATAAGCTTTCTTTTAGTAAAAAATTATTTATATTTTTATTTTCCAATAATATTATATATTAACTTACCTTTATATATAATTTTTACTATCTCTTTATGTAGTAAAATAAACCTATAGATTTAGCCTAACTTTAAACAAATTAGAGTAGAGCTTAGTAATAGTAAGTTAGTATTTAGTAAATATTATAAACTTTAACCTTAGATACTATTAATTAACTTAATACTAATTTACTCTATACTTAAATATTTTACTTTCTAAGTTAATACTATTTATTTTTAAAATAGCTTTATACAGCTATACTAATAATAACTTTATACTTAAGGTTACTCTAGCTATATAAAAATTATAGTAGAATTCTCTACTTATATAGTTTAAAGTTTATAATATAAATACACTACCTATATAAGAACTACTTATACTAAATAACCTTAATAAGTAAGGTAGCCTATACTTACTTTACTATAATAGTAAGCTTTAAAATTAAACTCTTATTAAGCTTTTTAAATTATTTTTTACTAATACTAAGGTTATAGAAATATACTACTATACTAATAAGAATACTTATTACTAACGCCTACCTAGTTCTATATAAAAACACCTCTACCTATAGTATAATATAATACCTTATAGAATCTTTAGTTACCTAGCTATATAAGTATATATAGAGATTTACTATAGAGTCTAGTAAAGAGGCTATTAGTATACTAATATATAATTTAAAGTAATCTATACTTAGCTATATAAAGTTATAGGCCTTCTTTAATCTATATTAATTAATTAACACTTTTATTTTCTATTACTACGTAATATTAGTAACGCGTTTAAGTGTCTATTTAAAAAGTATAAAAGTTCTCTTAGTATATTTACTAAATTAGCTAATTATACTAGAGCTTTAGGTAATATTTAGCTATAAATAAAAGTATAACTAACTTTTATAAAAATATAAAGAAAAAGACTACTCTTAATTATATATTTAACTTAACTATTTATAGAATTTAGTATAAAGAAGATTCTAAGTATTAATTAAACTAGCTCTTTTATAGTTATAGTTTAAATAAGAAGAATAGGCCTTTTAAAATTAACTTAGCTTATAGAGCCCTTAGGTTTTACCTAATAAAACTCTTATACTTTAGCTTATATATAATTATATTACTAGTAATATTAATAAACTACTACTTAAGCCTAATAAGTATATAATTATAAAAATTACTTTTTCTTATTAGTACAATTATTTAAGGAGCTATAATATACTAGAATTATAGCAGTAGGTATAGTATATATAGGAAAGACTCTATATAAAATTAGTATTAAAAATCTGTCTCTATAAGTATTTTATAAATTATAGTAGCTTTTAAAGCTCTTGATAAAATATAAAGTAATAGCTTAACTATTAATATTATTACTAGTACTAAAAAAATACAGTTAGCCTAAGAAAAATATATTACTAACGCCTATAATATTACTATTACCTCTACCTACACAGAAGACTTAAAGTAGTTAAGAAAATACTTAACTATTAATTAATTATATATAGGGGCCTAAGCCTATTATTAATAATAACCTACCTAAAGGCTTCTTAGCTAAGCTTATTATTGTTAAGGCTTAGTATAATAAACTTAAATAGGGCACTATTTACTTTAATACCTTAAGAGGTAAATAAGTTAAAATAATAGCTAAGTATAATAATAATATAATACTATTTACTATAATCTTTAAAGCCGTTTATAAAACTATAATTAAATTAAAGAAGAAACTACGTAAATTATATATTAGCGTAGTTTTAATATATACTAAGTTTAAAGCTATAAACTAAGCTTTTCCTTATTTTAATACTAATTAATTTATATAATAAGTTCTTAAACGTAATTAATTAATTTCATTAACTCTAAAGTTACTATCTACTCTAATAGATTTACTATAACACCTAGAAGCTATTATTAAGTCTTCTACTTAATATTATACTTGTAAACTTATATAAGCTATTTAGTACTACTTCTAGTAGTTTCCTTCAAAGCTCTAATACCTACTAGGTATTTTTACTATACCTTATCCCACGCTCTAGTAGGATAAACCCGCGGATTTCGGCCTGGCTATTAGCCAGTAAAATCGCGTTAGCAAGTTAGTGTTATACCCTGCAATAGGGAGGTTTTTGGTGTAGAGGTTTAATTTTAATGTTCCTTAGACTTGTACTACGCGATTCTATTAGCTGTAAAATCCGCAGGTTTATCTTACTAGAGCGTGGTATAGTTACTTTTAAAAACTTATTAAAGTAGTAAATACCTCTCTATAAGATTTAAGCTATTTCTATTTTAGTTATTACCTATAACTAAATAAAATTCTAAATAAGGAATAAATATTAATAATATATAATTTATACTAGGATTAGCTCCTAAGCTACTTAAAAATTACCTCTTTAAGGTGTTATAAGCTTAAATTTTACGCAGCTTAAAATAAAAAACTATAAAGAACAGTTTATAGGTATTTAAGGTATAATAAGATAATTTACTATCTCTACTAGTCTTTTTATATAAATAAGGAGAAGCTTTAATCTAAGCTTTTAAGTACTAATATACGTATACAGCGTAGGCTAGCACAGTAATTACTTTAATAATAAAATTATTTTAACTTATATTAAAATTATTAATATATATTAAAAAATTTTAAAGTTTAAGCCTTTATATATAAATTTTAGTATAGAACTTTAATTTTAAAGTTCTTAAGACATAGCTCTATAGCGCAATTCTAATAGCTAATATCTATAGGTTTATTTTACTATATAAAAAAATAGCTATACTAACATAACTTACTTTAAACTTTTAATTAACTAACTATTATACTAGTAAGTCTCTTATTTAAAAAGCTTTAGTTATATTTTAACTTTTTTACTATAGCTATAAGCTCTCTAAAGAATTTTTTAATAAAAAGGTAAGCTTATTCTATAACTAGAAGTAATTAAAAGGCTTTACTTTAACTTATATACTTACTTAGCTTGCTAAGTTTTCTTTTTCTTTTACTTACTTTTTATTCTATTAACATTATACTTTACTAATTACTTATTTATTACTACTAGTATTATTTTTACTTTTACTCTTACCTTTATTATTAAAAGCTATAAGCCTCTTAAGCTACTTACTTACTTAGGCTATACTTACTATCTTCTAAAAGATAAGGAGTTTTTAATTTTTAAATAAAGTAAGTAGTTTTATACTTACTATTTTTAAAAGTAGTATATTACTTATTATAAATTAAGTAATATTTCTTTTACTTAAATACTACTAATTTACTTTTAGTTAAGTTTCTAGAAAACTTTAAGCTAAAAAAGCTTATCTTTATAGTCTTTTTACTATTACTTTTAGTAAGATTACTCTAAAGTTTATTACTTAGTACTATAATTAGCTAAGTTTTAGTCTTATTAAGGTATAGTTTATAGCTAATAAGTACCCTTTTAATAAACTTAAGTATAAAATAATAACTTTGTTAATATAATTATTAAGTTATTTCTTTTACTATTATAGTAAAGTTTATAATTTCTAGGCTAAACTTATTTATTAAAGTAATACTATTTTAGTTTTAGTAAGTTTTCTTTTTAATTTTACTAGTTTTTTAGCTAACTATTATTATTTTATAAGCTAAAACTACTAAAGGTTAGACTAAGTATCTTATTAATATTATTATTAAGCTTTATATTTTTTTCTTTAAGTAATAAAAGCTACTTGTTTATAAAAATAAAGTTAGTAATAGTAAATAAGATACTTTTTAAAATAATACTACTATTAGTAATAAGAGTAAGGTAATATACTAGTAGATTTTTAAGTTTTTTATTTAGTATTCTAGTAGATACTTAGTATAGTTTAGTATTTTAAGCCTATATTACTTTATTAGTAATCTTTTAGCTACTTATAAATAGTTCATTCTATACTTATTAACTAATTTATAATTTTTACTTTTTAGTAATAACTTAATTTTCTTAACTATCTATATAAATAGCTTTAGTAAGAGTATTTATTAGTAAGTTACTTATAGTTTTTTATAGTATTTTTTAATTAAAATATAATTTTTTTTTCTTTTTACTTTACTATTATTTAAGACTATAGTATAATTATAGTTAATAAATAAAACTTTTTTAAAATATTCTTTAGTAATCTAGTAGTATTATATTATTCTTTCTCTAAAAAAGGCTAATTAGCTTATTAGTACTTTAGTTTCTTAAAAGTCCTTTACTAGTTCTTATAAAGTTATAGTATAGTCTTTCTATTAAACTAAGTATTATTGCTTATATTTCTTATATTAGTAATTTTATATTTAACTTATAATTATTTACATTTTTAATAGTCTTTTGGTTTCTTATTAATATTTACAAATATACTTTTAGGTTAGTAATTATTAGTATCTTATTTTACTAGAGTATTCTTAAAGTATAGCTATAGCTTATCTATATAAAATATTAAATAGATACTAAAAAGAGTATTTAATCTTATAGTATTACAAAAAAAATACCTTTTTTCTTAATAATTGTAATT